TCCTGCGGCTGTTGGCACTCAAGTCCATAGCTCCGGGGGCCGTTCCTGTGGCAGTGGTCGTCACGGGCATGGTGTTCTGGGTGGTGTGCCTGAGCGGCGCCGTGGGTTGTGGGGCGCTACTCTGCCGAGGGGGGTTGATGGTACGGCGTCCCTCACGAAGTTGGAGGGCACGCAGCTCGGAGTCGAGGCGTTGGCAGAGGGCCACAAACCCGTCGTAGTTGAGACCCTGAGTACGGCCCACAAGTTGCCGGTGGAGTTCGATGGATACTCCTTCTCGCAGTGCGTCAAGTTTCGCATGCTCGTCCCAATTGAGCTTGGAGACGAGCATCTGGAATTCCGCAAAGTAGGAGGTGAACTCCTTATTGCCTTGTGTCAGGTGGTGCAGCTTGGCTCGAGCGGTGGCCGCTGGGTCGGGGTCACCAAACGCATTGTTCAGGAGTGTGATTATCGCATCAGCATCAGTGAGGGTGATGTTGTGATTCTCGATGTATGGCAGGATCTGGGCTTGGGCGCGGCCTTCCAAGCGGTTGAAGGCGTAGGCCATTCGGAGTGCTGGAGTGGGGAAACGGGCTGGGTCGCTGTATAGCTTGAGTCGAAGTTGCGCAACGAACCCTTCCAGTTTGTCGCGTGTTCCGTCGAACATGGCGGGTTCTGGGACACGCTCAGCGCGGCTTTGAGGGTGGGCTTCGACGGTGGCGAGGCGGTTGGCGATCCGGCGGGCATCGGCAAGTTGTTCTTCGAGGTCGTCGAATCGCCAGGTTGGTATCGCTGTCGGGGACAGGGTGATTGCGCGGGCAAGGATTCTGAATTCGTTGTACAACCCCATCAGGGTTGCATCGTCGGCGGGTGCATCGTGATTGACGATGATTTCGAGTTGTTCGTAGATGGCGGCGGGAATTTCTCGGTAGAAGGGGGGAGCCACCGGTACTTCGTCCTGCTGGGGGACGTCGGGTACCTGAGTGTTGGTGGCCATGGTAGTTCGCTAGGTGGAGAGATGGGGGACGCAACAAAGTGTAACGGCACGGTCGGGCAAGGCTCCAGGTAGCGAAGCCGGGCTGGGGATCGGGTTCTGGGTTCGGTAGAGGCAAGACGGGTACAGGAGACAAGGTGAGGCAGGGCTCAGTGCAGACGGCAACTGAGAACAGAGGCAGGGACAAGGACTACGGCGCAGACGGCAGCCGAGGCAAGGACAGAGGTAACAGTGATTGAATTAACAAGTTGTTGCGTGAAGAACTAAATACAGAGGGGCAACGGCCCGTTTATATAGAAAATCCTCCACTTCTTCCCGCAACCTGACAATGACCGTGGGCGTGTGCCAGACCCTGAGTAATCCACCTTGCCAGTACCCCACTTCCGTGACTCACACCCTGCGCAGCCGCACTACCCCTGCTTCCTGCACACAGCCCCAATATCCTGCGACTCATTACTGCGCTATCCCTGCTCCCTGCACACAGCCCCAAATCCTCTGCGACTCATCCTTGCACTGCCGGTGCACTGCCTCTGCACTGCCCCCCAATTCTCCCGATCCTTGTGCCGACCCTCCCTTCGTCATTCCGTCGTGAGCCGTGACAGTTTCGCATGCTTGTCCCAATTGAGCTTGGAGACAAGCATCTGGAATTTCGCAAAGTAGGAGGTGAACTCCTTATTGCCTTGTTTCAGGTGGTGTAGCTTGGCTCGAGCGGTGGCCGCTGGGTCAGGGTCACCAAATGCGTTGTTCAGGAGTGTGATAATCGCATCAGCGTCGGTGAGGGTGATGTTGTGATTTTCGATGTACGGCAGGATCTGGGCTTGGGCGCGGCCTTCCAAGCGGTTGAAGGCATACGCCATTCGGAGTGCTGGAGTTGGGAAACGGGCTGGGCCGCTGTACAGCTTGGGTCAAAGTTGCGCCACGAGCCCTTCCAGTTTCTCGCGTGTATCGTCGAACATGGCTGGCTCTGGGACACGCTCAGCGCGGGTTTTAGGTTGGGTTTCGACGGTGGCGAGGCGGTTGGCGATGCGGCGGCCGTCAGCAAGTTGTTCTTCGAGGTCGTCGAATCGCCAGGTGAGTATGGCTATTGGGGACAGGGTGATTGCGCGGGCGAGGATTCTGAATTCGTTCTACAACCCCATCAGGGTTGCATCATCGGCGGGTGCATCATGATTGACGATGATATTGAGTTGTTCGTAGATGGCGGCGCGAATTTCTCGGTAGAAGGGGGGTGCCACTGGTACTTCGTCCTGCTGGGGGACGTCGGGTACCTGAGTGTTGGTGGCCGTGGTAGTACGCTAGGTGGAGAGATATGGGACGCAACAAAGTGTAACGGCACGGTCGGGCAAGGCTCCAGGTAGCGAAGCCGGGCTGGGGATCGGGTTCTGCCTTCGGCAGAGGCAAGACGGGTTCAGAGGACAAGGTAAGGCAGGGCTCAGTGCAGACGGCAACTGAGAACAGAGGCAGGGACAAGGACTACGGCGCAGACGGCAGCCGAGGCAAGGACAGAGGTAACAGTGATTGAATTAACAAGTTGTTGCGTGAAGAACGAAATTCAGAGAGGCAACGGCCCGTTTATATAGGAAATCCTCCACTTGTTCCCGCAACCTGACAATGACCGTGGGCGTGTGCCAGGCCCTGAGAAATCCACCTTGCCAGTACCCCCGCTTCCGTGACTCATACGCTGCGCAGCCGCACCACCCCTGCTTCCTGCACACAGCCCCAATCCCCTGCGGCTCATTACTGCGCTATCCCTGCTCCCTGCACACAGCCCCCAATCCTCTGCGGCTCATACTTGCACTGCCGGTGCACTGCCTCTGCACTGCCCCCCAACTCTCCCGATCCTTGTGCTGACCCTCCCTTCGTCATTCCGTCGCGAGCCGTGACAGTATGAGCATAGATGTCATGACGAGAGATTCGAACAGGCCATAGCGTCTCCAGAACGCTGTTTTCCACTGTTCTCCTTCCGCCATACGTACCAGGTTGTAGCTGCCGCAGAGATCCAGGGTGGTGAAGTATTTCGCCCGGGATAGCCGCATCAGGGTTTCTTGGAGGAGTGGGGGTGGGTACCTGTTCTTGATGGTTTCTTCATTCAGGCCCCTGTAATACGCACACCGGCGTAGGGAGCTGTCCAGTGTTTCCTGACAAACAGAATTGGCAATGCTGCTGGAGAGGAAGAGGCATGGATGAAACCTTTGCTGAGGTTGTTTTCCAGCCATTCTTTCAGTGCAATGAGCTGCGTTTTCGATAGTGAGTACAATGGTCCATATGGGGGCATAAACCTCTACTTCAGTGTAATATTATGGTCGTAGTGCCGGTGCGGGGACAGGTTGTTGGCAAGGGCTTCAGAGAACAGTGCTAGGAACTTGTGGTATTCCTGAGGGATATGTGCCGTGGGGTCCTTCTTTCCTTCTAGCGCAATGTTGACCTCGGCAAGCGTGCTGTTGCAAATCGTAAGGCTCTCCTTGTTGGCTAGTTCTTGGAATGAGTCCATCTGTAGGGCGCAGATGATGACAGTGCTTTCCCTTGCAAGGTTAGCCCATTCTGGGTTATTCTTCCTTGGGGGCAACGTAATGCAGTGGGCCACAATGTTGGCGCCCCCCGCGCTTACCCTTGGCTCCTCCACAGCTGCTTTTGACGTGAGAGCATAGGTTGATAGGCAGGGCGGGTCGGTGGTGATTCTATGCGCAACTCATTGCTGTTAGCCCTATAGTATTGCGAGCCGAAGGTTAGCGTCCGGGAGCTGAACCGGATGGCCCCATCGTGGAGGTCCATCCAGGGGATTCCCAGTACAACGGGGTAGTGGCCTACTTTGGTGACAAACATAGAAATTTCTTGATGCTGTTTCTGTATGGACAGGGTGGTGGTGGTAACATGTGTGATGTCGCCTGACTCGATGGGACGTCCGTCAATAACTTCGAGGGTGCGGGGCGATTTCAGGGGTAAATTTCGGTGCGGTTGATAATTCCATCGGCCTATATGCCTTCAAGCACAAGCAGGATATAGCTCTTCCATGTGTTGTAGTTGAGCGATCTTACAAGCTTCTCAACGTTTCTGAAGCTTGAGGAGTAGTACTTCAAGTTATAGTTGGAGGTGGAATTGGACATTGTGTTCAGTGAGTGGATTCTAATTATTGAACGAGGGTTCTGGCCGTGGATTCTGGACGAGGACGATAGATAAATAGATTTTTTAATGTAGTTTTTGTAAGCGCTGACCCGGGCTCATAGCCTGTCCAGAAAAGTGGTATCGCAAGATAGTGTATTGAGTACCAGACACGGCAGAAAGAAAGGTATATATACAGGAAGGCTCGGGGATGCGGCGGATAGAGGCCTCACGCCACCGCTCGTCACCTCCGTGTGAGAACGGATAACGGAAGTGTCTCGCCATAGCGAGTGATCGTTCATGACCCGGTCTGCGATGGTGACGCGGCACACAGGCTTCCGAGTCATATTTGGTGCCGGACGACTGGTGACCGGAGCTTCGGCGTCCACGTCATGTTTGGTGCCCTGAGCGTGATAGTGTCTACGAGCAGCCCGCCTCCAGGGCGAGCCTGGAGGCCATCTACATAGCAAAAGCCTGCCCCGGACGGAACGGGACTACAGTCCACTAGTGGACTATAGTCCGGATGGTTGACAGCCCTGTCACTCGCACCCTCTCGCCACACACAAAAACCACCCTACCTAATTGAATTCAGGGCAGGGGAAGTGGGGCGCCGCATCGTACTGGTTAGTACTGGGCTTTCACCTCGACTGGCCAGGGCGGGCAAGAAAAGTTGCCCGATGGTTTGCCATAGTTTAGAGAGGCTGCATGCAAAATACAAAGGAACATCTCTCTCCTAATTGAATGCTTCGCACCCATCGCCCCACATAAATCATGTTCCCTCCACCACTCCCCTTCGGTTCCGTTTTCCTTTCCCCCACCACCACCTTCCGCCTTTTCCTCTGTAACCACCTGCACATCTACACCACCTGCACATTTTACAACCACCTACCCATTTGCAAGCACCTATCAACCACAGCACGACGACGACGCCATGCAGCAGGGCACAGGAAAGCAGCCGGAGAGAGATGCAGGAGGCCCCCCTCGAAACTGCAATCCAACACCTCTGGTAGGATCCGCTTCCATCCCCACCACCGGTCTTGCGATAGCTGATACTGTACAGTTTAACGTTCGGCCTCATGAGCCCCATCCGATAGAGCTTCTGATTCGTGATCTCACCGTCCGCAAGGAACTCAACAAGAAAGGACACCTCCAGACCAGTAGTGTCGCAAATCCGGCCGCGGACCCGATGCCCTTCCAGAGGTTGCCCGCGACTGAAACCAGACACGGTCAGAGTCTGCCACCACAGCTGAACCCAATCGCGGTAAAGCGGGGGAGAAACGACCTGTCGCCAAAGACGCTGGCCACCATCAACTGGAAAGTCGTGGGCGCCGAGTGCCGTGCGTGCTGGAGCCACCACTACAGCGAAGCGGAATGCGCAGCTTTGACGTTGCGGCTCCCTAAGGTCTGCCAGCAAGAGTACATCGACGGCGATTACCTCTACTTCAATCAGTTCCAGGATTGGAGTCTGATCAAGACGCAGATGTCGAACCTCTGGGCAAGCCAGCCCGACCACGACTATCTAATGTCGACTTTGCCTCAGCGCACCATTCAAGACGCCGTGGATGCGGGTTTCCTCCCGCCGTTCTACGCGGATCCGGTCAAGTGCGCCGAGCACATCAAGGCGAGGGAAAAGGAAGTCATGGCTGCGGCGCGGCCGGGCTTCACCAAAGAAATGGCTGTCGCGTGCGGACTCATTCCGTGGAACCCGTGGAAACCCGGAAAGATGAGATCCGCCGACGAGCTGGTCGAGGAGGCTAAGGCCGTCAAACTGAGATACCATGCCGGACCGTGAGCGAACAGCGGTAAGTGCATCCACGATCCTTCTTCCATCGTTGTCCCCTGCCTAATGGAAACCACGTGCAGCGCATCATTACTCGATCGAAGAGACACCAGTCAGACATTGGGCCACTGGACGAACCGTTGATGTGATGACATTTGAAAACTCGCTTTACGTACTATGAGGCTTCTTTGAGAGGGATACTGTTTTTGTTTTCGGCCAGGTGGATGCCAGATTTACGTTTCTTGAATTTTTGCTTTTTGGGAGAGAAATGGCCACTAGACAACAGCTTTTGCCTGTTACTTTACAATGCAGCTGTTTACTCGACCAGTTAATCCCGTCGGAGGACGCTAAAAAGAAGGTGGAACCAGGCAAAATCAATAAAGCGTAATTGCGACAAACGCGCCGTAGTATCTACCTTTCTGATCGGTTATGGGGTGTGGGTTCCTGGTCGAAACTATCAATGTCCATACCGGCGTCGTCCGTACAAATTGACCCACCGAGCTCCAGTTACTATATTCGGGCTTTATCGAATGCCGCCCTGGTGCCGCTACGGCGGTACAAAACTCCGACCCGGGAATTCTCACACCTCTTCAGCTAATTCCCTGAACGGAAACGTCGGCGAAAGACACTAGGTATGGGTGGGCAGAAGTCCGGATTCAGGAAGCAGACAAGGAGGGGCAAAGACCGCTTCGCTTCAAAGACTGCTTCAAAATCCCGGACCTCTTTGCAGACGAGCGGTGCAGCCAAAGCCAAGACATAATTTTCGACTGGCTTCCCTTTCCTCCACTGCTGACACTGTGGGCAGACGGATCACAATGGCTTCTGACTGATGACGTACACTAACACGGGATCAAGTCGCGGAAAAGCCGCCAGGGCAGCGCCTCGCGCGCCGCCGTCAACGATGACGACGAAGACGCGGACGAGGCCTCTCTCGAGACTGCCGGGGTCGTAGCGGTCACCGAGAGCAATGGACCTCATTGTGGTCGACCCGCTAAGTCAGGCGGCTCAGTGGAGCTGACGCCTGGCAGCCTGGGCGAACCAGCTTTCGCCAGTGACCCGTTTCCAGGGCACTAGCCCACATTTAGTCGCTGGTGTTGGTGTCGCTCTGAGTTTCAATAACACCTCGCGACATTCATTATGAGTGACTAATTGACGGTAGTGGCTATGGTTAGCCGCTGCCGGATTGTCTTACAACCGTCAAGAAGAACACGAGCGATCAAAATAAAACAGAATCGACGATCAAAACAGAAACAGGCCCCCCTGCAGCCTCAGGTACGACAGCCGGTCCCAACATCTTGGCAACAAATCCTCCCAAGGTCCGCAGCCAAGGGTCGAAAAGTGCCTCCAAGACGTCAGTTGCAGCTGCGTTCCACAGTATTTACCTGGAGGACAATTGTTTATGAAGTTTCGCCGGCAAAATTCAAAAGCCGCTAGCACAATTTGACGATAGTTTGTGTGCCAAGGTTGTCGGCCAAATCTGGCGCTGCTCGACCTATAAAAGCACCTCCCTTCCCTCCCCTTCTCCCCACACCTTACCACCATCAACATTACAATCTTCCAACGAACATCTTAATAGCTCAACAAACAATACCTAATTCACTGTGTGTCACCCTCTCCCGCTACTCTTGTCCACACTAATTAGCATTTCAGGCTGGCTGATAGCGACGAAGTTTGGTCCATCACTAGGGCCTTGATTGATATTTGGCACAATGGCAGGTTCAAGCCTGCAATGACGAGGTCAAGATGTTGAAAGCCAGTAAGCTCCCCCCGGACCACCTCATACATCATGAACAAACAACGCTAATACGCCAACAGAATGGGAAGAGCAGCGTTAGATTCTCGAGAAGGAGCATCTTTCGCTTCCCGCCGCCCACAATGCTGACTTCGATTTCCGCTACAATGCCGCGCAGAATGCATCGAAGACCCTGATCCGCTGGGCCGAGATGAAGGAATGGGCGGCGAACCGCATGACGGCTTCTCGCATCGCACCACTCGACACCCATACCCGGCCCCTGCGGGTGTACTGGGGTCACTTGCTACTTCTACAGCATGTTTTTCTCAAGTTTCTGTTTGAAATGTACCAGCAGCAGCGCACTAGCCGGTCCACCAACCGACGTCGCACCAACATGGTGTGGGTCGAGATCCTGACAGCCACAGTAAGTATCTCTCCTGTCTCCTGTTAATTTGAATGGACCGTGCTTGAAGGATAGATGCTGATATACCCGTCACCAGCCAGCGTCGAGAACTATGGCATTCTAGATAGACGTTTGCTGTTATAACTACTGTACTTATTTTCTAAAACTGCTGTACCCATCTACTATCGCTATCACTCCTTCCGTGACTATCCAACAGTGCCGTGACCCGCCTCATCCTCACAAAACCCCCTTGGATGCACCCGCAGGCTGCTGGCGGCTCACCCATCGGATTTACTGGCATCTCCTTACATAACCCAGCTGTAACTTGAAACCGTCTGTTTTCCCACTGAACTGAACTCGCATCAAAACCAGCCAGAACTGAACTGTTTTAACCAGCGCTACCATTGTTACCAGCTAACTATCGCTGGATCTGAGTACCGGTAACAACTACTTTCACAACACTGGGCAATCCACACCCCACCAAAGACCTCAATATCTCAACCCCTGGCGCGCCGGGGATATATCGTTTTGAATATTCACTAGTTATCGTACTCGTAGAGCCGGACACGGTTGCAGCAATTGGAGAAAAGCTTGCAAGCTCGAACCACGGAATCAAGTGGAATAGTCAGTGGCCACCGGTTCTAGCCGTGCCGGTCCCGAAATGGCTGCTTTTCGAGGGCTCTTTCGCCAATGCCTCTCCAGGCCGGAAAGCGGCGCCGCGGCCGGTCGAGAGCAGGATGACACTCAAGCAGAAGAGGGGATAGTGGCTAGTCGACTACCTAGTGCTCTGTAGATGATGACCATGAGACAAGAAGAAGAAGACGACCCCGCCATGCCCGCCAACGTTGATGCCCACCGCTACTGACCACATCCGGATACTCCCGCCGATAGATCCGCTATAGCTGCGCCACAGCAGTTCCAGGTGTAGATGGTGTATCTAGGGTAGTTCGAAGGTATCAGTGATCGTCGGGGTCTTCGAATCGGCGGATATCCGATATCTCTGCCCTGTAGTAGAGATTAGCCCTGAACGGCAGATACGATCGCCGTCCCGCCGCTGGGGGCTGGAGCCTGGCAGTAGTGTTTGCGATTGGAGGGAGAATCAGTGCTGATGTGACCATTGAAGGCGTGCTCCCATGTTACAGTGAGAGAAGGACAATTGGAGGAGGGAACTCGAATGATGAATGAAACGGTGTCGAAAACGGGATGGAGTTCGAACCTCGACGACACGAATCTGTAACCTACCTATGGTATTAAGTCAGGAACACCTTGATACGAAGAATGTATGCGTTCGGAGGAATAGAATGGTACTTACGCAGTGCGATGCGATGACCCGTTTCCTGAATTACCACAGAATCCATCGCCCAGAAAAGTCGGATAATTTGACCTAAAGGCTGAACTCTCAGCGCTGCATCCCTCCCTCCCATATCCTCACTTTTCAGCTCTCAGCCGACCCGAGCGCTGTAGTTACATAATCACAACCGATATTTTTTGGGGGGGACTGGGGAGACCAACTTTGAGGGCTGCTCCACTTCCGCCTGACAGGCTCCCCAATGAAGCTGTTTTTGTGGTTGAGAACCGCCGGGAAGCAAATCGGTTCTCAAAAGTGTCGCTTGAAGCCCCCAACTGGCAACCATACAGATTCCGGTGGGAGGTTTCGTTGCTTTTAGCTTCACGCAATGACGTAGAGCCTTGCATGTTTAGTCATACACTGATTAAGCGAATCTAAACGCCAGTTGTGTACAGTGTCACCACCGTCTACACCCCGAAGGCTGAAGAAATCCAAAGTTCTAAACATGCCCCGCCACTCAGTCGTGAGGATATTCACGCGAATCAACAACCTTCTACCCGAAACTACCAGCGGGCCATACGCATCTCCACACTACCCGTACGCCTATGCCACCGCCCCTCGCCTCGTATCATCGCATGCTCGCAGAACATCGGGCGAATTCTCTCGCGTGCTGTGCCGGCACAATCATCTAATCAGCGCTGCACTGTCACGACGAATAATGGCGGAGACGGCTTGCTTGGGGTACTGGCAGACTCGCGTACGGCTGCGATTTAAATGCTGACCATTCTTGTACAGGTGATGACACGAACAACGCAACCGATCCTGCCGAAAGCACCGCCAAAACCTCTCCTTCATCACCGTATACCTTCCTACATACCACTCATCGGGCAGTCGTCGGCGCATTGCTCACCACACCCCAACGCTGCGGGGGTCCGGCTAGTAGAAGGCCTTCTTATGGAGAAAGGGTGGCAGGCGAAGACAAATTAGGGGATTCCATGGTCGTAAATGTTATTTACCTAATGATATGGAGTGCCGGATGTTTTGGATTTTGCGGAGACATAACTGGTTAATGGATTTCCCGTTATAAGCTCATGAGGATACCCGACCTGTCGGAAACGGAGAATTATCTGCATCCCCCGTGCGGTTTGTATTGAGATGTCACTTCGGTCGATTATTATCCTGACGGCACCTGCTTCAGAATACTGCACGCACTGAAACATGTCGGTGAAGAAATGCGGGTGAATGTCTCGGGCATCCATAGGCGAAGTTGACGAATGACCTCGGAAGAATTGATATCATGAGGAGAAATATCATAGTATGACCTTGGGGGAATGAATTCGACAGGATTTGGTTTTTCTTTCAATAGTCTCTCTGTCGCCTGCTCATTTTCATTCTCTTTTATATCTAAGCCATTACTTCTTTTTGTCTTACTCGCCCATATCCGCTGTAACAAAAAAAAAACATCACAATCTCACACTCGGCAGAATCCCCATATGTGGCTGTTACCTGATGTACCTGCCCGCCCTATTGAATCTTTTTCATTCTCAGCGGCCGCGCCGTCTCGCTCCCCCACTTCTGTTCTGGCGGAGGCAATTCCGTATCCGTCGAATATTCCGGCCACGGCCACTCGCTTCCGATCGGTGGATACGCAAAGTCGACAACCATGGAATTCTCCCAGAAAGCTACAACCATCCTCTTCACATCCTGGATCCCCATCCTATCCGTTCGGTAATCCGGGGAAGGCATCGCGATCCAGATGAAGGTATTCCGAAGGATTTCGTGAACATCCGTAAAGCCAAAAAGCCCGTTGATCTGTCTCATGGTCGGCTGCATATCGTACAATACCATGAACACGTTCACAAGTCGCTGGGTGCGTTCCTCGAACATGTGAAACTTTCCGTCCACCACGTACATCTTACGTGCAACGAACTGGAGGCTGAAGATACTAGGGCCGTTTGGGATGGTCCACTGCTCTGGGAAGATTTTCGGGAGACCGGGGATAGCGGTTGTAAGTACTTCTCGCTTTGCTCCGTATACGTCAACTTGAGAGGCGATCATGATGACACGTTTGAAACGGTACCCGTAAGGGTTAAGGAAAGGGCGAAGGGGAGTAGGAGGCGGCCTTCGCCCATCCACATCCACAGCTATCATACTGAGATCGTCTAGTATAATCAGCATATAATCGCCTCGGATGGGAAGAACACATACCAAAAGATTTCGACTTCGACAACCCCGAATTTACCAACCTAGCAGCAATCCCGGGACCCGCTCTCTCCACCATCACGTGTGGAGGAGGTAGAGTCCTCTCGTCGCCCTCCCGAATCTGTTGGCGGAGGTGGTCTCTGCACTTATCGCACCAGTAGATATAGCTCTTCGATACCCCAGACATTGACGGTTCCACAAAATAAACAATATTGCAAAGCTCGCAACGCGTTATCTTGGTTCGCACCAGTTGACTCAGTATCCCTCCTTCCTCGCCTTTGTTCTCGGCCAGGTTCTTCAGTTTATCGTCAACAACTCGCTCGATTTTATGCGTAAGTGCCTTATTTGGATGTAGGATTGCTTGGGTGACCTTCTTGACTTGACCGAGTTGTGCGGGCGTAGGTGTTTGCTTTTTATCAACCTTCTTGCCATCCTTCTGGCCCGCCTTCTCATCTGGCTTGTCTTTGTCATCCTTCTTTGGCGTTGGCGTGGCAGTACGTGCTGGAGTCCGAGGGATTGGGGGTTTGCGGTCGGGAGTTCGCGGGGGTGTCCTGCCCCCAGACGCGACAGGTATGCTGGCCTTTCTTGGTCCACTCATTGTTTCAGCTGTATGCACAGCTTTCTTGTGGATTATGCGGCATCGAATACAGGGGATGAAATGGAAACATATAGGTTGTCCGTGCGTCTTCAAGTTGAGCAGACCGGTCGTTTGACAGTTGCTATTGACGGAGGAACCAGTTGAGGCGAGGCGACACATATCATCGTAGCATTGTGTATGTTCCTATGTTTCGGTAAGCAGTGTGCGAGAGGGATATTGATGGGTGGTGAGCAAAGCATCATGACCACTACCGTAGGCTGTAGCCCTGATCTGCACAATTGTTCTGGCGGAATTGCGGCAATGAACTTCTCAGCGGGAAAGAGCACGGTTTTGGAACACTCCCGACAGGTTCATCCTGTTCCTGATACTCGCATAAGGCATCCCTTCCACCCGGTCAACATGATCTTGTCCATAACCTATGCAACCGTGGTGGGAATTATAGCCATACGGATACAATCCTATTATGTTCTCGAATAATCCGGCCGCCACGACTTGCCGCCAAGTCTTCTTTGCCGTGAGACCAAGTACGGCGTGTGCACGTGCTATTCGAAAAACCCCAAGTGTCAGAATGCAGCAGCAAACATTTCGGATGAGGCGTGTGAGAAACGTGAGGGAGCGCGCTTTCGTTCTTGCTGTCTATGGAAGGGAAGAAAGGTAGGAGGCACGCATAGAAGTACGTACATAGATCGAGTGTAACCATACACCCATGCAATACACCCATACACCCAGTACCCAGTCGGTTGGCTCGCTCCCATTTCCACATCTCCACATCGTCACCTCAGCCAGCACCGCATATTTATCTGCATCTTACTACATCATTATCTTGCCGCGGTTTATCTCTTATTTTTCTCCTCACTATGCCACGCGCCCCTCCGAGATCACAGCATCAGAAGGGCTTTCATGAACGCTTCGGTGGAAAGTACTACCGGTATCGCGATCGAGAGCTCGAGTCCGCACGGAGAAGCCTAGTCACGGTTGAAGTCACTGAAATCACCTCAGAGTCCGAAGATAACAGTTCTGAGCCCGACCGAAAGCCCGACACCCCACAGACACCGCCAGTCACTGTCAAAGTCACCGAACTCTCCCTAGAGTCTAATGATGACAGTCAAGAGCTTGACCAAGAGCCCGAAGCTCCACTACCAGCGCCATTCATGATCCAAGTCACCGAACTGTCCCCGGAGTCTGACGATGACAGTCGAGAGTGGGCACACGAGGCGGGCCCAGAGCCCGAGACCCCACGGACACCGGCAGTCACGATGCGAGCCGCTGACCTCCCTCCTGGGGCACAGCCAGTCACAGTTCAAGTTACTGAAGTCCTCTCAGAGGCTGACGATGACGGCCAAGCTCCCGACCGAGAGCCCGAGGCCCCCCGGACACCGCCAGGCACGATTCACGTCAGTGAACTATCTCCAGTGTCTGACGACGCCAACACCACCCGAGAAGACGCCGCACTGCAAAGCCCGGACATCAGCCCGGAGGGATCGGTACAACATGTGGAGTATGCTGGACCCTCATCGCCGGAGTTTGAATCGGGATTTTCGGATAGCGATCTCACCTCGCAGAACTCAGGGGATCCTGACATTCTATCACCGATCACAAGTGTCAGTAGTCCAGGAGCGGATGACGATCCCCTCCGTGACGCAAGTGGGGAGATGCTAGATGAATTGGATGGTTTCCCGCCTTTGACGAGGGTTAAAACCAGAGTTCCACAGGAACCGCGTGCGGCGATCAGCAATCCAGGAGCGGATAAGGATGCCCTCGGTGACGCAAGTGGGGAGATGCTAGATGAATTGGAAGATTTCCCGCCTTTGACGAGGGTTAAAACGAGAGTTCCACAGGCAGCGCGTGCGGCCTCGCCCAGGCCCAAAGCAGTCCGGTTTACGGAATCCGAGGAGCCGCAAACCTCAATGGTGGCCCCATTAGCAGTGAATGACCACGAAGTGACGGGATCTGAGTGTCTTCACGCCCTCGCAATGCTGTGTCGCTTCTCGGATGCGGGTAAAACCAGCAATCGCCACTCACAGCTGCGTATGTACGACCGCATTGCGAGCTTATTCGTTACCGATGCTTTCGAGGATGAAGCGGCTGTTTGGATTAGCCTCACTCTACCGGGTACCGCCGAAGAACATCGCAAGACGGTGGAAGCCGGCAAACGGAGCGGGTATGCTATAGAGGTTGTTTATGCCAAGGACCGACCTGCAACCGATAAGGAGAAAGCATATTATAATGATATGGCAGGGGAGCTCATGAGTATGAATCGGTACAATGAGGAGACGGTACGGGAGAATATGCTCAGCTTGGTTCTCAAAAACTGTCAGCCGAGGATACACGTCATGTATCGAGATCTGAAAAGGGCGTTACGGCGACTCAGTTCGATACAACAGATCGTGCTGAAGCTGTCTGAAGACCAATCGCTGATGCTACGGTCGAGATTAATTGAATATGTGAGCCTAACCACTGTTCCCGACTAATAGCTGCTGATGGATTGGTTAGACCAGACAACGAGCGGCACCTTTCATGACTATGGAGGAGAGCTGTATAGCCTGGCTCAACGAGATAGCATACGAGAATGCAGTGCCGAAGTTCTTCCTTCAGGAATGCTGGTGCTTTTCCTATTTTACTGGCTATTTGATAAAAGATACAGAGATAAATCTTAGGATCTACCAACTGTCGAGATACTTTCAGGCGATTAAGTGGATGATGAGAATGATTACGCGGGGGCCTCCATCACGACTTACAATAACGGAGGTGCGGAGTCTACTTTCCGATTCTTGAGCGCTACTAACGCATGGCAGATTCTGGCGCCTGCGCCTCCAAACTTCGTGAAGTTTCCCAGTGTCATGAGCATCCTCGAAAAAAAGGCTACAGTCGATGAAACCTGCACCCGTCTCACCGTTGAGGGTCTCCTAAACACGTTTCCCGGCATAACCCTCGATGACCTTACCCTAGGCGACGACCCCGCACTCTACAATCCCCCCAGGTTGAATCCCGGAGGCAAACCCGTGATCGCAATCGAGGCACCAACAAGACGAGGAAACCGCACCAGAGTCCGCTGTTGGCAACATGCCGAGGTAACACTAATCTGCGAGCTCGTCCGACGCTCCGAGCTGGATGGCTTAGCCAACGAGAGAATTCCCGCAATCCGTCGCTGGTGTCCCATCGGATACTCCAGCACCTCGTGTTGGGCGTGTGAAGGCTTCCGATACCACATGAACATCAAACAGAGCAGAATCCTGATCTCCGAGCTCCCCGGTGGCCTCGAGATTATATCTGGGTGGACACCGCCCTTGGCTCACGACGGCCCAATTGCTGCCGCATGCGACCGTCTAAGGAGGAATATTCAGCGTCAGTTCAGGATCTTCTATGGGGACATGGTACGGCAACAGAACGAGTACGTCGATACACTGCGGGGCAAGGCGAAGGAATCGGAGAAAAAGGCTAGGCAGCGGAGATTGAGAGATGCACTAATGCAGATGACAGCTATCGTTCAGGAGAGGTCTTTGGCATTCAATGTGGAGGTGATGCCGACTATTGCGGAGAGTGCGGAAGATTAAACAGGCGCCGAGGTTGGTGAAGAGGAGAGTTGTGAGATCCTGAGCACGGTGATGAGAGGCGTGTAGTGTACGTGAGCTGGTGTTACTACGTGTCGAGTTTTGATTGCCTAATGATGGGTGGAAAGACGTGTATTCGAACGATGGACCTGTTGACGGTCTGACGATGAGACGGGAATCAATGAACGAGTTACCGGTTCCAGAAGCAAGATGATTCTTTTTTCCTACCGTAAGATCTCCTATCAATCACCTTACACGGTTACACCTCCGGTTGCGTGAGATCACCTTGAAGCATGTCATTCGCCGAGATCACGCAGTAGGTCCTGAGTAGAGTTGAACGGTATAACTTCTGTACGTGCGGTTGGAATCACGAGTGCAGCCATGCTCAAAATTCAACCAGGTGGGTTTCGCAGGTTACACAAAGAAAGCGCGCTTGTTCGCGGCCAGGCCGAATCATTTCCTATGCAGCAGTAGCTAACGTATCTGCCGCTAGTCCAACAGCTGTACCTCAGACCCCGGACATCATACGGTCATACCTCATACCCCGCAGTCGTCTACCGTGGATTTTTACTCAGCCGAACACTTCCTTCATCATCGCCAGCTCACTGTATCAGTATTGAATCCGGCGATCTCAGCAGCGCACACACACATCGTGCGTTCCAACCCACTTTCCCTCATCAAGTCGTCGACATTGCGTCGCCATGCCTCCGCTAACCTGGAACACATGTCTACAGATGCCTCTCTTCCATATCGTCTGTGGACCATTTGCTATCATCGTCGCCGCCATCATCCTCGGCATCCGCCTCCGCGTCCGCAGCCGCGCCAAGAGAGCGAATGCGAAAACCGTCCTCCCCCTCCACGAACATCAAGCCCCGCCGCCGGCCTGCTGCGATATCAAGGAGAAGCAGGAGCTCGCCGTCGTCGTCGCCGAGATTCCATGCCGGGTGCAGAAGATTCGGCCGAGGTTGAACTCGTTCTGCGGTGTTGGAGATAGGTTCGGTGTTGTTGTTGGTGGTGGTGGTGGTGGTGGAGTGCCGGTGGCAGTGGCGTCTGAGGAAAGGGTTGGCGATGGATTCGTCATGAGGGGATAAGGAGCGGTGGCGGGAACTTCAAGGAACAGATGGGAAATGCGCGCATTGACGCTACGACGGAAAGGTTGACGGCGAGATCGTTTAGCATTTATCAACACAATATTTCCCATCCCCTTGACGTCCTTCTATCGATGTGGTCTTTTCTACGCTGCGTGCCACACCTATCCCCCGTTTTGTCACGATACTTACACTCGCATATCTTCTGGAACCCATTCCCTTCAGCAATAACTACTGCGACCTTGGGTATTCCACTCCTGACAGTTTTTTTCCTTCACACTCCCGCAATCCTTCTAGCTGGACCGGTCGATTCCTATATTCAGCACATTCGAGTAATACTCGGCTCACAGGCTACCGCTTCATCCATGACTCCTCCCGTTCACCGAATGTCGATGAGACCGGAGGGTGAGAAGCGATATTTCTGGTAGATGCTACGATGTTCGACATGGTGCTATGATGATCATGGGTCCCTGAGACGGATGGACACTATACATGTAGGGACGTTGCTGCTTCGGGTTTGCGCACGTTACGAATTATTGAAACTCCTCGTCGCTTGGGTTCTAATCTCCTGACAAAATTGTGAGTAGTAACTTTCCAATCACTCACCATCGGAGATCCCTCCCTCTCTCTGCACCCACGTTTGTTTGTTAACCGCTGATTCCAAACACTTCTGTTTCACTGTTCTCAACTAACACCGAGTCAACTTGGATAGTTACCTTTATCATCTCGAACCCGCACGCAACCTCCTGTTTCCGCTCAATATAAACTCAAGCTCGCCCTCATATGCCGTCCGTGGCACCTCTGCCACTGTCTCTTTCCCGCTTACACTTTAGAATTAATCACCCAATCAGTCTTCCTTACGTCACACCTCTTGGCTAACAGAGACGGAGAAGCTCCATCATGCCTCGAAGCCCCCCGCGCACTCCACGGTCTCTGCGACCACCAAGCGACAGTTCCTCCGAAACTTCTACTCGTCGTTCCCGTATCCACTCTTTACTCCACCCTATGATCGCCGCCCGCGAAAAAAAAGAGGAGAAGCTCAAGGCTATACTTGCAGTGGCCCGGGAAGAGGCCCGCGAAGAGACCCAGCGAGAACTCGCGGCGACATTTGAACCACACCCAAGTCCGTCCGAAGCGGAGATAATAGCTGTGGATTCTGGCCCACGAGCTGCCCGCATTGCCGTACTTTCTGCCGAATTGGCGGAGGAACATGAGATGCATGCTCGTGAGCTTCGCGAGAGAGGTAGCTTTGGCCCTGGTACCAGAGGACCTCCACCACCTGTACCAGCCGCTTCAAGGTCCGGATCGATCCGGACCTCAATAGCGACACAGCATCCGGGGTGGGGAGAAATCAGGGGCTACCCGCCGTGTGCCATCTGCGGAGAGATGAATCCACTGCACCTGAAGTTTGTGTCGGATACAAGAGCGGCGTGCGACCTATGCATGGACAAGTGGATCACGAAGATGGAAAATGATAGGTCGTCTGGGCTTGGTAGATAAAGACGAATTTGTGGTTGGTTGCAGAATGGGGAAGAATGGCCATGTACCTAGTACTACTCGCTGTTAATTTCATTATTTTCAACTTGAGTCCTTATTTCACAGTAGAAGCGCAGTTCATGATGACCGTGCGTTAATAATTGCCGCTTGGAACTCGATGGTTTCAGGTACTCCATGATATCAAGAACTTTCCTACCTTCCGAATGAATCTTTTCCTCGGTGGTGGTGATGTGCGTTTTTCTGAACCAGAGCCTCCCTGAGGTACTTGTACTGCAGTGGACGATTTCAGTCGCATGTAGCCAAGTCGAACCATGTCTACCACCACTGACAACTCACTCCCCGCCCATCTTCAATGTACCCCAAGCCAGCATGACCGACGAAACGATAAAACTTCGAGCGACGAACGAAACGCCGCGGCGGGTCGGAATACAGACTAGAAGAAGGCTCGCAAGGCGGCATCCGGGGACAACCGGATCTGAGCTGCTTCCGCGTGACCCACCCCACAGCGACACTCATTCTGCAGCATGATTACTAACCATTACCCGCGTCACAGTACGCCCTCGACCGATTTCCCTCCTCGCCTCGCAAATAGCTCCTGCAGCATCCCGCCGCCCGCACGAGCCCGTCCCTACCGCTAAAATCCCCACCGCTCATCTCGATGTCTTCACATTCATCGCGAACCCTGCTCCGCCAGTACGTCAATATTCCCGGTGGCAAACCGCCTCCGAGCTTGTTCGCATCAGCACGCCCACGACATACCAGCTACTTCGACAATCCACTAATGGATTATTCCGCCGGTACGTCTACGCCTGCCGCTGACCGTCAGCTACCACCGAGTCCGTTAGCAGCCCGGGCGGCGTACGAATGACATGCCAGCACGTTTAAGAAACAGTGAAGTTCTACGCGTGGATCTCCTCTCTGGTGCGCGTAGGTTGCATTTGATCACTTCGAGGTGATCGCTATGGGCTTACTACTTGAAACGGGAACCGCCGACCAGTGAAGTCCTTCAGAGTGATCCACTGGCGAGGCACTGGGATAAGTACCATGAAAAGGTTCATCGCCGAAGTCTCCCTGAACTCCACGTTCAACGGCCCCGCTGCTAGCACAAACTGCAAGAACAACACGCCTTTGGGTCCGGCGCAGGGTGGGGGTAGTCCGTTATATTTTTGCGGAGGCGCAGTGGGGGAGAAATGTGCACGGGAAACGTCCCGACAGGTGGAGGGTTGCAATAATCGAGTAAAGAATGTCTCTTTTTACCATTTCAAAAGAAGAAACGGCAATGGGTTTCGGGGGAATATTCTAACAGAGGTAAAGATATATGCGGAAAGCAGGTAGACGATGCAGAGTCGGTCAGAAGGAATCGGGGCCACGAAAGGTGATGCCCATAATATGTTGAATGGAATTCTTCTCTGCTGGATGGGGGACTTCATAAACTAACGGTGGCTATGATTTTCTTTGTTTCTCTCGTGCTCGTTAATTTGTTTCCTCACTTCCTGTGCGCCCCAGTCAAGCTAATCAATGAGAACAATACTCTTGAACTGGCTACGTCTATGGGGAAGAGCAACCTGTAGTAATACAAATAGCAATCCATAAGTAACAATTACTGATTTTATGCGCTTTTCAGTCCTTCCCACCACGTAAATAACGAACCATCCAGCTCCCGAATGTGCATCACAAGATATCGCTCGTCAAGTATCGATGAGTGAGATGGCATGATCTTTTTTCCGTTCTGTACAGCAGTGCTACAGTCGATCAAAAGCAAGATATAGCCCTTCATACGGTTAGTTATCCGACTATAAAGCACCGGAGACAAACGATGCCGAGCAGGTACTCACCGCATGACACTCGTGTAGAAACGAGTGATTAATCCTGATTCTCGCTCTCTTGAACGCATCGCATACTCCACACAAGAACCAAGACTCGCCCCGCTCATATACATGACGGCAAGTTCGTTTGTTTACTTGCGGTATTGTATCGCCTATTTTTCCAGGCGATTATCCATTAGTCCACCTTTGAAGCAGGCGGAGTGCTGGTAAATTAACTTTTCAGCTCGAATATGCCTGTCAATTGCATGTTCGGCAAAATGGGAAGCGATGTACTGCAAATCTTTGAATATAATCACTGCATACAAATCGTGTCAACACACTAAACCATCGCCGTTTTCGTTCCCGCCGTTCCGCCCGCTACCTGAGCTTGCTGAGCATCGAGCCAGGTGCGTTATGGATACGCACACCAAACCGTGACGTTTATGAGGGAGACTACAGTAATAGGATAGTCGGTCCAAAGTTTCGGGGAATCACCGAATAAAAATCACCTACCGCCGAGAGAGAGCGCTCGAACACCGCAGATGTCTCCGCTGCTGGTTGTACCATAGTTTCTACACAGGAGCCACGGTTGCAAGGAGACGATGTTACCGAGCAAGCAGAGGAAAAGGAAGAGGAGTTGCAGTATGGTTGCGAAGTCTCCGGCTCGCGAATTCCATGAAATTGTCGCCGTCCCACCATCCGCCCTTAGATAGAAAACCGCCTTACGCAGCCGTCGGCTTCCGAGACATGGAGTGAGCCTGGTCCGGATAGGAGAAGACGCAGGACAGCACGGGTGGGGAGCTAAGCCACGGGAATCAAACTGCCACCCGCCAATGACAAACGTCTGAGCTGGACCGACGATGCACTTCGTGGTCGCTTCGAGTGGGAAGATGAGCAACCTTGAGTCGGGGAGGTAGGCGCAGAAGCAGCAGAACAGTAATTGAAAGTAGTGGGGTTTGCGTCGGCCAATACTCAGCGTAGCAAGATACCACTACTGGACTCACCTTCAGCCTCTCGTTACGGGAAGGCCTACTACTCACACTCAGCCCTACGCGCGCCCTACCCTTCAAAATGTCTCGCACCCTACCCTTCAACACTTCAATCCCCCTCTCCACTCCACCCTTCTCTGCTTGGCTTCGCAAGCAACTTAGAACTCGCAGCAACAACCCCAGAACCCACAGCGCTGAACCTTACTCATACCCAACCCTACTCACACCGTACCCTTCTGTCCTTCAATTCCCTTTCCCACTCCACCAATCTTTGCGTGGCTTCGCAACAAGCAGAAACTCACAATCACAACCATGTAAGTTGTTTCGGACGCACAAGTACTTACAGCTCTTCGTTTCGCTAATCGCGCGCTGTAGGTCTGACGACGGTTGGGACTGGAAGGCCGGCAAGATTACCGCCGAGCTCCCCGCCATCATCACGAAGCTCCCGGCGAACATGGAGACTTGCAAAGTCAAGCTCGTGAAGGTCGAGGGGACCGTCGCAACGCTTGACTGGTCGGTCTTTGACATCATCCTCTGGTCAAGCCCTGAGGAGCCGGACAGATTCTTTCCGCGAGTCTTGGTCGTGGGCGAGGACGGCCTGCTCGAGGACCCCTCACTACCAAGAAATTGGGAGCATGCAACCTTTCAGTTGGAGCTGTCGTCAAGTGTTGTTCCCAACCTCGTCGAGACTAAGCTGGTGACCTACAGGATCCCAGATGCTCAGCCTCTGCGGAGAAGCAAACGCCTCAAGAGTCAAGGCAGAGCACGGGTACCCGTCGTTCCATCCGCGACAAATAAACCGGCACCTGCGCAGACCGAAAACCGACAAAAGCTGACCTCTGTGATCTGGCAGCATGGGGAATCGTCCAGGGTGGGGACTGAACGTTACTGGACGTGTAAGCACTGCCTCCCCAAGCACAGCACCTTCAAGAGTAGCACCGGCTCCGTCCGGCACCATCTCCAGAATGCGCATAGCATCGTTCTTTAAGACGATGCCCATCGCATTGTTGTTTAAAACGATTTCAATCGTCACGCCAGCTAGATTTTTATTCGGATTGTTCTCAGGCGGTGAGGAAGTTCGGGGACCGTACGGATGGAAGACGTGGGGGAAAATACGAAAGGTAAGATTCTATTGAGCGGGGATAATATTAGGAGACTTTACAAAGACTAACAGCAACATAGGGTCGATATCCCATATGAGAACGTGAAAGCATGAGAGGATGTTACCAGATACAATGAGCAATGGGGCTATTACGGAGGTTATGGTGCCACAATCCGAGTCGGAAACAGACGGTCCTGTGGCAGACGTACCACCGGCGGATACGACTAGAGCGAGAGCGGCGGACACGGCTACTACAGCGAGAGCGGCGCACCCGACTACTTGTGCTCGGAATCTACTGAGTACGGATGTTTCAAGACTTGTGGCGGAAGAAGCCGAAATATCGACTCGGGGCCAATAGAGGACGACAAACCGGAATAACCTTATAACACTAAATTTCCAACGACCACAAATTGACCCCTGCCATGTCCAGGAGCCGGTTCGTTGCAATCAAACGATATCTTGGTGTCTCCGACCCAAACGAAACCTACTCCAATGCTAATTGGTAGAAGAAGGTGGAGCCGCTCAATTCCTGGGTTAGAGAGCGATGTCAGACGGCTGCTGTGACTATCACCAATGATGATGATCCGGTCTCTTGGTTACAGTAAGAATACTATTCGTATGCCAAAAAAACCAATCGGACACTGAGGTTTTAAAGTCTATGCATTGTGTCAGCGGGGTTACACCTGCAACTGGCTCCATCATTCACGTGTCTAAGGAATAGGAGAACCAAGACGGAGAAAGGAGAGGTGGCAGAAAAGGTCAGAGCTTTGAACGAGGGTAGGACTGTTTTCAGCCCGTCCGAAGACCTATGCAACGACCTAGTACTTGGTAACTCACAACCACACACGTTACCCCAAGTTCTACTTCTCGTCTTCGCCTTCCGTTCTTACCACCACCTCCACCCACGAAAACCAGAGAGGATGTCGGCAAGCCTCTGGTACGCTTATAATCTGGTACCACCAGGGACGCAGCCTAGTCAGCCATCGCTCGCACAGCAGCTCTACGACTACGTCCTGACCAACCATATGAACGTCCCCTGGGTCCATCACTGCATCGATGGGCAGAGTACCGCGACGCAGGCAGCATACCGGGCGATGCTCGACAACGTGAGGTACATACAGACAAGTAAATGTCGCCCGAACTGAGCAACGCTAACTCACATCTATAGCAACCATTTCAACTTCTCCGTCCGATTCTCGACGGTTGCAGTAGACGCGCACCGCAGGATCGTCAACATCCTCATCCGTGAGGCTCGGGATCTGCAGCGTTCGTTTCCGTTGTCCTTCGCAGGGGCAATGCGTTACTGCGATCTTGTTATTGTACAAGTGATCAACAGAGTTGAATATGTAACGAGAACTGGAAACTTCTAAGCTAGGCGGCAAAGCCGGCAACCCATTCAACCACCACAAGGAGTCCAAGGGACACCATCAGTACCAGCGCCACAGGAGCATCCAGGGTAGCATTCACATGGAGCGCCGCTTGGACTCCAAGGGACATCATCACAAGTACCGGCGCCACAGGGACCTGATTCGTCATCCTTCATACCAGCACGACAGGGACTCAACGCATCATCGTCACCAGCAGCCGCGCAAGGTATCCAAGGGATGGCATCACAGCCGGCGCCACAGGGGCCTCAAGCGTGATCCTTCATACCAGCACGACAGGGACTCAGTGCATCATCGTCGCCAGCAGCTGCGCAAGGTGTTCAAGGGATGCCATCACTACAAGCGCCTGAGGGGCTTCAAGGGCAATCCGCAGTATCAGCGCCTCAGCGCCAGCAAGCATGATGCTCCGTATTACAGAATGCAGATCGGCACCCCGCGCGCGAAGATCGTCAGATCCATAAAGGCAATGGAGACCGCCGCTCGCGAAGCCGCTCACGCGATGATCCATTCAGGGTTGTTGTGGCTGGTCACAGTTTCGAAGGAGGTCGTGCGAGATTCCGAGCGCGTGAGAAAATATCTGCTAGTGGGAACGACGTCATGGGAAGCGACGAGGTCATCGATGTCATAACGAAAACGTCGATTGGATTATCGAATTTGTACTCGGGGTGATGAAAACGCAGGAAGCGCCGGTCAATGAAACCACCGAGGAAGAGTACGACATCGAAGATGCAGATCTCTCAGAGTTCCTCCGGCTTCGACATGATTTGGAAAACACTGGTCAAGCGGCAGACCACCTGGATGGAGGCGACTCGTACCACTAGTAACCTGTGGCGAGGTCAAACGATTGCTGGACAGACCGATTGGGGCAGGGGCGAATTTCTAGGTATGCAGTCTGAGCACTCACTAAATTTTACTTGTGAACAATCGCTGATCTAAATGCAGTTTTTTTCTTTTTGCGTTCTGGAAGCAGATTACTAATAGTAGGTACAAGAAAGGAGTCACAATATTGACGCGTATCTCTTCAGGGATATCTCCTCAACGGAAGTTTCCAGGTGCGCATATAATGTGCCTAGTGTTGAAATAATCGTCACCACACCTATGTTTTCTTCTTTCTTTTGTTGGTTGGGTAATATGGGTGATATGGGTTATGTAGGTGATGTGGACGGCGCGCGGGAGGAATTCTACCAAGTACTGATGTATGGTCGCGGGAACTTCACTGAGATACTAATATATGTGCATCTCTATTTTTTTTAGTATAAACACTCGCATTTCTCCCGTGTTCTTTCCTCTCTCTCTTCAGTCGCACTCTCTCACTCAGCATCTCTCACTCTCTCTCGTCACTATTTAAGACTTCCGCTCGCTCCCCGAACTAAAACTAGTACCTGGTAGCTCATTCTTGACGTTTTCATAGAACGTCTTATGGGTGTCCGTCACAGTTGGAAACCCAGATCGACTCAAATAAACCTTCAGTTGATGTAGCCAGCAAAACGAATGCCAAGAGCACAACCGCCCGAACTTTGGCCATGTCTCTGCGCATCAGTCTAACTTGCCAAGTCAATACAGTGATCCCACATATCGCGCCTAGACCCTAATTTTCCCGAAGTAGCCCGGAGGCTTAGACGGTCGTAGATCCCGTGCTGTGTTGACGAAGTCAACCGAACGAAATGTGAATGATGAGAAAGATCATGTATTCGCTAGCTACTGACGGAGACTATATACTCTGCTCGCACGATACAGCTATCCGTGTGCAACACGAGCGACAGGCTGTGCCTGCGAGCGAGTGACAGCACATGCAGTTGTACGGGTGACAGGTCATGCACTTGCGTCGTCCCCAAAGGGTGACATCCCGTGAAGGGAGTCTAGAACTCGCATAACCAGTCTCTTGGCCGAGAAGCCGGCCAGTGTTTAAACGGAGACATTTGCTTGGCAGGCAACAACAGGTACGTCCCTCGATTATACAGGTCATCATCGCCACATTTCATCTCTGGACGTCAAACTTTAACAGATGGAGTTAGTCATCTGCACGATCACGAGCTCATGAACTAGCATCTAAAATCTCATGCTCTCCTGCTCGTGCTTATTGCTCTGTAGCCGTCAATATTGTTTGCGGTAGGTAGATCAAACCCGAGGTATAATAAAAACGATCCATTCTATTCTTTCAGATAAAAGGATCTCAATGTTTATAATGTTCAATTACTGCGCAAATTCTCCAGACCAGAGCTTCTCTATATCTACAGAATCTCGGGCCCCTCTCATAGATCATGAGGATGCACGCTCAGACTTTGTCTGCCAGTAATGCTGCGACCGTCATCAACCGCTTCCGGACGTCTAAACCACAACACTTCCCTTCGTTTGGAATCCCATAAGCAAAACCCATGTATCGAAGACCCATAAAACCTTGGTACCTCATTAAAATTTAAAACTCATGGCCACGTAAAACACCTTCGAGCAGAAGGAAAACCGTGGCTATGAGAAAGAGTATACCAAACAGAAAAAGAAAGAAAAATGAATCCTCATTCGCACCAGCAAGCGCTGTCCGCTTCATACCCGAAACCACTTCCCCTGCACCAGCAAAAGGTCTAAATTTGCCTTTCGGCCGCCGATAGCAAAAGGAGAATCGTGACAACCATACTGGCTATCACGGGCCAGTAAGTTCTCATCTGGAGTGCCTCTTCGCCAGCGACCCCCTCCTCCATGTCCCGCCTCGGCTGCGCTTCGGCCAGGAATCCTTCCTCCGGATCTTCCGCCGCTTGCCTCATTCCCGGCTCTTCCAAGATCTCGTCCTCATCCGCAAAGCGCACGGGCACGATCTCTTTCTGGAGCTGTCGCTCGAGGGTCAAACCCTATCGTGGGCGGCGAGAAGGTCGTTCTCCCTCATGTCTGCATGCTCGATCTCGCGCCCGTGGACTCGCTGCCTCCGCAGACTGTAGGGAGCAAATCGGCGGGCGATACGGGAGGAGATGGCGGCCTTTCGTGGCCCCTTTCCTGACGAGCTTGGCGCGGAGGGAGTACCGACAATGCTCACGGCAATTGAAGGATTCCCATCCTTGCCATTCTCTTCCGCCTCGGTCGTCGAGGTCTTCATCCCCCCATCCAACGGTCTGCTTCCATCTGCTTCAGCGAGCAGATTTGCCTCCAAGGCAAGCGCCACAAGATGCGCTTCCTCGAGGTCTTCCTCTTTCTTCGGAGCGTTCTGCAGCCCCCATGAACGATGGACTCGAGGTCCAAACGGGCCGTAAAGAGACCTGCGCGGGAAGGTTGGAGCGAGGCGCGGGAAGGGAAAAGTGAGGCGCTTGGCACTCGGAAGCTTGAGGTCGTCGTCTGCTGGCCGCTTCAAAGGGCTCCGACGAGCGGACTCGTCATCACGGCCACTGGCAGGAAGACGGTTCAAGGCGGAGCTGCGCTCCCCTACGAGGTCCGGTGCTGTCGCATCACGGTACCTCTGACTTAAGTCAGTAATAGTTGGCTTCACTGGGGTCGAAGCACTTACCTTGCCATTACTGGCTCTATCAACGGCCTGTCCTTGGACAGAGCTGCTGCTCCGGGTAGTCCGAAGATTTCTGGCCGGAGGGCCTCCGTCGGTGTCCTCCTCACCGAAAGGATTGAGGCGCTTGCGAGACATTACCTCTGTGATCGTCCTGATCGAGGCAGCGCTCAGGTGGCGGCTTTGCGCGAGGAGCTCTGGTATGCTCGGCCGCGTGGCTGGGGTAACGCGACGAGAGGTATCGGACATGGTGGAAGTGGTGCGTCTCGTCATTTTCTAGGTGGGGCGAAAATAGCGAGAGGAAAGACAGAAGTAGTGTGATCGTGATTTCGGTTGGTGCTGAAAGTCGTGGACGATCGTGTGTGTGTGTATGTGAAGAAGAAGAGGAAGAGGAGGAGAAAGCGGAGAGAAGAAAAAGGTCAACCTCACAGTGGGGTGTTTTTTCGGTGTGGGCTTGGAATCGTAGGGCTATAAACCACTAGGTAGATATCTCGCTGGACCCCCTCAAACCACATGCCGTGCAGCACACACCAGGTTTGCCAAATAGAAGCAGAGCCAGCAGGTTTTCTATTATCACAAAGTTTAAAACTCTTTCGAACCTCCAAATTTGCGCATTACGATCGTCACTTTCAACATATTCGAAATGGTGATGCATATCGAGTGATCGCGTATGCAGAGTGCAGAGTGATCCTGCTTGATACTATCAGTAGAGTCTTGCAACTTCACGCGCTCGATCTGGAGTATCATATAAATCTCGAGCTGAACAGCTACATACTGGCACTGTTATGAATCCACTCCGCCACGCTGTTCTCCGTCGGGGTCCCTCGCCAGCCTGCCCGCAAGTACCTAGGGAGAAGGGGTCGAAGCCCGCCATAGAGCACGTGACGTCACGAAGAGCGCACTGCCACATACATGCAGCGCTTCTCATTCGGTTATCCCACTATCCCATCGCAGTTTTCAATGACTCCCGGCACATCATGATGCCCCTTCATCACGTGCGGGGACTGGTCGATCGGTTATCCAGACTACTTTCGCCGTGACGGTGCTTCGTTCGTAAAGAATTAACATGCGCATGGATTCTAGAGCTCTTCCGCCTTCTATTCTTTCGCTGAGCACCAGCAGCCGTTAGCTACGAGAACCCCGATCTAGCTTTCTGCTATGCGCCAAGATGTTTAGCTCCTTACCCTCCCTACAGATGGCATCGCCACCTTGTTTACTTACTACCCGTATCCCTGAAGAATACTATCTACACGGTGTCTACGAGGAAATGGAAGAGGAACGAAGAGGTCACATAACTACAGCACAGTATCACGTCACGAGTAAAAGAACCCCAGTAGTGGAAGAAAACAGTGACTGTATTGCGCGATGAAACCAACACACAAGACAAATCCTGAAAAAACTCCCATATGAAGGAAGCCCGCCCCCTGCGGATCAAAACCTTCGGTGCTCAACACAGCCTGCTCTCGCTGACAACACAAAACCCGAAAGTTGAATGAAAGCTTCTGCATGAGATCAGCCGCACCACAGAAAGCAAATCACACACTCCCGGGGTCTGTCTTACCAGGAAAGCAGTTGGAAGCGGGGTCGCAAGTCCATGCAACACGATAAACACCACTAGCCACGACGACCACCACCTGAGACAAAGCCGCAAGTAGTCTACGGGAACTTAAATCCCCCGAGCCGTTCGCCAGCCCATGGCGAACGGGTAGACACGTTGCGTCTCTGCTCCGGAGTATGGTCGGGCTCATCAGCGTTATCTGTAACACTGGACTCCTCCCCCTCGCCTTCCGCACCTGTGCCGGAGTCGATTCGATGGTCCGCACCCAAACCATCTTCTGTGTCGCCGATCACCGGCCGCTCCAGTAGACTTTCGTTTACTGAGCTCGCATACGCGTCACGAGCTGTTGGATCCACCTCCCCCTCCAAAACCCGCAACGCGTATGCGCGATGATCGAACAACGGCGATCGACTCCTCTCCGCCGGAACCCCTGCCAGCCACACCCCGGCGATCGTGTCGCCCTCCACCGCTCCCTCCCCACTTACCTCTCCCCCGTCACCACACGGGTGTGTTCGATGGTGGATATCATCGTCCCTGGTGAGATCGTTGCCGTTTTGGTTGTTGTTGTTGGAAGAAGAAGACAAACAGCTCGCTCGGTTGTAGACGGACGATCCACCATCGTTTGTGTGCGTGGGTTCTGGTAGTGGGGCAGTCACAGCAGTCACAGCACCCCCTGGCGAAAGGGGTCGTGCCCTAGGTGCAACACGTGATACGTCGAGTGACGGCGTGCCGGAAAAGTCACCATCGACGCTAACGACAGGATCGGATGGCAAGCGGAGATCTCGGGATCCTTCCACATCAGTCGGTAGTTGAGATGGCTGCCGAAACTCGCTCCCAGATCCTTGAACTGAAATCGCGGGGTATCTTTCCACCGAAGAATCTGTAACCACCCCCCTCTCACGAGATAATCCCAAGGGCGTCGATCTTCCTTCACGCTCCAATCTCTGCGTAGGAACGTTTAATCTCTGCAAATCCGGAGGAGATCCTTGGTGTCTCACTTGCCTCTCTTCAACTTGCCGTTCCCGCCCCGCCGCCAGTCTCGGGTCGGTGTGAGTATCATGATCGTCAACTTGCAGGCCACCGAACCGTGGTGCCAGATGTGATGGATCATATCTCTCAGGAGTTGCGAAGTCTCGTCCATGATCAGGATGTACCATAGGAGCATCGTCATTCAGCAGCATTCGATAATCTGAAAGAGACATCTGCTGACGATAAGCGCCAACCTCAGGACCACCTTCTCGCTCCATGAAATGATGTTCATCCGGATGAGAAACAGGCGGTTGCGATACCCCATGAGAACTAAGTTGCACCTGGGAAGGGCGAGGTCGAAGATCCCGGCCATAAACACCATCATCGTGACGCTCGATCGGATAGTGGACGTCTTCAGCCTGTTGATGCAGATGCGGTGATGCTCCGTGAGGGCGCCAATGTTCCTGTGACGGCTGATTTCGAAAGGCGTCTCCTTGGACACGATCACCCTGTTGGCTGCGCGGAGAACGATACTCGCCATGAGGAGGTGGCTGGAAAGGAGGACGCTGTATTCCACGATCCTGCAGGTCTTCATGTGAGGGGCGGAGTCTTGCAATCCCATCTTCGACGTTGCCGCCTTGCTGCCCGATCGGAGGATTAAACTCTCCATCGGAGGGAGGATAATATTGCGGACGGGGTATTGCATCTCGACGTCTGTCTTCTGGGGATGAATGAGGTTGTAAATCCTCAGGATAAACACTATCTGAATGCTCGTATGGGTGTCTACCGTCTCCTGTATGATGGTGATGAAAAGGCTGTGAAATGCCGTGAGGACGTAGATTTTCTTGCGATGGCCGGACTGTAAAGCCCCCTGCTGGTATAGAGCCTCCCTGATGTCCAAGCGGAGAGCGATGCCCGTCGACTGGTGTGGGAAGGTGAGGGCGATGCATAACTCTACGATCATGCAGGTCTTCATGTGACGGACGAGGTCTTGCAATCCCACCTTGTATGTTGCCGTCTTGGTGCCCGGTCGGAGGATAAAACTCGCCATCGGAGGGAGGAAAATATGTCGGATGGGGCATCGCATTGCGACGTCTGTCTTCTTGAGATGGACGAGGTAAGAAATCCTCAGGATAACCGCCTTCGGGATGCTCGTCTGGGTGTCTACCGTCTCCTGTATGATGATGATGAAAAGGCTGTGATATTCCGTGAGGACGTAGATGTTCTTGCGACGGTCGGACTGTAAAGCCTCTTGCTTGTATAGAACCACCCTGATGCGGCAGCGGAGAGCGACGACCGGCGACTGGAGGGGTATGGTGGGGACCACGCACAACTCCACGATCTCGCAGCCCTTCGTGTGAAGGTCGAGATCTTACGCCCTCATTCTGGTTACTGTCTCGATAGTGTTCCATAGAGGGGCGGCGCTCATCACTAGGAATGGCATAATCAGGGCGACGGGTTATTCCACCATGACGCAAGTCCTCTTGGGGTGAACGAGAATCAACGGCCCTGCCATTATTATCTCCTTCATGGTACTCGGTCGGATAATTGTTGTCTCCTGTCTGATAAGGATGAGGCCGCTGCGACGTCCTGCCCCGTCGAGGCTCTTCTTGTGACGGATAGTGTTCGACCCTCCCTCCATTAGTGTCTCCTGTCTGATAAGGATGTTTCCATTGCGGCGCCCCACCCCGTCGAGGTTCTTCTTGTGATGGATACTGTTCGACTCTTCCTCCATGGGGGTCTCCTGTCTGATAAGGATGTGGCCGTTGCGGCGTCTCGCCATGTCGAAGTTCTTCTTGCGACGGATAGTGTTCGACTCTCCCTTCGTGGGTATCACCATACGGTCTCCCCGGGAATCCCATGGGTATTCTTGATTGTTCGATCTTACGAGGAAGAGGTGGGTAGTTCTCATTTTGGTGTGGGTAACGTCCGCGTGGTTCCCTTGCAGCGTGAGGCTGTGGCGGACTATTCTGGCTCGGGTATCCTTCTTGAAAGTGCATGGCTGAGTGAGGTGGATAGCCCGTCTCGTGTCTGGTATCCATCCTTGGGATTTGGTGGTCACTCCGAATCTCCTCACTTGTACGCACATCAATCTGGAACTGAGGGTCGACTGGAGTACTACCCCCAGGACGCACTCTGGGAACGTGTAGGATGTGAGGCGGAGGAGGAGGCGGTGGATGAGGCATCGGAGCACCCCTCGCATATACGGTTCGCATCTCTCCTGCGGATGTGATGGCACGAATACCCCTTGGACCAACTTGCGGAAGCCGTCTGCATCATAGTTAGCACAATCACAGCCGGATCCATGAGTTCGATTTGTGTTTACCCATCATCAGAATAATGATCTTCCTGCCTGGGGTCACCGAAAGCAACATCCCGCCCATATTGCGCCATCTGGTGCTGATGTCCCATCTCGCCCGCAGACGTTACCGCTCTCGTCGTTCGAGGAGCTGGATTGAATTGTCTTGGATAAGGTTCTCTCGCTGTCGTCGCCATTGGAGAAAAGGGGACCTGATCGGCTATTGGCGACGGCGGATAGACGTGTGAGTTTGCTGACGGTGGACCGAGCTCCCGCATTATGCTGTCGTATCGAGAAGGGCCTTCGTTGTGAGCACCTCTTGGGACCACCGGTGTCACGTCCGTTACGCCACTTCTGATCAAGCTAGGATAAATGTGAGAGCCAGCATTGGCAGGACCAAGCTCAGTCAAAAATCCCAAAGCACTGATTTCGTCGGACACCTTACGCCCCTTGCCTTTGTCCGATTTCTAATATGAAGGTCAGAATACCAACTAGACACCGGAAGCAGCGATCGCAACATACCTTTGTCATCGTTGTTTCTCTCTTCGCACTCTTGGTATATTCTTCTTCTTCCTTTCTTTACTGAGGGCCTTTATGCCTTACAGTTAGAGAGTCGTGGGCCAGCGGGAGAAACGAAGGCATGAGCGTACCTTCTCAGTCTCGGTATAATACCTTTGCTTGGCAACGGGTGTTTGATGCTGCGTGCTTGTGTCTTGTGTCTCTTCTTTCTTTGAGAATGTCTCGAGTGCACTGTCAGACACTGATAGTCGTCAGCCGCCCGGTCCTCAACAGCGGGCACCATGAATGATGCTCCCTCGAACCCACCGAAACCGACCGATATTTTACGATCAGTCGCTTCGGAAGGGTGGACATACCTATTCTCTATCTTCTTAAACTGGTAACAGGATGGGTTGCTGAGAGTTGTGATTCTGACGAGTTTGCTGTGGGGTTGCGAGATGTGAAGAGTAGAGAGGGTGGGTGGGTGGTATCGAAATCGAAACTTCGTTTCCTATGCTGGAGGTGGCTCAGGTTAGTGGGTGCGGGCCAAAAACAGGTTTACACCAGTCTTGCAGTTCAGTAGACCCCCCGAGCGGTGTGGGCTGATTTCTCAGCCGCCTTGTAAGCTACCGTTTCAGGGTTCCACAACGACGAAGCTTCATAGGTATGTGTACTGTACAGGAATCTCTTCTGAGCTTTGATGGGCTGTGAAACGGTTGGGATTCGTCTGTACGAGATTCTAGTCCTACGCATCGGTCATGTAGGAGCGGGTCGGAGTAGGCCGGAGCCGCAATGCACCCGATCGAGATGTTCTGAACGGTATAGATTCTGCAATTACACTGTGTACACAGCAGGTCTAAAGAGCAGAGTCCAAGAGCAGAGCTAAAGCACACCGATCCTATCCATACGATTGATACCCGGCCTGCAACGTGGGTTGGAGTCACAAATTCTGACTCGGTAGGGAGACCTCTCACGCATCACTCGGTTTTGGGCTGGCACGTGCAGTTCACAAAGTCACGTGGATGTCCGTTGATAATAACGTCTCGTGCCGTCGTTACCCATGCAAAGAATATTCAAACGCTTCCGATGAGTCCTGGAACGAGGACAGAGGACAATAATTGGTAATGACGGTGACATTATCCTGGAGAGACAGGATAGGCCGAAGGACGCATAAGTAAGCGGGCCAGCCTACTCGCTTATCGACGACGAGCTCGGAGTTATAAGGACTCTCGACGAGATTTTGAAACCAGGAATCTCTCTGTATCCCTTTGATTGTTTCCACGGAGTCGAGCTACGGCACGGGGGGTGGAGAGACAGGTGGGTGAAGGCAATTAGTGTGTAGGTTATGATGTCGGGCTGATATCAAGAGGTATGGTGAGGCGACTGTGCGGCTGACTAAGAGATCCATCGCTGCCACCGCATCACCTATGCCCGCACCAAAAGCCAGTCTTATTCGGCCGGCTTATGGGCGGTTACTTGCTAGTAACCATATTCGGACTACCCCCTGTGTCCCCCACTCGCCCCCCGTTGCGGTGAAAATATTTTGGCGATCTGAGGGATTGCGATGAGTCCCGGTAGTAAGCTATCTTCAGCCCAGTTCAGTTCCGCTTACGCAAACTCCTCACTTCTACCGGCTCCACTGGAATGGGCCACACACAATCACCTATACGGTGGTCATTGAAGATACGCTTTTCGTGGAATCGCGTGTGAAACTGTTACGTCATGTTGAGTTAGGCGATAACCTTATTTGTCCGAGGCGGGCGGGCATACACGGTTGCCCCCCCATTACACTCCTCCGCCCTCGCGCCCGCCACAGGCATCGTCATCTACGAACACCGCTCAAATACCGCTTCCAGAACTGGCCTATCTCATGACCAATCCACAGTAACCACCACCGCCGCTGCCCCCGCCAGAAACCAACGGCACACAACGAACCTACACCACCGGTACTGTTGCCCCCTATCCCACACTCTGCACCTTTATCCCGAGCAGTGAGCACCCCTGGCGTCTCATGAGCACCCCTAACACCCCGCAACGGCCGCCAGTCCAGCCAGCAGATCATAGGTACTCACTGTGTCCTTTTATTACTGCCGTTCTAACATCTTCACTGTCAGCCTCTCGGACAACTCCCTCGCCACCATTCTCGTTCTCGACACGAACATACCCCCCGAACTACGTACCGTCCCGCAGCGCGACCACGAAGCCGTCCATCGATATGTCGTCCTGACCAAGTGGTGGACCAGCCCGAACTACCACGACAGCGAAGTCGTCGACGCCCTCAGCGACGAGAGCCAGTTGTTTTCTGCGGTCCAGGAGGTGTTTGGACTGCCGGGTGAGTCGGTCGCAGGGAAGAGATGGGAGGACATGGGCTTCGTCGAGAAGATACGTGCCGCGAAGGAAATGGTCGGGCATCTCGATGGCGATAGGGAAGTTGCGTCGGCGCTGCAGGAGAAGATCGACGGAGCAGTGTGTGAGGAGAGGCTCAGGTTGATGCGCGTATTGAAAGGGGGCAGCGGTTGTGACGGATGAGAGGTATTTGGGGATGGACGGATGGATCCAGCTCGCGATTGAGGAGGGGGATGTTTGTCAGTAGTGGTCGAACTGCGAAGCATATACTTCCATATCTCCTACCAGACTTGCGAATACAAACTTCTTTTGTTGTCGGAAGTTTTTTTCTTTTTCACGGGGGAAGTGTGGATATCATTGATGACATACGATTGTCCGTGTGTTTACAATCCATCAGGAATGGTTTTTGGTGAGCTTCCGTTCTGTCCCTCACGTCTTCCTTCTAATGTGTGCAACTCTACAGTAATATCGATGCCCACCCCCACGAGCGAAGAGATTCCTGTTATCGAGCCAGTATCAGGAGAATAATAGCATCACGGGATTGTTCGAGTTCCCAAGTCGTTCCCTACGGAGAAGCAGGAAGTACGGGGTGCGTCCAATCAATCCGCTCGAGTTTAGACTTTGAATCCGCACTGACTATTGATAGAGAAATTCAGCAATCATCCCCGACCTCCACCGAACCGAGTGACTGAACCTACAATTTCGTCGCAGCCCACAACCCATATACTCCTCCACTGCCCTACATCGATATACGGACATCGCGACGTGTCATTCGAGAGCCGCAGTGCCTTGCAAGAACGGAGTATGGAGGCAGAGAAGTTCAGCGATGTCGCGACCTCCACCGAACCGAGTGGCGAGACCTACAACTATGATGCGGTCTACAACCCATACGCTTCTCTCCCGCCCTACATTCTCCATACAGACATCGTGACATCTCACTCAAGCGTTGGAGTGCTTGCACGAACAAATTATGGAGTCGAATCAAGAGGACGGACACCGGGTAAAGAAACTAAGTTGGGCAGAAGGATTGGGATTACTCTACCGCGATTCGAGCACCGGTGAACTACGGCCATTCCGAACCCGTGGTGATTCTCTCGTCGTTCGCGCGCTCGAGCCCTGAGAGTCCCGCGGGCCGGTTTCGGGGTCGGGGCTGGGGGATTCCGGGGGCTTGGGGAGGTTGGGTCTGGATCTGCTGCGAACAGCTTGCACGGAAACTTGCACTTAGGCGACCGGTCGTCGGTGAGGCAATCCGTATGTTACAATTCGTCCGACCTTCGGCTCCGAGTTAAATCCGTATGTTACAATTCGTCCGACCTTCGGCTCCGAGTTAGGTTAAAGCCATGCACCAATGCTCGTTTCACAACGCCCTCTCGCGAGTACCATGGCTCAAGGCGATTGCTAATGTTTCGTTGAAATACCTAGACACCCCAAACCACTACGTTTCTGGCGCCCTTTTCGGTTTACCTATCCTTTTCGAGCACTCGGATATCTACCGACCCCTCCAACGCATCGCTACCTACCGGCTACCAACCCCACTTTGATACGGTACCTACTGCCTAATAACGGTAACGATACCCCGCGGGGCAGAAAGCCAATACTCAGCATTCAGCGTCACACGAGTGACGAGTCGCAGGCTCGCAGGCTGCCGGCCTCCCCCGCCGGAATGATATTCAGGGGGTGTCGGCACACACACGCTGGTCTCTTGCGAGATGCGAGATGAGGGGTGAGAGATGTACAGTGTACTCCCCCCTCCATCCCATCGGAGCAGGAGGTTTCGGAAGTTGCACCTCTTTCTTTCGCGCGAGAGGTAACTAGATATACAGATCCACCTCCACAGCCACAGCCACTTCGGAATCCCGCGGAAATGACTCACTAGTTGGGAACATGCAGGAGCAGTCGCACCGTCGCACTCACACCGTCACACGAAAGTACACGACGGATCGGGAGAACTAAAGAACCAGTTACTATCTAGTACCTAGCACTAGAAAACTTGCACTCCGCTTCGATTCCGGAACCGGCGCGACCTGCACTTCCGTTCGGCGGCATCGCGCCAGCCCGCAGAACCGGCGATGAGACTTAGACCTATTTACATACTCGGTCTGCGCGGCCTCCCGCGTGGCTGCGTTACAGTGCTCGGAGCCGGAGTCGGAGCAGGATGCGTGCAAGTATAAGTGCAAGGGCGGGCTCTGGCTGCGCCGGAGATTTCGGATGGCGGCGGCGGAGGAGGAGGAGGTGCAGTACTCGCGCATATGTAGTTGGGAAGACCGAGATACATCATACACACGGTTACGGTAGAGTAAATACCTAGGTTCAGCCTTCAGGGCAGCAGTGGGCATTCGGCAGTCGGCAGTCGGTATTACCTGGGAAGGTGAAGCGAATTGGATGCGAGGGGGTCAAGCATGTATCCATGTATCCACCGGTTGCGATCGCGAATCCACCAAATGCCCATTGTCCGCTGCAGAATCGAGTGATATCGCCTGGTACAGATATATCCGCGTTTCTACCGTAGCGGTTACGGGACACGCCTCTCCGGTTACAGCACGGATATAGAGCATACTCTAGTACCGTATGTAGATGTATCATGGTTATCCAGATCTCAATCGTGCAGCTGAGCCTCGAGGAGTCGAGGACGGGCAGATAATCCGCCAACCACCGTGACCCCGGAAGCCTCCCCGGCAGCTTCCGCTAGTTGGAGTATTACCGGTAAAGCATGCACTCTAATGATTACTCATCAGTCCCAGCTACGGCACGCTCCGGTCTACTCCCACGCGTCTATCATGCACACCTCCACCTACATCCTCCACCTACGCCATCGCTATCGCCATCGCGAACCACGCCACCATCCACCATCCACCAACTACCATCCAGCAACCACCAACCTCCAACCACCAACCAGTGCCCACGTCACCACGCCACCACGAGAACACTTTCAGTGGCTTGCTTGCTCCGGCTCCTCCAGGCTCCAGGCCCATACCGTAGTTAATCCACTTCCCCACGGCGTCCGTCCCCACGGCGTCCCCACGGGCTCCCCACGCGATTCCCAGCACCGGGTTAAAACTTAGCGGTGGGCCAGTGGCCAGCGCCCAGGCCCACGCGTGTGTAGATGCTCTGCCTATCTTGCCATAGCACATCCGTCGAGTCCAGTCCAGTCGAGGGCCGGGGCGCTTCCAGGCAGTCAGATACTAGAGCCTACATACGTGCAGTATGTAGATACATAAGATGCAGCGTAACCGCTGGACTACTCTAGAGTAGGTAGAGTAGGTGAGTGGCGCAACGCCCTGTGGTTCGAACTTCGCAGTGGGCTCGCAGTGGTCGTAGTGGTCGCAGTGGTCGCAGTGGGCTCGCAGAATCGTAGTGGGCTTGCAATAGGCTCGCAATAGGCTCGCAGTGGGCTCGGAATTCGCAGTAATATCGAACGAGCCCGCCACGGAATCAACCTTCGGAATCGAACTTCGGCATTTTAAACCCCGGGCGGCGTTACTCCACTCCTCTGCGCTCTACCGCTTTCCCATGGGGTACGTAGTGCGTAGTGTTGTCGATAACTTCACCTCCACCTCCAGCTCGCCTCCCCCGCCCTCCCCGGCCCCCACACACCTCGCAATGGCCCAGCGCCGATGGTGATGATTCAGCGGATGATGCCGACTATGTAGACTATGTAGACTTCCGGTATGGCGGCGATTCCGAAGTCGGCGGGAGACTGCCAGTATGCTCTATGCATGTAGAAGGAACATGAGCGTTCGTTCCTTCGTTTGTTCACGTAAGCCGAAGTTGCAGATTCTGGTGGGGTATCGAGGTTCACGGTTACGGCGACGGTTACGGTTCCTCCCCCAGCTACCGGTATACCGTATATACGACCCACCGCAGCCTGCAGCCAACGGGATGTTTCCGACATCTGTATAGTACTCTACCTACTCTACCTACTCTAAAGCCCACGACACGAGCCCACGACTGTGGCTCGTGTAAGTAAACACTCTGGCAGCGGTCATGGTATATTTTGTAGAGTCTACCCCACCCAGCCCACTCCCCGCTACCCGACGCGAGAAAACTCCACCCACCAGCACCACCAGTGACCACCCACTACATATAACCCACCACCCACGCAGCCGACACCCACGCAGCCGACGCACCCACGGAACCGGCGAGCTCCTGCACCTACGTATATACCTGCAGGTTGTAGTGTAGGCTGCTGCTGCTGCAGCGGGTGAGCAAAACGTGGCCGGCGTGGGCGGGGCGTGGGCGGGGCGTGGGCGGGGCGTGGGCGTAACTATCTAAGTGGGTGAGAAATGTGCGTTTGGTTTGGCTTTGGCTTTGGTTTGGTTTGGTTTGGTTTTGGAGATCGAGCTTCGCGGTGGTGGACCGTGGAGGGAGCGGGGAAGTGAAGCGTGGTGGGCGGGGCGGGGCGAGGTGGGCGCTAACGCGATAGGGAAGCTCGAGTGGGTTAACTAGTGTTTGCTACCGTAACTATCGCTATGTATGTAAGTAGAGTAGAATGGGGAAGAGTGGCTTTAAAACTGCTCGGACACGCTACCGCCGTGCGTGGGCACCGCTCGCCGCGAGTGTTTCTGGGGCGTCCGGATACTTACTTCCCAAGTAACCAGAGTACTCGCGACCGTCGCGAGTGCTGTGAGTGCTGTGGAGTATCTAGCGCTGGGTGCAGAAGTTGCAGAAGTGGAGTAGATACATGGTATTTAGAGTACGCCACTCGTCAACGGTTAGCGACGCATCGACGCCACCAAAAACCGTGCGGCAACGGCGGGGAAGCAGAAGCAGAAGCAGAAACGACAGGTGAGAAATGAAGTCGTAAGCGAACGCTGCGAAAATTAAAGATGAGAGATTATACAGTAAGCGGTAGGTCAGCACGGCACCTACCGTAGTAGTTACCTATCGTGCATGCCATACGATATATCTACGGTTTGTGGTAATGTATCCACAGCGGAGGTGGAGGTGGAGGTGGAGATACCCAGAGTAGGTAGGAAGGTCGAGTACGCGCTCGGAGAAGAGTGCGAGATTCCTCGCTACACCTGTAGACTCCAGAGTAGAGTATGTAAGTAGAGTAGACGCGACTCGCTTCGACAGCCAGCCCTGGCACTGGCACGGGGAAACGGCGATTCGAGCTCGAGCTCGGTCAACACTTCCCTCCCCTGCCGTGTCGCGGACTCGTCTACATATCCCCCGTCTACATACCGGTACTCTACTCTAGAGTACCGCCGACGAGTCCGCGACATGACATGTGCCGCCGACATCGATTCGTCAACAGCGGTCGTCAATAGTGTCAGCATGGGGTCCGTTTCGCGGCATACTCGCCGGTGATGACATTCCATTCCGCGGGTCTCCGCGTTTGTCCGTGCGTGAGTTGTGGGATGTCGGAGATAAGGTGGGTTGTAACCAGTGATTTCCGATGCATCTGCTGCAATCAATCAATCGATCGATCAATCAATTTCTTCAGGTTCCAAATTCAAATCATGCCAGTGCTATTGAGTCTTGACTACCATAGGAATATAGATAGTAGCTGGATAGACGCCGCGCATATGCAGCACCTACCTCTTACTTTTGTAGGGTGAAGAAACTACGCATCAGAAGCATTCACTTTTTTCCCCATCGTATCTCCGCCCAAAGGAGGAGGTGCACCGTTTCCATACAAAAACGGAACGAGGGTTACGGGTATGTATTGCGGAAATAAGTAGAGTATCTATGCCAGCGGCTCAGAAATTATCATTTATGCGTCTACATATGGACAGAGCGGTATGTAACTGCTGGGTATATGTAGGTCTATAGAGGACCTACATACATGCATAGGAAGAAGGATTTACGGTGCGGTACGGTATAGTATGAGGTATATATGATACATCCGCGCACCAGCACCTGCCATCACCTGCCAGAACGGAACACCGGCAGATATGGTATGTATATATGTTGCCTTGCGGCTGCGGATATGCGTAGAAGACTGCAATCAGTATTCCAGAAGCGCGTACCAGCCTACCACGTGTGTGCGGGCTTCCAGAAGGAGGATATAAATAATGGGGGCGGACGATAATCGCCATGATTACCCATTGCCAACGGACTTACGGACTGCCGTCGTTTGCGGATGTGTCTGTATGGGCAGACCCGCCGCCCGCGCAGCCGCGCTGCCAATCCGTCGCAGCTTCTCATGCGGGACATGCACACAGCACTCGCATCCCAGGGCCCAACTCCGCAGGTGGAGACTGGAGTACCAAGGCAGGGATGGGCTGGGCAAAACCCCGGATATGTACCATACTATACTACAGTATAGAGTGGTGTAGTTCGTACATCCGTTTCCTGGACTCTTTGACTGCGTCTTCCCCATGGACTGGACTGGACTGCCAGTCCGCCGGAAGACCCGTACATACATATAAAAAGGATATCGATCAATCCGTACATACCGGTGATAGGTATCACATCGTCCACTCTGCAGGTCGACGGAAAGAGAGTTGGTGACCCCTCACGCCGCCGCCACCGCTGGCCACGTTGCTTCGCTTCAGCAGTGAGATGTGTGCATATATAGAGCGAGTAGAGTACACACATACACACATACATACCTCACACATACATGCAGAGAGAGGAGGGAAAGTGGCAGTCTGGCAGTCTTCCTCCTCTAGCTGTAGTCTTGGGTCTGCACCTCTCGCGTGGTCGCCACATGACAAGACAAGACAAGAAAAAAGGGTCCCGTGTGTGTTTGTGTGTGTGTGTCGTGGTGTGCCTCGACGAGGTGCGGCATTTCACGTGGCAGCCTGATCGATCCTTTTCTAGGGTATCGTCGGAACGACTACCGTATGGATGATACATATGGCCAAGAGCGACGGAGAATCTGGGCGGACGACGGTGTTGGTGGATGGGTGGGAGGTGGGTGGGGAGGGGGGACAGGGAGGCAGGGAACATGCTGCGAAGGAGAAAAGTCCGACATTCTGGTCGGCGCTTTTCTGGCGGTTGGCTGGGCGGTGCGTGGTGGGTGGTGGTGGGTGGTGGTGGGTGGTGGTGGATGGTGTGTGGTGCGTGGTGCGTGGTGTTGGGTGGTAGTGGATGGTGTGTGGTGCGTGGTGCGTGGTGCGTGCCTACCCGATAGGGACTCTGCACACCTGCCTGCCTGCGCCCTCTTCGATGTCGAGACGGTGGTCGGTGAGGCAGCGCTGCGAACCCCGCGATCCCGCCCCCCCTCCCCTCCCTCTCAATCGTCTGTATGTAACTCGACATGCACCCGACACACATAACACAACACAACACGATCCTGCCGAGTATTCAGTCAGAAGCTGAGAGCAAAGACAAGACAAGACAAGACAAGACAAGACAAGACAAGACAAGACAAGACAAGACACGACCCTCCCTCCCTCGCAGTCGGAAGAAACGATCTGTCTGTCTGTCTGTCGCCACTCCTCGGAGAAACAACGTGTCAGCCCGGCGGCCGCGGCGTGCACTGCATGGTGCAGAAGAAACGTGGTTAGGTTGGGGCAGGTATCCGGAAGCTTGGCGGTTCTAGAAGCCGGCCTGATACGGTGTAGTCCGGTATTCTACATTGGCTTGATCTTGCTGTGATCAATCGCTGACACACTGGTGTGCATCACCGATTCTGCAGAGAGAGAGCTCAGAGAGAGCGGATTTGTTTTTGTTTTTGGAGTCCCTCCTCCCCTGACGCCGTTGCCACAATCTCACCCACCGGCATCAAGAACTCGAGACCATCAAGCGATACTCTGCAGCAGAGGCGGGGGCGAAAGATGGAGAGTGGAGAGATACGCAGTCCAGTGGAGTCATCCGCTTAGAACCCCGCAGTGCAGTCGTCCTTGTCCCGCCGGTGCTCCTTCTCCGCCAGTCCTGCCTCCTCCTCCAGGCTCTTCCTCCTCCCCCCACATCACCCCATGAACCAACACAGCCTCGACCGCTACGCTATGCTAGCTCCACTCTACTCTAACTAGCATAGCTCTCACAAGTCTTCTGGTGGTTGTGGTGGTGGTGGTGGTGATGCTGGTGATTCTGGTGATGGTGCGTCGCGTTGCGGTCGAGGTTTATCCGGCGCGGCTCATTTCAGAGTGTCAGCGAGCGAGGGTTTTTCCATTCGGGCCGATACCTTAAGACGTTAAGCGCCCTCACTCGGTCACACAAAAAGAAAGCCTGTCCGGGCCGGGGTCCGCGCAAAAAAAAACCAGAAAAAGAAAGACAAAAAAAGAAGGAAAACGAAAATAAAGTGGCCGACCAATTGGAACGCGCCGCATGCGAAGCGAATGCACGTAAGATGCAACGGTCGACGGTCGAACTCTATGTAGAGTGGAGTAGAGTACCTACGGACTCTGAGACCTGCCGTCTTCGGCGCCGTCGACCGTTCGCATGTGAAGCTGTGAACGGAACACGAGAGTTCATGCACAGGGACTCAGCGAGAAGAAGGTGCGATCGATCCCGCCGACGACGAAACACTGCGTTCCGGTGGTGTACTCTATTCTAAAGTATAGTGGTTGGCGGGGGATGTTTACCCGGCAGTCTCGCTATCGCCGACTCGCCGTGGTGGTATCATACCGTGCATACTGCTGCTGCTACTGGTGCTGGTCACTCGTGGTGGTGGTGCGACACCACCGGCCCACCGTCCGCGCAAAGAAAGAAACCGTCGACATCCATCACCCGGTTCCGACTCTTCCAAGCCACGCCGCGTGGTCGCCGCCTCCTTCCCGCAGCGTTTCCAAACCGGGAAACTGCACGCGCGACACAACACGGCACAGCAGCACCACGGCGCGGCGTGGCGTGGCGAGGCGGCCAACTGCCAAATTTCAAGCCCGCTCGGCGCACGACGTCATGAAGCCCCCGTGCACAAACAAAGATCCGGAGAGTTGATAGATCGCGTCGATGGAGTTCCGCGTCGCTTGTGGGTGAGGCCAGCCATCTGACCGATTTATTATTCCTGCCAATCCACTCTTGGGATGACGTGCATGGCCGCTGGCGTGGGTGCGACCGCAGACAAAAGCTTGGTGCTTGGTGCTTGGTGACTGGTCCGGTGCAGGCAGCGACCAGACTTCCGCACGCTTCGCTTGTGCGATGGAGCGAGTTGGATGGATATCGTGGCTCTCTCTACTCTGCTCTAGTTCCAGGCTTCCGACGAGAACCTGGAGCTGTGGTGGCCTGCGGGGTATCTGTGGGGGGATGATGGGGTGGAGGCGGAAGCGGAGTGGAGGGAGGAAGGGGTGGAGGGGTGCCATGTGCGAGTCCGATACGATCGATGGCTGGTTGGTTTCCAATGCTGAAGTCAGACGGATCCATGGCCATGCGGGGGGAGGGGGGACGGGGAAGGGGGGAGGGGGGAGGAGTGGGTGCGACTGGCTGGGACAACACTCCCTCTCCCTCGCCAACGACGACGACGACGACGACGACGACGGTTTTCCGCAACGGGAGGCACTCGGTTTGGACATCGGGACGAAGACCGACCTCCCTGCTTTCCGGTGCTGACCTCCCTCCCTGAGTCCCTGCCACCAGGGTGCCGGTTGGTGGAACGGCGCCGTCGACAGGACGAGCTCCCACCTCCCTCCTACTACATACGACAGGTATCCCCCTCTCCCTCTCCCGCGCCCACCGCATGACCTCGTTCGTCGTTCCTCGTTTGAAGTTCTTGTCGTCGCAACAAAGGGCTTTTTTAAGCTCAGGATTAAGTTCGGTGCGACACACAGTGCACACAGAATCTGACTGTACCGGACCGCGGTTTCGGTGCAGAACAATCTACGCTATCCTTCCCTACCTACACACAGACAGGTCGGTGGCAGCAGTAGAGTATATACGGTAAGTTGTGACAAATCGCCCGGGGGAGATGGTTATTCGGGTTATCCCCCGAGATTCAATACTCCTTTATTTCTGTATTTCTCCCGCTGCTGCTGCTGTGGCACGGTGAACGCGGAGAGGTGAGCAGGAGGGCACGGCAGCAGCGGTGAGCTGAGCGAATACCCACCCAGTGAATTCCACGTGAAAGGCAGGCAGGCAACCTGCCGTACTCTACCGTACCTACCGTACCGTCTCATGCGGAGGTGCGAGGGGGCCCGGCAGACTCCAGACGCGACAGACGAGCTCGGAGCAGCACAACACAACGTGAAACCGGAGCGAGCACAGAAAACACTTGATGATTATCTATTGCAGGAAGGGCAGGGGGGAGGGTAGGAGAGTAGGAGGGCAAAGGAGTCAGGAGCAACCCACCCACCCAGCGTCCCGACTGCAACTTCCTCTCCAGCCACACCGTACCGTATGTAATTATCAACGGCCGCCTGCCCTGCCCTATCCACCTCGCACAAAATCACACCCATCACACCCTTCACACACCCTTCACACACATCCAGCTCAACTCAAGTCCCCTCCCCTCCCTCCCTCCCCCCTTCCCCCCTCCCTTGTGAGAGTAGAATAGAGTAGAGCAGCGTAGATTTGACGTCGTACGTAGGTGGCTGGGCCCAATCTAGAATGTCGCATTTCGCGCGATCCCCGGAATCGCTAGCTGGCTCGCGAGCGCGGGGGGTGATTGGCCACGAAGGAAATGCGGAGGAGAGCGTTGCAATCCGCAATCCAAGGAAGCAAAAGCAAAAGCAAAAGGGGAGCTAAGAGGGGGAAAAGAAAAGAAACACGTTGTGGATGTGGAGTTGCTTTTGTTTTTGTGCGGGCGGACGTTCATGCGGTCATCGTGAAGGGAGGGCGTTCGGGTTTGGACAGGAGCTCTCTCGCCGCGACGCGGACATTCGAGTGGATGGATTGCCCCCTTGCCCCCCAAAGAAAGAAGGAAAAGCCAGTTTGCCACTCTTGCCACTCCGGCCGTTACGATTCACGATTACGGTAATTAGAGTAGAGTACTACTAGTAGTAGGCGCGTCGCTGTTTAGAACTCAATTTTAGAGTGTGTCGGTAGTGTATCCAGAGTTATCGGTTGGTTCTGTGCTAGGTATGGTTCTAGGAAGTGGCCTTCCGCGTCCAGAGCACTCTGGGAACTAGCTCTGGGAGTAGGGATATCTACAGCGACACACGAAAGTTCGAAAGAAAAAACGAAGCGACTTCTTCTTTGTTGTCGTTGTTGTCGTTTTACAGGGATTCTCCTGGCCTACAGAGAGAGTATATACTCTATCAGTAGGCAATAGGGGTGGTGTGGCAAGCTATCTATTATACGGGAACACATACGGTACATACAGTAGGTCGCGGCTCCTACACGGTCAATTTCGCGATTCATCTCGGAGGCGACGATCGTAGGTATACCGGTGGGGCGCTATAGCTACTATAGAGCACCCCGTTAGAAGGAACTGCGGTTGACATACGGTACTCTATCTACTCTATCACAACGTAGTCGAATAGAGTTATCATAACTACGGTCCATCTCCTCCGTCCTCCGCCCGTCGACCGTCCGTGGCCCGAAACCTTCGCCACGATGCCGTCAACCAGCGGCGTGGGACGCTCCGCGACCTGTGCGGCCACTTGCCAAAGGCCCAGAGTTACTCTTGAGGGCCCTGGAGGGGGGGGGGGGGGCGCCGCCAAAACTGGCGCGTGCTCGCGCTCGTGATCGTCCCAACCCAGCACCCTGCAGGCACTTCCTTGGTTGCTTGGTTGCTTGGTTCAAGGAAATTCGAGCGAGAAGCTGGAGAAATGCTGGAGAAATGTTGGGGTAACACCGCCCTGCACCACCACACCGCACCGCACCAGGGAATCCACCAGCGAACCCACCCAGCACCCTACCGCTACTGCTGCTCCTATCTGTCGCGTTGCTACTGTTCTATACCATGCTATACAAAAGGAGAGACCATTTGACATATGAGCAAAAAATGCGGAGATGCCGGAGGAGGAGGAGGGGAGCTGCTACAACTGGACTGGACTGGGCCTAGTGAAGTCCCACTGTGCCACTGTGCCACCGCTGCGTGAAATTTTGCGCCAATTATCTAAAGTAGATAATCTAGTCTCGAAGTACTAGAAACTGCCAATAAGTGGTGCCTCACCACCATTACGAATTATAAGCGCAAATAAGCACTAGGTTATATTAGGGTGCACTAAGCCGCATACAATAAAATGAGTGAGTGGCTGTGACTAAGCTGTGTGGGGTTAATAACGCTACGCTGGATGGGGGAAAAATTGGTGAGGCAGCACTTACCCTTACACCCGAGTACTCTAGTCAAACCAGATGCCTGTCGTGCGTCCTGTCCGACTCAACTCTGAACTAAATGCGACATGCACTAGAGAAGAAAGTTACCCACCTGAAGGCTAAGCTAAGCTAAGCGTGCATATGGTGCGGCAGAGAAGGTGGGAGGTGGAAACCCGCGTTGCTGGGGATGGGGAGGACGAGTTAGTCGTGCTGGGGAAGCTTGCTGGTGGTGGTCCTGCTGCCGCTCTTGCTGGTGGCGCCGAGCTTCCTAATGGAGGGCCTAGACAATGTGCGTTTGGTTTGGTTTGGCGGGTCGCGGTTGAGCTTTGCAGGCAATAAACTATTAGGTATAGTTATCTGGCACTGGGGGGGAGGCGGGGGGGGGATCCCTGACGTCCTCCCTTCCAATTGAACATCGGCCTCTGCGAAACCCCTTCCCCCCATGGGGACGGTGGTGCTGGCGGTGGTGGGCTGCTTGTCTCGGCACCTGGCCATCGTCTGGAGATCGAATGCAACCAAAGCTAAAATCCGGCCGTCAAATATAAAACCTTCCCATATCCCCTCCCCCACACTTCTTTCCTTCCCCTCCTCACCGCACCTGCAACTCCTCTGCGCCGTTGTTGCTCTTCAATACACTGGTATGCCGCTCCCTCCACCAGCCTCCTTATAACAACCCACTCCCCCCCTCCAACCACCAACCCCCCCATACAAGAACACAGTATTGACTTGACTCCTCGACAGTGAGCGGATCCAACCCAATACCCAGGTCTCACGAATCACTTCCAACACAATGTCCGGCGACGTCTCTCGGGTCGAGTCGCCCGTTACCGCCCGGGGCTACATGCTCTGCGGCTTCGCTGCCTTCGGTGGTATCCTGTTCGGATACGATTCCGGATACATCAACGGTGTCCTCGGAATGGACTTCTTCAAGCGCGAGTTCGGCCACGCAACCGACCTAGACCCTTCCGGTATTTACACCCCACCACGGCTACGATTGAGGAGTGAGGGAGAGTGGAGTGAGTGAGGGGATACCCGTGCTGATCGGTATTGTGTCCTAGGTTACAACATCCACACATGGGAAAAGAGTTTGGTTACGTCGATCCTGTCGGCCGGTACCTTCTTTGGTGCGCTGGCCGGTGGTAATTTGGCGGACTGGATCGGTCGTCGGTTGTCCATCATCATTGCTTGCGGTATCTTCTCGGTCGGTGTCGCTCTGCAGGTCGCTTCTACCGCGGTCGGTCTCCTCGTCGGTGGTCGTGTCATCGCCGGTTTCGGTGTCGGTCTCGTCTCCGCCATTGTCATCATGTACATGTCCGAAATCGCTCCCAAGGCTATTCGTGGTGCTATCGTTGCTGGTTACCAATGGGCTATCACACTGGTATGTTGTTGTCTACGCTCGATCGGGGACGAATCAGGTTCTGCGAGAGGGTCGCTAACGGTATTTGTACAGGGTCTTCTCCTCGCCGCTTGTGTCAACCAGGGAACCCACAAGTGGGACAGCTACTCTTCGTACCGTGTCCCCATCGCCATCCAGTTCGTCTGGGCCTTCATCCTCGCCGTCGGTCTCTTCTTCCTCCCCGAGTCGCCACGTTGGTACGTCAAGGAGGGTCGTGGTGAGGAGGCTCTTGCCGCCCTTGCCCGTCTCCGTGGCCAGCCCATCGACTCCGAGTACCTGAAGTTCGAGCTCGGAGAGATCCAGGCCAACTACGAGTACGAGCGCAGCATCTCTGAGGCCGGATGGATCGACTGTTTCAAGGGAATGGGACCGTCCGGTAACCTCCGCCGTGTCTTGATCGGTGTCTTCCTCCAGATGTTCCAGCAGTTGACCGGTGTCAACTTCATCTTCTACTACGGAACCACCTTCTTCCAGCAGTCCGGTGTCCAGAACGCTTTCTTGATCTCGCTCATCACCAACTTGGTCAACGTTGTCACCACTCCCGTCGCCTTCTATGGAGTCGAGAAGTTCGGTCGCCGCAAGCTGCTCATCTGGGGTGCCGCATGGATGCTGACCTGCGAGTTCATCGTCGGAGCCGTCGGTGTCGCCCTCCCCGGTTCCAAGGCCGCCTCGACCGTCCTCGTCGTCTTCGTGTGCTTCTACATCTTCGCCTTCGCGACCACCTGGGGCCCCGCTGCCTGGATCGTCATCGGTGAAATCTACCCGCTCCCCATCCGTGCCAAGGGTGTCGCTCTCGCCACCGCCTCCAACTGGCTCTGGAACTTCGTCCTCGGTTACGTCACTCCCTACCTCGTCGACGAGGGCGAAGCCAACCTCAAGGCCAAGGTCTTCTTCATCTGGGGATCCACCTGCACGCTCTGTCTGCTGTTTGCCTACTTCTTCGTGCCCGAGACCAAGGGTCTCTCGCTCGAGCAGGTCGACAAGATGCTCGAGGAGACCACCGCCCGCACCTCCGCCAAGTGGGTCCCCCACGAGACGTACGTGCAGAACAACGAGAAGCTCGACCACGGCGCCCACGGAAACGAGGCATAAGCGTAGTGCTTTGTGCTTCCATCGTTTCGTTCATGGAGTAGGCGGTTGGGTTGGGGGTTGGGGGTTGCGTCGGACGGTCACGTGTCTTTGATTTTCTCTTTCATAGTAGCAAGCAGGCTGTTGTATATACCAAATACCGGGCTTTGCAGTTTTTTTTACTTCTTCTGATATGGTTTTCGGACCGACCGCGCGCGTGCTTGTGCCGTGTTTGTGTTTTTTCTTCTTCTTCTTCTTGCGGTGGCCACTGGTTGTGGTTGTCGTTACTAGGTTTCGGGAAGGGGGTGGGGGCTGGGCGGGTCGGGAAGGGGTTATGTTGTCGGAGGTTCATGTGTCACTTGTGTCTATAATGCTAATGAAACAACTGCGAGATCGCAGATGAGTTCAAGTCTATCTTTCAAACACTCGCTCTTTCTGTGTGTGTACGAAAGCTACATCGTGATCGCTACAAAACTTCATACTTACTTTGGAGTTTAAACTCCGACGACTCCGACACTGAAGCATGACTACATCATCGTGATGCGTAATGCTCGATGCGTGATGCGGTCGACTGTCGTGCGACTTGGGGAAAAACAAAAACCTTAAAAAAGAAATGGTAGGTTGTGCGGACTCCGTGGATGAACTTTGGGTAGGTGCTACTGGTACTGTGTGTGGTGAGTTGAGTACTGTGGCGAGTTGAACCTTCTTTGCTTTTTCCTTGTGACATGTGTGTGTCTCGCGAGTGGCTATCCCCACCAATCCTCACTCACACTGATCCACACCTACAGAGTTGGAGTACAGATTTGGAAGACATGCCGAAGTGGAGGGGATGGGGGGGAAAGCCAACACCAACCACCGAATTGACGAATTGGAGCGATGTGATTACTAGTAAATATCAAAAACTTGTGGACACCTGGAACCCTAACCCACGGGCAACACACCAAAATCCGCGAAGAGAGAGTGAGGATGTGGCAGACTGGCAGTTGCCCGCCTACGACAGCTGTATCTAATGCCGAGCGCATTTTTTAATTTCATGTAATAGATGTTCTTCCGAACTGAATGAAACTTCAGTTGAAAGTAGTTGGATAATCACAGCCGTACTGTATGTAGACTGCGGAGCCCTTTCTCCCAGCCATGAAATTTGGTAGGGTGCCTGTGGGTTAGGGTTGTAGGTGACCACAAGTTTTGGATATCGCCTAGTAGTTATGTCCTGCGACAGCTACCTCCCTAGGGCCTACCGTACTCCAGTTAGACGTGCTGGTGGAGCGGATACTCGCAGCGTCGCAGCCACTGTGCCGGATGCGTTCTCCGGTGTTGCAACTTGCTCCACTGTTGCTGCGGGTTGGTGGCGAGCACTCACGAGACGACTCACGACTCACGAGACGACCCACGAGATGGCGGGTGGTGGCGGGAGACGTGTGGCAGGTGGTGGCGGGACTGGGTGGGGGCCCGGGGAGGGGTGGTGGTTCCCCGCGTTTCTTGGCTAGGTCTGCGTTGGGCGACAGGAGGGAACGAGCGCTGAGACTCGAGACTCTCGAGCTCAGAGTTCAGAGCGCAGAGCGTAGAGCGTAGAGGACGTGCCCTTTGTTACGCGAGCCAGCCAGCAATAGGGGATGGGGGGCGGTGGTGGGATCCGCGAGAGGGGGAGGAGGGTTGGGCGCACGCAACGTCACGAGTCTAGAGTACATGTGGTTGTCGCCAAAGCGAATGGAGTATCGTGAGGTGTCTATATACGGTCTATGTACCGCGTTCAACCGCATAGGCCGTGACTGGCCGTGATATCGCGATTATGTAGGGTGGACTGCTCCACTCCACTCTACTCTATGTAGACACCTTAAACACTCGTAAATTCTGGCCGTTAGTTACTACCGGTATTCCAGCTGCATACACCGTGACATGTCGCGTGGATCCCCTCCTTACCTCTCCTCCCCTCTTCCCAGGACTCAGAGCTCAGGAGAGGCTGGTCCTGTATGCGACGGAACATGCCGTCGCTTACACGTTAGAGTTGGAATTTGAGTTGCAGTTACTTCATGGCGCATCACTGGCGTGCGCACTAACCAGAGTAGAATTGTTGCACCTCTTTATGTGTGGACGCCGCCAACAGCAGCGTATGAGACTCCAGTGCCCAATGCTCAGTGACCTCTAGAGTCTGAATGTGGTGTCGCAGACTCATCCGTCGTGGGCCTCCTCCCCTTATTCGTGCTGGGCACGAAGGCCATGCTGCCGGTGGTGGTGGAGGTTTCCACTTGCGAGATAGAATCACGGCGAGCAGAGCGGACGAACCGGTGGAGCCTGGAGGCCGCAACTCGATATCCAACTTCCAAGCGATGGGTGACGTCTTTCTTGTGAAGGATTAACACAAATCCAACTTGAAGCCTGTCTGTTTGCCTGTTTGCCTGTTTGCCTGTTTGCCTGCTCGTGTGCCTGCTCGTGTGCTCCGTGGCGAAATGCGGGTAAGCCAAGTGCATAAATCCTAGCTGAGGCGAATCGATGCTGGAGAGATGGTGGTGGTGGTGGCGGGCTTGGCGGCTACATGCATCCGATCGGCGTCGAGTCCGAACTGCGCACTGCGGAGTTCGGCCCGGCCAAGAGCGCCCCTACCTATGAATTCGGCGGCGCCACGGCGAATACCGGTTGGTAGAGATACACCGGGCTCGGACTGTCGCTAGTCAATCGCACGGCAACTATCGCACGCGCTACGTTTGTACTGCGGAAATTGGGGAAATTGATTTCTAGGATCTGCCTGCTACATTTCTAGATAAGTACGGAGGACGCTATCCCGCTTGTTAGCCTGGAAATTCCAGGGGATTTCGTCGGGCTCTGGGCAGTGGTCTGGGCGGTGGTCTGGGCAAGCCTCAACCGCTCTCTACGAGTCCCGGTTTCCGGGTTTGTGTGGGGTACATACATACGGACCAATGCGCCGATTGGAGGTAGATACTTCTCGGGCCGTTCTCGGGGAACAAAGTCGCCGAACGTCCGATGTCGGCGTAAGTTGAGCCAACTGGCGTTCATTTGTATCAACCGTCCTTTCCCCGATCTCCGTTGCGCGACTGGTATCTATTTCCTCCGTGATTCAATCGTACCGGATGTGGGGAACCGCCGTTTCTTAACAGAGTTGCAAACCAGGCCGTGAACCGATCCTGATCTTTACAACCTACCGGTCAAACCTGCTCGTATCCGCCGATCAAGGAATTCAGGGTGAGCCGCTTGCATTGACGTACATATACCGGTATGTATTGCACATCCTGCAGGGCAACCACGGTGGGATTCTACGATCTTCATCAATTCTTGAGCCTTGGTGGCAGTTGCCGTCGGATGTCGTGTAGGGCTGAGGAATCGCATCGCTATTGGCCGTAGGTTGAGTGGGGTAATCGGTATATATGCATTGTGCGACATCGAAAAACTGGAATCAAATATAGTTATGCAATCACAAGTTCACAACAGGATGGAGTGTGGAGGCGCCAGATGATCCTCTCGCTGCTGATTCAAGATTGACCTTGGGAAACGCCCCACAACTGGTAGATGTCCCGGCCAACAATACGGTACAAATGTATGTAGCCATCCTCCTTTGCGCACCGGAGGTCTTCACCCATCGATCCGGATCAGGACCAGTTAGGAGTGAGGCGTTTCGAAATATATAACGCACAAATTTCCTGGATGGCTTTTAGACGCGGCCTGAGTTTCCGCCCCGAGGAATTGCCTGCAGAGTACTTAGCTAGCCTGCCACGTGTGTGGTTAATACCGACGGGTCGGCATAGCGTGGCATTTTACCCAGTAGTTACAAGTTAGCCCGAACGCCCTTGTCGGGGTTCGCTCCCGAGACCCGCGGGCACCCGCTGTGGTTCCGGGAGCTTGATCGGTATTGACGTGACGACACTGGTAGACGTGACGATACTGATAACTGGTCGTCGTATTTCTCGCTCGTTTCATATGGTTGTGTGCGTGTTGGCTGCACCGAGAGGACCCCGTATAATTTAGAGTGGAAGCTGGAGCAAAACACCGGTTACATATTTCTAGGATGTAACCCTTCAGACGGCGTCTTGATACATAGTGCAAGACAAAGGGCAAGTACCCAGGGGAGGGGCAAGTACCCAGGGGACGGGCAAGAATGTCACACTCCGGTACGGTCCGGTAACTACGGGTAAGTATGGCAACTAAATTATCTACACAACGGAAGGAAACCCCCGACTTCCGAGTCATATCCCGCATTCCGGCACTTGTCGGACGAGGGCAGAGGTTTATTTCCGGATGGAGGGGGGTTACTGCTTCCAGAATAATCTATCATGTAGGGTAATTAGGCCACCCTGGAATTCGCCAATCGAATACTTACCATATCATGTATGTACCAAGGATCCGGACTTTCGCCGCCGCAGATCTGTAGCATGCAGCTACAGGATTCGACCGCTGCTTCCGCGGCTTGCCCTGCCATTGCGAGCAAATGCGCGTAACTTAGTTATCCCCGAGACCGCGGACGAACTTTACGCGCGACGGACGATGCGAGCGGTGTTGTTTGTCCGATACCCACTACCGGTATGTGTGCAGTGTAGACACGGGAGCGGCGTGCCGTTTCTGCTATGTACTCTAAATACCTACGGACTAACTATAGGTAGTAGAGTAACTTCCCTCCTTCCCCAACCAGTCGTGATCCCAAATATTGGCATTGCCCGACCTCCCTATCCAGTGTCCACCCATGGATCATGGACCATGGATGATGGGCCCCCCAGCACCTGCATTCATCCGTTCAAGCTCCCCGTTCACGCCGCACAACCGCTTAAGAAACGGCCGTTTGGTCCAGACTTTCCAGTATGTAGAATACTCCAACTAGCTGGAATCGCTCTCGATATCCATAATCTGGCCGGCGATGGAACGTTAACGTGGTTGCGACACCTCATGAAACTTTGGATGAGTAGATTACATGCCGTCTTAAAGTGTACCGATATCGTCCATAGCGACCAGGACGAACTCACTCACTCGCTGGCGGTGGCAGCGGCAATACGATATCTACCGCACAGCGCTCCAATGAGCAGCACGGCATATCACTCGTGTTTTGCTTCTAAAATTTTGCCGAAATCATGTACAGTAGGTACTGTAACGTAACTTAAGTACTAAAGTTATTTTCGATTATTGTTGTTCATCGTCTTTGCATTGAACTGCATCGGAGCATGGCAGGTACATATGATAGCCATTCCACTCAGCTGTCCGCGACCGCCGGCCCTATGGAAAGGCACTTGACATTTCATACATGTAAAAGTTGAAAGCAGAAAGTAGAAAGATGAAAACGCATTCCACCCACCAGCTTAACCAACTTCCACTTTTCACCGCCTCTCAATCAATAGGCAGCCGACCGCTGGCTCACGATCGTCATCCTTAGGGCCGGACTTTGTTAAAGCTTTGTTTTCCCGGCTGAAGAGCGGTGGGAGGGAGGAAGAGCGGGCTCTTGTGAAGATTTACCGACGAAACACGGACCGGCCGAGTGAGCAGCCCTGCGGAATCTACTACCTGGTAGGGATCTAGCCGCTAAGAGTTGAACACCGACACGAGATCTCACTCGTGAGGAAATACCGGCACCACTGTCAAGAAAAGTGGTATTGAGAAGTAGTGTACAGTGTATCAGACATGACAGAAGAAAGGCATATATACAAGAAGGCGCGGAGGTGCCTCGGATAGAGGCCGCTTGCTGCCGCTTGCCACCTCCGTGAGAACGGATGACGGAAGTTCGAGTGATCTCACATGATAAGGTACACGGAAGTTCGTGATATTATGACAACCACTTGAAGTGGGCTGCGATAAAGTTATTTCCTTTGGCGTACTCTATATACAAGTAGCAAAGTACCGCTTGGAAAGGCCGGGTGGAGGGTAGGGGAAGTCACATCGGATCGCTTGATGAAAATTGAGTTGGACAGTGGACATGGAAATGGAGTATTTGTGAATGTGTGTATATTTCAATGATCTAGCTAGATGATATTCTTCACGGCCCACTCAATATGAAAGGCCCGGCAGGAGTTAAAGTCGGACGGCGTAGTACCCACACCCGTTCGTGAACCATCCCCTCGGGCCTTAACTGTCGTAATATCTGCTTAGTCGTTTACGCGGTCATGACGTCGGGAGCACTGGCCACCTACCACCCCTCTTTTATGTGTACTCTCGGGGCTTTAGACTCTCATACTACAACAACAATACACTACTTGTTCACACATTCCAACATTAACTTGTGGTTAGGTGTTGAGTGAGTACTCATGTCGCCGATAACCAGAGGATTTTCCATCGCAGTGATTCAACACCATGATCGAGTCTAACCGATCTCCGCCGGATCGTGAGTCATTACCGTCGATCCGAAATCGAATGCGCCTCTCCATTAATTATACTGAAGCGAACCCCGACTCTCCACCCGCAATCGAAACAGATCGGCTCATCGATCGTGATGCCCGAACGATCCCTCCAACGAACCCGGTGCCGGTAGTTCTCAGTTCCATAAACACCTACGACACACGCATCAAGGTTAGCACCGGTAGCACCGCAACACCTGATGCGCACTAGTCGCCGAGTACTAACTCAAGTAACCCCCTCCCCATATACATCCGCGAGATCGTAGTTAACGGGAAAGCATCTCCCCCAGATCTACCAGCTTTTGGCGGCTCTCGTATAGATTCAGCATAGAGTACACCACCGTATCAGTCAGGGTTCATTAAAGCGGACCGCTTGACAAACACGGTATACCCACATTGAGAGCAACAGGATGAGTGAACTCTTATGGCTCTGCAGATTTCTCAGCATCCGGGTGAGATCCTGTTCCTTCGCCGCCCATCTGGCGCGATCCCAAAAGGTAAGGCGAGGCCTGTCGCCATCCTCATTGGTGCAGCCCTCCAACACGCCGTCGATTTCGAAGAAGGTGCACACGCAACCAGTCAGGATGGTGACGAGATCATCGACATCGATGCCGGACATCCGATCTTGGTTATAATCGGAGAAGTTGATTATGAACGTTTCGAGCCGGCGAAAGATGATACGCATAGCCCGAACTTCGGCGATCACCTCGCGTACTATGGCGAGAGTGTCGGCCATGTTCGAGAGGAATTTGATCACTTTGACGTCGACTTGAAGCAACCCCGCGACAGATTCTGCAACCGAAAGGCCGTCCATAGTCGAAGATGAGTTCGGTCGCGTCTAAGAGGCGCTTAGATGTTGTCCGGGTTTCAATGATGTTGGGCCATCATCACCTGTAGCTGCAGCTCAGCCGCTCCCAGGCTCCAGCACTGCCGGCAGCAGAGTCCCATTACCCCTCATTGTCACCAACCGATGTAGTAGTGACCGACAGTATTCCCCGAGCTTCCCTCCATCCTCCGTCGGCAGCGTGAGCCCCGCGCGCTCTGCAGCCGGGGGAGAGCAGCCATTGCAGATTTGGCGAGGCGAGTGTATCGGTGAATCGTGCGCAGAGACTGGCGATATTTGGCTGGAGATTCTGGCATTAGGTGAGTTTGTCGGGCTATCAAGAGTAAGTAAGTAAGTACTTACATACATGTAGGGCAGTACTTATGAAGTACTACATACATCGACGGTACTTTGGTGAGTAGCGGAGCGGTCACGAGGTGGCACGTGCGACAAGGGTGCTCGATGGCTTCGCGCCATGCAGACATGAAACCTCTGGAATCTGTAGAATACTGAGTGGTCCCAAGAACGGTGTCGTCAAAAAAAAAAAAAACGTGATTAATTGAAGAGGTTTATGAAGACGATGATGTCTGTGGTGTTGAAGAAGAGGCGACCGACAAGACGAACAGAAAAGCAACAGAAAACATTTCAACGTTCAACGACCGCATCGGGTCTCCCTTCAGAAACACTTGGCATCACCTCCATCACACTTGGCATCACCTCCATCACACACACTTGACACCCCTCCATAAATTGGTCTCACCAGGTCTCGACAGGGTCCCGCTTGAGGCTTCTTCGGAAATCACCGATGACGCCTACTATTTAGAGTACACTTTACACAAAAGAATTCGGGCTTCAACGTTTTCACTTCGCCGGTCTGCCAAATTGGTCGACTGCAAGAGCAGGCAGGTCTACCGACATCTAATCAGGTTAGCTTTACGTCCGGAAGTGGATTAGCCATACCGTCCCCACAGCTAGAGACCAGAAAAAGCTTCGTCACCGCGCACAGCAGTGGAGGAGAGAATCCGAGAGGTAAACCACGAAGTGATGCCCAGAGTGAAAAGATATCAGCTTTTTCTGATAGCCTCGTATCAGAGTGATTACTGGTCAATGATTTGAGGTATCAACTCATCACGCGCTTGTACCCACCTAAAGCTCAGTGACCAGTCGCCCGCGGCTATAGTTGGGGGCTCCTTGAACCGATGGAAAACATAGCCTACTTTTAAGCGCCATCTACTTCACCAAAAAGTTTCTCTTGAACAGAAACTGGTGATTAATCGACAGATAATCGCATGGCAACAGCGTGTCCGTTCCAGGGATACGACAGTATGTTCCTACCAAAACGTGGCGGAATAACTGGGCTGCTTGGTCGCTAGTGTTGTTTGAGTCTCAGGGGCCTTCTCTGTACTATTATGAGCGTCAGTTAGAGATCCGATATTCCTTCTCACGACTCTTCCTGCTTTTACCACTCACTCGGGGTCGGAGTATGAACATATCCAACAAAAAGCAATATTTCTTCTAGGTGCACACGGAGAGTAGACACGTTGGTGATGTTTTCCTTCAACATCGTTCCATCATAATATTCATCGAAATCTTGATATGTACAAAAATGCCCATCCCTTTCACGCCTAAGTCCACATTCTCCTTCTTCTCTGCTTCTTAGCGCCGGCATCGTCACCGGCGTCGAAGTCCACCGCCTGCCTCCTAACCTTCTTCGTGATATCACCAGTGACACACTGCCGGAGGACACAATCGGCAATATGGCTGGCCGCGAGTCTCCCCTCCCAGTAGGCACCGTGGAGGTAGCCAAAGTACTTGCGGCTGGTGTGCTCACCAGCGAACCAGAGGGTAGCCTCGCTATCCAGCTCACCACCGACGGGCACGCGCATATCCTCCTGCTGCTTGACGGTGACGCCAGCACCCCAGTTCGTAAATGTGCCGCGGAAGAGCGGGTCCATGTTCCACCGCGGGAACTTGAACTCGATCGGCTCCGGAACGTTCGCCGCCCCGTACATGTCCCGCAGCACCTGCACGTAGTCCGCTTGCACTTCCGCATCCGTCTGGTACTCGGCGTGGTGCGCTTGCTCGCCCGTCAACGTCGCGAATAGGATCTTGGATCCAGGGAAGAAGCCGGGCAGGTCGAGCGTCTGCCACACCGCATAGAAGCCGCGCTCGTCGGGGTCGGCGTAGAGGGCGAATTCCTAGAGATCGTTAACTGGGACATACGTGGGCAGGGATGGGATGCTGTACGGTGTCGTTCCAGAACTTTGTCGGGAAACGAGCAAAGATCTTAGTGTAAGTTGCCATGTGGAAGTTGGCAATGGCCTCGCGTTTCCATTCGGGCAACTCGGGCACGAATTTGACATCGTCGTGCTGCAGCACGCCGAGAGAGAACGTGCAAAGTGCCTTCTTGGCTTTGATCGTGAGTCCAGTCTTAGTCTTTACGGTCACGCCGGTCGCTGAGTATGCGATTTCGGTGACAACGGTGTTGTACATGACGTTGAGGTTGGGGATCTCCGCCGCGTGGCCGAGAACGACTCCCTTGTAGCCGGTTACCTGGTCGGTAACGATGTTGTTCGTGCCGTTGCCGGACTCGACGAAAGTCTCGTTGTAAGCCTCGGCCGTTCCGATGAACGAGGAGACGATTGGGGGCTCGGCTTGTTCCCAGTCGTGGGCGAAGACTGCAAGAAAAAATATCAGTATCGTCATCGGCTGGTTTGTACGGAATGTCAAACTCACACTCAGCGGTTCTTTCTTCCGGTGTCAAAGGATTCCATCCGTTGAGTTTCAATCCAGCCTTCATACTCAGATCCGGCTGACCGAGCTCCTTCCTCCTGCCGGCATCTGCCGCAGCTGCCGGAAAGACCTCCTCCTCGTACCTTGTGACGGCATGCTGGAGCGGCCCATCATCGCCTTCCCACCCGTCTTTGGTGAAATAATCGATGCTCTCCCAGTTCGAATACCGATTCACAACGCCGTACTTCTGTGCCATCTTCCAGATGGGATTGTTGCCCAGCCCCTGGATCCAATTCGCGCCGTACTCGATGGTGTAGTTGCCGATCCGCGAGTCTTGCACTCTGCCGCCGAGCACCGACCGCGCTTCGACGATGAGGATGTTGCGCATACCGGCGTCGTGGTAGAGCGAATTTGCTGCCGCTACTCCGGTCATGCCGCCGCCGAGAATGAGGATTTCCGTTTCGATGACTTTTCCGGTGTCATCTTGTGGTGCTGGAGCGGCATATCCACACGCACCGAAAGCGAGAACCGCGGCAAGAAGGGAAAGCCGTAAAGACATCATGGTGGCCACAATGGATGGATGGATAGGTGGGAAGGATGGAGGATCGCTTATCGAGAGAAATGTTCAGCAGCTTGACGGCGGTCTTATACCACCATTCGGTTCCTTTGATCCGACCAGCTTGAACCTCCTCGAGAAACTGCCTGACGATATCCGGGCCAGCAATGCGATATTGCCTCCCACTTCAGGGAATATCACCTCCGACGCACTAGATCACAACTGAAGTCTAAGACATGTTCGGATGGATACTCTGTAACTGGATGCATATCCTGTCTCCGGCGGACATCGAGTGCGAGCTCCGGCGGTTAGTAGTCAACTCGGAATTCGTGGTGCCAACGCATTGCCTCATCGCCGAGCAGGTACTCAAGCCGAATCCACCGAGCCCCGCGAGTCCATATCAAGTGGCCAATCATGTGCTCCACCTAGACCACCGACCTCTTCTCGGCAATGCACAGCAAGGGCCGGCCGATCGAAAATCGGCCAAAAGCAAGCTAAATTGCGGTCCCCGATTTTCAGGCCGTGTCTTACTTTCAGCAGTGATCTCGCTGTTGGCAGTCGATAGTTAACTAACTAGCGGTCGGATCGGTGCCCGTTGCAAGGGTCGCCAAGCGGATGTCCGCTTTGAATCGGTCGCTAATGGGGTCTCACCCCGCCTCCTCAGTTATTACGCGCGGAGGTCCTTTGTAACCAGTTAGCATAATACATAGATCGTGAGTTTTTTGATTTTCCCCCGACATATCATACGTATCACGGTGCTCACCTGGAAAAACAAGTGGGGCTCCCTGGCGGTGATTTTTAGAGTTCGTACTTTTACCAATATTCACAACAACCCGCTTCAGACACACACCTCCGGCAACCACACCAACCTTCCAAAAATGCCAAGACTATGCGTTGGCACACCAAATGCCCCGCTCACTTTGGCTTCAGGATTCATGTGGCGTGTGTGTCCACTCTCTCCGACCGCGGATTGAGTGCCTCGACCGACAAATTCGACGACGATGAGCATGAAGCGATAGAGATTAATCGAGCCTCGGTCCCTAGCCGGAGAACTACACCACCACGGGTGCTACGTGCGAACCTCTGCAGAAGTCTCACCATCGCTTCCCCGCACATTATCATCGATTTTATCACTCTAGGAGAGCCTGTTTAGCAGGCGATACGGCGACGGCGGGGAGGAGAGTGAACTCCAGGGGGAGAGCTCAGGGCTTGGCCCAGGACAACGTCGACCATGACAACCGGCATTTTGTCAGTCCCGCCTTCGATCCAAATATCTTCGCTGCTATTCATCGGGCCCCGGCCTTGACAACTACGCAAACCCCGAGACGACGCTTCCTTTCGAGCACCATGCTGTGTGCGCTAGACTGGTTATGTTGAAGGTAGTATCGAGTGGAGGTATCTTTTGGAGAAGAGGAGGGCTACGAAGCGCCGCTACAGCGCAAAACCGACAACCCGAGCCTCTTCGGAGGCTCACTTTCAAAATATTGCGAGACGAAGGGATTTGGCTTGTCATTTCTGTATGGATTTGGTGGTGGAATTTCTTTGTCGAAATGTTGTATTGTAGATATCTCTATCGGCCATAACCTTCGGGTTCCATGCTGTATGAACAATCAATCAATCAATCAATCAATCAATCAATCAATCAATCAATCAACAACCCGCTTCACAAGTATTCGGATGAGACACCTGGAACTTGTTCTCTCCAACAAATCTGCAACCGGCCACGACTCGAGCCTCGTGCCAAGCTGCCGCTGCGGGCATTTGTTCCCTTACGCAAATGAATTTTTGATAGTGAATGGAATCACCTCACTCCGAATCTCCAGAAGCTGAAGTGAACCCCAGACGATGCACGTGCCATCCCGGAAGTAGACGTGAGCTGAGTGGAGTCGGGTGATCGATCATGCCGGCGGCTGGTCTTCCTAGCGATGTCTCGGATCCGTAGTAGGTAGAGTATCTACCTTGTATTCACTTCCACTCCAGCATCTTTCGACATCCAAGTTACTCTACACACAAATCCTCCCCGGATCTTCAGTAGGCTGTGGCCGGTGTTGACTTTCCCTGCGAATATCGGGATTCAGAACTACGACCATTCCCATTGCCGCCCCGCCCCCAGGAGCAACACTATCGGACTATCACAAAGGCACCGTTGCTGCCGAGCATGCGCAGGTACTTGGATGCTCGATGGCTTTCTGTCTGTTACGGCGGTTTCTGAAAAACCCTACATCAACTGAGCCTCAGCTCAGCCCGCAACGAGTACCCGCTGATCCAAAAGATGATGACGATGATCGCATTGCATTCGATTCTGGACCTTGGTATTACCTACATCGTGGCAAGACGTCCCCCAGGTACATATCCTGTCCATAGTCCGGATAACCTGCTTAATGCAACAAATTCACTCACCGCCGCCGCTAGAGCATCCGGATTCCGGACGGATATGGAGCGCACAGAGGTGAAGAGCGACGAAAGAGAGAACGTTGTCGGCCTCCTCCCTCGCGAGTCGCCCGCCCCGCTATCCATAGCCCCCACTACCTACCTGCAGATACAGCCGGTTCAGGAACACACAGATATCCATGATTTCCTCGTCCCACTACTGCGTCTCGTCGGTGACAAGGACTCGATTAATTCTCTTGTGCAGCTTCAATCACCCATTCAATAGCCCAAATTTCCCGAGGCCCCATCAGCCATACGTCGTAGGCGTTGAGTAATATCCCTCTACCGTAGTACATATCAGAGCTCGCGGCCGGTGGGAGGACTCCTCCCAGAAACCTCGAGTCTCAAGAGCGGCTTCTAACAACTCACCAGCAGGCTGTGATCGCCGCAGCGTCGATGTCCCTCGCCTCCGATTCTGTAGTGCCCCGATGATCAACGGTAGTGACGGGCACAAAATATCCGCTCATGCAAAAATGGTGCAAACAGCTGAGCGCCACAGTCATATCAGCCCCACACTAACTCGGTCGTCAATAACTGCCATCGGCCATGCCAAACATAGCAGATAGTAAAGCTCGCGAATGGAGATTAGGGGTTCGGTTTCTCCAGCCGTATGTAAGCACCAGCCGCACCAATTCCCGAGCGGGTTGTTAAGATTAGCGAGAACCTGGAAGTAATGAAATGATTCCTCCATCTGCGTCTGCTCCTCAGGCTTCGGCTGCAGCTGAAGCTGGCAGGGGCACCTTTGCTAGCCTTGAATTCCCTGTGTATCTCAGCTCCACCGTTCCCGGTTGCTTTTTCCGCCGGAGTGCCCTTATAAGTAGAGTACCTACTGCTTACTTACTTAAGTACTTACTTGGCCATGCCCCCAAATCTTCACACATGGTGGCAATGAGAAATCCTGGACGCGGAGGCTAACCGTCGGTTGCCTCAGAAATCCCTTCATCACCTCACTGTCATGAACGATCACCTTCAGGGCGACCGTACCGTTGTTCCAAGCCTACGAGCCTACGGCGGGTTTTCAGTAAGTTACATGGTTGGGAAGGGCTGATCCCAAGGGCCAATCCGGATACGAGCAAGGGCCGGCCGCCGGCCACGCGATCTCACGCGGCGAGTGATAACTCGTTACGCGGCAATAGTTCGACTGGGAGAGCGTGAAAGTCAGCCTCCGGCCTCCAGGGCGAGAAAGAGGATACAGCCTACAGGACGATCGAGGAGAAGGTCTACGGGTCGGAGGACGAAGAGAATGGTTACTGGTATGGGTGGCAGGCCGCCCACCGCTCGCCAGCGACGAACTGTACCTGGACCCCATGGGCCATCACAGCTCTGTACGTCTAGATCTGAGACTTACTGGGTAGACCGGCACTGGGGCGTTACCACGACTCCCTACGCAGGAGGATGTGGCTTATGTACGCTACGAAGTACCGTATTTACTCGATGGACAGAAGTTAGAACTTCCGGCCATCACCGTCGAGTCGTCAATTGAGAAACGTGAAACGACCCGCTCCCTAGCCCTTGTTTACCGACGTATGGTATCCACCGAACTGAGACGGTTGTTGGGTATGTGACAATGACAGTGACATGTCTTGAGTGGTGGCGGCGTTGAGACATGGTAAGCGACGGACGGAAGTCTCGCTTCTGAGACTCAGCACGGTGGCGAGGGCGTGGATGTGTTCCTTGGCCTCTCTTTTTCTGCTTCTGCTTCTTCGCCTTCCTCCTCTTCTTCTTCGTCAATTCCTTAGATGCTTAGATACGTCGTTGTGGTGGTGGTGATGAAATTATCAGATGACGGAGTGGCCCGTGGGACAAGGAAACGCCGATTGCGCTTAACTAACGGACTTGTGCAACGACGTTTCTAGTCATCGACACGTGCGACCAACCCCTGCCCGGGGAACACCTTATAAGTCCTGACAACACTTCCAGCCTCAAGCCCAGTCTTCACCACCGATCACATCTTCCTCCTCCTCCCAGTCCCATCCATCATTAAATCCGACGACTCGACTTACCAGCAGATTAAACATCATAATCACCCGCCACTACTCGGTTTTCCACGAGTGCCAGTCCATGATGCCCACTGCGTCATCGTTACACTGCCTCCGGGGCCCGCGGGGATTAGCTTTAACCGTAAAGCGCCTAGCCAGGCCCCGGAACGGCCACATCTCCACAAGCGCTTGAGCTGTGTACAATACAAAACCAAAGTCCTCGAGCTCCAAGTTCCAACCTTTTCTCACACGCAATTCGCTCACGAAACACCGAAACTCACGAAACCCACGAAACACGAAACTTAACACAAAATGAAGCTCACCACTGTCCTCGCCGCCCTCCTGGCCACCGTCGTTGCTGCAAAGGACCTGCAGATCATCAAGACGCACGAAATCGCCGAGGAGGACTGCGGGAGGAAGTCGAAGGTATTCACCTCTTTCCCCCCGTTCGTACAAGTTATGTACTTACGAACATCTGTAGAGTGGTGACTCGCTGTCGATGCACTACCGCGGCACCCTCGAGGACGGCACCGAGTTCGACAAGTCCTACGGGCGCGGCCCCTTCAACTTCGTCGTGGGCGCGGGCAATGTCATCAAGGGCTGGGATCAGGGTATTTCCTCCTCCTCCTTCCCCTCCTCCACCTCCTCTCTCATGATGATGGAATGGAATGCTGACACCGGTGGTGTGAAGGTCTGCTGGACATGTGCATCGGCGAGAAGCGCAAGCTGATTATTCCCTACAACCTCGCGTACGGCGAGAACGGCATGGGCCCGATCCCCGGGAAAGCGACGCTCATCTTTGAGACCGAGCTGTTGGGGATCAAGGGGTACACGCCGCCGAAGAAGGATGAGTTGTAAATACGGGCTGCGGGATTGAGGGATTGGGGGATCGAGGGGTTGATGTACTCTACTTAACGACCGGACTGAGGAATGGTCGGTTAATGATTGAACGTTACAAAGTGATCGTGATCGTGGACGCGTTGTGATTCGTGATTCGTGAGGTGTGAGGTGTGAGGTGTGAGCAGCGTGTTTTAGCTTTGGTGTGTTTTTCGTGTGCAGCAGCCCAAGACATCCCATCCATCCCAAATTCCCCACCACAGTTCCAATTACACCACCCACAGAGCCGCAACCTCAAAATTCCGCACACCCACTTCGATCGATGCGATGTTCCGCCTGCGCGCACTCCTCCCACGGGTTGCCCGCCTGAGTGCCCAACCACGACCACCACGCTTCCCCGCGCACAGCATCCTCGCCGCGCGGAATGTCCTCACGCGCGCCTTCTCTCGCACCCCGCACCTGCGCGGCGCGCGCGCCGCCGCCCCCACGCCCACCCCCGCCAGCACCGCCACCACCGCCCATCCCAACCCACGCACGCTAATTTACTATGCGGGCAAACGCACGATCTACCTGGGCACGCTGAAGCTGTACACCGTGCTGCTGTTCAGCTACACGTCGCTGCTGGTCGCGCCGCAGCTCATCCAAACAGATCACGCAGACCTGCTGAAGAAGTTGCGGCTGCCCACTGATCTGCCCCGTTGGGTGCTCCCGACGGTGTTTGTCCTCGGCGCCGCGGTGCCGCTGGTCTTTGTGTCCTGGCTTAGGTATGTTGCGTTGTGTAGTTGTAGTGCAGTGTAGAAGAGTTATGGGGGGGGGAGGGGGAGGAGGAGGAGGGGTACGAGTAACCATTCAGGGCGCTAATGCGAACGGGCGCAACAGTCCGCCGTACGTAACGCACATGTACGTGCTCCCGCCGCCGTGGGCACGCAACTCGCCAGTCCGGCTGCTGCGGTACATCGAGACGATGGGGTCGGGGGCTTCGGTAGAGCTGGGGACGATCCGATGGTTCGGGCGGCCAAAGGTGGCACGCGTCACGCTGGGAGAGCTGCGCTTCGATAGGCAGCGATGGGGCTGCGTCAACACCGTTCAGAAGAAGGGCCCCGGGAAGTGGTATGTCGACTGGAGAGGCTCGCCGAGTAAAATGCAGGTGCCGGAGGGCGCGACGGAGGCGTTGGGGACTAGGGTGCGCACGTTGGAGCGGGAGCGGGGGTAGAGTGGGTGCGATGGGGGCGGTGGGAGAAAAGTGGTGATCGGCATAGGGGATGGGGTCACTGGTGGTCACCGCTGGTGGGGGATGGATGCATGGAGAGTCATCTCCGAGGGATTGGATGACCGATTCACCCCACGAACCATCCCTTCAGGACCGTGGACCGTGCCACCGTCGTTGCGGTCCGGCCCGTCCGTCGCCCGCCGCCGTCGCCGGCTGTCAGATGGCATGATTCATGATAACTACTAGAACTCCACTTGCGCCCGTTCACACACACACACACACGTTGGGCCTCCCGTCTCCCGCCCCCCACCTCCATCGTGAATTTCTGCCTGGCTTCTTCTCCCTGCGCTGCCGCCTTATGTAGGCCGCTGTTGCTATCGAGACCACCCCACACTCCCGCACAGACCACCACCACTCACCACCATTCACCACTCGCTATCACCCCACAAAAAGCAAAAGAAAGAAAAGAAAGAAAAGAAAAGAAAAAACAAAAAACAAAAAACACAACACGGTTGTAAGACATCAATTCGGCACGTCCAATGTGTTATGTGCAAGTGCAGGTCGAGATCAAAATCGCAAGCGCAACAAAGCAAAGTGCATGTCACAAGCAACCGGTTAGGCTGGACTGGATGTCTCCCAGCGGCCCAGCCGAGTGCGTGGGATTTTCTCCTATTCGGTTCCCATCGTCCAGAACCCCCAAGTGCCAACTAGAGGAACTGGGAATAGCGAGCTGCCATGGACCGTGGGTGATCTTCATGAAGCGTAGCGCACGCAAATCATGAATCCTTCAGCTCCACATTTCCGCCATCTCCCCCATCTCACATACCTCTGCACACCCGCATATCACTGCACTCAACCGGAACTTCGATCCTGTCAGATTTCAATAAAACACAGACCACTCGCTCGCTCGCTCGTCCGGTCGGCTGGCTGGGGGCCCTGATCAGCAACGTCCCCACAACCAGGTCGGTCAGAGACCACACGCCGCAGGGGTTGACATCTTGCTTGCCTGAAGTGGCCCGCCCGCATCGTCCCACCCGTTCTTCCCTCTCCCTCTCCCACTCCACTCACACTCATACTCATCATACTCACACTCACACTCGCTTTCGTTCTTTCATTCACATCCAACTCCATCCCGCACTGGCCTTCTCCCAGGCGGTCCTCCCGTGGCGTTCGTGTCCAGCTCTCCGGGTTATCGCTTGATCGCTCCCACGGATAGTCTTCCTTCTCTACCGTCCTTTCTCTATACATCTGTCTTCACGCTCTTTTCAAAGTATTTGCTTTTCTTTCCGTTTCCCATTTTTCCCGTGACGAAGTGAATGCAAAACAAGATGTCTGCTGCCGATGACGGACACGATCGAGTCACCCGCTTGCTGGTAACCGACTACATGCTATTAGTAATGACGATTGTCGTTGTGATATGTCGCTGGTTCTCCAAACTGCAGAGGCTCGGGAGGGTGTGTTCGGACGACTACTGCATTATCGCTGCCACGGTTCGTCCTTTATCCCCCGGTAGAGCCGCGAGCGAGGCATGACTGACAGTTCCAGCTTCTCCTGGTCTTCTTGATCATTCTCCAGACCGCCATGACGTCGTACGGCTTCGGATACCCCACGGCATCACTCCCTCTCGCCACTCTCCAGATCCAGGCGTTCCTCGGCAGCATAGCCCGGCTGGTGTACACACCCGCCTCGTCCCTCATCCGAATCAGCGTGCTTCTGTTCGTGCGTAAGCTCTCTGTGCACAGCTGGATCCACTACACGACGATGGGCCTGATAACCGCCAACGTCATGTACGCGATCATCCCAGTATTCGTCCTGACCTTCCAGTGCTGGCCAATTTCAGCCTCGTTTCAGGCGTCGATGTTGCGGCGGTCCGCCACCTGTATCGACCCGCGGACGCTGGGCCTTGCAATCCCCCTCGTGAGCTTGCTGCTGGACATCGTCGTGTGGCTCGTGCCCGTGATCCTCGTCGTCCGCGTCCGCAGCTTGTGCTGGAGAAAGAAGTTGCTCGCCATGGTTCTGCTGGGAATGGGCGTGCTCGCGTGCGGAGCGAGCCTCATGCGGCTTCCGGCGGGCGGCCGCCTAGGCGCCAGGAAAGACCCCAGCCGGTACATCATCACACTGTCGATGTGGACGAGGTTCGTTAATTCATTCCTTCCCTTACCCCCCTCCCTCCCTTAACGCACGTTGTGCTGACTGAAGTGTGAACCAGTGTCGAGCTCTCTATGGGGATCATTGCCGCGTCGGCGCCCGCCCTCTGGCCACTGCTTGTTGTATGCACCCGCCGCTGCACCACAAGCTGGACGCCTAGCATGACGTTCTGGAGCAGCGGGGAGCCGCGGATGCCCGGGTCCCTCGACGAGGAGATGGCCGACGTCGTTGAAGTCGAGCCCCAGCAGGAGGCCCGAATGGTTATCAAATTTGATAGCACCGAGGCCCTCTTCAATTATGCCGTTGAGAGATTGGCTGGTGATGAGGAGCGAGACGAGGTCTGATCTGGTGAGATCTGATGAGATGGTGGTTTTGCATGCATTATTTGCGCGGGCTCGTGGGATGGGGGCGTTTGGTATTTTTGTTTTATTTTTTCCTGGGGAGTTCGGGTTGCGGTTGCTTTTATCTTTTATCTGGGTGGGTGGTTGCGTGTGGCGTGCCTGTCTTAGTTGGCTCTTTATTTCGCCATTATCTGCTTTATTTGCTTATCTGCTTTAGCTGGGGGGGTGGTTGCGTGTCTGTCTTTTACCGGGTCTTTAAATTGACCATTATCTGCTTTATCTGTGGGATGTCTGCTGTGTTTGCTTCTGCTTTTTTATTGGCTTTTTTTTAGGTCCCGGCGGCGGCTTGTCTTTTGTCTTTTGTCTTTTGTCTTCTATCAGCTATTATGATCTGGGACTCGGCAGGGGGAGGTTGCTTTGCTTGTTGCTTGTTGCTTGTTGGACGGGAGGATTCCATTGTCTTGACACTTCCTGCGGAGAAGTTGTCATGCTTACTATCACCTACTTACTTATTTGTTTTAGTTCTTCTATTCTTCTGTTGATACTTGATACTTGGGACTGTGGAAAGGGAGGGACGGAGGGGAGCTTTACTTTACCTGTTATATATTTGAGCGGTACATTGTATTTTTAGAGCGGGGACGGACGGGTTGTATGGCGGGGACGGTCTGTTTGTATGCCGGGGTGGAGATCGTGCTGTTGAATAGTTCCTGGCGGGGGTTCCCTGTAGATGAATCTTCGGCGAGGCTATAATGAAACGCACTACCCACCTACTTGGAACAGTATTGACGAGAACTTCTTTTGAGTTCGTGATGATGATGAGGGGGTACTGGCCACGAGAGACCACAACCGAAAATGATAGATGAAGAGGCACAGTGGACATACTGATAGGATAGGTACTCACGATTCACAAAGTATCACCCGATTCTTCCACCTCCACTTGGATTCTCGACACACCTCCCCACCTCCCACCTACCTATCCTATCTCATACCTACTCCGCTTAGATTCAACCTTTACTTCTCCCCATGATCCACTCGGCTATAGTTCCCAGCGTATTTCTGACGCCTTTTTCGGTAGGTGGTGGTGCGGGGGGGTCCATGGGAACTATCCGTTCCACTGACGGATGGTGGGAGTGGTGGGAGTGTGGCGCGTGGGAGTGTGGCGCGTGGGAACATGCTCGCTCCCAACCACTGGTGGTAGGGCTTTCGGTGCCGTCGTCGGAGTGGTCGGAGCAGACGGGGCTGCGGTCTCCACGGCGAGCGCCGCGGCGGCGGTTAGAGGTGTCGGAGGGACTCGGACCTGGTGGTGGAACAGTGTTTGTTGCTGAGCTTCTACTCCATGCTGACCACTGAGCAGTGCACCGAGTATCCATCTCGCCTCGTACCGTCTCCGACATCTTTTCCCGAACCCGCGTGCGCACATAATTCCACGCCAAATGTGTGGTCTCTGTAGCCGCGGTAGTTCGTGTCCGCTGGAACTCCACTGCTTCCATATGCTGTCGGTACTGGTGGCGGTAGTACCCGCACTCCTCCACCACGACCTCGCGGACCAGCTCCACCTCGGTCACCTCGGTCCGGTGGAATACCTCCTGCTGATACCGTGCAGTGGTGAGGAAGACTTCATGTCCGATGGGGCTGACCGCAGCCGCTAGCTCTGGCTCCGGCTCCGGCTCCGGCTCTGGCACCCGCTCAGCCCTCATAATCTTTATCCCCGACGGCCGCTGCGGCGGCGGAGGGGGGTGCCATACGTCTATATCATCATCCTTCCCACCACCGCTCCAAGCTTGTAACCCATCCCCATCCCCCTCCTCCTCCCATGCACCATCACCATCCCCATTCACCGATGAAGAGGACGAAGAGTCGGAAGAGTCGGAACAAATATCCACCATCCCATCCAGGATATCAGCGAGCTCACACCACTTGCTGGCGTTAGCGCCGGATGGGAGGCGTGTGTGGAGGCCGCGGGGTTTGCGTTTGGTGGGTTTTGGTGCCGATGGGGTGGAGCTTGAGGGGGAGTGGAGGATTCGGCGGCGGGAAGAGAGCGGTGGTGAGAGGGTGGGAGGAGGGGATGGCTTGCGGGGCATGATTGTGGTGGGTGAAGGTGGTGGTGGTGGTGCGATGATGCCGGAGGTGATGTGAGGTCGACAGGTTGGTGGCGGTGGCGGTGTGGATTGGAGGTGGATGAGCTTGACGAGGTGAATAGTGGACAGTCGACAGTGGCCGTGTGTGTGGAAGAGGCGGAAGAGGCGGAAGAGGTGGAAGAGGCGGAGTTCCTCAGCTCTTGTATGAGATTGTATGAGATGTAGGAAGAGGTGATCGTATCGATGTGATGTCGACGTCCATCTAGAAGATGCTTGTGCAGTATTCATGTTGGTGTCCCGTGGGTGAGTGAATAGGTGAGTGCGTGAATGAATGGGAGGGAGGATTCGAACCGTTTCCGCGCACCGAGGCCACTGGTCACTGTATCCAGTCTTGCTGTTCAAATAAGGGATAATAAACCTCCCCTCCGCGTGTAGGGTGGTGCGTGGTGTGGTGTGGCAAGGCTTGAGTAAATGATAAGGTCTCAGCTAAACGGGGGGAGTACGTAAAGGAATGACATGACTGACTGTCGAAGCTGGCTCTGCGAGAGTCTGCGGAAGTGGTGGCTATATGAGAGAGAGAGGGAGGATGTTCACAAGATGGTCCGGGTCGGATGCTGTAGGTGAGGTTTGATTGTCCAACTCCACCTGGTCTTTGATTATGATGACACCGTTCACATTCAAGCTTACCTGCATCACATCGGGGCGATAACACACTGCAGATCCAACGCCTGCGTGTACTTATCCGATGAAGTGAGGCCTGTGTTGCAGGTGTGCGATCGAGCAGTCGTCACCGCTTGTGTATGGCCACACCACATTTGGGCCTGGTCAGTTTCAGATTAGCCACCTGAATCGTGACTAAAACTCTCTATCTACACAGACACGGACAAATACAAGATGTACAAACCTTTTTGAAAATATCACGAAATATCGGAGAACATCACCAGGTATCATTCGGCGGATGAGAGTTCATGAAGAGCCTATTTCCGTGAGGCGCGTGGGGGTTACTAGGATTTTGAAACGGGAGAAACATCTTTCAGGCTGCAATACTTCTTTTTAGTAGGTTAGAATCAGGCAGGGGGGACCTTGCAGATTGTTTGGTGGATAAATAAGGTCTGAGAACAAGGTCGCGATGCGGTTGACATGTCCTTTGTGCGTTTCGGCGGAGCTTGAAGGGATTGTCCCTGCACAGATGCTGCTCTGTTTCCATGAGTACATACACAAAGAACAAACATTGGAGCTTGCATCGATAGTAGAGGTGATGGCAGAATATTAGAGAGAGCATGAACTTGCTACAGCCGCGTCTCCCTACGGATCTAAAGGGGACGATAGACACTTTGATACCACTATTGGGATTGGTGATGAAGATGAATACGGTGGCGAACGATGTAGTGATTGTGGAGTATCGTAGAAGTGTAAAGATTTGGCATGAGTCGTGTAGACAATGCCACAAACTTCCGCCTGGAGTCCACGTGACAAAGCGGTTGAAGTGATGATGCAGCTTGAATGACAAAGCTGCCAGAATGATAAAGTAGCGCGAGTGACACACCAAGCCAATTGACTCTAAGCGCGGTGATTATGTCACTCTGGCTGTTCGGCTGCTACAGACTGCCTAGCCCGATGGCGCGTAGCGTCGTTCCTTCGCCATTCGGGATCACTCGATCCTGTTGGCGTCTTACTCTATCTAATCGCATCGCATCTTATCGTACCGATCTAGTCTCACCAGCCATCTCTATCCTACAGCTCCTCTGATTCAATTACGGTAGCAGCCAATCCATCCGCATGTTCAAGTCCAAACCAAATCCACTCTCGCTTCTCTCATTCTCTGCAAGCCCGCCCCACCCCACCCTGCCCCTTCTGATCAGCACGTGCCCCTATCCGTCCCCGCGCCCAGGCCCAGTCCACGTTGGAAAATCGCCGTCTAGAGCCCCCGGACAGTCTCAGTTCAGAGGCTCAGAACAATCGCACGAGTGTCTTGCTTGTCAAGACGCAACATGGACGCTCAGATCACTCGCTGTCTCTAAGGTGGTGGTTCAGCTGTCGAGACGCGTGGAGAATCGTTCGGGAGGGGAGGGGGGTGGAGGGTGCGGGTGTCGAGACTTGAAGGCAGCCGTGGGCGGAGACATATTATTCTCTCTCGTCAGTGGTGGTGGTAGGAAGATGGTGTGGTGTTGTGGGGCGGGAGTAGTCGTGTTCACGGAGGGAATGGAACGTGATAGCGAGTGGGGAAGATGGGGCCTCAAGCCTCTAGGTGATGTTTTTTCTCACATAGGGCGAAGCAGAAAAGTCTTCGCAAAGCCTGTCTCTCGAGATCGTGGAGTTTTTTCTCCCCAGTGTTGCGCGCTGGGGGAAGGTTTACCGTGTTCTCCGGTACAAGAAGCGAAGACGGCGATACCTAGGTTGGGCGTGCGTAGGTACCCGCGCTTTCTGGAATCTTGGAGGTACATGTGCGCCGACGTTGACTCTAGACTCTGGACTCTGGACTCTTGCGCTCCTTGTTTTGTTCCATCTCGGATACCGGTAATGGATTGCGTGCGACATTTCTAGCCACAGCAATGTACACACATATACGCGGGTCCAATTGTCTTGTCTGTCCCCCCGGACTACCGGAGACGAATAGCTCGTTGTAACCACCCGCTTGCTCTCTTCAAACTCTTCGCCGAGTTACGACTCCGATAGAAATACTAGAGAGAGTGATAGTTCACGATGCATAGTCGGGAAGTTGGCAGCGGCGAGTAGGTAGGTCAATCCGCGAAAAGCTCTATCCCGCAAAGCACCCAACTAACTCTCTACTGTCGCAGTACACAACCACGACCTATCCACGGACAAACCGCCTGGTTACCAGTACGTGGTGGAACTTCGGCTGCAGTCGCGGGATACATAGGATACATAGGATTCCTAATATCACACCAACCGGCATCACGGAGTATTTCCTTGTGTCCAGCGGCCATCCATTATCGCCTGCGCCAGTCTCGAGGACGACAACGGCAGCTTGACGAAGCACGACGTAGGCGGCGTGGCCGGCGGCGTCCATGACTCACGAGCTCCCCGTGAGATACTGGGCCATCCGGTATGTACTCGCCATCCTCGTGTCTCCACTCAACGCACAACCATTCCCTGCCTTCGGCACCCCCGCGTCCGCCACTCCCGCGTCCCGCAACGCATGTCCTATAGGCTACAGGATACAGGATACAGGCTACGGCTGTCCCTCGCAGGCTCGCACCCAGAAACGTTATTATACATTCCCGCCTTCGACTCCCGGCATCTCGCCACAACGCCCGTCTTGCGCCCCGGTCTGGACTCTAGATCTATTCAACCGTCTGAATCGCAACTGCAACGACAAGATCTCAGCTACTATAGCCGTCCTCCATGATCCATCTGTGGCCCTGCAGCCCTGTGGGCACCCGTCGACTAGGTACCCCTTAAGCCGGCACGCAGCACACCATTCACCGGCCGGCAGTGGGCGCGGGGACGTACGCTGCCGGACATTTTCGTGCGCGCCCTATAGTAGCGTATGCTATACGAACGTGAGTACGGTGTACCTACGGACGCCTACCCATTGCGCAGCGTGAAGCTGGCAGCCAGCTGAAACCCTTTGAGCTGAAGTGACAAGTCTCGTATGTTCTGCCTGGACGACCGCAGGTCCGCAGGCCCGCAGCGGCGATGGGCATACACCCCCCGCGTATTGGAACGGGAGCCTCTTTCGGCCATATGTGCGTATGTGCTCTGCTAGTGGCACTGGCAGCCGTTGATGCTCATAGTCTTCCACAGCCCACAGCCCACGGACCACGGCCTGCGTAGGATTGATGAAAGGTGTACCACCACGACCTGAACCGCTACGTGTCGTAGCCTAGTCTGCAGCCTGCAGCCGGCATTTCCGACCGGCGACCGGTGGCCTGTACGACAAACGGCTTATACAGCTACAGCTAATTATGAGCGCAGTGTCCACGAGTAGCACCCACTCCCAGCAGGTTTGGGTAGAGGCAGGAGCACGCACGCGCGATTCCACTTGTGCCGACCAGCAACGACCCTCATCCCCAAGCCAAAGGGATCCAATCTCCAGAAACGGCTACAGTTGAAGCTGCCTCCGTCAGTTGTGCGTACCAGCACAGCACAGCAGCCGTCCCTTACAGGACGACGGCGGACGACGGCGAGTGATTCTGTGTGCGGCTGCGACAATTTGGAACGCAACGTAGGGGGCCATCCCATCCATCCATCGTCTGGATTCTGAAGCACCTGTTACTGCTGCTGCTGTATGAGAGAGAATTGGCTTGTCACCTGTGCGTGGGAGTACCGTGGACTCTGGAGATCCAGGTCTAGGTTCGGGCTCGCGATCCCCGGCGAGGATGGTCGTGTTCTGTCTGCACAACGTTAACACGCGGCGTACCATACATGCAGAAATGCTCCCCCGTCTGTTCCCCTCGCCTCGACGGGAAGTCAAACATGGGCACCGAGGCAGGCAGGCAGGGTCGTGGACACAGCAGGCAGGGAGGGACGAGAACCCTATCCCCATGCTCCGGAGTCCGGGGGGGTCTGTCGAAACAGTATATAACCACCATCGCAACTCAAGATCCTGCTTCTCACCAGCCCATCCCTCCCCTCTCTCACGATCCACACACCCCCCTCCGCGCATCCTCACAGCTCACCCCAAGGAATCCCAAGAACCTCCCCTTACACCACCGCCATGACGCCTTTGACGCTCCTGATCGCCATCCTCCCCGTGCTCCCACTAATCTCCGCCGCGCCAAACCACGGGCCCGTCCGCGTGAATGGCAAGCCTTCCGGCGCCGCCACGGGGCCGCAAAAGTGCGTGACCGTGTCGAACGCGGGCTTCTACGGCCAGACGAATACCAACGACACGTTCCTCGGCATGTATGGACAGGGTGTGGTCGTACAGTTGCTGTGCTTTACTACGGGAGCGGCTTATGGTGGGAATTTGTACGTATTACCCACGTGAGATATGCGGATGTGGCGGATATTGAAAGGCGGGACTGAGGTGGTGATGGTGTGTATAGCTACTGGGATCAGACTTCCGATGGTCACTTTATTCCCGAGAAACACTTCTCGACTACTTGTGCCTGTGAGTACATCATATCCCATCCGTTCCCATTGCTGCTCGCCCTACGGTGCTAACGATGGATGGATGGACAGATAACCTGCCTGCTTGCAACTAGTTCATGGCGGGTCCCCCCTCCCGCCGCCTGCCAGCCGCGCGCATATGAGGAGAGCTGTGGATGTGGATGTGGAGATGGGTGGATATGTGGATGTGTGGATGGTTTTTGTGGGATGTGCGTAGGAATAAAATTTGATCCTTTTGTCGCTGGATCTCCCACGATTGGCTGTGGTGGAGGTAATTCATGCACGAGTGACGAGTCGGGAGTGTGCCGGTTTTCGTACACATGTGAGCTCCGCGGTGCATACTACAGACCTACAGCCCGCAGGCAACGTCAGTCCGAACCCGGGTTTCTGTGCTGTGAGTAAAGTAATCGTCTGCAGATTTATATCTGCCATTGACCTGGCGGGCTAAGCGCTTGGGCCGTGGTATTACTCGCTCCCTAAGCTCTGTCCGCCATAGGCCCACGGCGATTCTCCAGCAACACTCCTCCATAATCCATCCGCCACGCTCCGTAGGACCGTAGACGAAGGCCGTGAGGTTGGAATTTGGTACATCTCGCGTGTCATATCTGTGGGCCGTGGTTCGAGCACTGTCAGTGATGATCAGGGTGGCGGAGTGGATTCATAAGAGTGACAATATTTGGCTGTCCGTCCCAGATCAGGGATACTCCAGATCGAGCGCGTGTAGTTGGAAGGCTCTACTGATAGTATTAAGCTGGATCTCTCTCTCGGCAGCCCTTCATATTAGATCACTCGACATGCATCACCATCCCCAATATGTTGAAAGTGAAGAGCGTAATGGACAAATTCTGGAACTTCAAAAGAGCTCGTTACTGTGATATTAGACAATCTTCTAGCCCTGCTTGTGCTTGGTAAGTATGGTGTGCTGTGCGGCATGTGGTTTGAGGGGGTCCAGCAAAATATCTACGTAGGGGTTAAAAGCCCTACTATTCCAAGCCCACTTTGATGGTTGACCTTCCTCTCCTATCGGCTTCCTCCTCCTATTCCTCTTCTTCTTCGCCTACAAACAGACACGATCGTCCACAACTTTCAGCTTCAACGAAATCACGATCACACCACTTCTCTGTTTCCTCTCGCTCTTTTCGCTCTACCTAGAAAATGACGAGACCCAACTCCACTACGTCTGTACCCCGTCCTCGCACCACTTCCACCACGGATACCTCTCGTCGCGTTACCCCAACCACGCTGCCCAACATACCAGAGCTCCTCGCGCAAAGCCGCCACCTGAGCGCTGCCTCGATCAGGACGATCACAGAGGTAATGTCTCGCAAGCGCCTCAATCCTTTCGGTGAGGAGGACACCGACGGAGGCCCTCCGGCCAGAAATCTTCGGACTACCCGGAGCAGCAGCTCTGTCCAAGGACAGGCCGTTGATAGAGCCAGTAATGGCAAGGTAAGTGCTTCGACCCCAGTGAAGCCAACTATTACTGACTTAAGTCAGAGGTACCGTGATGCGACAGCACCGGACCTCGTAGGGGAGCGCAGCTCCGCCTTGAACCGTCTTCCTGCCAGTGGCCGTGATGACGAGTCCGCTCGTCGGAGCCCTTTGAAGCGGCCAGCAGACGACGACCTCAAGCTTCCGAGTGCCAAGCGCCTCACTTTTCCCTTCCCGCGCCTCGCTCCAACCTTCCCGCGCAGGTCTCTTTACGGCCCGTTTGGACCTCGAGTCCATCGTTCATGGGGGCTGCAGAACGCTCCGAAGAAAGAGGAAGACCTCGAGGAAGCGCATCTTGTGGCGCTTGCCTTGGAGGCAAATCTGCTCGCTGAAGCAGATGGAAGCAGACCGTTGGATGGGGGGATGAAGACCTCGACGACCGAGGCGGAAGAGAATGGCAAGGATGGGAATCCTTCAATTGCCGTGAGCATTGCCGGTACTCCCTCCGCGCCAAGCTCTTCCGGAAAGGGGCCACGCAGAGCCGCCATCTCCTCTCGTGTCGGCCGCCGATTTGCTCCCTACCGTCTTCGGAGGGACCGCGTCCACGGGCGAGAGATCGAACATGCCGAGATGAAGGAGAACGACCTTCTCGCCGCCCATGATAGGGCTTTGACCCTCGAGCGCCAGCTCCAGAGAGAGATCGTGGCGGTGCGCTTTGCGGATGAGGACGAGATCTGGGAGGAGCTGGGAGTGAGGCAAGCGGCGGAAGAGCCGGAGGACGAGTCTCTGGCCGAAGCGCAGGGGGTAGCCGAAGCGCAGCATGGGCGGGACTTGGAGGAGGGGGTCGTTGTGGAGGAGGCTCCCGAGATGAGAACCTACTGGCCCGTGACGGTCAGTATGGTTACGATTCTCCTTCTGCTATCGGCCGAAAGGCAATTTTAGCCTGCCGGCTGATGCAGATGCTCACGAGTAAGTGGGGGGGGGGCTTGATGTTGATGCTACTAGAATGGACGAGATTTGGATCCGTTCCCTCTACTGTCGACTCACTGCATTCGAAGCCCATCCACAGGATATCTGTGTGGCCAACCACGGCGCCATACAGCCGGCCAAGAACCGGAATCTACACGAACAGACGAAGCACATCGGTGTGCGATTTCACTTCTTCCTAGACGCATACGAGCGCGACGTCATCAAAACAATCTAGCTGCCGACAGCGCAGATGGTTGCAGACTTCCTGACGAAGAGTCTCCCCGGGATACGCACTAGAAGCATGTGGTTAGAGTTGAGATGACGCGTTGGGATCAAGGGAAGCCTGTGGTTTCGGTTTTGAAGCGTACAGCGCTTACTGGTGCCAATTAATTATTAGGATACATGCTTCTTTCATTTTCTGTTTGGTATACTCTTTCTCAGGTAGCCACGAGTTTCCGTCTGCTTGAAGGCTTTTTACGAGGCCATGAATTTTAACGAGGTACCAAGGTTTTATGGGTTTTCGTTTGACGGGGGTTTCTTATGGGTCTTCAATACATGGTTGTTTCTGACGGGATTCCGAACTAAGGGAAGTGTTGTGGTTTGGACGTCCTGAAACGTTTGATAATGGTCGCAGGCTTGATCACTATAGGTCCTCTGGGAGGCCCCACCCTCATCCGGAACGTATCCCGAGTAATCTATCTAATCCTTCGGTCTGTTCCCATGGCCGCTCAAGCGCTGCAATTACTGCGGGTGTGGAGCATTACATCTGTTTGTAAGCCGTTTCCTGGCTAGTGGTGCCAGGTGGGGGGGGGGGGGGGGACGAGGAGCGGAGCTGGGGGACTCTCTTGTTTACCTACCATCTGTACCGAGACCAAGACCATCGCCATCAATGAATCGTTCGCCCACCATCAACCCCACTATTTAGTATTCATCTCCCCCCATCGCCCCGATCTACAAACAGGCCGCTCACCGGTAACATTTTACGCCGCGCAGTATATGGGTTGGTAGAGTAGATTTAACAGTCCACGTACGTAGAATGGCGTTGCCCGTAGGTTACCGTAGGTTGCCGTATCCCTAATAACCGAGCCAACCCTTGATACTGAGACGTTGCGAAGCTTGAGTTTGTCAAGATTCGATTAGCATAGGCGTTCAAGAAATGTGGCCCGATAGCGAGTGTATATATAGCGGTTCTTCTGCGCGACGGGGGATGTGGGGACTAACATCTCGACACACTTGGTATGTATCATGACCATCAAAACACATCGTAGGGTATCGAGATCATGTACATCGGGTGCTGAGGTACGATGACCTTTCGTTTTGCTCACGAAAACCATTGTGGCAGCGGCCATCCGGCGGGAGGTGGCAGCGCTCACCCGGGCCCGAATCCGATACACCAGCGACTGAAGTGCTGGGAAGGAGTAAAACCAAAACAGTATACACAAGGCGGGAATCGAACCCGCGTCGCCACCTTTTTCCCGATGGGAAAGTGGCAGGTTAGCCACTACCCCAGGGCCCCCTTGTGCCGCTGTTCATCCGGTGAACCGTGCTCTATGAGTATGAGCTGTAGGCCACCGCAGTGGGATTGAGAGGTAAGGGCAACTTGAAGGAGACGGAGAAGACCACGGCTGTGGACGGTGTGGGACTTGGGGGACTTTGTGGGGACTTTGTGGGCGGATGTTGGGATCTGGTGAGACCTGGCGAGCCCCAGTTTCCGAGGAGCGGGTTTAATAAGAGGGGGCAATTTCAAGAGCCCGAAGGGAGATGCGGGCGGTAGATCCGATGCAGGCTTGGAAACGTTTGGACTGATTGATTGTTTTCCCCGTCTGTCGTTCAACATCGCAGGGATACTTTGTTGATGTCTGAAGTACTCAGGTCTGTTTTCTTTCTTGTTGCGTACTTTGTCAATTGAATCAGTTCATCAGTTACCCGTACCCGTCGAGGATCTCTTACCGCTTTCCGAGAGGACACAAGACGGGTCTAAACAGCTCGATATGTGAGTAGCGAAAGATAAACAGAAGTTGGCCGGTTTTGAATCACGTGGTTTCGGCAACTCACAAGGGGCTCCTACACGCAACTCACATCACAGTACAGTTGGCTTGAAAGCTAAAGATATGGCAGTGACAGCGGGGGGTGTTTTGGGTTGTGTTTATTTTCGAAAGAATTCCCTCCGACAATTGAACGAAGCTTGTACTCTACTCACACGTGGTAGTACGCTAACTTGAGGTGAAGTGTGAAATTGCCCTAAACGGCAAAATAGGCGAGTAACGTTCTACAATAGCGCCGATCCTTACCCGTGACATCCCTCTCCCGTCCGTCCGCAACTTCCTACAATCCTTACATCCACCCCCACGTACGAATTGCCATCTTCCACCCTCATCGACATTGTCATCACAAAATGTCGGCGAAGTGTGTGTTAAATCACAGGATCGACCCGGATCACGACAGCAAGGTTGTCGAGCTTTCCCATCTCCCGAAAGGTTTGTTTGTTCAGTTTGCTTTCGGTGTGGGCCGCGGCGGAAGGGCGAAATAGAGTTAGAGTTGGCTGACGCTGTGCGGCGATAGTTGGCGAGAAGCTCAAGCACCTGTGCGATCTCTACAATGTCAAGCCGGAGCGCGACGAATACGCCGAGAGTGTAAAGCGTTAGTCACCAGTCCCGGCGTTCCCACTTGCGGTGGTGGTGGTGGTACGTGTGCTAATGAATGTCCACAGTCATCGAGCCGCAGCACCTCCTCAGCACCCTCCACGTGGTCGTCAACAACACCATTGACTTCCCCGTCTGGCGTGCCATGGTCAACAGGCACTTGTCGCTGCTGCACGAGGAGACGGCCGCGGTCAACGAGCTGTCTCAGCCCTGGCGCGACGCCACTATGCACGTCATCGACTTGATCGAGAAGGGACCGTCAGAAGAGTACAACCTCACGATCCTCTATGAGGCACGCTACATCCTGTACGCCAAGAACTGGACCCTTTTCCAGCGCCACAAGCTCATCGATGAGGCTATGACCAAGCTCGAGGCGATCGAAGATCTGGGCTTCAAGATCCATGCCATGAAGAATGTGCAGTCCATCCACTCGGACATCATGAAGAGAGAGAAGAAAAACTTCAAGGATGCGTCGAGGGCGTACACTGCGGTCATCGGCGAGGTGGTGCTGCAACCGAGCAGGTAATTACAAAGCCATGGGTCGAGAACTTTGTGTGGTGCTGATTCGAGCGCGAGTGTGTACTCTGTTGCGTATTGGCAAAAAACACGGGCGTCTAAGTGAAGATGGGGGCGAACAAAGAGACCAGAGGCGGGAAGGTCCGAATGCTGCAACTTGTTGTATTGTATCAACGGCGAATGAGATGCTCTCATTTACGAGGGCGAACCAATTGAACACATGCACAAGACTCCCTCCATATGACCATGAAAACCGCCGTGATCACCAACCTTGTAACCGGAATGATCAGCATACCATCGACACCCACGAGCCCTACCGATATATCTACCCGGAATCCCCAGTTTCCTCAGACTCTATCAGCCTCTAGAACTCTACAGCAGTAGACTGGCTTGGGATATGATTTGGATACATGGTGATTTTTGAACGTAAAGATACTATTTTGGGTCGCAATACAAGGTATCGGAATGATTGCTGATATTGAATGGGCTCGGATCACCGTTCAACGCCCGAAACTCGGAGTGGTACCACTTTAACCACTCCACAAGGTCTTGTCAGGATTGCCGAGTCCTTGTGAATAAGGTTAGGGGGAGCCGACGTCCGTGCTAGCCAGAAATAGCAAAGTCAATTTGTATCCGTTGAGGTTATTACTCTCCCCCCATTCTGCAGGACGTGCTTGAGATGGTGCCAGAAATTGGCACAGCTGTGGTAGCCTTGCCCACGAATATGAAGCTATGGGCGTGTATGGCACCTCTGATCTCTGTGTCCTGGTCCGGAGATGCTCGTCTTCGTTCGGCATCCGTATGGCTATGGCGGTTCTACCGAAAGCGGGGCACTTGCATCTCGTCGGGAATGAAACTTTTTCACACTTCTGGCTAACATGGGAATCAAGCCTTCCTAACCTTTCGATTATCATATTGGGCTACAGAAGTCAGTTTGGGATTTACGAACTGGACAGAGTATGGGAACTTTATCATCCGGCTGGCGTACCGGTGTGCGGGGCAATTCGCTGTGCGGGGCAATTCGCTGTGCGGAGTATGTACGATGGTATACTCTAATTCGGCCGAAGTGGGCCCCCCGCATGGCTCACGTAAGGTTGGCATCCATAGACCCCGTCCACTCTCTCGCAACCAACGTTCATACCTGCCATCGCCACTTACATCTTATACCCTCGACGCAAATCTCCCTATCTCCTCACCTATTCCCATCTTTCCCATTCAGCTCCGCGATCATGTTCATCTACCGTATCCTTCTTATCGTCACCGCCTTTCTCCTCCCGGAGGTCATCGGAGCACCACCGACACCCGCGCCCTCGTCGAACACCGTTATCACTCTCACCGACGCCGCAGTTCGGACAAGCACGGAGTTCCTCGAAGACACGGCCACTTCTGTGTGCATCGTAACCCCCACAAGCACTGTCGAGCTCACAAGTACGACAATTTTGGCATGCCCAGTACCCACGTCTACGATCTTTGACTCGAAGCTGGAGACGTCTCTACCAACGAAAATACGAATAGCTACAGAGGACGAATCCACGGAGGTGATACCGGCATCGATCTCGGCGGAAGGGGATACAATTGTGGGGGATACGATCGCAGAATACCGCACTACATGCAGTACGCCAGCTCCATCGAACATCAATACCCCGACGACGTCGATCCCTCGACTGAGCATCACTCGCCGCTCCGATGAAGAATCATGCGAGGAGGAAGACGGCACGGTTACCCAGGTCACGGTGATTGAATACCAGATAGTCAATCCTACCGGCAATTCTTCGAAGGAGACACCGCATAACCACGGGATTGCCGACGAGCTCAATAAACTTGAGGCATTGGAGGAAGATGGGATGCTACTGCCACAGGAGGAGATGATCCTCGCTTCCATCCGTTCCTGTGCAGCGCGGACGAACAAAAGAACAGATCGGGCGGTGCCGACGGGATGGATGAAGCAAAAAAGGTTGGAGGACCCGTCAAGAGATGAAAGAAAGAGCGAAATTGGGGCGGAATCATTATCCGATGGCGGGCCGATGGAGGAAGAAGCGGAGCATTCGTCTCTTGGTGATACGGTCGACCCCACGGAGATCGAGACGCTCGAGGGATTGGAGGAAGACGAAGAGATACTTCCCTCCGAGGAGGCAAGGCTGTCGACTTTGCATGCGTCCGCTGCCGCTGAGACCGATACCGAACGTAAGGAAGAGGTGGATGTGGACGTTTCCGAGGGCTCTACTGTTGAGACTTCTTGTGATCCCTTCGATCCCTCTACTACCCGCACCGATTCCGCATCCGCTACGCACCGAATCACCACCGTCACAGTGGGGGCCCCCAAGACCAGCCAGGAGCATGACACAACCACGGTCACAATTCTCACAGGCTTCCCATCCGAACCTCAAACCCTCGCCGTCACGGTCACCGAATCGGACGTGGCCGTCGAATCCGGCTGCCTCACGACCAGGTCACAATCAAGAACTGTTTTGATCACCGCCACGCCGTCCGAGACCGAGGCCTCCGAAGCCAGCGATGATGAGGAAGCAGAAACCGACGAAGAAACGCCGAAGACCAGGAAGACGGCTAAGCCGAAGGCCACTACGGACAATAACAATGAAACGACGCTCTTAACCACCACGATCGTCACGACCGGCGGAACGGCGCCATACATTTCCGAAACAAAAGGTCTCGAGATCGTTGTCGTCCAGCCGACGCCGAAGAAGGGCTCGGAGGTGCAGAGCAGTGGTACGGTTCTAAGGATTGCAACCGGCGTGACGCTACTTGCTTCGATAGGTGCGGCGGTGGTGTTGGCACCTCCTTCGATTCTTTGAGGGTCGGTTGACTGCGGTGGTGACGGTGGGACTCGAGTGGATCATGATGGTAGCGGAGCTGCGAAGAGTATGATTTTGGACTGTGATGCTTTGATGTTTTTGATGTTTTTTGATTCGATGTTGACGGCAATCGACGGAATAGATACTCTTGGAGGTGTATTTGTACGTGTACGAGTAGTTTCAGCGAGCAACTTTATTATCTCCATGTGCTGATAAATAGAAGAGTCAATTGCTTATATACTGAAGTCCTCTGTGGTGTATCACGCCGAACTGTGATGGCAAGTTATCCGATAAGGATCTTAGCTGTTCTTACGGCCTATTGGTGACCAGAAACCTGTAATTTAGGGTACTAAGCGGAAATCGGGTGAGACACGGTGCGCCACTCCGCTCTTCACGTCGCCTCGTCCCCTCAAGTCCCTCCAATCGCCGAAGGCTTAAAAAGACGGTTGACCAGGTTTTTGAGTTTTGCAAGAGACGAGGAGGGTGAGTGAGATGATGTGATGACTACGAGGGGGGTTGGGTTGATAATTGGGTATTAGGATGGCATGATCTTCTCGGCATAATGGAGCGGCATGGGCATCTAGTAGTTGTGGGGAGAAGGGGAACGATTTTAGAGAATGGTGCAGGAACGAATGGTCGATAAATCAGAAGTCGCGCAGATATATCGTATCACGGATTTTTGTGGATTAGACATGGTCACTCGAAAAGAACCCCACTCCATATATTTCAAAACGGTTTATTGCGGACCATCAGAACTCGAACTCCATCTTCGCGCCAAATCCCCAGCCCCAACAAACCAGCCTCAAAGCCTTCCCAGTATCGCCGGCGCCTTAGAAGATGACCGCTCTCATCTGCGGGCTGAAAAACCACGTGCCACCAGCGCGATCACCCAGATCGTGATTAACACAGGTTTTGGCGACCCAGGCAGCCGCCCAAGCAATCCACTTACAGTTGATGCCGTAGAGGAAGCCGCCGCAGAGACCGAGGGCGCCGCCCTTGTACGATGCTATAGTGGAGCATTCGGACTTGTACATGTTTCGGATGACGCAGAGATTGTCGCCCATGGCTACGACCTTTTTGCGGGCGGCCTCGATCTTCGTGAGCGTGGGAGAGGCTGATGAGGTCTCGCATTTACCGTAATTTAAAACGTCGTCGCGCGTTATGGCCTCGAACTCCAGCGGGTAGTTGCTACTGCCGTCCAATGGAATGTCCGGTGGCACGATGCCCTGGTACACGATCGTGACGCCGTCGGGAAGGCTAAGTTTGTCGGCATAGGTGGTGATGTTGACGTCGAAGATGGTTGCTTCTTCCGGGGAAGACGAGGGTTTGACTGGTGCTGCCGAGGCGGGGATGACAGCTATGAGCACCATGAAAATTGCCAGAAGTTGCTGGGTCGAGAAGGTAGGAGTTCACATTTTGGACGGCGGGGATGGTATTGGATTGTGAGGGTAGAGGTTGGTTGTTGAAGGAATTCGGGTGAAGGTGATATTAGATAAAGGTAGAAGATAGTTGTTGAAGGAGTTCGGGTGTGAAGACAAAGGTGGTGTCGTGAGTAGGGTAGAGGCGACAAAGGGAGAGGGGGTCCTTGAACAGCTCCCCGGTGACTTTATATTCAATTTGTTATCGTCCACTACCGTATATCACAAAATTAGAGATAGAATTATCTGAGCAGTCACTTCCAGCTTTGAAATGATGGCGTTCAGTTTGTCGGTGCCAAGTCTCAGTAGAACAATTGTCACTGCACCTACTATTAGTTTGTTTGTGAATTTTCCGAGTTCTCTTCTTTGACTTCGTCTCCCACAACTCCGTATTTCATGGCGAAATCCCCAATCGCCTATCTAAAATTAGGTTTTCTTTGGTGAATACTACTTCCGGGCGACTGGGCTTTATACTCTCAACAGCGACCGTGTATTGGAACAAAGAAACCGCAACACCTTATCAGTTTCAGCCGTACTTCCGAAGTCCAAAGAATTACACAGATTGCAGCTGTCAAACCACGCCGAACGAGATCAATGGGAAAACCTCCGGTTTGGGTCTGTCGTTCCTTGGGAAAACTCCCTCCCTTGAGAACAGCTGAGCCCGGCGCGATATACGGAGCATGCGGGCCCGAATGTTTGGCTACGATCTTCCTCCCGCCGCGTCCTTGTTGTCATACGATCATCAATCGTGGTAGGCAATGTCGTCGAAGCTCCCGGGAATCGAGAGCCCGAATCCGAGTCCCGCCGGCGCCAATAAGCTCGTTTGTGCAGGCCCCACAACCCAATATCCCCATCCCGCGAATCGAAGTTCCTACTCCCCAATTTCCGATATAATCTCCGCCGGCAGATATTTTCCTTTGGTGCTCGCCTGGGTGGCCTCTTACAGCTGGCATGCGTATGAACAATGAATCCACTCCATGATCACTTTTTGTAACCTAACGAACGAGCCATTGTTAGTTACTTCGAAGCCACATCTTATCTGCCCAGGTTACTGAGTAGGTACTCACTGGGCTTGGTGTTGAACATCCAAGCATGCACTATCACGCTGCAATTCTTGTGCGAGGATCCATCTCTACCGAGTGTGTTCATCAGAAATCTCGTGGCCATCCACACTACGCCGAACAGTATCCAGGGCTGCGGTGAGGTACGAAATGTGACCGGTAAGGGAATACTGTGGTAAGGGGAAAGTCTTTGGCTGTCATTCTCCTGTAATTACGTTTCTGCAAACTCCCCGGTAATTTCTCGTAAGTTACCGGTATTCCGGTACTGTAAGAAACATGAGATACACGCAGGTAAACTCACGGCGTGAATGTATTGGATCGAGTGATGCACGTGTGGCTCCGTCACCACCCCGATCGAGGTTCTGGGTGATGCTGCCGTACGGCCAATTCATATTATCAATCGATGCGTATCACTTGTGTTACGGATAGCAGAGTCCCTCTCTTACCTCCATCTCCCCATTCCATTTCCACACCTATCTTATGTCATCACCTTGTTACAGGGGTATTAGTGTGGCGGGCTTGGGAAACAGGAGCGGGCCGTTCATTGCTTTCTTCGTTTCTACACATCCTCTTTACTTCTACCTACACGTACCACACAAGATAGTCGACACACGATAAGTTTGGAGATAGCGCACATTGCTGTGCTTTCTTGACCATCGGACTATATCTCGACATATTTCCTATCTTCTCTTCCCAACTTTTAAACCTCATCGGGAAGCGCCCTAGTTCTCGTTCTTATTGTCTGCTTGAAAACACTTATTTCCCATATCTCCTTATTCAAACCCATCCATCATGTTTATCTACCATCTCTTTACTATCATCCCGGTCTTTTTCCTTCCGGCGGTCATTGGAGGATCACCAGAGCCCAAGCCCCTCTCAAACGCGACGGCCAACCCCACGGATACGGCGCCTCGGATGATGAGGAAGTTACTCGAAGACACGCCGGTTTCCGTCTTCACCACTACCAGCTGCCCAGTCGAGCACTTTAGTATGACAATTTTAACGTGCCCGATATTCTCTGCCACACTTGAAGGTACGCCATCGTTTCCCCACCACAATCCCGGAGTAAACTGCTAATGATGTTGGCTTGAATGAAGTTAGAGCTACTACCAGCGTGGATGGGTATGACGCTATGGCTACTCACGGATCTACGGTCTATCCACGTGCGGATGAACACGATCATACGAAGGAGGAGTTACTCAAAGGCACGCCCGTTTCCGTCTTCACCACTCCCAGCTGCCCAGTCGAGCACTTTAGTATGACAATTTCAACGTGCCCGATATTCTCTGCTACACTGGAAGGTACGCCATCGTTTCCCCCTACCACAATCCCGGTGTAAACTGCTAATGTTGTTGGCTTGACTAAAGTTGGAGCTACTAACATCGATCTCATGTTCGTTCCGGTGGGCACAGAGACGGTGGGGAGGGCGGCATCTGTATCAGAAACCTTCGACTCGGAACGGGATATGTCGCGATTAAAGAAGAGAGGGCTGACTCCGGAAGCTGACGCCATGGAAATCGGACAAGTATTGGGGCTCCCGGGGGCCTATACGGCATATGGTGCACTGGATTTACCAAGTATCACCTCCCCGAAGACGCCGTACTTTCGACCAAGAATCGCTCGCCGCGTCGATAGCGAACCGGACACGGATGTCGAATCTGACACAGCCACCCGTGGGCTCACAGAGGGAAAACACCAGATGGCCAATACCATCAGACCTAATGTGATCAAGGCAACACCCATGAAGATCGAACCGACGACTAAAGTCGACCAGGAAGCTAATACGAACGGGACGCCGTATGTCCAGAACCATGAAAAAAAGTTTTCCGATGATCAGGTTTGGAAGGAACGGTTTCTTTCGATGGATGAGTATATTCGAAATTCTATTTGCGGCAATGTGCCGGACTGTAAATATGGGCAGGCACTCTCCACCGATTGGGAACCAGTCAAGTCGGTGGAACATGAGATTGCCAGTCCTACCGAATCTGACACAATCACCACCGAGGTCACGAAAGTGAAATATCGGACAGTCAATTCCACCGAATCCGACACAACTATCCTCGTGATCCATGAGACAGACTATTCCGAGCTTGACGTTTTGGAGGAATCGCTTTCGATGGAAGAGCATACCCGAGCTTCTACTCGCAGCGATGTGACGGACGGTGAAGATGGGCATGCATTCCCCACGGATAGTGAACGTCCCACAGGATCCCGCACAACTTTCCCCAGTGTGTCTTTTAAACTTTTGCCGGGAAATCTACGTTCGCGCGGAACGTATATCCTATCTTCTGTTGCCAGCGATTTGACGGACGGTGAAGATTGGCTAGACCTCCCCACCAATAGTGAACCAGTCATGGCGGTGGAACATGAGATTGCCGGTCCTACCGAATCTGACACAGCCACCACTGAGGTCACGGAGGCGGAATACCAGATATCCAATCCTACCGGATCTGAAGCGAGCACGGAGAATAGGATGGGAGCAACCATGAGCGCAGGTTCAAAGAGAAAGAAGCCCTTGGCCATGCTGAATGTCAAGAATAAGATCAACGTCGAGGCAGAATCATTGCGCAGCAATGATCCGGTGGAGGAGGATGCGGAACATTCGTCTCCGGGTGATACGGTCGACTCCACGGAGATCGAGACGCTCGAGGAATTGGAAGAGGATGAAGAGATTCTTCCCTCTGAGGAGGCAAGGCTGTCAACTCTGCATGCGTCTGCTGCTGCCGAGGCTGGTACCTGCATCGATTTCACAGCCATTATGCACGATATGACCACTGTCACAGTAGAGGCCTCGAAGACCAGCAAGGAGCATGGCAAACACAAAGTCACAATCAAGAGCCTTCCATCCGAACCTAAAACCCTCGCCGTCACGGTCACCGAATCGGACGTGACCGTCGAATTCGGACATCTCACGACAGCTGCAAAAATAAAAACTGTCATCACCGGTAAGCCGTCCGATATTGAAACGTTGGAGGTCGATGACGATAGTGAATCAGAACCAGAGGAAGAAACGGAGAAGAAGAGCAACCCGAGGATCACCACGACCCTGGATGGAGACCTCGGCGAAGCAGCATATGGCGAGAATCTCCTGTTAGCAACCCTCTACACCTCCACGGTTATCACCCACGACAAAAAAGCGCCATACAGTACAGAAACGCAATATAGCGATACCGTTGTCGTCCAGCCGACGCCGTCCAATGAGGTAGACAGTGTTGCCTCATCTAAGAGAATTGTAATTTTTTCTTGGGTGATAGCGAGCTTTCTGTGTGTAGCAGTGATGAAGTGGCCGCATCTACTGTTTTGTGGATTTTTTGGAGGTTGGGTCCCGCAGGCGATGTGGCATTGAGTTGATAGCGGTGCGGATTGCAGGAGTACGATGGGATGAGTGTTATGTTTGAGTGTGATGCTTTCAAAGGGCTGAGTGTGATGCTTTGAAAGGGCTGGATTAGATGTCGTCGTTGATCGGCGGAATGAAGATTCTCGAAGCGGGACTTGTACTGCAAAATTTGATGATTAGACCAGTCTCGCTTGATTACTCTATATATATAACTGTTGCTCAACACTCACGTAACCCTCTGTGGTGTAGTTGGTATCACACCGGACTGTAATTGCATAGTGGTCATCCGTTGGTCACCAGTTCGACTCTGGTCGGAGGGACGTCCTTTTGCTGTGGTCCGTTGGGCGATCAATTTTAGTGGCGGGTTTAGCCGATGGCTCGCTTGCACCCACCAAGATTGGATGCAGGGTTGATACACTACATACTCCACAGTGCGAAGGATGATGGGCCGAAAGATGTCTTGGAGTGACCTACGGTATTTGCACTTGCTTCCGCTGCCGAAGTAGCGATCAACGGCGGGAGAGAAACATGAAGGAATCTGGAATGTGGGTACATTACAACTTAGTCACAACCACTCACTCATTTTATTGTATCCGGCTTAGTGCGCTCCTAATATAGACTAGTGCTTATTTGCGCTTATAATTCGTAATGGTGGTGAGGCACCACTTATTGGCAGCTCCTGGTACATACAAGACGCCGTCGATGGATGCGACGCGATTGTGGTTCACGATGAGTGGGGTGGGGGAGGGGAGAGGAGGGGGAAGGTTGGAGAGGAGGTCTTCGTTCGAGGATCGCCGAGAAAGGTGGGCGACGCCAAAACTCGCTCGCTCAGCTCGTGCACGAAGGAAAAAGGGGCGAGACGTGGCGTTTCTGGGAACGTGTGGGTCTACATAGGAAGAGCCTGTTCCAAATGATGTCGTACATCCCCGGCTTTATGGACCGCTAGTTACGTGTGAACTTTGGAGGAAAAAGGAGGAAAAAGGAGGAAAAAGGAGTGGAATCATTAGAGCAGGGTGAGAGATTGTGAAGCATGAGCGTAGCCACATCCACAGCCACATCCACGTCCACAGCCACAGCCACAGCGGTGTGATATTTTATGAAGATGGCCGTTCGTTCCAATTGCGAAGTTGAAGAGTCTTGTAGGAATACCGATGTTTATTCCGAAACACCTTCAGACAGAGTGTAGGAGGCTAGAGGGCCATCATCGACCTAGCAGCGACCACAAAAACGAGCGCGCACCCCGACAATGCTTTTACCCGCCATTGGCGCGCCCTGGTCCGTCCCTTCCCGTGAACCATGCTCGAGCACTCCTGTCCCGCGAAATAACCCCCATAGAGTGACCGGCACGCCCACGAAGTCACACCACTGATCCGTGACCTCTGTCACTAGCGTAGCCTCGGTCCAGCCGAACCCGTAGAACCGTCCGACCGCCAGCCAGCCGCCCATGCCAGTCCCGACGATAACGCTCCACGTCCACGGCGCCCGCTGCATGAAGGCCCCCTCGTCGTTCACGAGCCGCTCCAGGTCGACGGACTCGTGGGGCTTGGTCGTTAGCATCAGCCAGTTTAAGTAGCGCGCGCCGCGGTTAAGCCGCTCTGCGGGGCTGTGCTCTGGCGGCGGGGTGGTGGGGAGGCGGGGGAAGGATGCGTCTGAGGGTGGGGCTGCGTCTGAGGGTGGGGCTGCGTCTGAGGGTGGGGATGTGGGTTCGGGTGGGTACGTGGGGCTGTCGAAGGACATTTCTGATAGATGAAGTGGGGGTAATGAGAGGGAGGGGGATATCGATGGGCGGCGGAAGACTTGGATTAGTCTCAACTTGATCGTTTGCTTCGACTTGCAGTGTTCAAGCGGCTATGGAAGGGGTCGGAAAGAAACAGGGTGAACGAGGTAGAAGAGCTATCAAGTATCAGACGCTGGAGCGCTGAGAGAAAGTTCGAAGACAGCCAAGTCAGAAAGGGGGTGCTGGAATAGTTCCATTGCGAAAGTGAGAGTGCATCTCTGGCGCGATGCCTCGTCTGGGGCTTAACGACATGACGTACTTATCCCACCGCGAGCAATACCTATGATACCTGTGCGAGAACATGGCGGCGACACATACGATCATTCCAATCTGTCAGTCGTAGCTGCTTCCATCGTGGTCCGAGAAGATTCTCAGCTGTTCTTACGACTTCTTGGAAAGGGGAAGTACGAATAGAATGAACAGCACTTCTGACTACGAAAATCTAACGGAGAATAATACCTATCTGCCCCGGCAAACCTCGAGGGCGCATAGAACGTGCTCCGAGTTTCCCCAGCCATAGCCACATCCCCAGCCACAGCCAAAGCCAAAGCGATGTGATAGTTCATGAGGATGGCCGTTCGTTCCGGTTGCGAAGTTGAAGAGTCTTGTAGGAAATACCGATGTTTCTTCTGAAATACCGATGTTTCTCCCGAAACACCTTCGGCAAGAGTTGTGGGAGGCCAGAAGGGCAGCATCGACCACAATCTCCGACTGCGCACCCTCGCCATCGCCGCCGCCCGCATCCAATGATTCATCCCCCCGTACTCGAGCACCCCCGTCCCGCCAAATACTCCCCACAGTCCCACGGGCTCGCCCACAGATTTACTGGCACGCCCACGAAGTCGCACCACTGATTGATGATCGCTGTCTCCGGCGTAGCCTCGGTCCAGCCGAGCCCGTAGAACCGTCCGACCGCCAGCCAGTGGCGCGTACCAGTCCCGAGGATTTCACTCCACGTCCACGGCGCCCGCAGCATGCATGCCCCCTTGGCGTTCACAAGCCGCTCTAGGTCGACCGACCCGTGATGCTGGGTCGTCAGCATCAGCCAGTTGAAGTAGCGCGCGCCGAGTTTGAGGCGCTCTGCGGGGGTGTGCTCCGGCGGCGGGGTGGTGGGGAGGCGCGGGAATGATGCGTCTAAGGGTGGGGATGCGGGTGCGGGTGGGTGCATGGGGCTGTCGGAAGACATATCTGAAGGAATTTAGTAGGGGACCTGGGAGGGAGGGGGATATCGATGGGCGGCGGTAGGCTTTGTTCGGTCTCGACTCGATCGTTTGCTTCAACTTGCAGTGTTCAAACGGGAAAGCAACAGGGTGAACGAGGTGAAAGAGCTATCAATTATCAGACGTTGGGGCGTTGGAAGAAACATGGCAGCAAAATCAGAAAGGGGGCGTCGGAATCGAAGAAATGAATGCGGATGAAACAGATTCCGTTGTAAAAGTTCCATTGCGAAGGTGAGAGAGCATCTCTGGTGCGATGCGACATGACGTATCTCACAGCGAGCTGACTCTGTACCTGTGCGGCGGCACATACAATCATTCCGATCTTTCAGTCGCAGGCGCATGGGACGTGCTCCGAGTTTCCCCGGCCACGGCCACGGCCATAGCCACAGCCACTACGATACGGGTGACATATTATGAAGCGCTATATACAGCCCCAATTACCGACACAACCCGCTCGGCGCCGACTGCTTAGCAGTGTTTACGTAAATCTGAAGCAGCTGCGATGTTTCATATTGGGCACTCACTATTGAACATGTTACTATTCCACGGGGCAAAAATACCCCCAGGCCTTCACTGGTACCATTGTACCAGAACGCGATTCCCCGGGTCTCCGAAGACCGCTCACCGGCTACAATTACCCCGCACATCCCCACTCACCTATGCGTTCCACCATCCCCCTCGTGGATAGTGCAGATACCCCTCTTTGGAGAGCGAATATCGGCCCTGGCATCTGTCAGACTGTCACCATGGTCTGAGACTCTGAGGAGCGCAACCAGCATCCAGCATTTCACGACGACGTACAACACTCGCCAAGGGTAGTAGACTCGTAGTGTACTAGGTAGTAGGCAGCATGATCTGCGGATCTGAATGGTAAGCATGTGAGCGGCACTGGGAGCGATCACATAAAGCTGTGAGAGGATGATGCCACGACGAGCTCGAGCTCGAGCTGGTATGGCAATGTGACACCTTCGAACCCCGCTATCCAGTCGGTCGCTTCGAGAATCCTTCCCCTTCCTTCCCCGGTACCCTCTAGTTAGCCTCTAGCAGGAGAGTAAAATCAAAATTTACCCCGACTCCAGCAGCGGAATGTCCGGAACCGAGTATTAATTCATGACACACACCCGGTCGAGCCAAGGTCCAAACATGCAACCAAATGAACATCCTCACAAGATCCCGTTTCCATTGCTAGCCATTTGTAGCCGGACTAATTAGTACATTGACATCTTACTTACTTTCTACATACCGATTCCAACCAATATGCCCAGCCAGGCGGCGACGCCCGGGCGGCTCCCTGGGTATCTACAACGGTACTCCACGGTCTCCAGGTACCGGTACTAACTAGTCCCCCACGGCAGGTGCGCCACTGCAGGACTCAGGTACACCAGGTAGGTATCTATGTGGTCTGAGCTTCTCTGCGTGCATAAATGTGGGGGTCCGGGGAAACCGAAAAGCATTCGAGAACCACACATACATAATCGGCGGTGGCAGCTAGACCGGGTTTGTGGAACCGGTAGAGAGAAGAGAGGGGAAGGGACCGCTACTAGCTATAGTCGGGCTCGTTTGTTGGCTCGTCTGTCAGCTGAACGGTTCACCGGGTTCCTGGGCAGTTCGGGCTTGGAGCTACCGACTGCCGAGCGGGGGAAGGAACTGCAGCGTTGATGGGTTCCGATACGATATAGATAGAAGATAATACATACCAGTACCGTACGTTGTCGAAGCTTTTCCCCGGAGAGCGAGAGCGAGTGCGAAAAGTGCAGCAGTTTGGCGATGGGCTCGTACTTCCGGGAAGGCGTAAGGCGCGGGATTCCTCCGATACGTCGGATTCTTTGGCTGGTCGAGTGAACGGACAGCGCTTCGATTGATCGCCATGCCGAGCCCGCCATAGAAAGGTCGGTTGATCACAGAGGTATCGACCAGCGTAGAGCTCGCACCTACCACCGGTTCCTCATGTAGGGCCTAGGTATCATGCCCATAATCCTAGATTGGCATGTACGGTACTATATCGAGCCCAGTAGGTATAAATATCCAGACGTCACCGAAGTCCAATGCAGGTCGGCCAACAGTCCGAGAATGCTCCTGCTCTATCAATCGAATCAGGTCGACTAACATTCGAATTTCGGCGTGCAGGCAAACTACTTGTGTACGTCTCCAGCTCCATGGGATACCGGTACATGATACCATGATACCACAGCCCTGGGGTCCTTTACCGGTAACTATCTCTGCCACCTGCTCTCCAGTGTCCAGTGTCCAGTGCCCGCCCACCACTCAGGCACCTAACATCAAGTTTCACCCATCGGATAGAGCCGATACCAGATATCTACATACCAGGTTTCGTGCTATCATCCTGTACCGTGGATCACCAATGTTACTATCTCTCCTGCGGAGGGTTTAATTTCAGCAATGTGCAATTAAGCCCACGATTCAAGATTGCCCGCATGCCTTACATACCTGCACCTTTGTCCTCCTTCCATCCTTTCTTCCTTCCTTCCATTCTTCCTTTATACTCAACCACGTGCCTTCCACCACCACCACACTCCACCCAACCCAATTTTCCGACTCCAGCGATGCCTCCCTCTTCCCAAACAGAAGGAGTTGCCCGTCGCCGAGCCCAAACTTCAACCTTCAACCTTCAAACTTCAAAATCCGAAACTTCAAACCCCGAAACGGGTGAATCGCCTGCGAAAAGTGGCCTGCGGAAAGTGAGCCGCTAGTTACCATAGTAGCAGCTGCATGAATTCCATACGTGCAGAAGATCAACGGCTGCAGCCTGCAGGACACACGTGTGCCCAGTGGGAGGGTGTGGCGGCAAAAATGAACATCCGCTGGTAGCCGCCACGCCATGACGAGTCGGCGACCTTGGTCCTTGGTGATGGTGAGGTGATGGTGAGCTGCCACGGTCCACGGATGAGAGTGGGGTTTGTTTTTCTCGATGCTCCGAACGAGATAGAGACTCGAGAGGTCTTGGGGCTTCCTGAGCATGATACCGTAGAAAGTACATCGTGGATAAGGAGAAATGCTGTCTATCTGGCCCCGATCTCTCTCGGCGGAAATAATTGCCGTGAGCTCGAGATCCGAAGCTGGGATGTCCAAACTTCGAACTTCCAAGAATATGGATACCGATACCGATAGTTATCTTTGCGATTCTAAAATCGAAATCCCTTCCCTCCTTCCTTCCTTCCTTCCTTCCTTCCTTCCTTGTCGCTTGACCGATAGAAGAAAACACGACATCATAGACACCCATCCCCGGTGCACACCGGACGCCACCAGAACGTGAGACGGAGAAAGACATCGATTTCACGTCTGTAGGCACGATCGAAACGTTTCCATTCCTCTCTCTCTCGCCTCTATCCAGTGTCGCACGCACGCCCAACAAAAGCAAACGCTCCTCTTTCTTTCTTTCTTTCTTTCTTTCTTTCTTTGCCATCCCGCCGCCGCCGCCGCTGAGTGCTGCTGGGCTTTTCACGTCACGTCACTCCTCCCCGCTTATGTAACACATGCCATACAGGGATCGATGGCGATGCCTCGGTTCATTCGCACGGGAAGCTGCGACCCCTCGCTTGTCCGCATCGGGTCAATATTCGGAGAGAAACTTACTGCTACTAACCCCTGCTATGCCGGTACATACATTCGGAAGTTAATCGTATCTGAGTAGATACCCTATGATGATGCTGAGAGCGCCACTGCCGTTGACAGCTGCAGTGTACTTACACTGTATTCTGCAGCAGCTTGCGGCAGACTTTGAGGTTGAGTGGGGGTGATGGAGGAGAGTGTGCGTGGATCGATTATCGATACCAGTTCTCCAGAGTAGGTACCTACTCTAGTTAGGGTGCTTACGGCCCACGGGCAAACCGATCGTGATGATTGAAGCATAAACCGACTCCTCATGTAAGATTACTCTGCATACGAGTACCTACTTACATACAACTTACAAGACATGCATCGGCGGGTCCGGTCTTGAAACCTACCTTTGGCCCTCGGGGGTGCCGTTCTGTCAGTGTCTAGTTGGCCACCCGAAACCACAAGACCGCGAGGGGAAGTGAAGAAGAAGCAAAAGAAAAAGAAGTACATAGAAGCATTATTGCACATGTCAAAGCTTGAGACTCCAGGCTCCGAGGAATGGTTACATCACTGTCATCACATCACATCCAATGCCCCACAGGGCCGCCACCCTAACCCTGGCGTATCGAATCAGGCTTCAGCATCTCAGGCTTCAGCATCTCAGGCTTCAGCATTCCAAACGGAGGTCTCAGACTCTCAGGTGGGTGCGGTATGTAAGGCAGCGCCAATGGATTGCGTCCCCTTTGCAGCAGCAGTTTCCCACGCTTTTTCGGGAAGTCATCTGTCTCCTTATCAATCGGTGAAAAACATCCCAAACATCCCTCCACCCTCCTCGCTCGTCTGCACCCGCGGCGGTATGCTGCCGCAACGGGAAGCATGCGCCGCCGTCCGTGCTGCGCTGCCTGCGCTGCCTGCACATGCTTAAAGCGTAGCGTGCTAGAGTAGCTCGTAACCTAATTAGTGGCAGTTGGAGAACTTACCCTCTCGCCGCCTTCCGGGTTTCGAGTTCTGTGCGACTTCTGCTGATATTCAGTAAAGCCCCGCCCGTGATTGGCGCGCGGGAAGTTGGGGTAATCCTGCTATTTCTTCCCAGGGGGGCCCAGGCGAATTGCGAGAGCCAGCCGGACAGGCAGAAGGAAAGGAGCGAACGAACGCTGGTCGCGTGTCGCGGACCACATGCTATGATGCGCGCCGCAGACATGGCCCACGAGTGTCGAGAGTCAGCATTGGCCACCCGAGCGGTCGCACAGCGCGCGCAGCGGAATGATTTCATCACCCTTCCACCGCCGCATAGGTGGTATGTAGAATTTGCAATCGCGACGGCACCCATGGTTAGTGGGCCAACCAGGGTCCAGGGCAGAAGGCGGTTACGGAAACAGACGGTAGATGGATGGTTCTGGGGTGCGGAGGACGAGATCGGAGCCGTCCGACACTGAGAGGGCTCTGCAACTCGCCGGCGTGCGCCGTGCGGTGTGGAGTGAATGTGATCCCTGTGAGAAAGATCTGGAAACGCAACTCAACTCTGGACAGTGGAGTCTTGAGGGCGGTCAGCACGCTGCACGTGCAGATGGAGGGAAGGTACGGCCCAACCATGCCTGCGAAGCGGTTGAACGCGGAAGGTGGGAAGGGGAAGGTGATCGAGTATTCCTTCCCCCTCGTGTTTCCCTCGTCGTCTCCTCGACTTCCCCCCCTCGCTGGCCCCTCATCTCCCTCCTCGACGCTCATCCTCTTCCTCCCCCTCTCCCTCCCCCTCTCCCTACCAAGATTGACACCCTGCCCCATGTGTGTGTATGGCAGTATGTGGCGTGTGCGATGGTGGGGTGGTGAGAAAAGAGTTTCGGGATTTCGGGGATTATCGGTGTTGCAGATCGTGCATCACATTGAGACGGTCGACTTCTGTGGAAGCTTGGCAACGGTGCAATGTCAGCATGGAACTCTACTGTGGTAGCGTATCGGAGTGGGACTAGGCTAGTTCGTTAGTTACCGGTATCTATCAGCCGACCAGGGTAAGTACAGAGCTGTCTGTCGTGTGAGGTCTCTTCGTCGCCGGCCGCCTCCAGCACGGATGGTGCTGGTGTTTGAGTGAAGTATGTAACGCATGCTATCGTCGGCTTGGTCTTGCAGGGTTATCACGCTCCACACGGCCACGATAACGGACTGACTGGGAACTAGGACCGAGTGGAGTGGACTGGAGCAGAGCACAGTAGGCAGGGCCGACATTCCCCTTCCGTTGTGGTGGTGGTGGTGGTGATAGTGGCCGTTAGAGCAGAGACAAGCATTCGCGCGCACACTTGGCTTTTGCGGTTCCCGCCCCAGGAGTCAGGACATGTCGAGGAAGACTGGGTAGGCTCCGTTTCCTGCGAGCAAGGGTGACTGGCACGCTCCGATAGGCTGATGGCTGCTGCTGTGGGAAACAGAATGCCTTCTCGGCCCCCAGGCGGAAGGAAGCGCGCAGTGGGAGGGAGGGCGGACAGTCGAGGGCGGGTGGCGGCGACGGACGCTGCACTGCACCTGCTGTTCTTGGGCACAGTTGCGCGCACCCAGCAATCAGTTACCTTTGTGCAATGTGCATACGGTAAATTACCCTCCGCCACGGATCGAGGCCGGCGGGCATGCCATGGAGCGCGAGCCGGAACACAGCAGCGAGCGAAGACGTACCTCACCTGTGTTGTGTAAAAAGACCAGGCCTCCCTCCCTCTCTGCCGTCCCCGTTCCCCGGATTGTTCTTTCCCCTCGTCATCATCGTCAGTTGCTGCTCGTCCGAACCCGAACCCTCGACACTCCGTCGTCAAGCGTGCACCCCCCCCCCCACACATCGAACCATGAATAGCGGCACCCTCGAGGCCGTCGAGGTCGCCAAAGCGCACCAGCCCGTGCTGCCGGTGGAGGAGGAGAAGGCGGGGTTGGAACACTTTTCCAGCGAGAAGGGCTCCCACGGCCTGCCGGTATATGCCGAGGCGACGGCTGATGGCGGACACCCCACCGAAGACGAACTCCACAGCCTGCGACGAGTCTCCGGACAGGTGCCGTGGACGGCGTATACCATCGCCATCGTCGAGCTGTGCGAGAGGTTCTCGTACTATGGAACTACCGCCGTGTGTATGGAATGCCCTGAAGTCTCGGTGGAGATGGGAATAGTTGCAGTATGGTGCTGACAGATATGCAGTCGTCAACTTCATCCAGCAGGATATGCCCGAGGGATCCGTCACGGGAGCTGGCTTCTCGGGCCAATCGGGCGCTCTGGGAATGGGCCAGCGCGCCTCTACCGGCTTGACGACATGTGAGTACCTATCTGCGCCGGACAGCAGTGTGTGTGCTGTGACCTAACGGCATGTGTTCAGTCAACAACTTCTGGGCGTACCTGATGCCATTGCTCGGAGCCTACATGGCTGATGAGTACTGGGGCCGATACAAGACCATCATGGTGGCGATCGGAGTCGCCATCGTCGGCCACATCATTCTGATCCTCTCGGCGATCCCTCCAGTCATCGTGCACCCGGACGGTGCCATTGCCTGCTTCGCCATCGGCTTGGTGATCATGGGTATCGGAGTCGGCGGTTTCAAGTCCAACATCTCGCCCCTGATCGCCGAGCAGTACAAGCAGGTGACCCTGACCGTGAAAACCCTCCCCACCGGAGAGCGGGTCATCGAGGATCCTACCTTCACCGTCTCGCGCATCTACATGTACTTCTACATGATGATCAATGTCGGCTCCTTGCTCGGATCCGTCGTCATGGTCTGTGAGTATCCCCTCCGTTGTTCGCCGCCAGTGGTTCCGGGGAAACATGTGCTGATACAGCGTCCCAACGTGCAGACGCTGAGAAGTATGTTGGCTTCTGGCTCTCGTACACTCTCCCGACCGTTCTCTTCCTGTTCTGCCCGATGATCATGTGGATCTGCCGCAACAAGTACGAGCGCAGCCCGCCGACCGGCAACGTCACAGCCAAGGCCATGAAGGTCTGGAAGTTGGCGATGAAGGGCCGGTGGTCCATCAACCCCGTTAGAACGTACGTTTGAGAAGCAATTCGAACAGTGTAGGGGAAGGGGAAGAAACTAATGCATCGTAGCTACCGCAACATGCACGCGAATGATTTCTGGGAGAGAGTCAAGCCTAGCAACCTCGAGTCTTCGCAGCGGCCGGTCTGGATGACTTTCGACGATGAGTGGGTTGACGAGGTCCGTAGAGGGCTGTTGGCTTGCAAGGTCTTCCTGTGGTACCCGATATACTGTAAGTTGACAGCAACGTCCTCCCCCCCCCCCCCACCCCCCTCCAATGGCATAAAAAAAGAGTGGAAACCTAACAGACCGCAGGGCTGGCCTACAACCAAATGACGAACAACCTGACCTCTCAAGCGGCAACGATGGAGCTACACGGGATCCCCAACGACATCCTCTCGAACCTCAACCCCCTCTCGCTCGTAATCTTCATCCCAATCTGCGACCAACTGATCTACCCCGCGCTGCGGAAGCACAAGCTCCAATTCACGCCGCTGAAGCGGATAACACTCGGCTTCATGATGGGCACGTGCGCGATGATCTGGTCGTGCGTGACACAGTACTACGTGTACCGCACGAACGCGTGCGGCTCGCACGCCAACACTTGCGATACCGTCTCGCCCATCAACGTCTGGGTGCAGGCTGGCGCTTACTGCTTCATCGCGTTCTCGGAGATCTTCGCGTCGATTACCGGGCTCGAGTATGCCTTCACTAAGGCTCCGAGGAATATGCGCTCCCTCGTTACTGCCGTGTTTCTATTCATGCAGGCGATCTCGTCCGCGCTCGGACAGGCGCTTGTGGCACTCGCTGAGGATCCCTTACTGGTCTGGAACTATGGCATTGTCGCGGTGCTCTCGTTCGTCGCGGGGATTATCTTCTGGCTGCAGAATAGTGGGCTGGATAAGGAGGAGGATCAGCTCAATATGCTGCCCGAGAGCAGTTATCAGGGCAGGGTTAAGGAGGAGGGGAAGCAGGAGGATGCTTAGATGTTTCTTGCGTGGGGGGATACGGCTAAGAACTGGCGTCGAGTTGGTGTCTGGTTTGGAGGGGGCTTCTGCGGGGGTTTCTGATGTAATTTAATCGCGGGTATACGCGGGATGAATGATACGATGAAGTGAAGTGAAGTGACATTGCGGGCATGCGGGCAGGCGTATGGAAGTCGGTCTTACTCAAAGACTTAAAGACTCGAGTCTCGAGAAGCAAACCCGAAAAGGGCTGATACTGGCGACTCCTGGAGATGTAAGAGGCGAGAGGAAATGGGTAAAGTAGGTATATGGTATATGGTATATCCGAACCAGGGCTCAATAGAGGTAATGAGTCGATGTGAGCACCAGTGCCGGGGCCGGGGCCGGTGCACGGTGCGTCACTCGCACCCTCGAGCACCCGCGCGGAATCCGACGGCGTCGCGGCGGGCGGTTGAAGGTTCCCGACGCCATGGTGGGAATATGATACGGATTATCTTGTGGCTTTTTTGTTGAGCGGAGATGCCGTAGTAGGGAGTAGCGGGCGAGGTAGGTAGGATGTGCCAGATACCGTAGCTGTACCGAGCCGCGCACCGGCTGAATCCCTCGGGAGCCCTATCACCCGGCGTTCGGTGCTATGTCGCGAGGCATCTGGTCGTCCAAGAAGTTGAAAGTCGAAACACGGAATCAAAACATCGCTCTGTACCTGGTCTGCGAGACGTGGGAAGTGGGAGAACCAGCTGCCAGATGGCCCGCAGCCAGTCTGCAGTTTACGGCCTGCAGTCGGCGAATACGTTGTTTAATACCTGTAGAAGTTATAATGAGTCGACATGATTCCCGGCGGCTTCGTGTTTTGCCGAACGACTAATCCTTAAACGGGCGATCTGCGACGTGGATACTGGTACATAATATATCACTCGTGATCTGCGGCCGTGGGGCGATCGCTCTTGACAGCCTGTCGACTGCTCGTTGGTGAGCTCTGGGAAAGCTGTACGGGCATCATTCATCCTATAGAAAAAGTTTAGATGATGTGGATCGCTGGATACTCATTACACCGATCATCAGCCTGCAGTCTGAGCTACCACAGTGAATTGAAGACTGAAGAAACGAGGTCTCAGGTAATGGGAAGGACTCAGGAATCCCAGAGAATCGGTTCATAGAGAAGTAGAAGTGTGGAAGAAAAAGTCACCGGGTGCGGTCTGTGGAGATCTTAGCGACTACTATATAGTAGAAGTTGTAAACACCGAGAGTAAGAGTCCGCAGCCTCCAAGTAGTCAAGATATCACTCATAATTCCATAATACGGTAGGGCTTATGATTTATCGCGCGTGTACTCGACTAGGCACAGGTGCAGCCTTTTCCCCGCGAGGCTACATAGATCTAAGATCTCAAAACTGATGGATCGCTTAGCCAGGACAAAATGTGTGTGCTGTTTCGTGGGTGCATCATGGTATCTCACTCGCTTTCCGAGTTTTCTAGCATCTCATCCATTTCGGACCACTGGGCTATCGTCTCGATATTCTCCACACCGACTCGTTCTGGCGCCTTGCCCAAGGCCAAAGGTCCCGTAAACTTCAACGGTATAGAGTACGGACGCCGTACTGAATCGCTAGACGCGAAACTTGGAAGATGTTGTGGAATAACGTTTAGGTAGCCATAACTTCATGACTCCTCAAAGAACTCATTCACCGCGAGAACTGCCAATAGAAACACTTCGATGGTACATAGCACGTTGGTAACTATACCCCCTTAACTATGTACTAGTAGATACATCCTCATCGAACCCGAACATCTATGCATACAGGTTCGCTACCCGATTCCAGCACACCCGACCCCTTTGTCCGAATCGCTAGAGGCTGGCACAGTTTGGAGTCCCAATCACCGCAATTTGGCCACGTGCTTCGAGTTTCCAAAGGCTATGCTTCCTACAGTAGTATGATGTTTTCAGAATTCATCAATTATTTTCTCGGAATCGTTTTGTCTCACAGAGCCAAATGGGGTTTAGCGTTCGGCTATCTCGTTCCTATGGCAACCTGCAACTTACAGTCCCTTTCTCCTCCCAGGAATCAGCCCATCATCACCACAACCGACGCGACGGCAAACCGGAACATGGATCGGGCCGCCATGTAGTGACGGCGGAACCGTGGATACCGCGCCGATATGCGAACCTCTCGGAGCGACGACGGAGACGGCGGCCGGTTACGACGTGATGAATAACCACTTGCCCAGCCCGTCTGGTAACGACCAATGGCTTCAGGAAGCTCTACACGTGTCCACCGGCGCCTGCATCTCCTGCCCAACGCTTTCCTGGGGCCAGTGCCATCTCAGCGAACTACCTCCCCGTGTCCGAACCTTCCTTCCTTCTGCGTGCGAGAGCGCGACGATAGGTATCGGACGACTTCATACCCTATGTCAGCTACCTATGATAGAGTATTCTCGCGATCCATGCCCTCAAGTACTCAAACCACTTCCTCGACACTCGCGCAAGGTTGAAATGACCTGATGATCGCAATAAGCATCCGCCGAAAAGTACTCTACCTCACACCGCGCTTCCTCACCGACATCACCATCATCACGAACCGGTAACTAGAGTACTACCTCGGTGACGGACCCACTCAATCTTGGAGATCATTTCCCCTCTCGTGGGGCGAGTCGACAGGTTCCATCGACGTGAGCGCTAAAAGCCCCTTCAGGAGCAGGGATCTGCTCGGGAGGAAGTCCTGGGCGGCCGCGAGAAAGCGGACACTTCCCGGAAAGGGCTCTAGGGAGCGAACGGCGAGCAGACTATCGGCCCAGCTTGGCGGAGATGAGGACTTGGGGTTTTCGCTGTCAAAGCCACAGCTCACGAGCCTCACGGGCACGGTTTGCTGCTGAAGCGGAGAGGGCGACGATAGTTACGGACCTACGGTATCCTTCCCCAATCCCATGCACTGAAGAGCGGCCCCTGCATCTCCGCATAAAATGTGCAAGATGAGGTGTAGAGTAGGGGAAACTAGCGGGACCTACCGTATAAGCTCTGCTAGTAATCTAGAACCGCTTGAAGCACAATGCTGACTGTCAGACGTTTGCAGGCTGTCACCAACGCGACATGACGATAACCAAGTACTTGGCTATCCTGACAGTCAACATACCACAGCCCTGCATCCTGAAGGCGTGTGTCTGCGTACCATCATCATCAATTGCTGAGCCACATCGGAGGTTCGGTTCGAGGGGGCCTCAGTTCGGGTATCTTGTCCTGGAAGGCATCGTTCGCTTGGATGCCTTCCTCGCTCAGATCTCTCCCCCCTACTCACTAGTCCTCACTCACCCACAACGCGTTAAGCCGGTTTCTCTCAAGATAAAAAGGAAATTGCGCTGGATTCACTGGGCGCTGCTCGGATCTGTGTGGCCGCCGTTGACGGTGCGCCCAACCCGCCCAGAACGCTTCGAGGGTTAGTGCCAATGCAGCCGCCCCCTTTCCCAGCTCTTCCAGAACTCTACAAAATCCCGCCTTCTCCTCGTTCCATCACCCTTCTTTCTCTCCTCTGCACCCCACGTTCTTTACAGCCTTTCGATCCCAGCGCACCTTCTTTCCCGGTTCCGACCCGAGTCACTCCTTCGAGTAAATCATCACCTACGATCTTTAATCTCTTCCACCCGATAATCTAATACCACCACCCCAAACAACATCAATCAACATGCGTTTCGGATCCATCCTCGCTTTCGCCGCTGCCGGCTTCTCCGCGCTCGCCGCTGCCTACGCCTCCCCCGACGGCACCACCGATGCCGCCAACCCCATCCACGCGCCCGTCGCGAAGACTCTCCTCAAGGCCGGAGAGCGCTTCACCGTTGAGTGGCTGCCGACTGCTGGAGAGAGGGTCACCCTGGTCCTCATGAAGGGAACCGACGCCGCTCTCCTCGACACCCTCGAGGTCATTGCCAGTACGTGCTATCCATTCCAGCCAAAACCCCTTATCTCACAGCTACTAACAATCTACCACAGGCGGACTCCCCAACACTGGTGCCTTCATCTGGGTTCCCTCCACCGAGCTCGCCGGCGACGACGACTACTCGATCCAGATCCAGTCCCAGGACCCGGACACCAAGAACTTCTCCGCCGTGTTCAAGATCGCGTCCAACGGCCCTGGTATCAAGGGTACCACCATCGTCCCGTCGACCACGCGCACTGTCGCCGGCGCGTCTGCCACCATTTCCGGCGTCCCCACCTACACCGGAGCCGACGACGCGACCGCCACCGGCGTCGACAGCGCCTCCGTCTCCTCGTTCGAGGGCGCCGGTGTCTCCGTCATCGGCGGTGTCTCGGGCTTCAAGAGCGTTGCCATCGCGGCCGTCGTGGGCCTCATGGCCGGCGGCATGCTCGTCCTGTAAATCATCTAGACCGGCGGAGAACTTCTTTGTATGTATGCATAGCATAGCGGCGGCGTGTGGAGCTTTTAGATTGGGCGGAAATGGAAGATATCCTGAGGTCGTTTCGTGCTTTTGTGCTTGTCCTGTGCTGGTTCGTGATTTTGAAACTGAAACTGAGCCGACGAGGCCCGTGCTTTTTAGAGTGCTTATGCATATTTCCGACGTGACACTACTTTAAATTAAAGGCGAACCATCTGGTTTTTGCGGGTTTGTGGCCTCGAGGGCGGGGACCGGGTATGTAGACGGTTAGGTAATAAACCGGTGGTTATGTATCAAGCTCGCGAACAGCGGTCGGTCGGTGAAAAGCCGGGTGGAAATGGATACGTAAACTGCCATGATCTAGGTAATAAGGTCGAATGCTGTGATGATTAAACAAAAAAGGGTTTGGTGAGGTGATGGTTACATGCGGAAGGTGTTTCCGTCAGGCATGGGGTGTCACTCGTGAAGCTCCACGCTATGGTCTTGATTTTCTTGCAAGAACGGTGGTCTTTGGTCAAAGCTCCCTACCAAGGGCCACAGTAGTTACGTGCCGACGCTTTCCGCAGTTTGAATTGAATCAGTATCGTCCCCCCATTGGACGGAGGAGACGGAATTCTTATCCATAGGCGGCAGACTCAGTCACGGCGTGTCACCATCCTCCGCAGCAGTCCGCAATTTCTTCGCTCCAATGTCTATCATTCCTATCCGCGGCCCGCCCCTTTCTCTTCCGCACATACATGGTTACATCTCGAGAGTCGATCTCAGTGAGCCGGTCAGTGCAGTCACTCCACGATTCTACGTTTCCAGCCGTCGCTGGGGGTACACCAGCCTCGGCCCTCCAGCCTCCATGCACCTATCCGTCCCGCGCTCCGGTAATAAGCGTAGCTGCGTAGTTAGCACCTTACATTCTTGCGCGCCTTCGGGATTCCAGTTTTCCCCTTGTCCCTACCTGTGGGCACTGGGAAAGGAGAAGTGGTCGGTCTTTTTGGGGGATGGGTAACTTACTCACTCACTCACTCGCTCACTCTCGGGGAATGACCGCCGCTGGGTGGCGCTGGCTGGTGATCAATACTTTACGATTTACTATTACCGGCATCAAGCTTCTTCACTAAGCCGCTAACAGCAGGGAGTTTAGGTCGAGAGGCAAGAGGCAAGAGGCAAGAGCTCCCGACGCACCGTGGGTGAGAGGTCTGCAAGTGGTAAAGACTGGTGTCGGACGAATATCACAGCCTCACGGAGGTAGCACTCGATTCGACGACGCCCTCCGATAGGTATGACCGTTACACTGGTACACCGATTGCTCTTGCTGACTGAAGTCTAACGGCTGCAAGCACCCAGGTTGTCTATACCATCGAGAGCGGAGTCCGGGGGTGCGTTGTGTAAACTGTCTCGAGGGTCTCGAGGGACAGTGAAGGATTGAAGCATCGTCCTGGACTGTGGGGAAGCCGGGTAAGCATAGGAATTGTTTGACAGGGAGCGCACCTTCTCACGCATAATCGACGGCTTTACAACCGTCTACCAGTTCCAGTTACATACTAGACGTAGTCGCGTAGGTAGTTTGGAAGGAGGCGTGGTTTAAGGAAAAACCGTTCGAAGAGCTTCTTAGTTTGGAGAAATTTGAGGATATATGCTGAAGATACAGGTCCGAGTCGAGTGATAAAACGTCGAAGAAGTTTTATTTTACACACTGAGACTGAAAAACTCCCTTCAGCACCGGTAAATGTAGCTAATCAATTGTCATTTGAGATCGAGTGCAAATTTCAAACTATGCTCGACTTCAACGAACTCGAAAGCGGTGGTCACTGGTCGCAGATTCAGGTCTTCCCCGAAAGTCGGAACTCAAAGTGAATCATCATCCGTGTCGTAGAGGTTGATCGTGTACTCTTGTAGATGATGATCTGGAAAGAAGAGGAAGAAACACCCGCCGGACCCAGCTTAAGTCCCCCTCCTCCATACTTGGCCGACCCCGCCATGCCTGCCAATGTTGATGCCTACTAACGTTGATGCTTACTATTGATTGCATTCGTTTTATCCTGCCGACAGGAGCCCTTCTTCACCTCCGCATCTCGCCGACAGCTCCTCCATCACCCTACCGCAGCTGTCAGCGGTATTCAGACCGCGGAGACTGTTGGTGGATTACTCTACCGTGCTGATCAGGGGTTGTCTGTTTGATATCTAGGCGACGCCGTGTATTGCGGGGATTAACCTTCCTTGCACGGCTACATGATCGACTGAAGTGCCTCTGCATATTGACGGCAAGGCACCATGATGGGGTATGTACATACCTCCTCCCGCTGCAATGCACTCAGCTTCCTTATCGACTCGCCACGATGGCGCCGAGCGTCTCTGCCGCGGCAGATACTTCCGCTACACATGTATTCTGCCATGACCTGGTACTAAGGTCGAATGCAATGATGATTAAACAAAAACAAAAAAAACGGATTCTTCCGCATGTCTAGAGTATCTACCATAGTAGTGCTGATGCGATGAATACGACGAAGCTTGGCCATGCTGCCTGCGCAACACGTAGGATACGATACTAACTAGCAAAGCGCTCTGCCTACTCTAGATATATAGCCGCCGGAGGCACAAGGGGGCAACAGTACTGCTTACGCTCGCCTGCAGACCACCAGCCCCCACTCTGCCGCACAAAATCCGGAAGGACTGGATGGATCCTCGAGACGGATTGCGTTGATGACATATGTACATACGAGTGGGTACAATACATACGTGTGCTGCATGCACGAAAGCCTTATTATGTCCCGGCAGATCGATACATCCCAGTGCTCAGCGATATGTACCGCACATAAAGACCCGCGGCCACCCCGCCCTCCATGGACCGACGCATCACAATTCGATGTTACTCCCTCTTGCCCTCCTAGCCGGCGTCGTGACGCAACGCATCCTCTGTCCGATCAACGAGGTACGGACGGAAAGTGTACTCGCCAGCTGGGCACTCCTCGACACCGTGCTGCTGTTTCTCCTCTCCAAGACCCAATCCACCGTCACCGAGATCATCTCCTCCTTCGCAGCGGCAAATGTCGTCTACTTCACCTCCCTGATCACGAGCACGCTGATCTACCGCCTCTACTTCCACCCGCTCGCGCACCTCCCGGGGCACAAAATCGCCGCGGCCACGAAGCTCTACGAAGCGTACCTCTTCTCGGAGGGAACGCACGCCCTCGACGTGCGGTCGCTGCACCGGCGGTACGGCAGCGTGATCCGCACGGCACCCAACGAAGTGGCGCTCACCTCGCTCTCGGCGATCAAGCTGCTGAGGCTCACACCGAACCACCGGCAGCGCGGCCCGCAAAACGAGAACGCCAAGCTCGTCGATCCCGAGGGAAACCTCATTTCGCAGCGCGACAACGCCGTGCACCGGCGCTGGCGCGGCGTCTGGGAGCGCGCGTTCGCCCAGGGCAGCGTGAAGGAGTATGATCACCGCGTTGAGAAGCATGTGGAGCGGCTGGTCGATGTGCTCCGCGACACCAAGGGGGCTGAGGTGGATGCCGTTGCGAGGGTCGGCGATTTCGCGTTCGATGCGATGTGTGACCTGGGCTTTGGCATGGACGAGGGCCTGCAGTCTGGCGCGGGCGACAGAGTGTTTCTCACCTTCATCAGGAAGTTTCTGCGCGTTGTTGCCACCCTGGGGTCGATCAGGAATGCCCTTGATATTGCGCCGTACTTACCCGTCGCTAAGAGCGCGAAGAATTTTCAGGCCCGTGCGGAAGCGATGGTGGCTAAGCGCATGGAGGCCGGGACGGATAGGAAGGATGTGTTCAGCCATCTGCTGGACGGCGTGTTTACGCCCTCGCAGGTCGCAATCAATGCCATGCTCATCATCGTCGCCGGGAGCGATACTACCTCCTCGGTTCTGAGCAATGCGCTGAGGGAGCTGGCGCTGCATCCGGAATGGCAGGAGAGGGTGCTGCAGGAGGTGAGGGAGCGCGGCGGAGTCATGAACGTGCAGGCCACCAAGACAATGCCCGTGCTCTGTGCGGTCGTCGATGAGACTTTGCGGCTGTGGAATGCTGTCCCCGCCGGTGTCCAGGCCGTCGTTCCCCCCGGCGGAGTAACCATCGATGGCGTTTTTCTGCCCGCATACACGGTTGCGCGAATGCACCATCTCTCCATCATGACCGGTAACTCCGCCCCCTCCCCCTAGCTTTCCCACCCCCCTCTGACCCAGTACCACCATAGACCCCCGCTACTTCCCGCGCGGCGACGACTGGCTCCCCAACCGCTGGCTAGAAGACAAGGACACGCTGGTGCTCGAGAGCCAAGCGTACATTCCGTTCTCGTACGGGCCGCATTCGTGTGTCGGCAAGCAGATGGCACTGAACGAGTTGCGACTTGCCGTTGCTAGGGTGGTCTCCGAGTTTACGTTTGAGCTGGGTGAGGGCTATAACGAGGAGAGATATAGGAAGGAGTGGAAGGATTACTTTACGGTCTCCCTCGGGAGGTGCGAGATGCGGTTTAGGGAGAGGGTGTAGGATAGGTAGAACGAGAGAGTTACGGGCTTCATGATGTGTCACTCGGAGCGTGAGTGCTGTGACGATTCGTCTTTGGGGGATTTAATACGGTTGGCCCGGCTCATCATGTAGAACATGTGTAGAAGGAAAGTATACTGCTGCGTAGGTAGGTGAAGAACCGATGGAGGCGAGGGTGCTGCACCGAGCCCGTTACCGGGGATCCGGGACTGCTGAGTACTTAGGAACAGCTTGTGTGGTGCCTGTCCGCCTCACATGCATTGCCCTTTCAAGTTCTCACACCATGCCAACCAGCTCCACCCATCACCCCCTCACTATGTAGCAGTCCTCTTAGAACAGTGAACTGCCCCTCCTCCTTCATCAATAACCAATGCGACCATCGCAGTTTCACCTGAAAACCACCAGCTCACAGTGGTACTTTATCCCTCATAAGCTCTAGACAAGTGACCCATCATCCAAAGGCAAGATGGCCGAGCGGTCTAAGGCGCCAGACTCAAGTTAAGTCTTCTATCAGCAAACTGGTAGAGCATTCTGGTCTCGCAAGAGGCGGGGGTTCGAATCCCCCTCTTGTCATCATATTTTTCGTTCCTTTTTCAACGGATGGCAAAGCCATTTATTTTTGGGGATGAAGATGGATGGTTGGGACTTGGGACTTGGGAGCTGTGTGGTGGGTTGCGTTTACGGTGTCTCGTTCGGGTTGGGGTACTGAGGGATCACCGAAGTTCGAACCATCATAAAGCGTTATCACTGGTATGCCTATGCGAGCGTGAAATAGTGGTTACGATGAGTCAAGGTGGGTATGGTAAATTTATTTGATATGGTGCTGGATATCTCACGCAGTCCTAACCACCACCGCGAAAAACAGCGGCCCCAACCCAGCGCCAGTATCAGGCAACACAATCCAGCCAGTCTTCGTCCTCTCGCCAGGCCACTCCTCCTCCCCCTTCGGCCTCACAATCTTCGCGCGACCTTTCCACTCCTTGCCCACCACCGCTTTAACCACGCCATCATTCTCCGCATCATCAATCGAGCAAGTAGCATAAACGACTCTTCCACCTACTTTCACGCGCTCCAGCGCGCGCAGCAAGAGCAGCTTCTGCAGCGTGGCACACTTCGCGGTCCTTTTCGGCGTCCACGCCAGTAAATCCTCAAGCCCCTTCTCAGTGCCAGACCTCAGCGCTTTATTCGCCGCCTGGAGCATATGCCTCGAGCTAGAGCACGGCGCATCAACAAGGACACGATCGTAGCCGCCGCCGCCACCGCCAACGCGCGAGCCGTCGTCGCCCGTGATCCGTACAGAAACCGATGGCTGCTCCCCAAGGTACTCATTCAGCACGGCCTTCAGCCGTCCGCGCCGCGCACGATCCGGCTCGTTCACGTGGAGTTCCCCAGAGCCCTGCAAAAGCTGCGCGATCGCCACGGATTTGCCGCCGGGGGCGGCGCAGAGGTCGAGGACTTGCATGCCTGGCTCCGGAGCGAGCGCGGTTATCGGCAGGAGCGACGCGGCGTCTAGGAGGTAGTGCGTGCGCTTGCCGTCGGGGGAGGGCTGGGGCGGCGGGAGGGTGCTGGTGCAGGTGTAGGCGGGCGTGGTGAACCAGGGTAGGGCGCTGGTGGGGAGGTCGGAAGGAAGGGTGTATGGTGTGACAGTGTAGGTGTTGATCAGTGCGGCGTGGCAGGTGGGGAGGAGGAGCGAGGTGAGCAGCGAGCCAATTCGTGTGGGGTATTGCGTTTCGTAGTGGGCGCGGAAGCGCGTGAGCGAGGCGGTGAGGCGGTGGGCATGCTGGCGGAGTGGGGCGGGGACAAAGGGGTGCGGTGTGAGAAGGGCCAGGAGACCGGGTTTTATCGAAGAGGCGGGGGCGGAGGCGTCTTCGGTGGGTGTTGGGGAGGTGGGCTCCTCAGGGAGCGTGGGCGTGGGTTCGGACATCGTGGTTGGTGTCGCGAGGATTTGACGGTGGAGGGAAAGGATCGACTTCTGATAAGATAAGACCAAATCGATCGGCCATACCCGTCGTGCGACCTCAGATTCCTAGCCCCACCATTTTCTGTCAACCTAGTCAAACGCATCACCCTAGGCTTCGCACTCACCATTCCCCACTCGAAGAGCTATTCATTCTAACATTATTTTGCAATTCGTGCTCAGAGTCCATTCTCGCTGCCTCACCGCCCCAACGCGAAATCATCAATCGGCCGGTGAACTCGCTGTCGTGCGCACCCCCACTACGCATCCACGATCTACGCATCCACGCCTCTCTCTCACGGGTACAGAACAGTTCATATTCCTGCTGTTCGTAGCCTTCCTAGCCCTTTCGGCGGGTGACATGATGTTACTGGACGCGTTAGGCAGAACAGACGGCGAGCGAGGATGTTGGTGCCAGTGGGTTCGGACGCGAAGGCGAATTGCAGAAAAGAACGAACGGGTGCCGCGGTAAAACACTTCGTCAAGAACCTGGAACCGATAGGCCCTCTACCAAATACTACATATGTACCTGCATTTTCCCTTCGGCTATCTTTTGTATTTTTATTTACGGGCATGTGGTATTCCGCGCAGTTCGGCCCCGCTACCGGTACACAATCACTCCATACGCCGAGCATGTTCGAACAGTCAACCATGGAAGACCATTGTCGCCATGGAATCTTCTCCTTCCGTCGATCACGCCTGTTGCCTTGGGGGCGCTGGAAAGCTGAAGCCGTATATAATAGGAAGTTCTTGATTACACAAAATGTTTTGCTTTTCCACATGGATACTGATCTGCTGCCATCTCCATAAATGGCTAAAGACGCTTGCAGCATGGACAGGTACCCTCTCACTAACTCGTTACATTCTACTCCTACTGACTCCACCGACTGTTCAGCCCGACGGAACAACCTTCCATTCCGGACAAGGAGCTAGTCAACGCCCCCATAGCGCGAAAGCGTCGCCGGCGTCCTTCCGCGCTACCGTTCATAGGGATTCTCCCGGTCGTTTCCCCCCCACTGATCCTCCGAATTGACCCCGAGTATAAGCGCATACTAAACCGGCACCAAATCGATGGCATCAAGCACCTCTGGCAGCGGCTGGTCCTTGGCTGGGCAGGTGCACTTCTTGCGCACTCCATGGGACTTGACAAGACACTGCAGGTTATCGTATTCCTGCACTGTTTACGTCGGTCTACGCTCGACGATCCACGTCTGATGAAGCGATTCGCATCGAACCGCGTGCTCATCCTCATGCCAGGAGGTCTGGTGAACAACTGGCTCGCGAAATTCCAAAAGTGGCGCGAGAGGTTTTCCGAATGGCCGCAGCAGCTGAAGTTCTTTGACGAAGTTTATGTTGACTCTGAACGCCATCGCCGACAAGGTGTGTGCAATAAATGGCATCAGAACGGCGGGATCTTGCTATTGGGCTATCGCGCTTTCGTGAATGATTTATGAGCTATGGGATCCAAAAACTTGGGTAGTGAGGATGAGCGAAAGCAGTGTGCGAAGGAGATGGAGAGGATTCTATTGAAGGGCCCTAGTGTCGTCGTGGCGGATGAGGCCCATACCTTCCGAAACAAAGAGGGGAATCTGGCACGGGCGATTGCGTCGATAAAAACACTCTACCGGATTGCCTTGTCGGGTACGCCACTCCTGAATACACTCGAGGAGTACCTAGCGATCTTGAAATGGCTGTCAATAGAGGACCGCCACAAAATCGAGCTGATAAACAGCAAGACAATACCCGACTTCGACGAGCGGATGCTGAAAGTCGTGGAAATATCACTCACAGATTGGGCATGACGGCGGCCGAAAAGCTATTGGAAAGCAAAACGGAGTTTCAAATTTGGGTTCCGTTGACGCCGCTACAATTCGAGATCTATAACCGGATCGTCCGCCGTGACAGCCAAAATCAGTCGGGATCCAATCTAGCAAACAAAGAGGGGTCCCGTCAGGACCTAAGGATGTTTCATCACCTCTGTGCTCTTTGCTGTCACCCGCAGGCATGGAAGAATGGGTTCTACTGGCGGAAGTACTCTGGGATTAGAGAGCTGGATGAGTTTTCTGATCAGTACCAGCGCGATGCAAATCTTCCGGACAATGACGACATGTGTCTCGAACCCATATACGCCGGGAAATCAGATCTCCTCTCTCCCGCGTACAGCAACAAAATGCTTGTCCTCCTCTCGATCAAACACAGCAAAGACGTCAACGACCATGTCCTCGTCTTCAGCAACTACATTACCACACTAGACTACATCCAATACGTCCTCTACCGGCGTACAAACTTCTCATTCTTGCGCATTGACGGCTCGACCAAGGAGCAGACGCGTCGCCACGACATCGCGCATTTCAACAAATGAACCACAGACGTCTATCTCCTCTCCTCCACGACAGCCGGACAGGGGATTGGCCTCCTCACCGCTACCAACCGCGTGATCATCCTTGACAGTACTTACTAACCTCTGCACAACCAGAAAGCGACGGAAAGGAGCCATCGTCTCGGCCGGAAAAAGGACGTGTTTGTCTACTACATCACCACAGACGGAAGCATTGGGACGTTCATTGCTCACACCCAAAGCAAAAAGGCCAAGCTTGCGTCCGTCGTCCTGGACGATAGAAGGAACACGCGGGAGGCATTCCTAGGAGATGCTCAATTGCGCTCGTGCTGTGATGTGCCCGTCGCGGTGAAAGCAAGCTCCGCGAAGAAGCTGGGGAGCTCTCCGGCGCTCGCGAATGATCCATTGCTGAAGAGGGTTGTGGCGGATAGAGGGCTTCAGCCGGCGGTTTGCAGTGTCATCCTGTTGTCGGAGGGCTCTGGGTTTTCTGAGGATCTTACGAAGGAGCGCAAGAGGTAGTACTAGTAGTATGAAGACGAGGATCTAGGATGCACGGGAGTTGTTAGAATCAAATAGGGTTATCATCTTTCTGCAAGACGATACATATAAGATTGCACTGTACTTTTGGCTATTGCATACACGAGCCAAGGGTATTTATTTCATCGATCCACAATGTAGGTAGTCCAATTCACCATGCTTCTAGAGTACACTCCACATCATCCTACACCTAGCATCCCGACCAACTACCCGTCAGACTTCACGAGCGCGCGCCGCGAACGCGCATCCCAACAAAAAGCTGTCTCCACCGTATATGCAATCATTTACCCAGCAGAGAATATCGATATTTGCGCGATGAATCTCCTTCCTCGTTAGGTCGCTTACCCGCACACGTAAGCCGATCTACACAAGTACATAGTATATCCTGCAGTGGACTGTACCCACCGGATGGAAATAGGCGCGAAGTAAGTAACCGTCGAGCGTACTGCGTGCAAAGCAACGCAATTGCCGCATCAACTTTTGCCGTGACGGGACTGTATGTATTAAATGGGTAAATATGGAAATGCCGTAAACTGCAAATCTGCAATACCTACATACCCGCCTGCCCGCCTACCTACCTTAGGTACTCAAGCAGCGGACGGAACTGTACTCTACTATGTACTAGTAAATATCAAAAACTTGTGGACACCTAAAACCCTAACCCACGGGCACCACACCAAAATCCGCGAAGAGAGTGAGGAGATGGCAGACTGGCAGTTGACCGCTCACGACTGCTGGTATCTAAATACTGGGCGCATTTTTTATCTTCATGTAATGAGTGTTCTTTTGTACTGAATAAAACTTCACTTGGCTGTAGTTGGATAACCACAACCGTTCTGTAGGTTGACTGCGGTCTCCGGAGCCCATTCTCCCAGCCATGAGATTTGGTATGGTGCCGGAGGGTTAGGGTTCTAGGTGTCCAAGTTTTCGATATGGTTGGGGACGTCTAGACCCGGAGTGTTTTCACTCCCACTTTTGACGTTCGGTTAGTTCACAACAACCTAGTTTTGAAAAAACAACTCTTTACAGCGATAGAGAAGAGGAAGGAGATAATTTCTAAAGAGCCAGATTTTTTTTAAAGGGCGTGGATGAGTGGCAACCAAAAACCAAAACAAATAGACGATAAATGATTTAGTATGGGGGGGCCCCGGGAATGTCCAGGGGCAAGGCTGCCACAGCCCAGTCTTAGCACGGCTGAGTTCCCGATTAGAAAGACTTGGCACGCCTGATTACCTGATCAGGACGTCTTGGCAGCACAATATGGTGGCTAATTGTTGTGACAAAGAATATTATGTACATAAATGGAAAACAATTACCTACAAATTAGCTACAATTCCAGCTTATCGCTAACCTGTTGATGAGCTTTGTATATCTGCACATTGGAAAATGGGCAAGAACTGGGGGAGAAATTGTGATTTTCGTTCCCGGTGGGGCTGTGGAGCGCTGAAGCTCTGGAGCTCCGGAGCGGGCTGCGGGCTGCGGAAGCGCGGTCAATGGTGACAGACCTGTGGAAGAATGGAACCGATGGAAGGAGCGTGCTCATGTGATCCAGAGGAGTGTTTTATGGAAGAAAACGGGCAAGAACTGGCCGAGATATTATGATTTTCGGTCCCTGCGAGGTCATGGAGCATAAAAAAACATATTAAATAAATTTAATAAATGCTGATATATTACCGTATTTGGATTCAATTCCCCCCAATCCGAATGTCCACTTACTCCGGCACTAGATGTCCCCAACCATATTTACTAGTAGTATGTACGTTAGATACCTGGCATCGATTGCTGGCGCCTTGCAGATGGGTCCTATAGATATACATATGTCCTGGGTTCTATATGGATATATGTCATGGGTTCTATGGATATATGTCCTGAGTGAGCATAGACTTTAGAGTAATTCAGCTGTCCCGAGATCCTCCTCTTGTACATACCGTATATGCGCACTCTACGTTCTGTGGAGACCGCTGGAAAAGCCGAGCCGTAGGTACATACCCGCAGTTTTAGTACACATTTTACCGAGACTTTCAGATCTGTCGACAAGGCGGACCTTGGTTTTTCTCGAGCTGCCAGTTTTAGAGAGGAGCTATGTACCAATCCAAAATACCTACCTTGCATCAAAAGTTTATGCTCGGTGAAGGGGAAGGTAGAAGATTGATGTTGTGTAGAGTACTGCCGGCCATGACGAGATATGTATGCAGTTAGTTTACAGGCCGCCCGGCAGTCCGGTTGCCCCGATTAGCTCGCACCGGCAGTGTTACGTTACCAAGCACCATAATAAACGTTTGGCATACAAACAACGTCGGACATGGCCCATAAAAGAAGTGCTTCCCTTCCTCGTCTACCTTCGACATCCCTCTATAATCTTAACTCTACCCTCTCCCCTCTCCCCTCGATACCCCTCTACAATATTGACTCTCCCCTCGATACTCCTCTACAATTTTGACTCTCCTCTCAATACGATAGCTGCTACTGAATACCAACAATATATTATACCTAGTACTTTGTTTATCATCAAATATAATCTCTAAATATCCTATTGCTTTTCTTGTCATGTCTGACACATCCTCTTCCTCCCCCTCCTGCCCCCCCTCATCCTCCTCATCCTCCCCCCCATCCTCCACATCCTCCGTTGCCACCCGGCGTCTTCAGCAAGTCATCGATATAATCGGAGCCCCCAAGAAGCCAAAGCCAGACAACTGGGTTCCGCTTCTCGAGCAACCTCTCTACACCCCACGCAAGCTCCGAGTTGTCAGTGTTGGTTCCGGATTCTCCGGGTTGACGTTGGTCCATAAGATACAGCATGAGTACAAGATGGAGGACTTTGTGGAGCATAGGATCTATGAGAAGAATGACAAGGTGGCCGGCACGTGGCTGGAGAATACGTACCCAGGTGTTGCGTGTGACGTCCCCGCGGTATGTACACGGTTCTCTCTGCTGTGAAGTTCTGAAGCATCACTGCTGATAGACATGTCGGTGGTGACAGCATATCTACTGCTTCCTTTTCGAACCGAACCCAAACTGGAGCAAGTTCTACGCCCCCGGTCATGAGATCCGTGAATACATCGAACGCACAGCGGCAAAGTACGACCTGGCCAAGAACATAACGTTTCATTCGAGGGTGACCGAGACGATCTGGGACGATCCTGCGGGAAAATGGCGGTTGAAGGTGGAGAACACCCAGACTGGGGAGGTGTTTGAAGATGAGTGTGATATCTTTGTCGATTGCACTGGTGTCTTACAGTACGTTCAATCTTCCCCAGAATTGGAACGACAATGAACTGACGTCAGAACAGTCACGCAATCATGCCAGAGATCCCCGGCATCGATGCGTTTAAAGGACATCTGGTCCATACGGCTCGTTGGGACTCGTCTTACGATTATGTAGGGAAAAAAGTGGGCATCATTGGGAATGGTTCCTCGGGAATACAGGTCCTGCCACCCATGCAGAAGACGGTTGGTGATTCGGGGCATGTCTACAATTTTATTCGTTCGCCCACCTGGATCACCGTGGGCAACCTTGCACACTTGACACCGACCAAGGACGGGCAGAATTTTGAGTGTATTTCTCCATCACTCCTCACACAGCTGCACATACTGATGTTTAGATAGACTCGGAGGCGCAAAAATCTCTCTTCGCCAGCGACCCCATCGCGCTCCGCGACTACCGCCGCGATATGGAGAATAGGTTCGACCGCGGTCTCGAGATGTACTTCAAGGGCAGCAAGATGCAGGCTGCGCTTCTCCATCACACTCGCAAGGACATGGCCCGGAAGCTTAAAGGCAACCCTGAGCTGTTGAAAGCAATGACTCCCAGCTTCGACATCGGCTGCCGCCGTCTCACCCCAGGGCCCGGGTATCTCGAGGCTATTCAGGAGCCCAATTGCACTCCCATCTTCGACAAAATCAAGGAGATCAAAGAGAACGGATTGCTGCTGGAGAGCGGCATTTTCATGAAGCTCGATGCGATCATCTGTGCTACCGGCTTCGACGTCTCCGGCCGGCCACGTTGGAGGACTAGCGGGAAGGATGGGAAGTCCCTCGAGAAGATGTGGGAGCACGTTCCTGAGGGCTACCTGGGTATCTGTGCTCCGTACATGCCGAATTACTTCAAGTTCGGCGGCCCCAATGCGCCGGTCTCGCATGGAGGTCTCCTCCCGGTCATGTCGGATGTGGCGGATTATGTCTGCAAGTGGGTGAGCAAGATCGCTAGAGAGGATATTCGGTACGTCTCCCCCGCGGATTTGATGATATGCTCCCCTCTAACAGTCGTAGCACGGCCACCGTCAAACCCGAAGTCGTATCTGACTGGAACGTTTACGCCCAAGAGTACCCCCCTCTTCTCTGCCCCGTATCCTGGCCCCGGTCCTACTAACATATTTCATAGATTCCTCAAGAGGACGAGCTGGTCCGGTAGCTGCAGCTCTTGGTACAAGAACCACCAGACCGACGGCCCCGTGACGGCGATGTATCCTGGCTCGCAGATCCACCACAGGGAGTTCACTCAGGATGTGCGCGGCGAGGATTTCAACATTGAATATCGCTCGGCGAATAGGTTCAGGTTCTTTGGCGATGGGTTTACGAAAAGGGAGAAGGAGGGGGGTAACCTGGCGTGGTATATGGAGAAGTAGGGGGAGGATTGCAGAGGGATTGTTGCGGCTCGAAAATGTCTCGCAATCTGGGTTTCTGCCTTTTCGGCTTGTAATTATAGATACTGTACAAGTACTTACCTACATAGAACAGCTATACGATGAAGGTTAGCTCCTTCGAATGATCCGCCATCCGTTTTATGTCTTTTCGGCTTGTTTAATAGTTACAGAATAGACAACGGAGTTATCTCCTTCGAATGATCAAGCCATCTGATTAACTAAAGTCTCGCCCCCGTCTCTACTTTCTCAAACTCAAACCCTTCTATCGGCACCACCAACAGAACCGTCCTGTTCTCCCCGGGCGGTGTGACCTCCAGCGTGACCGTGTCTGCGTCCCTTCTCACTAAGCGTCCCACCTGGGGATGACTCCTCCCGGTATCGACGGGCACGACCTTGACCTCCTCGCCACTCCCGGGAGCTCCGCCGCCGGCCAGGATCATCTCCTTCGCTTCCGCACCGGAAACGATGGTCCCCCTGGCTACGGGCCCCATCCGCGCCATGAACCGCGCAACCCACGCGTACGTCAGCGGATACTTCTCCGCCGAGATCTCTGAGCCCTCCAGCGCGCCGGGGAGCGTCAGCATCCAGTCTAGGACCCACACGGCTGGGTACGGCATCTGTCAGCACGCCTCGACACATCGGGGGGGGGGGGGGGGGGGGAGGGGGAAGAGCAAACCGTTGATATCCGCCAACGACACCTCGTAGCCATCGAGGATCCACTTCCTTCCATCCCGCAGCTTCTCCTCTGTGTGCTCAAAGCCCATCTGCACGCCCATCAGAGCGCGGGGGCGATTAGCATCGATAACCTCGGGGTTCATAGCACCACCGCTGAAATCCGCGCGATCCCGCAGGAACGCGGGGTTCTTCATCGCCGGCAGGCCCGTGGGAATGCACGCCGCCGCCGACCGGAAGAGCTTGTCGCTCCAACGGGTCCATTCCGCCGCGGCCTCCCCGCCGCCTAGTGCACCAGTGGGGAATGCAGTCTCGAGCGTGGATAGGATTAATGAGGTGTTGAGGAGGATACGGTTGTCCAGTGCGACGACCGGGATGCGCCGGTAGGTTACTCCTAGGAGTGATAGGTCTGCACGGGGCATGATTGGCGGCTGCGGGCATTGAGAGAAGGGAAGGGCGCGCAGGGTTAGGTAGTATGATATTTTGTGCGCGTAGGGGGAGTAGGACTGTGTTTGGGCAGTGTTAGCGGGTGATACGGGAAGGGAGGCGCGGGGAGGTACTACGTACATAGTGGTAGAGAATGATCTTTGGAGCAGACATGGTGGCGAGTTTGATTTGGTTTGGTCTGGTTAGGTGGTGGGGGATTCCCGGTACGTGCAATACCTACGTGCCTTATATGGGCCAATTTGAGGATCTGCGGATCAGGGCACGTCATCCAATTCACAAACCCCGACGGGATGCCGAGGCACGACGGTCATCACGTGTGACAGGCCTGCGAGTCAGCCGAGCCGGTGTGGATCCGCGTCATGGTTCCCCCGGCCAATAGAGGTCGGTCGGTCAGATGCCGGCGGTTAGCGTATCGAGTGAGATACTGTGGAAGGCTTCAATTTCGGGATTGATGCCAGCTTCTCTGTGCAAGTACGAGATTGTGTTTAGAAACTGCCATGTACCTCCTGGATAGTTGTGTGCAGTGTCACTCAATCATCGCGGTTTGTTCGGTTCGGGACATGTGTGTTTTTGACAGCGTTCCGAGGCACTTTTCCTGAAGGCTGGCGCCGGGGTTGATCCACCACTACATAGATAATCCTCTGAATCTTATCGAGCACTGTGTTAAGATTACTGAAGGCTCTGAACTCGCTCTGTTCGTATGTAGGTACATACAATCTGCTTCTTGAAGTTTGAACACTCGAAACGCAAAGCTAGTGATTCCGCGATGATTCCGCGATGCCACCGAAGCCGAAAGCCCCAGAACACTCCCAAGACCTTTTGCAATGTCTCGTTCAGCATAGCCACGCTCCGGCAACTACCGGCCCTCCAATCACAATCGATTCGGATGGAGAGCCTCGGAGACAGCATCACGAATTATTATTCGTACAGCGAGTGCGATTTCATGAGACTTCGCTACACTCGTTCCTCACGATCGCTGCCTCTGCTATAGCGGGGCGTCCAGACGGCAGGCACGACTCTATCCAGACAGTCCGTGTCGTGGGCCTCACTCGAGTGACGGTCGTGACGAATAGAGAGGAAACGGAAGCACAGAATCCTTCCCCTGGTCTACGGAGTTGGTGGTTCATCAAGTGTTCCGTAGACGTCACTAATGCGCTGACGAGCCCGCCATAGCCACCGCCACCGCCGTCGTCGCTACCCACTGGCTGGTTGGCTGGCTGACTGTCTACCTGCCTCGATTCCTGCTCCTCACCACCGCGTAGGGAGTTCACACATACACACATACCACACCTCCAGGAGCCCGAGAAGCGAACGAGGGAAAGTGGAGTTCCTCGCATGTTCAAAGCTCGCGAACGGAAATTCAGGAGCGAGAACCCGGTACGCGGTACGCAGTTCTTGCGGGGGATCAAAGCCCTGGGGAAGCCAAGGTGGGGAATACGGATCTGCAGTATATCGTATATCGCGGGGGGGAATACCCAGAAGCCAAGCTGGGAAATACGGATCTGCACGCTCGTTGGTAGTGGAAGTCGCTCCTACTTCGTGGAGCATCGGCGCATGTTCGCTCCGTGCTGCCGCTGCTGCTGCTGCTGATGTTGGAGATACCTACACCTGCGTGCCTGTGTACCTGCGTAACTGCGTGCCTACACACCTACGGGCCTACGTGCTTATGTGCCTAGCTGCGGAAACGAAACGCTGCGGAAGCGATAATCATGTATCACCGCGGTGCATGCATAATCCACCACGCATAACCCACCACGCATGCCCCGCCCCCGCGCCCCCTTCCACGGTGGGTGGCACGAGTTCGTGTGCAGGCAGCTTCGTCCGAAAGGGATTTTCCGCAGTCTCTCTCTCTCTCTCTCTTTCTCGCTCCGAGTGAACGAGGAGGGTGTGTAATTATGATTTTTTTCTCAGCCTCTGTAGGCCGAGTATATACCACCTACGTTGCGAACGGTAGCCGGCTCTCGCTGTACAGTGCAGTGCGAAGCAAGGCAGGGGTGGCGGTTCATATAATCCGCGATAGTATATGGCTATGTCCAGACTCCAGACTCCAGAATAATGCATCGCTTGTCCGCCCGCTCTCGCCGACCCCGTGTACGATACTGCGATGCACGATGTATTTACATATATCGCACTGGTAGAATAGCACCGAGTCGACGCTTACTATTATTATAAAAAAAGGCGTCCGATAGTGATAATTGATCCGCCGATATGAGCTGGCCACCACCGCCGCCGCCGCCGTAACAACCGCCGTGGTGCAACGCTCGTGAACTAGTACCGTTTACCCAGTGCTGGCGTGCTCGTGCTCGTGCTCGTGCTTTTGCGATGGACGATGGGCAAACAATCATTCCGCCGTGAGCCTGGGAGTATTCAGCGGTTAGAACTTGTCCGCAGGTGCACAGTACGTGGGTTGGTTAGTTCCTGCTTCTTGCAAGGTTGTAATGACCCAGCCCCTCCCCCTCCCCCTCCCCCTCCCTTTCCGCCGCGCCCTGCCCATCGCCATCCGCCGAGCTCGCCCCTTCCCCCCTTCCCCCCTTCCCCCCTTCCCCCCGCATTTTACTTCGGACCGGAGCTTAATTGGATCCATGCGGTGCGCGCGCCCTGGCAGGCGCAGATCCAAAAGAAAAGAAAAGGAAAAACGGGCGGGGGATGATCATGTACATCAAGCAGATACATGATATCAAGTGCTTACTGCAGTCTGCAGCGCGCAGCTGGCTATATTTTTTGGAGGAAGTTTTGCCAAGGCTCCGGGCAGGCGAGACAGGCAGGCATCGAGGGCAGGCATGAGGCGGGGCTTCGGATACTCACTCTACACGTGCATACATATTTGCATACATATTTGCATACATATTTGCATAGCACGATACATACTCTGGAGCTGGAGGGAGTGGAGTCTGCAGGCCGTGGTGGGCGGTGGGCAATACGTAGATTTGTATGTGCATACTTTGATACATATCATACTTCGGACGAACATTGCGCCCCCGGCCTCACAATTGCCTTGGTGGATATCCCTCCGGGTGGGGGGAGAGGCCACGATCACTGCCGCCGATACTCTACTCTACTACACACTGGCTTCCATGCTGCGTGAAGAAAAAAAAAGAAGGGGAAAAAGTACCGACGGGAAATGAGGTCCGGTCCTTTCCTTTCCTTTTTTTTGGCCATTGGTCGAGCTGGACTCCAGCACCATGGCCCATGGGAGCCCTCGTCGGCGGTGCTTAAAACGAATGTGTGTATGTGTGTATGATACCAGACTTCCCGAGCAGAAAAGCCGGACACAGCAACAGCAACAGCAACAACAATAGCACTGACGTACGTCCGTCGATACTCGATACTCGATACTCGCGTACACACACACATACACACATACACACCTCACGCCCCCCCTCCCCACACCGGACGAGCGAACTCCAATCTCATCTGCGCCTGCAGTACAGTGCAGTACAGTGCAGTTGCAGCGCAGTGGGAGTGAGTGCGTTCGTTCGTTCCATCTCGGTCTCGTCTCATCTCAGGGACGGAACTGGGAAGGTGGATGTTCGGTGTTTCGGCCCGGAGATGCCGTGCCCACCACTGCCCACTGCAGATTCCGGTTTTTCTGAGGATTCCGGTTTTCTGGGGGTTCTGGGGGTTCTGGGGGTTCTGGGGGTTCTGCGAGGTTCTGGGGGTTCTGCGAGGTTGGCTGGCTGGCATGGTGGGTCGTCACGACGACGGATAAACTCGAGCTGCACACACACATGCGGGCGGGCGGGCAGGCTGCAGTGAAGTGCATCGAGGTGGATTTTGTTTTTGTTTTTTGCGAGCATGATGTTGAAGTACCTACTGCGCGGTGAAGAAGAAAACAATCGCAGCTACTGAAATACCGTACCTACATTAGTGCACTCAACGGTAGGACACGCAGGTCCGCCTACATACTATATGTAGTATAGTAGTAGATACGGACATGCCTTGTAGCTATTCTCGCGGGCCTCCTCGCGGGCCTACATGGAAGAGGACCGGGAGGCGGGGGCGGAGAACGAGGAGGACGGTGATTCGGAGGCGGACGAGGAGGAGAGTGGATCAGAGTCCAGAGGCTCTACCGCCGCATAAACAAACTGCCGGACAGTGTCCAGTGCCCAGTGTTACAGTGGAGCATAATTTAGCATTGCCATTAGCGAGGCAGGCATGTATCGACATAACGGCGGGCACGGCGGCGCGCGCGTGGCAGGACCGGACCGGGAGTACCTAGGTTGTATGTACTATATATGGCAGGGTATATGTGATGTTTGATGAGCACTGCCTTCCAGGTAGGTACCCAGATCCCAAATCGTGGCGACTGGTCAGGTCTCGCCTGGCCTGCCAGCTGCGTGGTGGTAGCTGTAGAGTAGAGTAGGTGGATTATCTGCACCTGCGCCCCGCCACGCAAACGAGCTCGTTCATGCAAGCCCCCTCCAGAAGAAAAAGCCTTCCATCCATCCGTGTCATCTGAAGTCATCTGAAGTTTTTGGGAGCCGAAGAGATGAAGATATGAGCAGATGAACAGATGAAGAGTTTGTTAGCTCCTACGCGGCCTACGCGGTATTAAACCGTCCCATCATACTATACTTCTCCCCCGCCCCCATCCCTCCCCAATCGCACACTTGCTCTGGAGTTTTGCTCACATTCTGAGTTGGCGTCGTTTTTCCTTTTTACTTGTTACTTTTCCCGGCCGGACTGCGCGGGGAAGGGGAGGGGGGATATATTGCACTGCTTCGAGCCAGCTTCGATTGGTGCTAGGTAATCTACATCTATGTGTACAATGCATAGTAGTAGCCAGTGGCCATTGCCAAGTCCATCAGATTGGCCGGTTGTACGCACATGCCATTTCTCGTCTCGTTTCCCCAGGCAGAGCCAGGGATTCGTTGTATCCCCAGGCAGTGGGGCCTGAGGCCTGCTCACCTCCGTAAATACATCACATATGTACACCGTGCTCGCAATTCCGCTGCCACTCCTGTCGTACTACTTACTCCCGTCCGGATCGGATGGCGGATGGCGGATGGTACTACCTCCCGGGAGGATCAGGCACCGGGAAGACCAGTCATATTCGCTGCGTGTATGTACCACTACTACTACTGCTGCTGCTGCTGCTGCTGCTGCTACTATTACAACTACAACAATCACTACTAATACAATTAGTACTACTACTACGGCTGTGACTACTGCTACTGATACTACTCATACTACTACTCATACTACTACCATGTACTCTACCACTACTAGGTACCACTGATACTGCTGCTACTACTACTACCCTACCACTACCATTACTACTACTGCTACCAGCACCACCGCCACCACCGCCACCACCGCCACCACCGCCACCACTATATTACTACCACTACCACCACTACGACTACCACTACCACCACCACTACCACCACCGCTACTACTCTACACCTGACACCCACCTATCACCCACCTGGGACCTATCCCAGCCGGAGAAACTCACCCTTCAACCTTCAATCAAGGCAGTCGAGTACCAACCTATGTACATTCCTTGCCCAATACTCATGGTGGTCCCGAGTCTCGCCTCGTCCTCGAGTCAAAGCGTAGGTATGCCATTTCGACAGAGCCATGATATTCCCGCAAGAACGTTTACCCTGAATGAGGTGAGATGGAGAGAGCAAGAGCAAGAGTAAGAGTAATATTACATCAGTCTTCAGGACTGCCAACGAGATTGACACCGTTGGCGATGGCGAGATCCTGGAGAGAACCTGGCGCATCGCCGGTGCATCGCCAAGCTGTCGTTGCCAGCTGGAGTTTCGAGTTTCAACTATCAACTTTTCAGGCGTGGGTATCGAGTAACTTGGTACATACTACTGGGTACTAGGTACTAGCTGGTGCATGTATATAGAGGCCGGAGCGAGTGAGCCAGGAATCTGTACGACACCAGATCGCCTGTCGCCTGTCGCCTGTCGCGCGGCGAGGGGGGGAGGGGGGGGGGGGAGGATAGTCCACCCTTGGTGGCGGGTAGTGGACGTTTGGTGGCGTCGGATAAATCCCCATTCCACGCACTGCGATTTGGGAGGGGGGTGCTCGTGTAAGCCCGAGACTCACAACCACGGCATCCGCCGCCCACCCACCACCCACCGGGCGAACCATTACATACCAAATACACATCTACAGGCTACATACTAGGTATACTATAGTAGAAGTATGTAGAGTAAAGTAGTGCGTGAGATCACCATCACCGCTCGGCCGAAGGGAATGAATGCCCAATGACCAATGCCCCACCCAGCAGCGCGGTACCGCACTGCAGCAGCTGCAGTTGTTTGTCGCGGAGGGCCGTTGCGGTGTCGTCGAGATGATTGCAGGTACATACCTACCTGTAACCTGTTAGTTGGGCGTTGGTGAGACATCAGCCATCCACGCAATCCATGGTATGTAGTCCGCAAGGACCAGCCCTCCACATTCATCCACATCCCATCTCGAAACAGCTTACAGCTTACAGGGGTACCCGCGGTTGTTCAGCCTTCATCTCATCTCATCTCTGCTGGCTGGCTGGATGGCTGGATGGCTATATCATATAAGATCAGCAGGTACACGGGACCGGATTTTAACAGTCTAACTGCAGGATGTTATGGGTTGCTGCAGACTTGCAGTGCAAACAATCGTCACGAGACTCTGGTGTATGTGGTGTGTGTGTGTGTGTATGTGGTGTGTGGTGTGTGAGCGCCATATGTGTAGATTGTCCGGAGGCTGCAGATTACTCTAGAGATTACTCTAGGTACTCTAGTTTTCTCGTCCTACCAGACACGTTTTTCTCGTTTCGTTTCGTTTCGTTTCGGTCACAATCCACGCTGATTTCTAGCCGGACTATGTACTACTAGTATAGGTAGGTGTTTCGCTGGATCGGCGACGGTGGGACGGTGGGGCGGTGGCTCGAGGGGAGAGGAGAGTGGGGAGAGCCCTATGGGGGAGTTTGTGGCGCCAGTGGCGCCAATGCGATGCGATTATCACGACGACGGCGGCGGCGGCGGCGGTCACGATGCTATCGAGTACAATACATGCATCACTACTGGTTAGTACAGCCGCGGTTAACTAGGTGCACCGTGAACTGATGGGCACGGCAAATGTGGGGAGGACTAGGAGTACAGGGTCAGAGTCCTGATACATACTACGAAAGCTTAGAGGGGAGGGAGGGAAGGAGGGAGGACAGACAAGCAACGGTGCCAACTGTGCCAACTGTGCCAACGGTGCCAACGATGCCAACGGTGCCGGCCCAGCTCCTCAGCTCCTGTCCCCAGTCTCCTAGCTCAGAGCCAAGTATCACATACATCATACATATCACACATATCATAGAGTAGTAACGATTGTGGCTTGCAGTGGTCGTTTTTTGCTGGAACACTGGAACTGTGCAACATGATACCTACAACGCGCTAACTAGTAACCAGTGGGAACGGCAGCACAGTGCGGTGCGGGGCGGCGCGATGCTTGTGCCGAGTCCGCAGATCGGATCCCTCGTATCGTATCGTATCGTGTCGTATCGTCGTAGCGCAGAGCAGTTGCCGGCCGTGCCTGATCGACTGGCGGAGCGAGAGCGAGCGAGCGAGTCAGTAGGCTAGAAGAAGAAAAAGCAAAGAAAAACGAAAGAAAGAAAAGAAAAGAAAGAGAGAAAGGAAAGAAAGAAAAAGAAATGTAGAATTGCAGGAACGACACGTTTTGATCCGGCGGTCGATGGACGACGAACTACGAACGACGAACGACGGAACGACGAACTCGATCCGGACTTCCATGAATGGAGGGGCGAATGGAGTCGAACCAGCGTACGGGGATGGATACAGCGGCATCGTCACAGGTAGAGACTACTGCAGAGTCGAGACATCCCGACTCACCTGAACTCGAAGCTATCCATCCAGAGAAGCCGGGGCAGGACTGTACTGGTACATACTCTATGTGAAGCCCAGCGGGGGTGCCATGAGGGCTGCAATAAGGTTCTCACAGGCCACGATACACCATGGAGCCATGGACGTACCAGTCTACCCGAGGGAGAGAGAGAAGGGCAGTCTTGCCGAGCCTCGAGTCTGCCCACTGCACGCATCCACCCACCCGCTGGGTGGGATCTGGGAGGGAGGAAGGGAGGTAGGGAGGGAGGGATCGCTGCGGCGCAGTTCGGTTCCCAGATGGAGTAGCTTTCCTTCCGGCGTATGTGGCATGGGAAGTTGGGAATGGGTTTCGTCGGTTTTGATTAGTCTACAGACATGGACGGAGGACTGTGTATGAAAATTGTATGTACATTGTACACACGGCAATGTTTGATATAGGTACCACGGTATATGAGAGTATGTAGGTTGGTATGTAGGTAGATAGTTACTTGGTACTTGGGTAGGTACTTGCTGGAACAAGTACTTACTTGATACTTGGTCAAGGGATAGGTAAGTATGGACGGTACATAGTCCAGCCATACTGACAACACCAACCGTACATACAGCTTGTATCTGCCGAACGTCGCGGTGGTGCAGTGGGTTGGTCAAAGGCTTCGGGAAGAGTGTCCAATATTGGGAATCCGAAGCTTGACATGATCTTCGACTCGACGTCCCGTATTTGCCTGGAGTCTGAAGATGTCTCACTCATAAATATATGTACCTCGACAGCTGTACTGTAAGTACCGGTATGTAGCGTCTGTTCCTACCCGGGAATTCGGGAGCCGTCTGCACAAGCAGGCAGGCCCCACGTATGTAGAGTAGGTACACACACAGATACAAGGACGGTTCATCCATGAAATCCTATGAGGAAACGAAACACTTCGAAAGTGGCGAGGTGGCGAATCAACCACTGGACTCAGTCACTCGTCGCCGGCCAGCCAGCCAGCCCGGGGAGGAGCAGAAAAAGGCATTTAGCCAGGTAGTTTCCGTCACACCATGTGGAATCTCCTCTAGAGTCCAGAGTAGTAGTTGTGTGGAGCAACTACTAGTAGCGTGTGTATCGTTCGCTTTCTGCCTGAACTCGAGATGTACCGACCGACAGGGGGGGAGGGACGCAGGACAGAAACGTTAGTTGGTTACTATCGAGGTTTTGCAACGTCCTCCGTCCTTAGGTCGTCACAGCAACAGAGGGTTGCAGGGATTGTGCAAGGGTTGGTGCAGGGATTAAAGTTAAGGACATCGTCGAGGCTATGAACGAGGCTGACGACGCTGTCCTTGCGAAGAACAGGGAAAATTGTCTAGAACCCCTGTCCGCCGTATGCTGCCAAGATGTAAATAAACTACCTGATTGAGAATTCAACGACAACTCATGTCAGAGACTCCTGTGTTGCGCGCGCGGAGGTACAGAGAGAGAACTCCCACAACCCTCGCTACAATCATGTCGGATCAAATGAGATTCCTTGTAGTCGCTGCAGGAGGTTTTTTTATTATGAACGGTTGAGTTGCGTGTCGCGGCGTCGCGGTGTCACGGCATCACGGTGAATTGTTGGTTGTGGATTTGGCTGTGGACTTGGCTGGTTATGGGTCGCCTCGCCCCGCGGCCCGACCGACTTTTTTTGGTTTTTGATGGGTTGTGCAATGCCAAGAACGATATGTTACGGCGGGTGCTGCAAAACCTCGTCTAAACTTTTGTGCTTAATTACGGACAAAAATAAGACGGACGTAAGTAAGGCGGGGTTGCAAAACCTCGATACTAGTAGTTACCCATGTCCTGATCCTCCACCCCATTCCGCTGCCAGACAGACCCCACAGCCTCCACCCCGCAGAAACGAGTCTCGCTACTTAGAACGCGCTTGTGTTTTTTCTTTTCTTTCTTTTCGGTGGGTGGGTGGGTGGATGGGTAGGTGTTTCCAACGGGGCGACGAGGAATAGTTAGTACAGATCATCGAGAGGAAAAACGAGACGGGTAATTGGGGAGTGGCCGCAGAGGGTACGGGGTTGGCGCCGTGGGCGGTTGATTGATGGAGTGGAGAGGAGCGGAGAGGAGCGGAAAGGAGCGGAGACGAGTGGAGTGCAGTGGAGTGGAGTGGAGTAAAGTGGAATGGAATGCACCCGGGCAAGAATGTCGTCGGCGGCGGTCTGGCGTCGTTGGGGCGGCTAGGGACACAGGAAGTCGAGGGGTGATGTGTGCTGAGTTGTGCGCTGAGCCGTGCTGAGTTGTACAGTGCTGTTCTGAGCTGTGCTGTGCTGTGTTGCTTGCGGCTTACATGCATTAGCCGAAGCAACGAACGGTGTCGGACACACCGGCCACGGCCCTGAACTGGCAACTGCTTTTGCTTCTGCTTCTGCTCTGTTGGGCCTTTCTCGCTGCGGCATGTGGCTGGAGGGAGGACTGTCGAACGTTGGTGCCAAGGAAGATAGATTGGTTCGTTCCTAGTCGGTTGACGGTGATTTGCGGCGAATATACTAGTAACCATCTACAACACTCCTTCGAATCTTTGATTTCCTTCCCGGACCGCCAGGTACCCGCTGCGCTCGCTGTCTCGAGAGTCATGTACTAACTGTACTAACTATTAGCTACGTAGCCGATCCTTAATTGCGGGGATATATACATCGAGAAACCCAGATGGAACACGCTACCGTGCTCGCTCGAGGGGGCGTCGAGAGATCCCATCCTCTGCAATCCGCATCCAAAGAACCTGGAAGACCCGGGTCGCCATGGGCCAGGACTCAGTTGGGGTGGTTGGGTTGGGAGCTGACGTTTGGGATTCTGGGATGGGCAGATGGGATAGGAAGGACCTTCTGTCGGCTTGGCCCTCGCCTGCCCGCTAGCCGCTTCGGGACCAATTCGAGCTCGAGCTCTCTCTCGGATGTGGCTGAATCGACACCCGGATACCCGACAGCATACGAACGTATCATACATACGGATTCCGCGTCCCTTGAACCCTTCCCCCATCCCCCCAGTCGGCCCCGGCCTTCTAGCACTCGTCGAGAACAGCATTGTTAATCGTCGCCGTGGCTCCCTGGTACGCGGGAACCTCTCATTACCGGCAAGGCGATACAATCATGTACATACAGTATGTACGGTACATACCTTGCCCCGCTCGCTCGAGCATCCATTAAAACCTCCCATCCCATAGCACCGATCGGAGGGTGTCGTCCATCGTGCCCTAAATCGAATGGCTAGTCGACTAACATCTCGGTGTGGCTGTCTCTTGGTTATGCTGAGACCTGGCTACGGTATAGATTACCGTATCCCCGTCTGCACGTCGTCGTCTTAGCACCCTGTAACTAACCAAGCCCTTAGTTACCTCACATTCGTATCAACGGATCGAGAGCATGTAGGTACTTGCTTGGGTACATACTCCTCTTGCATGCCCTCGTAGCCTATCGTCTGTGGCGGCGGGCCCACCCGTTGCTTGTCTTCTCCAACTGCCGCTGCCTGCCTGCCCCACGCTCGCCTCTAGATGTCGATGGGTGAGTATCAACACATGTGGCATGGTGTGAAGCGCTGACCGTCCCTTAGCTCGGTTCCCGTTCGCTCACGTTTTCGCTTGCTCGCTTTCCCACCGCTGCTGCTGCCGGCTGGTGACGAGGATCGGTCAGCCCGCTCGTTGCCCTTCTTCACCTCCTTCTCCATGTAGTGCCGGCATGTCCACATTCTGACCGCTGACTGACTGAATGAATGCGGCCATGGGCGGCCACGGTACATAAACCCTCATTCCACGTGGCTTTTATCCCGGGGGGTTTCCTCTCCGCCTTTCTCCTCTCCACCCAAGGCCCTAACTAGCGACGCCTTCACCCCGCCCCTTCCCCACACCGAGCCTATGCGAACTAACCTAGCCTGCTTCCCAAACAACCTCTTGTTCCAGTCAGCCAGAGCCGTTAGCGCTCGACGGTGTCGTTAGTTTAAGCAACGGTTTATCCGGGGAAGTGTGTGTGTGCTTGTGTGTGTGTGATGCTTGATTGCGATGCCGCACAAACAGTGGGGGGAAGGGGGGACGGGGAATGGAGGGAGGGGGCGGATTGGTCTGCTATCAACTACTAGAAACCCATTGCAGGACACCACGCACGCAAAATGTATGTAGATTACTTAACGTGCCTGGATGACTGCTCCCCCGGCCGCTGGCTCTGTCCTTCTTCTTCAGTCCTTCCCGCTCCTCTCGTCCTTCTCTTCTTCTTCTTCTTCCTCCTACGGCCAGTGTCCTCGGTCCCATATTTTGTCCCGCCTTCCAGTTTGCGGTCTCTCCCCTCCCCCCTTTCCCTCTTGCCGGCCTTACTGGCGTCGTCGGCCTTCCCCTCTGGACGTGGGACCGCCTACTCGGGAACGTGGTTCACTCTTCAGTCATTCCCCCTGCCCCGGCGCTGGCTATTTGAACCCGACCCGATCCCGCAGATCCTTAGGAGCGGCTGCCCGCGCTCGCTACAGCCGAAGAAACGGACTGCCATCGTATTCCACAGCAGAAACGAAACGGAGCGAGGATCACCCTGCTCACATCCCTATCCGCGACGACCTCCGATCTCCCTCGCCACATACCGGTCCTTGGTCCCCTATGCAGTTATACCTGTGAATGCTCCGGGATAGGACCGCGTGGACAGAAGGAAAAAAAAATACCTCCCCCACCCCTCCCGCCCTCCCTCGCTAGGAAGCTAAGATACCGGTGGGTTGTTCCATCCCTTCACCCACCCACCCACCCCTCCCCGGGCCCCATAAGTACTATCTCTCTGACTCCAGTCATAGGTGGCGCATGTTGATATTTCCCCAATCTTTTCTTACGGAGACGACTACTTGCTTGTCTTACAAGCCGTGTGACCGCCTGTCAGAGAGATCAACCACCACCATCACCAACACCACCACCACCACCCCCGTACAAGAAAACAACCATCATCCATATCTTGGCTCATATCTTACGCTGCAATATCAAACTTCTATACTGTACTTCTATTGTCTCCAGAGAACCCGGCTTCCGCACCCTGTTCAACTATCGAGGAGCCTAAAGGCCGGACTCGATACTCAGCCCCCCCGATATATATAACCCAACGTCCGCATCGATCCACCAGGACCGAATCATCACCTCCCCGACGCAACCCCACACTCATCTCACATAAGCCTACATCTCCGCCAAGCCCAAATCATCGTCACCGTCACCACAGTCCCTTAATCCCACCGGGATTCAACGCTCTTCACCATTGTTTATCTGCATTCACACCGGGACAATCACTTTGGTGATTTCCCTCCCCTCACGCCCATCGTGGAGTCCCTCACAATCGACTACCCCGCAATAACCTTGGGTCCAGCGCCACGGCCACGGCGTCGCAGCAGCCGCTCGTTCTATCGTCCCTCCGGGATCCGCAAGCACAGCAGTGGAAGCATCAGTGACGGCGGTGGGAGTCCCATCATCCGAATGGGGAGAATGTCCGCCATCCTCGGTTCTTCGTCCCCCGACATATCACCAACGACGACGAATATGCCGGCGATAAGGGACGGTTTCTCATTAAACCTTTCGTCGACATCGAATACAAATAACAATATGAACGGAGGTGGGCCTGGTGGAAGTGGTAGTGGTGGCGGCGGTGGTGGTGGTGGCAGTGTTAGCGGTGGTGGTGGCGGTGGTGGTGGCGGTAGTGGTGGTGGGGGGCATTCGAATGGTATGCGGAATGCGAGTGCCACCTCGGGAAATGCGAGCGATGCGGGGGATAGGATGAACGACAACGGCGACAGAGAGCAGTCCCAATGCTCCGATAGGGATGTGAATATGGGCGGATTGCACTCGGTAAACAACGGATCCGGGAATGGGGGCGGAAGTGCCTCGACACCAACAACAGCAGGGCGGAAGAGACAGAGCGTGGACGGTGTTGAATACCCACGAAGAAGAGCCACAATCGCAGTAAGCGCTCTACGCCTCCTCCAAGCCCGAAACTATACTGATTCGCTGCAGTGTGAGATATGTCGGTCTCGAAAGTCCCGGTGCGATGGCTCTCGTCCGAAGTGCCGGCTGTGCATCGAGCTGAACGTCGAATGCATCTACCGCGAGCCGGGCATCAAACTGGACGCAGGAGACAAGCTGATTCTCGAACATCTCAACCGGATCGAATCGATGCTCCACAACGCGCTGCCGGCGAGCCCTTCGCAGATGCAAATGCACGGCGGTGCCGCATCTCCGGCGGTCAGTGCGACCACCGGTCTCAGCGACGACATCCTGGCGAAACCCACCCTGAACCTGGCCAACGCCGGTACCGGGGGCAACCAAGTTGGACTCGGTACCTGGACCAATTTCTCGAGCATGCCGAAAGTCCATTCCACGCCCGCGCTCAACCTTTTGCAATGGCCCAAGATCAAGCAGCTCGTCTCCCGAGAATACAATCCACAACACCTATTGCAGCTCGAGCTAAATCGAACGCCATTGCAACTCAACTCTTCCCTCACTCTCGACCTGTCGAACACTGCGGCATACGTCCAGGCTTTCTTCGAGAGGGTCAACGTGTGGTACGCCTGTGTGAATCCTTACAACTGGACGAGCTACTACCGGACGGCTCTGTCTCAAGGTTTCCGCAGCGGAGCTGAGAGTTGTATCGTGCTGCTCGTTCTGGCGCTCGGAAATGCCAGCACCAGAGGGAGCATATCCCGTATCTCTCCCGACGAGGATCCCCCAGGAATGTCCTACTTCTCAGCAGCTTGGGGATTGCTTCCGTCCCTCATGACGCGGACAACCATGATGTCGGCGCAGTGCAGTATCCTGACGGCGGCATACCTCTTCTACATCGTCCGGCCACTCGAGGCGTGGACACTCCTAAGCAGCACGAGCATGAAATTACAGCTCCTGCTCAGCACAAATCCACCGGCGATGCTGCCAACGGCCAGTCGCGAATTGAGTGAGCGGGTCTACTGGAACGCTCTTCTCTTCGAAAGGTAAATCGCGCATCGCCAATGAATAGAGAGACAACACTAACCACATATTGCAGTGACCTGCTTGCGGAGCTCGAGCTTCCTCACTCCGGAATCAACCAGTTTGAGGAATCCGTAGGCCTCCCTTGCGGCTTTGAAGAAGAGGACGAGGAGCCAGTCGTCGGCGGCCGCGACGATCTGTGGTACTTCCTCGCTGAAATCGCGTTGCGGCGGCTCCTAAACCGCGTCTCGCACCTTATCTACAGCAAAGGAACGAGCACATCGATCTCGTCCCTTGCACCTGTGGTGGCCGAGCTGGACTACCAGCTCACACAGTGGTACGAGAACCTACCGACTCCCGTACAGTTCCCCCACAGCCGGATGCTGCTATCGAACCCCGTGCAGACAGTGCTTCGCTTGCGGTACTTTGCCTGCAGAACCATTATTTTCCGGCCATACATCCTTGCCGTCTTGGAGAACGAGAAGCTGGGCCACGATAGCACCGTTCGGGAGAATTGCAGAAAGTGCCTCGAGGCGTGCATTCGCCAGCTGGAGCATATAACCGAGCAGTAAGCTTCCTCTCCTTCCCCGCCCCCACCTCACATCTCGTATCGTATCGTATCGTACTGACGAAAATATCTTAGCCATGCCGGCCACATGCCGTACCTGTGGCAAGGCGCGCTCTCGATGGTGTCGCAGTCGCTGCTCGTGATGGGCGCAACCATGTCGCCGTCCCTCGCCTCGGTTCTCCCGCCGCCGGACCAGATGGACGTCATGTTCCAGGATGTCATCGAGGAGGTCGAACGATACTCGCACCTAGCCCCAAGCCTTCGGATGTCGGCCGAGATTATCCGAGAAGCCGAGGAACGCCGACAGATGTACCAGCGCAATCACGGAATGCGGGTGTAGTTGGCTTCATTGCTCAAGGGGAAGGTGTTTTGTTTGATTGATTGTTTGCTCCTGTTTAATCTTTAGTTGTAGTTCTACATAGTCTGGTTGTGCCCGGGTGGATGGTGAGCGGAGTTTTTTTTTTAGCTTTTGGTTTTTTTTTTGGGAAGGCGGGGGGCGGGGGGGGAGTGGCGCGGGTTCATGTGTGAGGACTGTGCCCGTTGCCCGGGCTTGCTGCATATAACACATCACATCATATTTCGGGTTATTTCTATTGTCGTTTCCATTTTGCTTTCTTCCCATCACATCCCATTGCGTTTCTTTTGGCGGCGGCGGCGGCGGCGGGTAGTCAATGGCGGGACGAATACGGAGTCATGTCATGTTATGTTGTGTTGCTGAGCGACTTTTTTTCCTTTACCCATTTCCCTTTTTGCCTTTTCCCATCTATCTGGCTATGTATCTATGATCTATTTCTGCATCGGGGGATCGCGAAAAATTTATGTATGTATGGACACTCTACCTACTCGCATGTTCGGTTTATTCGGTTGATGAGTTTGGTTCGGTTTTGGTTAGGCTGGAACTTAAGAGTTGGTTTTGTTGCAACTTGCTCGCCACTCCTGATACGATATCCAGACACGATGTCCAGATACCAAGATACCTGGAAGATTGTTTACTGTGAGGTGGGATGGGGTGGATGGGGCTGGTTATGCAAATGGTTATGAAAATGGCTATGAGAATGGTAAACCAAGAGTAAATTGCAATGGAAAATGGACAATGGACATGAATATGGACATGATTATGGATTTGATTATGGAACTCATTCGTGTTTGTGCATGTGCATGAGGAATCACTCGGGGACACGCTGTCTGGTGGAGACCCGAGGGTCAATATATTACGTAATAGGTAGTTTCACGTGCTGAGCTCGCTTGGAAGGAAGGAAGCCGATACGCCGATACTTCTCGGGAATCGGGATAACTATTATGCATATGTGGAGTAGAGTATGTAAAGTAGAATCGCCGCTCGTATTCGTGTGGCTTCTGCGGTATGTGGGCCTATTACTTGAAGCGGGGCGAGCTCTAACTTTCCAAGTGGAGTTTGTGAATGAGGATTCCAAAATTGAAACTTGGGTGGCTGTGTCCTTTGGAGTCTGGATGAGACGCTTCTATGTAGCCCTGGTGTTGAATGGGAAAGGCAGAATGGGGGTAGAAGAGGCAGAATTGAGGTAGAGAGGCAGAATGGGGGCGACCAAGAGCCTAGAGGGTTGAGACGTATCTGAATGGCCGTTGGCAATACTCAGTTACACATGACGGCACTCGTCATTGAATCTGCTACCGTACCTCGTTGTTAGTCTCATAGATTAATACCGTCCCGGCGGAGTTGAGTGCAGATGGAATACTTGGAGACTGTAGTGCCTCTTGTCATGATTTATTCATTGAAAAAACCATTCTCATCGTCTCAGCCGAGCCTCTGTATGTAGACCTAGCTTCCAGGGCCCATAGAACGTGACCTCTAATTCTCCGCGATTCCTTGATCCCTGCATGCAACTCGGCCACACTATGTGCCTACAGTCACATGCAAACCTCACTCCCTCACCTCCGATTCACCCTAGATAGCAGCTATCACTCCCCCGCACAGCGCACGCAGCGCACCGCACCAAGCCCCGCGCCGCACTGCGTCGCTCACATCTCAAGATGCACATCTCCGCGCTCTACATCCACCCGATCAAGTCCCTTCTGCCCATCCGCGTCACGTCCAGCGTGCTCACACCGCTCGGCCTCGCGCACGACCGAACCTTCGTCCTGATCCGCGCACCCGACCACACACCGCTACACATCGGCGAGGTCCCGCAGCTATGCCTCTTCTCCGTCTCGATGCCCCCCTCCTCCCTCTCCGACGCCGGCGACGGCACGGCAGTGCTGGAGGTCACGCACACGCTCACCCAAGACTCCTTGCGCCTCCCGCTCGTCCCGCCGCTCGGCGAGCAGACGGAGGTGCGCATGCATAACTCGGCGTGCGCAGGGTTCGCGGTGAGTAGTAATGCGGACGCGTTTTTCTCGAGGCATCTGGGCTTCGAGGCACGACTGCTGTTCCTCGGTGGCTCGAGCAGGAGGGTGCTCGGGAATGTTGCCCCGACGACAACACCACCGCCCACGCAGTCGTCGGGTTTTTTGGCAGGCTGGTTTGGAACGCCCGCGGAGAAGGAGGAGAAGGAGAAGGAGAATGACCCGGCGATCACGTTCGCGGACTGCGCGCCGCTCCTGGTCGTTACCGAAGCCTCACTCGCCGCCGTCTCCGAGCGCACCGGTGATAAGGTGGATATGCGGAAGTTCCGGCCGAACATTGTGCTCTCTGCCAACGACGATGTCGGCGAGAGGGAGGATGGCGGCGAGGAGGTGGTGCACGCGTGGGAGGAGGATTACTGGGCCGAACTCGAGATCGGCGAGAAGCCGGCGGCGCCGGTGACGCTGGTGTGCACCGCGAACTGTGCGCGGTGCACGAGTCTCAATGTTGATTTTGCCACCGGGGGGTATGTGGAGAACGACAGGCAGCCGCTGAAGAAGTTGATGAAAGATCGGAGGGTCGATGAGGGGATGAAGTACTCGCCGGTGTTTGGGAGGTATGCGTTTTTACGTAGCGGTGATGCGGATGCGGGTGCGGAGGTAGTCGTGAGAGTAGGTGATCGAGTCACGGTGGTCAGGAGGAATGAGGACAGGACTGTTTTTTGTGGGTCTTCTCCCCCCCACCCCATCATTGTGCGGCGAAGAGATGAGTGCTGACTGTGCTGCAGATTGGCCGGGACTTTCGACGGGAAGCAGAGCCGTGGTGGAGTAGAAGAACACTGGGAATTGCTACATACATAAGTCTTTCCTGGTGTTTGAGATTCCAGCCTCCGCTGGGACATAGGCACATTCCTTAGGTTTTTACATGGCTAGCTGGGCTGGGGATTCGGGAAGTCGTATAGGTAGATGCACAGGCGTGGTATGGCTGTGGAAGTTTTGATACCCGGGTACTAGTAGTCTCTACGTGGGACATAAGCAGATGCTTCCATCGATTCCCCCAGTCCAGTCCAGCATGTATGATGTGCCCAAGCCCAAGTCTAAACTTCCTACTACCGTTGCAGCGACGGTAAATTCCAGTACACTCTTGTATGGTCACAAGAGTGCTACAGCCAAGCCACACCATCAACAGGCAAGATGGCCGAGCGGTCTAAGGCGCCAGACTCAAGTTAAGTCTTCTATCAGCAAACTGGTAGAGTATTCTGGTCTCGAAAGAGGCGGGGGTTCGAATCCCCCTCTTGTCATCATTCTTTTGTTTTTGACTTTTTGACGGGGAGGGTTTCGTTTTGGCGCTACGTGTGGGGTGGCCCTCATATCGTCTCGACTCTCGATTCGTGATCTAACTATGCATATCTTGTGTTGGTATGTATATCGCCGGCACCTCTTGATGTCGACTAGTGACCTGCTTCCAGTGTTCTCCAAAGTTCGGACGGACTTGACGGGATCAGTCCAGTCCTGAGTCCCGTCCTTGCCTTTTGAAGGATGGGATAAAAGTAGTCCGTCCCGTCCGCCAATTTACTAGATGGTGTTGGACTGCTGTCCGGTAATGAAGAAAAAAATGACACTCTTCTCAACACTTACCCCACCAAATATGAAAGCAAAACCTTTCCCACTATCGTGTGTTGAATTTCGTCTATATAGTACGAGCAATGGGGCGGCGTCGTGTTCATCCAGTGCGCCTATTACATACACCCATACTTACCTTAACTACTACAACTGCCAATAATGTGTGCGGCTTGGAGCTTTTTATCTTGTGATTCATGTCGCCTTATGATTTTTTCCCGCTGTACTTGTCAGTCTTGGCAGTCGACTGCAGTCGCGACTTGCCGGCTCATCTGGAAGTCTCCAACCCGCCCAGCTGGCGGTCCTCAAAAGAAGAAAAGTCACTTCCACGCTAAGCATGGCGTCGTTCTCGAGGAGGAACAAAAAAAGGAACAAAAAAACAAAATGATGATGACAAGAGGGGGATTCGAACCCCCGCCTCTTTCGAGACCAGAATACTCTACCAGTTTGCTGATAGAAGACTTAACTTGAGTCTGGCGCCTTAGACCGCTCGGCCATCTTGCCTGTTGATGTTTAACTTTGACGCCTGTTGATCCTGACCTTGATAGCCTACCTAGTCCTTGACGGTCATGGAGCATCACCGCTCCAGGCCTGGATGCGTCCCGCCGACTAAGCCGCTGAGTAACTATAGTAAATCCGATTCCCCGGGACAACCTACCTTGGTCGCGAGCTCATGTAAGACGATGGCAAAATGCGCGGGTTAAGGGAAAGGGCTTGCGTTATCTACATATATCCACTAGAGTTCCGAAGCCATGTCTCGGGCTCTCGGACTACACTACCCTGTATAGAGTAGTCCCCGCCGAGAAGGCGGCGCCGGCGCTCGGATGCCTACTATATTTCCGGCTGTAACTTCTACTCGAGGTTTCCGATGGGTTTCCTGTACTCCGCGGAATGATCTAATGATCCTATCTCCGATGGTATAAAATAGAGCAGTGGTTCCGAGATCATGTGGATCGCGATTCTCCACGATTATAGAGGATCGGTCACGTGCAAGACGTAGGCGAGTCAATCGGTTCAACAAGCGGCGGCAGCAGCGGCGGAATATCGGATTAACGTGACTAGAGTATTACTACCGGCTGCCGGGCAGTAACAAAAACGTCTTGGGGCGTCTGAACGTGGAGATCGTATGTATCTAGATATGATCTGTGTGATTCGGGACGGACAGAAAGCCGTTCGGTACATAGATCAGACTGCATCGCCGTCAGGTGGTGGTTTCCGTTTCCATGGGACAACCGTTAACTGTCAGCAGAAGTCGGTGTTCTTGCGTTTCTCCGAATCGCAATGGCACGACTCCTCTGGGTGTCAGGACCGTGTGTTGGGGATGTTTTACTCGGAACTCACCGACGATGCCCCGGGAGAGATGGTACTCTTCATGATTATTCTTGAGGATCGCCGCAAGCGACGCGGGGCAGATCACCAAAACAGATATCGCGGGATCCACACTCGTCACTAACTAGCCGATCCACGTGTATTGCCAATATCAAGGACGTATGTAAATCCCCCCCACCCCCTTACCTGAGTGGGGGAATCCGACAACGTTCGAGTTTATCGATCATCTCTTTGACTTGAGTTCGATACGGTAACTACCCAATGCTCGCCACAATGCGCAGTGTCAAGTTGATGTGCCTCCTGAGTGTTTTCTCCGTCTTCACCCCGGCGATGGTTCTCTGGCGGCAATGGATCCTGCGGAAACGGCCCTCGTCGACGGCTTCGCGCATCACCACCACCGCGATCATGTCGTTCCTGGTGCTGTTCGTGAGCGGCGGCGGGATCCTCTGGTGGGAGTGTGTGGAGGAGAGGCGAGTGAGGAAGACACTCCAGATGGATGATGATTTCGCGCTACGGACCGCGCTGCTGACCGAGAGTGCCCTGAAGGTCGGCTACCTATGATCCCTCTGTCGTGGGAGTTTTCTGCCCGGTTGCTAACGCGGGCCGTGGAGAAACAGGGGTTCTTCGTTACCAGTGTTATCTACACCACGATGCTGTGGCTGCTGAAGATGGCTTTCCTCGGTGGGTGCGCGATCCGTGCAATTGCCCTCAAAGACCATTCGCAAAGCTGACCGATATCGTGCAGCGTACTTCGGAAACGTCATAAGCATCCTCACCACCCAAGCACAGATACTATTCATTGCCGTCTGCGTTTATACCTTTGTATCGTATGGCACTGCCATAGGATTCCAGTTTGGCTACTGTGGGCCCGTCAGCAATAACTGGTATGTACATACATTTTTCCTTTCCGTCACAAAAAATCACGAGGCCATAGCTGAATATTTCTTAGGACACTAGATCCAACAACCCAATGTATCCACTTCCAGACCCTGACGGTGAGCACGATTCAAGCCGTCCTGAACCTATCCGCCGATCTTTTGGGTGTGCATTCCCGCCTTCCACACACCATCCATCACTCGCTAACACCCACCCTAGTCCTAACAATGGCGTTGATAATAATCTCATCACTCCCGCTCGCCTCCGCACGGGACAAAGCGGCACTACTCATTGTCGCCGGGCTAGGCAGCGTGTCGATAATCATGTGTGCCGTGCGCTTTGGCGAGATGTACATGGTGATCACGAACGGCAGCGGCCAGCTCGAAATCTTGGGCCAACTCAACGTCTGGGCCACGCTCGAGGTGAACTTTGCTGTCACCGCTTTCTGTCTGCCGACGTTCCGCGCTCTGCTGCTGAAGCGCTGCCCCTGGCTGCGAGCCGCGAGCCATCCCGGCACGGCTACGGGAGTCGAGACAATCGGTGGGAGCGACTGGCAGGGCAGGAAGGTGCGCACCGGGCGCACGCGAAATTCCGCGGACGAGATCGGGGACGAGTGCGAGCCGGATGGCGATGTGTGGACGGTACATACCGCGCCGAATAAATCTTCAACGGCGGCGGATGCGGGTGATATTGTCTGATGGGGCGAGGTAATGACTGGACTGGAATGGACTGGACGGGACTGGGGGTAACGGCGTTTTGGCGTTTGGGTTGCTTTGCTTGGAATTGTATGTACGTTAATTATGTATGATCGGGAACCGCCTGTCCACGCGAATAATAAGTTGGGCACTTTATATACTTTCATCTCTCATCATCGTGAGAAAGAGGTGGGCCAAGAAGCTAACCGTCACCATATACCTTCTGCGGGTTGGTTGGAGGTGAGACAAGGCGATCTACCACAATCATCACTCGAGATACCTACGCTGATTCACGACCTAGGTACTCCGATATACCTATATGGAATACCATTATTGATTCAGGATATAGGTAGTTTAATATAAGAATTATCCACACCATCACCCAGGAAAGGTTCCGGAAAGCGCAATAGTATAAATCGAAACTCAAGGAGATTAATTTACCAGATATTAAGCGCCTAAACAAGCTGCTTGACGTGATGCCAGTCCCACGCAGTGTGGCGCTTAACATACCAGCTAACAAGCCCATAAATACCCTGGGTTATTGCGACATACATACATCGACCGGGGGTGATGGACGCTGCTGGCGAAGACCACGGAGACGGGCAAGAGTGCTCGGCCCAGGGCTTTGGGATACCCTAAACACCATTAACAGCCTAGAACATAGTACTATAGGTAGCTAAAGGCGGCGGATTGGATTGATTTTCTGTATGGTCCTTTCTGGGTGCTCCTCAACGGATACAATCCTTCTCCTATATCCATGATTCTTTCTTCGCTGAGGGTTTCTATGGTTTCGAGGCTTACGGAGGGTGCCCGGATATCTCGGCTTTCCCATCTCTCCCATGATCCCGTCTCTTCCGTCTCTTCCGTCTCTCTCGTCTCTCTCGTCTCTCGTACGCGAGGAAGTGTCCGGTGTGACGTCCAGAACGGCGGTGGAAGAGGAAAGGAAAGGGTTCGAGCACCGGTGTACAAACATCCGAGAGATAGTGATGAGGCTTAACTAGGTAGTTAGATGCGGCACGGGAAGCCGGTGTGGTTACTGGCAACGGCTATGCGCAGCTCTGACCGGTGCGGTTGCCAACTGCTACATACTATCTAGGCGGCCGCTAGGTAGGTAAATGCCCGCTTTATCAGCGGCGAAGAGACGAGTCCATGAGGAAGTATGGCACAAGAAGTCTATGTACGAGACGTTGTCCGCTAGCTTTGAGGATACGATGGCAACTACCGCCAGGCATGCAAGGGTTAGAGGATTGACACATCCTTAAGTGAGGTTCCATGGCGGTCGACTCGTTTACTCTACAGTCATTTCATTGGATGGTGCGGCTGTGGCGCTTTCGCGGCGCGGCTATCACTTCATACCTCGGGTTCCTGTAGGCTGTGTAGGCACGCGAGTCCGTGGGGGCAACCGCTACACAACCAACCAACCTCACTCCATCAGATGCAACGATTCACGACCGTGTCTGATGCTCGTCCCACCCCGAGTATCTCGGTGCGGGAAGTTCCGTTTTATGTGTGAGCTGAAGATGCAGAAATCCATATGCACGACTCGCGTCGGCCGCGGTACGTACGGTCTTCACCGCGCCGCTGGTTGGAAACTGTTTACAGGCAGATTCTCAACCCTTTTGAAAGGCGAACTCACAGAGCTGGCTGGATCTCAGACTAACATCTCGATGTTTTTTTTTCAGAGCCATCAGCGGAATTCCGTTTGTATACCCAGGTAGTTTACTTCATGGTTTTGGGAAGGGACGGCTCATACTTAGGCACTATCTGCTGCTAGGGAGTCGACGGCAGTCCCTTCCGGACCAGATGCCTATTCGCGAGTTGTAAGTTGAGCTCGGACTTCGCCAAGTCCTGCCTAGGTACTCGATAGGCATGTTCTCAACAGAGATCGTCACTTTAAAAGTACAGGCGTCAGGGACACCGGAAAGGCAGAGGTCTCTCACCGCTCAGGAAGAAGAATAGAGTACACAGCCCAAACAAACAAACAGAGGTATCTTGAAGCCTTTGTTCTCATAAACCATCTCATATAGGTTTGCCAAGTGAACTCTTAATATACACGCATCGTGTCAGATGTCTTGCTCGTCGATCTCGGAAGCAGGTCCGATATCTGAAAACCCTCACGGTGAACTGAGGGCAGCTACCAGGGACCGGGGTTGTCCGCTTGTCCGGTGGATTCCTCAGCAAGCGGAATCATGACAGCTTTCAAGTTACAAGCGGCATCGAAATATAGTAGTATTCAGCAACAAAGGCTGCCTAGCCCCTTCACCGCCGGAGTTCCCGGGTGGTTTGCGGGGTACAAGATAGTTACATGGGGAAAATTACAGGGGGAAGGGACAAGCTTCCCCTGGCACGAGTGATTTACGATGTCACAAATAGCTTGCTCCATCAGGCTCCCTTCTCGATTTCCCCACGCATTCCAGATTTCCCCGGATTTAAACGATTGTGGGGTACACTGTATGAACCGTTCCGATATTGCTCTCCTGCGGTCCTGATAGGAATCGGAAGACTCTCCGATGGTATCCCCCCGCATCCTCGGCTTCACATGGCGAAACGATCCCTGGAGAACTGCTCGCAACTTCCCGAAAGGCGTTTTGAATCCGGGGTAGGAGACAAGCCGTGCTACACAGAGCATGGCCGAATCGCGTAACACGTTGCGTTAGCGAAGAAACAGACTGCAGGTACTCTACTCTACATAGCGCTTGTGGAGTTGTGGAGTATGCTAGAATATCCATAGTGCTACTCTTGGGCTGCTAGTCAACGGCAGGGCCCGCACGCCCGGATGCCTACAGGCTACACTTTATGCGTGCTCCTCCATCGTCGAATTTCGACCTCATGACAGGAATGATGTACCTGTGTGCACAGTGGGCTGCGCCATCGTTGCGTTACGTGGACGGCTGGGGAAACACCCGACCGCGGAAACTGCCGTTGTGGAGAAAAAACAGCTCTTCGGGTGAGTGGATAGAGCCTACATACTGGAGATGGTGGGACTCGTCGCATTGATTCCACATCGAAGAGCGAGTATAAATCCCCCCTCGGGCCTCTGCACTGGAGAGAAAGCCATTCGCATCGCCATCGACATCGCAATTCCATCCAGGTCGAGCACTTCAGCCCACAGCCCAATCAGTCCTCCTCAGCAAAGATGCATTTCACCGCCTTCCTCCTCCCCTTCCTTGCCGGCGCGGCACTTGCCTCTCCGGTGACCATCAACCGCCGGGGAGAGGCCGACCACATCGTGCAGACCGTGGACATCGACCAAGCCATCTACAACCGCATCGACAAGGCATTCCAGGACGCCGCCGCTGCGCCTGCCCTGGCGGCTCGCGCTTCTGGCGACACCCGCAACGACCTCAACGAGGGCAAGTGTGACGACATCATCGTCATCTTCGCCCGCGGCACTTATGGTTTGTTCCCATATACATCTGTTCCCTCTCTCCCTTTCTCCGTCCATGCTGATGGATCTCTCTCACCAAACAGGAAGCGGAAACCTCGGAACCGGAGTCGGCCCGGCATTCGTGGATGCCGTATCCGCCGCCGAGCCCGGCCGCGTGATCGTCCAGGGAGTACTTCCGTACCCTGCGCTCGTGGTACGTACCCCCGGCCTCCCCGGGTCGTCCCGTCCCGTCCCATGCGATCCCAGCTAACATCCACAAGATCGGCTACCTCGCCGGCGGCTCTGAAGAGGGTGCCGAGAGCATGGTGGCACTGACGCAGAAGGCGGCGACGCAGTGTCCCAGCGCACAGATCATCTGGGGCGGCTACAGCCAGGGCGCACAGGTTACGCACAAGGCGGCCGCAAAGCTGCCCACTGCTCTGTACTCGAAGATTGCTGGGATCGTGCTGTTCGGTGATCCATACGACGTGAGTAGCCCCTGCCCCCCCCCCCCCCCCCCATCTCCCCTCCGAGATACTGACTGTGCTATCTAGGGTGATGCCTTCCCCGGAACTTTGAACAACAACGTTCGCACGTTCTGCAACGACGACGACCCCATCTGCGATGGGCTGCCGCTGCCCATTGCCGGACACTTGACGTACGATGAGGATGCGGGTGCGGCGGGTGCGTGGGTTGCTGCACTGGTGTAGACACCCGGTGTATATATGTATCAATGATAGCATGCTTGACATATAAAATAAAATAAAACAAGGAGATACTATGTTCGTTGGATGACGGATAATCAGAAATCGCGAGTGATCGCTGAAGAAACTTCGGCGCTGGTGATTACCCGTGGGTGGTATAGTAATCGGCCGTGACATAATCATCAATGGTAGGTATTGCCACTCACGCAGACGGTTTGATTGGCTGCGCGGATGCGCTGGTAACGCAGTTCAATTCCGTGCCCACCGTTTGTTTGTTTTGTTTAATCATCATAGCATTCGAACTTAGCAGATTTCCGTGCCTACCCGTCGCCGTGGTGAGCAATGGGCATCCGGACCCATCCGGCAGCAGCGAAATATCACTCGTCATACTGAGACACAGGTGGATACATTCCATGGTCCATAGATATCAAATTAAAGGTCGAATGCAATGATGATTAAACAAAAACACAAATGGGTATCGATTAATATTCCACTCCAATGTAGAAACTCAAACTCCGCTGCAATGCTATAGTTATATAAAACCCACCGCCCTCCTCCTATTCCATCCAATTCAACCATCCACCAACAATCCAACAGTCCAACACAACCCACCCGCAACAACCAAGAAACTATGCAGTTCCCCACCCTCATCCTCACGATCCTGGCCATCACCAGCTCCGGCGTGCTCGCCGCCCCGGCCGCTGGTGTTCCCGTTCCCGGACTCGAGAAGCGCCAGGACGCCGTGTGCGGCGGTGGATGCGACTGGACTGCCGTTCCGGATACGTGCGGCGAGGGTTGCTTGTGCTTCAAGACTGTGAGTAGTACCCCGGACGATAGAATACGGAGCGATACGGAGGGATGCGGAGGGATGTGGAGGGATGGGGCTAATGGATTATGCGCGAGAAAGGGCCAACTCGGAACTTGTCATAATGTTTGAACAAACGGGGAAGTGAGAGGGAACCGATGAATTGGAGGATGTGAGGGCGGAGAGCCTTGAGAAAGAAGGGTGGGGGATTGTCTGCCGCACGTCTGTAGTCATCCAAGTTCTTCGGGCGCTGAAATGAGTAAATCATCGATCATGATTCATGACCCGTTCTGCACTACCGAGGCCAGATCTTTCTTCAATCAATAATTGACGTTTCCTTCACGTGTTTCAATGGCTGCTTCCAATACTCAGGCGATGGATGTGCATATGATTCCGTATCATAGGCCTCCTGCCAAAGCCCCTCAGCCTTCGTCGAGTGATTATCTATAGTAGATTCGTTTTGTTTTGTTTCGCGACTCCGATAGTCTCAGATTCATTTGTTTTGCATACAATCATTCTAGACTATTGCGAACCTGAATAGGTAGCCCAGCCTTTTCTGCCCGCTCTGCACAGGGCCATTCACACTTCAACGCCTCAGTTTCTCGCGGCCAACTTCCAAGAGCAGTAGGCGTAGCGGGTGACCTTTTATGAATACGCTTTTATCAACCCTAGGTGGTCAAGCCGTTGATAGGAATCAGGTCATCTTACGACAGGTAGGTACGCAGAAACTGTAAGGTTAAAGGAAGTCAACCGTAGAAGACCAAAACAACTGATGCTGTAATCTACATGCCTACCTAGAACTCGCTCGGCAGGGGGGCTATAGTACAAGGCAACACGATCCAGAACCAGCCAGCCGTCCGCGATCTTTCCGTTCAATCTTGATTTTCCAGCCAGCCTCGGCCTCTTCGCGGCGCGTGCAGTGCCGTGCAGTGCAATGAGCGCATTGACTCTTAAGCGCAGTTCAGCCCACGTGCCCGCGCCCGCGCCAAATCCAGCCAGCCAGCAGCGGACGTCCTCCGACTCTGCGAGATCTTATTGATCCTCATCTCATCTCGACTCTCCGCTCCAAAGTTCCAAGCCAAGCAAGTTTGCAACGCAACGCAAGGGTAAAGCTCAATCGCGATTCTCCCTCCCTCCTAACTTCCATTCAATCGATCTCCCGCGACGCCCCCATCCCCCGACGGAGAAGAGGAAATATCTGCCGATAAAACTAGCCGCAACCAACATTGAACAAACAAACAACCATCTAGCCATCCCCCCGCTCACCCCCCCGTTCATGCCCTGCCCTGATCCACCGGCAAGCCCCGTCTTGGCGGGGGGGGCAATTGTAACCTCGCACAACCAGCCCATACATACTCTGAAGACTCCCATACAACATAGAGTATACAGCCGCCCCAGTGCCCCCTTTCCCATCCTCGATTCCTCGAGCGAAAGGCCCAAACTTCAAAGGCCCAAACTTCGAAGTGCAACTCTGCCACGATTAATATTCCGCATCCTCCAGAGTCCGTATTAAGTTGAACATATTGACCGGCGAGTCCATGCCTAGAGTACATGAACCTGATCACGGAGAAAACCCACCGCCGCCGCCCGATCCGTGCGTGCATGCATATGTAACTATATTTACCCGCCAGCCCCCACGAGAAAACCAACCGAAAAGTTGAAACACGATGGAGCGCGATATATGACCGTAGAGTATACCGTATGCATGCATACTGGATTACTTGGTTTTTGTTCCTCAGAGGTCGAGAGGGTACATATCGGGTACCTAGGGAGGTATCTACTATTTACCGGTATTCTTCAGGGAGCGAGATGGGAGGGTGGGAGTGTGGGTGTGGGGACGGGGGGGATGGGGGGACGATGGGGAGGGGGGATGCATCGAATCGAGGGTGCGGTGCACGTGTGGAGTGCCCGGCGAGGGGGGTGCCCGGAGAGGAGAGAGGGGGGGGGGGGGGGGGAGAGGGGGTGGCATATTCCATATGCCAGATGCATGTGCACTGTGCGTGTGCGTGTTGCGTGTGCGCTCCGGAGTGGGTGGATACACATATGACTTCCAGGTATTAACTGAGCAACAAATATTTACTCGATGCTGCTGCTGCTGCTGCTCGTTGATCGTTGCTCGTTGCTCGAGCGGAGGTGGTATGCATAGAGTATGTACGAGATGCAACGCCAGCTGGGATCGTGTGAGGTTGTTGAATTGTTCTGTTTTTGGGTGCTGCTCTGGGCACGTAAATGGGTGTTCTAGATCTGCCATCTGCCATCTGCTTTGGTCTAGCCTTACTCTACTCTACTCTACTTTATTCTGCTATGCTCTGGTCTGGTCTGGTCTGCGCTGGCCTGGTCTGGTCTGCGCTGCTCTGATCTGCTCGCTCTGATCTGCTCGCTCTGCGCTGCTCTGATCTGCTCGCTCTGATCTGCTCGCTCTGCGCTGCTCTGATCTGCTCGCTCTGATCTGCTCGCTCTGCGCTGCTCTGATCTGCTCGCTCTGATCTGCTCGCTCTGCGCTGCTCTGATCTGCTCGCTCTGATCTGCTCGCTCTGCGCTGCTCTGATCTGCTCGCTCTGATCTGCTCGCTCTGCTCTACTCGCTCTGCTCTGCTCTGCTCTGCTTCGCTCTGCTTTGCTCGCTCTGCTCGAGAAGGGAGGATGGCAGGCTTCAATGTAGAAACAGGATCTCCAAAGCTGGGCGACGTAGAAAGGGTATACCGTATGGTAACACCGATCAGGAACCCCCCTTCCCCTGCTCCTCTCCCCTCCCCCCCGCTTCTCTCCTGACTCCTGACTCTCCCCTCCCCCTCTCCCCCTCTCCCCTTCCCCCGCGCCTCGGCGTACCTGCGTGCTTGCGTGCCCTGCTTTACACACACTTACACACACCTACTAGCAGCATGGGGGGGGGGGGGGGGAGGTGCTTGCTGAGTGCTCGTGCTCATGCTCGTGCTCACTGCCTGCTCCGGTCCTCTGCTCCTCCGGTCCTCTAGAAAGCGGAGTCTCGAAAGCGGAGAAGTGGAGAAGTGGAGCACTCCACCGATGACGACATGCATACCCACTTACCTACCTACCCACATTAGGCACCCAAGGTACTGAGGATCAACCCACTGCGTGGATAGCTGTGGAAAGTTCGCGTCGGTTGTGCAGGTAATCAAGTAATCGAGCAGGTAACCAAGCAAGTAAGCAAGTAAGCAAGTACCAAGCACCGGTAAGCAAGCAGTACTCATTTCGCTTGTCAGCCCTGCCTACTGCCTATTGCTCAGCTCTTCTCGCCAGTTTTGCTTGCCAATCTGACTGGCTCGAGCTCACGATCGTTCGGACTCGAGGGAACCAAGTAACAATGAGTGTGAATAGCCCCAAGCAACAGTGCCAGTGAGTGTGAATAGGAAGTAACAGTGAAGATGAGTGTGAATATCCCCAGATTCCGTGTATTGAATGTATCCATCCATCGATCCATTGTATCCATCTCATATGTACCCAAGTAACCAAAGTTCCAACGAGCGACACATACATGCCATCATACGACATATCTTCAAAGAAAAAAAAAGAAAAAAAGTAACACCCAGAAGCCGTCTCAAGCCTCAACGAAAGACCCAATATTCACACGGAACCTTCCCCCTTCCCCCTCCCCCCCCTCCAAAAAAAGTCCCATCCCATCCCTTTGTCCCCCTCCCTCCCCCCCTCCAAAAAAGTCCCATCCCATCCCTTTGTCCCCCAAAAACTCCTCCCAATTCCAATTCCAAAAAAACGTCGTAGCCCGGTGTATCCAAAAGAAGCCCTGTATGAAGGAAGCGAGTGCCAGAAAAGAAAAAGAAAAGAAAGGAAAGAAAGATCCCGAAGCGGAAAATGAAAGAGTAAAAGAAGAGTAAAGTGTACAAAAAAAAAACCCGTAAGAACTCCGACCCAGCCCGTGACATGATGTAGGAAATGTAAGAAATGTAAGAAATGAAGAAATGAAGAAAACACGACAGACAACCAGACGCGACACGACCATCTACTACCAACTACCATGGCGCGAGACTCATCATCTCGTCGTCGTCATCTGACGACACGAACCGCTTCTCGTAGGTCATGACTTGGTCCTCGTCCTCGTCCTCATCCTCCTCCTCGTCCTCCTCATCCTTCTCGGCGGACATGCTCTCGTCTTCCGGCTGGGGCATACACCACTCGAAGGGTGCTAGTGCCTTCTGCTCGCTAAACGTGGTCTCGTCCTTTCTTGTGCACAGCTCGACAGCCGTCATCTCGATCTCCACTTCGGTAAACGTCTGCGTATGGGTAGCGACGACCACGTCCGTATCCAAGCACCAGATCTTCTCCGTCTTTTTCTCAGCGGCGGGCGATTGGGCAGCGGCGACCTCCTCCCTCTCGATCTCGCCCAACTCCAGCTCTACCAGCTTCCGCACCCACTCGGAGCTCTCATCGTCGCCCATAGTCTCACCATGAGCCTTGACCCACTCTTTAAGCCTATCGAGCTCCTTTGCGCGCTCCATAGCCGTGGGCTTCTCGTAGTCGTCCTGCTCCTCCTCCTCCTCCTCGGGGAGGTAGTGGACGACGACGTTATCGCAGAAGCCGACGTGGCGCTCGCGACACAGCTCGCGTCCGCGGGTCTCGGGCTGGCGCGCGGGCATAAAGCTTGCGGCGGGCGTGCTCGGCTGGTGCAGTGACATCGCCTTCTTGCTGTTGACGTAGCGGCGGCGCCGACGCTTGTCTTTCATGTCTGGCGAGTCCGGAGAGTCGTCCGATGACGAGCTGCTCGACGCAGAGGACGCTGACGACGGCGCCGTGATTTGCCGGTTCATTTGTGTGTTGCGGCTGGTCGGCGAGAGCGCGGAGAATGGTGTGCGGCTCGTCGGTGTGGGTGGTGTCGCGATGGTTAGTGGTGTGATCTGGAGAGAGAGCTTGGGCCGTGGGCGCGGGCGCGCAGTGGCGCCGGCTGGTGCGGCGTATGCGAGGGGTGCGGCGAGAAGCATTTTGCTGTGGTTGTTGTTGTTGTTGTTGTTGTTGCTATTGTTGCTATTGTTGCTATTGTTGCTATTGTTGCTATTGTTGCTATTGTTGCTATTGTTGCTGTTGTTGCTATTGTTGTTTGTGGTGGTGGTGGTGGTGGTGGTAGCGAGATTCTTTCTCTTCTTGTTCTTCTGCTCTTCGGGATCGTCGGATTCGGTGTCGGATTCGGTGGTGGTGGCGGAGTCGGGTGATTTTGGACCACTGTGAGGCCAGTATGGATTGTAAGTTGGGTTGAGTTTGTGGGATGTGACCATGACGGCGGCGGGGGAAGCGCTTTCCTTTAGTACCTCTAGCGCTGGCCACTCCCATAGTGGGGCACCACCGGTGGCAGCTGCGTCGCTCGTGTAAAAGAGGCCTTGGTTTTTCGGAAGGCGCGCGCTGGTTGGCCGGGGCCGGGGCGCGAAGTATTTTTGCATCGGAGGGGGGTGGTGAGTGGTGGTTGAATGCGGCATGGTGTGTGCGAGGATGGGAAGGATAGGAGGGGAAGGGATGCGTTGCTGTCGTATGGCTCGCCGGATGGTGTCGTTAGGTTGGGGCTCGGACAAGAATAGAACGCGGGCGTGGTGTTTGCTGGCGGGGATGCGCGGGCTTGGCGGGGCTTGGCCGATGACGACGGGATGTGGATTGCGGTGGAGAACCAAGATGTCGCTGGCGACGCGGAGACGGCGGGGACGAACGAGGAAGGCGAAGCGGTGGAGGGGAGGCGAGCATCGAGCAAGGAAAGAGAGCCGATGGAGGGGAAGGAAGAAGCATCGAGAACCTCTGCGCGATAGAGTGTGGAGCTTGAGTCTGTCGGAGCGATTCGCGTTGAAGGAACTCTACTCGGAACTAGTGACTCTCTAACCATCTATGGCACGCGGCACTTGCGCACTCTCTCAACGCTGCAGTAGCGCCACACGTGCACTGCCACTCCATCCATCACCCGGCTGGCGGAAACACTTGTCTCGCCGCCTCGCTCGTCGCTGCACCGCCACACCGTCGCCTCTGACCAGATCCTATTCCCGCCAGATCCCCCTCGCTTCCACGCAACACTCCGCGTATGCTATCTATCCGTGCGTCTCCGCGTTTTGCCTCTCTCCTCGTGTCGCCCAGAACTCACGTAAAACACACAGCACGCAAAACACGCAAGACACCCGATGTCGCATCCCGTGCACGCATACGGAAAGGAAACGTCGAGTGTGGCGCGCGCTGTAGTAGGGACTCGGGAGAAATCGAGAAGAACCTCGTCCGCTCTGGAATTCGAGCGAACGAGCGACGCCGGAAAAACTGCCCACCCCCTGCTATGCATGTATATGTAGAGTATGTGTGCGTCCGCCATGATGATTCGTCGCCGCCGAGGCGATCGATGAAGAAATTTCATCAACACGAAACACTGCGGAAACACGACTGGAAAATAGTATGTATGTGAGCCTCGTTCTCAGCTCTGCTCTGGCTCTGGAGAAGTGGTGAGCCGCGCTGAACTGAACTCCTCGAAACGAACGAACGGCAGTTCTCCGCATATGTATGCAGGTGTGTAGGTAGGATGTGTGTGTGCCATCAGCTCAACAGTTCCATCTCCCGAGGGTAGATGGCCAAGTACACAGGTACTCTATGCAGAGTACCGGTATCCACGTCGAGGGATGGGAAGTGCTCTCTACATACACTACACTTCATCACACTTTACTGCACTATTCTGAAGCCATGTGTGATGTGTTTGCCCCGGGTTCTCCGTATTGAGCATGCCAGGCCCCAAACCTACCCACAAGAGTACATAACCGGGGGATAAGAATAGCGCCCTTTCCCCCTCCCCTTCCCCTTCCCCTTCCCTTCCCCTTCCCCTCCGGCTTCTCTTCCTATGTAAGCCCTGCATACACAGGGGGCTCGTCGCGGCATGCAACGGCTGTGATCGCGGGTAGCGATCGGCGGGGAAGTGAAGGGAAGGGAGTCGAAAGCAGGAGGCGAACCAAATCCGCTTCCTCTCCTCTGCATCCTCTCCCATCCGCTCCGACGCGACAAGCCAGTTCGAGCCTTCGGTGGCTCGCCTTGTTTTTTTTATTTTAAAGCAGGGACAGCGGAAAGCAGGGACAGCGGAAAGCAGGGACAGCGGAAAGCAGGCAGAGACAGCAGGCAGGGACAGGATCGCCAGCCAGAGTAATCAACGCGACGTCACGAATATGCCCTGTCATCTCCCTCAAATAACTACAGACATACATAACCCACAGCTCGCTCGGAATCGGGCGGCGGGCGTCATCACGGGCTGCATGGCTGCTTCGGGCGAGATGGGAAGGTCGAGGTGAACGTGATGGCTGGTCAGTGGTAGGCTGGTATGCGCGATGGAATTTATAGATCCTTCGAGCACCTATTCGAGGCTTTGAGCACATGCTGAGTCGGATGGACTCTGGACTCTGGAGCTCAACCAATCGTTTTGATTCAAATCCTACACGTTTCACGGGATCCGTCCACCCATTTAGGGCCCGTTTGGATAACACAAAAGCTTCGGGGAAAAAACTGAAGCTCTGAAACTGTGCGGCTCCGGCGATGAAACGGGAACTGACCTCTACATGGAGTCTGGAGTAGAGGTCAGTTTCTTCACCACACCGCATTTTAACTTCAACCATGGGCTGGAGCTGGTCTGGTGTCTTCACTGAGGCCCGTGCACGGGGAAGAGAAAAAAGGTGTCTACTATTAAAGTTCTGGTGAAGCCTATTACCTATTCAGACTTAAGTTGTGGCTGAGTAGGCACCTATACTGAGAACTGCCAAACACAACCCTCTATCCACCTCAATGTTTTCCGGTAACAGAAGCTGAAACCGAAACTCGACCGTACCTATTCGGTGTCCCGGTAGGCCCTAGGGGACTGGATCTGGCTCTAAAACTGGACCTGAAAAGTGAAGTGAGCCTATCCAAAGTTCCAAACGGGCCCTTATTTAGAGTACGAACAAACGAACGAACGAATCCCATCCCCTCAAGTCTCGAGTCTCACCACTTTGTACCTACATGAGTACGTACCGACCCTACGTACGTACGTTCCGCACTCTATCTGCGTGCCTGCGTGCCAGGTGCCTCGCTCGTTCACGGTTCGGCCGGTCAGTCAGTGACACCTCGGATAGAGTATCTAGAGTACTCTACTCTGGGTAGAGTAGGTATCGGAGACGAAAACAGCCCACCGCCCACAGCCCAGCACAGCCCAGAGCCAAAGAGAAAGTTGAAACCGGGGCAACTGGAGCCGCGACCGGAGTTACGGAGCAGGGAGCAGGGAGTTCGGCGAGATCTGGCTGGGTAGGGGACTGGTAGATCTAACATCATCTATGGTTGCATCTGGAGTATAGTAACTACCCTGAGCCGGAGTTTGTTTCATTCCTTGCGCGTTCCTTGCGCGTGGCTGAGCGTGCGAGGCTGGGCTGGACTGGGCTGCCCTATGCATGGTGGCAGAGGTGTGGCTGAGACAGAGACACGGACCTCGGCTGCAAGGTAGTTATGCACTCCAGGTACTCTACGCACAGTCCATCTCCGTTTTGCACATGCCTACTCCACATGCGCAGCCCAGTGTTTTGCCTGATGTAACATGTTTCGATTAATTGCATTGCGGGGCGACTGCGGATCCTATCATCTATCATGTATGTAGGATGTATGGGATTCAGCCGGCGGCAGGCGGCGGGTCTGTGCCTTGGAAGTTGGCCCCTCACTACTCACCACTCACCAGCTGGCCGCAGCGCAGCAGCGAGGCAGCGAAGGAAGGGCGGTGATTCGGGAACTGGGAAACAACCCTCGTTGAATGGGCGATTCGAGGCCGAAAGAGAAGAGAGGAGAGACAGACACCACCCACCCACCCGTGACTTGTTGACTCAATCCAAGTCTACTAGGGAGGAGGTATGTAGCAGTCACCCCTCACCGAACCGAACCGAATTGAAGCCTCGCTCGAGTAGATATAGTTGGTAGAGTGCAGTCAGCCTGCTGTCGCCGGTCGCCGGTCGGTGCGACGTGAGCACTGAGTCCGCGTTGGTGCCCGCCGCGACAGAAGACAGAAGACTCACCGGCGGCGCCGCGAATCGAGCGCTATTCTTGCGTACCCAGTTCTAGTTCTAATTCCGCCCTGACTGTCGCGACTCGCGTGTCGGAGGCAGCGGCGATCACGCCGTCTCACTCGTCCCAGTCCTGACTCCTGACTCCTGTCGGTAATGAGCCATTGTTGTTAAGTGTGCGCTGAAACACGGGCTCGCGGGCGCCCGCGCACGTCAAGCTGATCGCTATAATTGCTGAAATTGCGAGGCTTTTGTTCTGCCACCCACGAGCAATGTGCTCCAACTTGTTACTTCCATGACATCGAATGGGGCGAGTAGAGCGGCTCACTGACAGCCCCGTTTCTATTCCAGTAGTGTTTCCCATTGTGTTTCCCATGGATGTTCCGTCAGTTGGCCGTGAAGAAAAAGGACGAGTTGTAATAGCGGAGTTATTTCGAGCAAGTCGATGTTTACTTATGTACTTAGATTGCCGCTTCTGTGAGGAATCAGGATGAAACTCGATAGAACGAGTTACTACCCTTCACCACCACCACCACCACCACCACCATTGCAGCAGCAGTGCTCCTTGTTGGCAGGAGGCTCGCCTATTTCGAGAAAGTTGAAAGTTAAAACCATCGTGCGGAGCAGGTAGGATCGCGATTGAGCTTGTCCCGCGCGTTGGCTGCGTTGCGAACTTGCGTTGAGAACTTGCGTTGCGAGGTTGACAAAAGCGTATTCACTAAAGGTCACTCGTCACGCCTATTGCTCTTGGAAGTTGGTCGGTAGAAACTGAGGCGTTGAAGTTTGGATGACCCTCCAGGCTCCGTGGAGCGGGTAGGAAAGGCTGGGTTACCTATTCAGGTTTGCCATAGCTTGGAATGGCTGTATGCAAAACCAATTGATATTCTCTCTCTCTCGGGTGCTTGAATGAGTGCTGCGAGAGCTTCAGGCCCTGATTGATCGGAGGTTTCGTGCAGCTCAGCCTTTGAAATTGGAATCTCATTCTCGCAGATCCTTTAGATTCTACTCTCATATATGCCAACCACTCCAAATAGCTACTCGTGTATCTCGTATATCTCATATCACCAACCACCCAACCCCCACGGCATCAAAGTTCTTTCCTCTTCCACCCCACCGCCGCCGCCCCCAAGCCCCACCAACTCCACCCACCTATCCAATTAACCAAAATTTCCAACCAACCTATAGCCGGGACCGCAATATCCCTACAAAAGCCCATCTCATGCAGGTCCAGTAGTGGGTACAACACCCTCGGCCTACCATTATCGATCCTGACGTCGACGTACCCATTGAACTTGACGCGTGTGATATAGCAGTTGAGGATATCCGCGGCCCAGCTGCCCGGCATCCAGCCGGTCCTTCCCTTAGGCAGGGTGATCCACTTGCGGCCCGAGCGCGCGCCGAGGTTGGTGAGGATACTGACGGCGGGCCCCTTGCGCAACGCGAATGTGTGCGGTGGTGCGATGTGGATCACCCGCGCTTTGTCCGTGAAGTAGCTGTAAGGCTGAGCCGCGCGGAAGGCGTTGAGCTTGGAGATCAGTCGGTAGTGCGGACTGTCCCGTGAGAACCCCGTGTGCCAGAGGGCTTCGCGGTTGTAGGGATCGTTCTTGCCCGAGAATTGGTGTTCTTGTCCCGCGTAGATTATTGGGATGCCGTCGTGTATTAGGGTGAAGGTTAGGGCGTTCGTGATGAGCTGCGATGGTGCGGTTAGTAGGGTAGACGCAGTGAGGTGGGGTAACGACGTACAGATTGGTCGCTGGTGAGCGAGGGGAAGCGCGCCTGGTCGTGGTTCTCCGAGAAGGTGCCAAAAAGGTTGGTGTCCTGAGCCCCGTCAATATAGGAAAGCGATGGACTATGGGCATGTGAGGGATGGATACCAGGCAGTAGTCGCGCATCACATTGATCATCATGGTGAGCCGGAGGATATCACCCCTCGTCGACTGGAAGACGCTGGTAAGTGAATACCAGCTATTGAGATCAGCCCAGAGTTCAGAGAGCCAGCGTCGGGAGAGAGGTCTTGCATCGGATAGTTCAATAGGCCGTCAACGGCATTCTGATATTGACAGGTATATCCTGGATCCTCATGATAGACCTCGCCCATCGAAAAAACTGCAGCTGCAGCATTGAAGCTATACAGGAATTGCTGCCCCATGTGCTTGGCCGTGTCGATTCGAAGTCCATCAACTTGATTCGGTCAGCATGGATATCCCACCCACGGCGCATGGGAACTCACTCCGATAAGTCTCGACCAGCTCCTTGACCCACGAGTTCATTGTCTCCTGTACCCACGGCAGCGTGGTATCGACATCCACCAACGCAACCTTCTTATCACCAAGCCAGCACTACCGTACACACCGTCAGCATTTCATCTCATGCCCCAGCTCAGAAGTACCCAGGTAGCATGCGTACATTCTCGACCATCTCCTGATCATCATAATCCGTGATCCAGCAATGCTTATGGAACGCGCTCTTTTTATTGAAGGGAGCACCAAAGCCCTCATACGCCACTGCCTCCACATCCCCGGCATGTGCGAAATGATTCGGTACGACGTCGACCATCAGATACTACGGCGACACACACAACACAAACATCAGCGTCCGCCTGCACCACTGCATGCAGAACATAACTAGAGTAATATCACAGCACAGCACAGCACCCACCATCCCACGTGCATGCAACGCATCACTCAACTCTGCCAGCTCCGCGGCGGTTCCGAAATGCGGATTGAGCTGCGCGATGTCCTGGGCCCAGTAGCCATGGAACGCCTCGCCCCAGCCAGTGCGGCCGTCGATGTTCTTGACCACGGGGGAGATCCAGATCTTTGCCGTGCATAGTTAGTGTTAGCTAGCACTCACTCCAAGTCTCCAACAGCAACAGCAACACGGGTTACCGACAGCGGTGAACCCCATCCCCTGGATGTAATCGAGCTGCTCGACGATGCCGCGATAGCTCCCGCCGCAGTACTGGCGCGCCCCCGTATCGCACGGCCGCGTGGAAGAGCCGTTGGCTACGGCGAAGCGGTCGGTTAGTACTTGGTAGATGGAGCGGGTGCGCCATTGCTCCGGTGTTGCGGCCTCGCAGAGGGGGATAGAAAGGAGGGCGCAGAGGAGGAGGGGGAGATGGAAGTGCATCGTGATGATGGGGAGTGCTGGCAGGAAGGATGGAGAGCTCACGATGGAATTGTATGTTGAACTGATTGCTCGCTGGCGGGATCATGCGGGCTGAGAATTATCCTTGCTTTTCTTGTGCTACATACCTACACTGCATGTCTGTGTGTGATCTCCCGGCCAATACTTAACGACGATAGCGATTAAAGATCTCGTGGCACAAGGCCCGTCCAAAGAGCATGTCGAATACGCAGCTCGGTCGTTTCTTTTAGAAATCAGTGGAACGACGCATGGTATTGTAGTACCCGCCGCTCCGGCTTGAAGTTCAAGAGGAGCATCACGCACATGTCCGGTTTCCTTCAGTCTGGTGCCAGCAAATAGTCGAACTAAAGGGCTGTACCACTCCAGATAGCCGACGGTACTAACCAGGTATATAGTAGTGTGTAGCACCACCCCCACTTTCCACTTACCCACATGTTTCCCCAACATCATCGAGTGGTCATGGTTGACCAAACATATCACCAACCGGCAACGACAACGGCATACTCTCAGTTTGAGCCGTCACCCTCGAGCATGCAGTCCTTGGGCATATCCTTGGGATTACGTTTTACCGGAGGTGTGCTTCATGAACAGTGAGATGGCTATCAGTATAAGTACCAGGTATGTACTCCCGAAGGCTATGTTTCTGGATCAGTTATGCACCGCTATGCTATGCGCCAAAAATCTCAAGACACACACTCAAGTAGCATTGAGCAGCGATGAGTACCACGGCGAATACTTGGCGGACTCCCGCCACACCTGCGAGTTGTCAACCGAACAGTCGCCCGACTGCGCCACCCAATTCCGCCCGGTCATGTTTCTCGTCCAACCCCTCCCCGGTTCGTCGAAGCCCGCGGGCTCACAGTCGAGATATGCCTCGTAGCGGGTGGTACAATATTGGCGGCCCAGTTAGTGCCGGGCATGTCGGCCTTCGCCTCCGGCGCGAACGGCAGCACCGCGTGTTCCGGCGTCGTAAACTCCGGCAACTTCCCGGAGAGGTACTGGTGGCTGTACGCCACGTACGTAAACATGGTGGTGAGGTTTGTGGGCTGTACGCCACGTACGAAAACATGGTGGTGAGGTTTGTGGGCTGCGCGTCTGCGGCCAGAAACGTGCCGCGGACGAGGTCGAATGTGCTGGTCTGGTGGATACGGCTCTCGTGCGAGAGAACGGCGCTCATGAGGGGGGTCCCGCCGAAGACGATCGTCAGGAAGGTGCTGGCGGAAATTGTTACTGTCCAGTGCCTGGAAATGAGGGTTAGTAGTTGCCCGAGATGTGGCTTTGAACAACATACTTCTTGCGTATAGCCACGTACGGCACCCACACGTGCAGCATGTACGGATAAAACAGCAGCAGCGAGTTCTCGGCGGTGGCGCCCGCCGGCTTCGACAGCTGAAAGTACGGTTCGAGGCGCTTGACGTCATGATCGATGGTCGCCCAGATGAGGCCGTAGAGCACGGCGACCAGCGTGGGTCCATAGTCGCAGCAGAAGGCAACCCAAGTTGTCGATGAAGAGGTAAAGACTACGGCACCATCTCCATCTGATAGGTACAGCAAGTACGTAGTCACGCCTATCAGCACCAGTATCAACACCGCAAAGGCGACAAGTGATGGTAGTTTCAGCGTTGCGGGTCGCCAGCCGATCTTGTTTCTACTTTCTCGTGGCGGCGGCGACGCAGGAGGAGGTGCTGGAGGGAGATACTCGAACGAGTTCGAGTTCGAGTAGGACGGTGATTATGTATCCGGAATGGGTTCGTGAGCTTTGGGAGCGATTGATATGCGCGTCAACCCGATGATGCTCGTTGACTCCATGCGGTGGAACCGTCAACGTCGTTCCTGAGGATATTCGGACTGTGATGGGAACTTGCAGCGCGGAGGTGCGAAGACTCACGACTGCATATAACATCACAGATGCAGATGCTCCGACTGATGATCGCTCGATGATCATCAAACGCCTTGCTCAGCCTGGAGCCCGCAGTACCTCGAATATATTAAAAATATCTCTGGAATCAAGATGACAGCTAAGCATTTCACAGGCACCGAACCCTGACCGCAGCGAGCTCATCGCAGTGTAAGTACCTTGTGGACAAGTCATAACGGTGCCTATAAACTGCACGAGTGAGGTACCGTGGCGGGATACCTAAACCGTGTGCCCAGTCTGAACGTGTGCCAAGGCTCGCTGGTCACCCTGGACATGAGAGCATGGCCACATACTAGCCACATCAGCGCCAGGCAGCCATCCATGGAGAGAATCGCGACAGCCAAGGGGAGAATCGCGGCAGCCACTCTCTCTCGCTCTATCTCTCTTACCGCCGAGGCGTCAAGTCGCCAATTAAACTATTCAACGCGATAGAGACAACATAAGAACTCTCGTCACTCGAGCGAGCGCGGTTGTCCATCACCGAGGCGAAAGCGGGGCCTGCTTAGGAGAAATCTAGACTCTAGCGTAGAATATCTAGTGTCCGAAGCCACCGCTTGGCCCGGAGCGACGTGTTGTCAGAAGGAATGGTCACGGCCATCCATCCCCGCAGAGCTGACTGTTAACTTTGACGTCGCGTCGCGTAGAAGCGAATCACGATTTTGCACTAGTTGAGATGGAATCAGCACGTCGAGCACGCTTCTGATTTACAATTCTGGTTTCGGGTGAAGCATGTACTCAAGTACATACCAAACTTGTTTGCCGTCCGGACTCTTTCCCAGAGGTGGTTGGTTTCCCCGCCACCGGTAAACGTCCGAGCAACCCACGGCTCGCGCCGAGCCTCGCTCGCCTCCCCATATTGCTTCTTTACCCGCTTGCCCAGCGCCCAGCCTCCAAAATAAACACCAAACAACGCATTGCTCAATCACGGCAGGCCCTTGCAGGAGCGCCGTGCCCGAAGAGTTTAGGCGGGCCCGGGGGGCGCCCTATGCATGCCTACATATGCATGCCAAATCAAAGACGCGGATTGCGGGAAGAGACGTCACGACTCGCTGCTGGCTGTAGAATCTTACTAGTGGCAGAGATAGATAACGCGTTGGTTGGTTGGTTGATTGGTGGTGGTGCTGGCTGAGTGCTGGTTGGCTCGCTGTCCGCGGGCTGCGACAGCGAAGGAATAATCGGACAGCGAGCAGAGGACGGAAGATGTGGATGAAGAGGAAGGAGGGTGAATGGGTGTGGTGTGCCTGCGCAGGCGGATAGTCGTTTCTATGTATGCCCTCGTCTTTGCCTTTTGTAGGTTCCATACAAGCACAAAACCGCTGGCTGCGCTCGGGGCGCTTTTCTCCCAACTTCCCAACTCTCCCCTCACCATTTCTTTTCTTTCCTTCCCCCCATCCTCTCCTACCCATCACTCCGTCTTCCATCCGGCCCCCAGCCAACCACTCAGTCCGTGTCGTGGTCACGGCCCACCACACAGAGCCACACAAACACACAAACACAAACACCCCCCTCCTCTCACACAGACAACAACCTCCGCTGCAACCACACACCACGCATCAACCCCCTCCTCAATGAGTCGTCCGACCAGCAAAGCGGGTGCGATGCCACCACCTCCAACAACCTACCGGTACCGCGAGCCCTCCGCCGCGCCTACGCCATACTCGCCGGCCGCCACAACCCATTCCCTCCCGTCCTCCGCGGCCTCACCACGCACCTACCACTCCACACCACGTTCCTCCGCGCCACTGATCCCGAGCAGCCACGCACTGCGCACCGCCACGCTCCCCCTGCCGCCCGCAACCCCACTACCCGTGCACCCAAACGCGGAAGCGCAGCCGACCGTGCTGTCCACAGCGGCGACCGCCTTCGCGCTGCAATCGTACTTCTTCACGTTCCTTTTGACGCTCGGCTGGGATCCGCTGCAGACGCCAGCGCCGCAGTTCATCACGACTTATGCGTGGCTTTTGGGGCGCGAGCTCTCCCTGCCGCCCGCGACCGCACAGAAGCTATTTCTGGAGATATGGGATAGCTGCACGCCCACCATTGGCCTCGTCGCCACCGCGGTCCAGGGAATGGATCAGTCCCTGGGCTGCAGCGCCGAGACGAAGCGCGGTGTAGAGCGATTGTTTAAGCGCACGCAGGGCGCGGGAACGAAGGAGGCGCTGAAGTGGTGGGGCGAGGAGCGGCTCGCTGTCAAAGTCGGCGGCGAGGTCGTTGGACGAAGAAGGCGCGGCGGATGGGGCGACGTGTTTCGCGAGGTCAGGTCGAAGCTCAAGTGCTGGGGCAAGGACGACGGCGCGGATACGGATGCGGAGACGGTGCTGGGTAGGGAGAGGAAGTAGTGTGGTGCATAATAGGGGAAGAGCGGAGAGAGGGGGCACGATTGCGGGCGTTCTTGGGCGGTCTTTTACTGCGATACTATACTATATCCTGCTGTTCTTCAGCTTCTACCATGTACATCGTGACGAAGGCATGCAACATTCGATTCTTCACGTATGCTCGTTGCCTCATAATTCTTCATCATGCCTTCTTTGTAAACTTTGGCGACGGGAATTGTGATCCCGCGCTCGCACCCATGCGATGAGGTCAATTCATCTCACCGATTATTTACACGATATCGCAGGGATGGATTGATTTCTCAAACAAGCCTTATTTACACTTTACACCATACACACGTGTCCCAAAGCTTGACGTGGAAGTGAAAAAAATGAGATTTCGCCGAAGCAAAAAAATCACAGAGCCTCACGCGGGACTCGAACCCGCAACATTCAGATTAAAAGTCTGACGCTCTAGCCATTGAGCTAGCGAGGCATATGAGCATTTAATCTGCTTAGTCTTATGAGTACTACTTAAAACATCGGTAATGGTATATTCTGCAGGATGAAGTGTGAGGGTTATGCAGATAGATAGTGGACGGGAGGAAACCCGTGACAGTCTAGCTACTTTTCTTCCAGGAAACAGTCAGTCATCTTTGCCATGATACACGGCGTGGCTTACGTGCTCGTCCCTACTGTGCAGTACGTAGAGTAGCAGCAGCTCCCTTCGCTGCGCGTGCATAAGCGGACTCTGCTGTAATCGAAAGGCTTGTATTATCGTAACAGGTCGTCATACATCTTGATTATATTCCTAAAGCAAAAGAAACGAGAACCCTGAGAAACGCCTATTTTAAACTCCAAAGTAACCCCACCCTTCTCCCTGCCGATCCTTCTCTCTCGTCATCCGTAAGACGTCTATTTCGAACTCCAAAGCTACCCATCCTCCTCCCTGCCGGCCCTTCTCTCTCTCGTCATCCCCTTATGTATTCTCTCACAAGAACCGTTTGCGCCCCGAAAGGCCGCTGGAGATCGTTCGCCTTTGGAGTCGGAAGATGCGTGGCGGGCCTCTTGTCACGACAGCCAAGCGGCTCGGCGAGTGGTTCTCCTCCTCGCAATTATTGGCGCTGTCACCGTCAGCATCCAAATTTAACGAATTGATCGTCTTGACTCTCGCTTCTTCCCCCAATCAGCAGCCATATTTAACTACTTGTCTCTTTTTCTCCGCCGCCGGCCTCTTTCGGAAAATTTCGGAAAAAGTTCTGAGCAAATTCCACGTACATAGCATCCGGTAATGCCGGTAATGATGGGGCGGTCGACGGAACGGAGAGAGCATGGGAACGGGGGAATACCGCACATTTTGCCATGTCGGGAGTAGTATTCCAAGCCTCGGATGGGAACTCTGCCGCCCCAGGCACTGCCATCTCTTCGGCGGTAGAAAGCAGCACAGTCCTCATCTCCGCGATGGTATACGGAAATCCGCTGATCAAGGCGATGGCGGGGCGACAGCTGTTCCAGGTCGACATGTAGACACGTACGGACTGGTCCACTGCGCTCGGCACAGTGAATTGCGTGGGGAACGCAAACGCGCCTTTGTCATCCACGAGCCCGGTGTCGCTGGGGCGAGATAGCGGTTTGAGATTCTCCGGGCCCGTCTCGATCCAGAAGATTGTGCCAAGATTGCCGAATCGCTGACGGAGCTTCGCGAGTGGCGGAGAATTGGGCGCGAGCCGGCATCGAATAGTTCCTGCCATGTGATTGTTAGTAATGAGTTCCGAGATGCAGCTGGTGAAGGAGACCGGCAAACCCTTGCAGTGGAGTTTATCACCCTCCACAGGTTCCATCGTGTCCAGCTGCAAGTAGAATAGCGAAGCAATGAGTCTTGCGGAAAGGGATTTAATTTTCTCGGAGTACTTGACGCAAAAGTTCACCGCCTGCTCCACCAGATCCTCCATCTTCTCAACTTGATCGAGTTTGGGAAGTTCCTGCACGACCTCGACGTTCAGCCGAGCAAACCTCTTGTCCAGCAGTTTGGAATCGATCGAAGGTTGCTTCATGTATTGGTCCCAGGCTTCTTGGGGGTTCATGTTCATTTCTGTCTGATGAGCGATGATCGCTTTCAACCGTTTGATATATGCAGTGAAGCCGCGATTCATCACGAGTTCGTCCAGCTCGACGCCACTGTTTCGTCCGCGTAGCGATTGACACCCCGTGCCGATGGAGAAAACGAGGTCCGGATGAGGATGTTCCGGCCAGAGCAGCGTGCTCTCGGCTGTCGCTACCCATACTGGATTATTGTGCAGCAGGGCACCGTCTATGAAGATTCGACCGGAGGATTTGTGGTGGAATGGCTTGAAATAACGAGGTGCTGCTGAAGTCGCCCGTGCTCTACACGACGAAGAGATTAGCGAAGGTAACAATGACCATCAGCACAGCAATTTTGAGCGGCGTACGCTTCCCAAACTGCCATTTCCTCGTCCTTCTTTTCCGCTCGCAGGAATTCGTACTTTTGCTTGTCGCCTACCCGCGGTTAGTATGGTATTTCTTTTCAAGAGGGCGGCTCCGTGGAGTTTCTACCAGCGACGCCTGTTCCGGGGTTACGATTGTAATTTGCAATGATCAAAGGATCCAGTGCGGACGATACCATCGTGACCGCCACCTTGGTTGACTTTCCCCCGGTTCCATTGCACTCTCCAAACATTGGCTTCTTCCCAAACGCCTCCAGTAACGACGCATTCAATCCCGTGGATTTGTATTGGCCGTGGTGAGATGCTTCTACCAGAAGCCTGAGGCCAGGCATGTTCATTAAAGAGCGTTTCTTGAATGCCTCGATTGCGAATTTGATGAACATCTCGGTGCATTTCTCCACAGTCATTCCGCCGACCGTAAGACCCAGAGCCACGATACCGCCGGCACTATCAATTATACATCAGACGGGTCCGTTGCAGCCTAGTTAGATGAGAGGAGCGTACCTAGTGCCTAAGACGAGGTCGAAGAACCCTTGAACCGGCATATGCACCCCGATGAGCTCTTCTATAGCTTTCTCCATTGCGGACAGTATCTTGAGTTGCATGATTGCCCGAATGCCTCCGCTGAGCGTATATTCTAGGTGAGTTGTTGAACCAATGGGACCAAGAACAAGAATCACTTACCCATCTAGAGTGAGAATCCGGGGAGCAGCCTGGCGCGGGCCTCTCTTGAGAGTCCATGGTACTCTCTGTCTACCAGCAGGACATAGAGGACAATGCCGTATAGTGCGAGTGCAGGCATCGTGCGAAAGGTCGGAAAAATCATCGATACAGGCGTCGCAGAGGATGTGTCCACAGGGCAGAACATGCACCGGAACCGAAAATAGGCAAGCCAGACAAGTGGTGTTGCATGGAGACCACATGTGTGCATAGTCCGCTCTAGCAAGTATTTCTCGATGTCGTTGGACGACTGCGGTTCGAGTACAGTAAATCCCCCTGGAAATGTTGTTGAGGAGTTCCGAGAACATGTCCATGACGCCGTAATCCATACCACCCGACTCGTGCTTACCAGCTTTGACCACGGTTCCGTTGGACAATTGGTGGCCTTTGTCGTGTCCTATGATCATGTTCACGCATCGGTTGCCTTTTGCGTCCCGGTAGCTACACGGGCAGTGGTTTTTGAAGAAAGTGGTCTTCGCAGCCTCGCATGGCTGTTGGTATTGCAGGAGTAGGACGCCTGCCGTCACCCAAAACAGTCAGTAAGGTTGACTGGGTAGAAGAGATTGTCAGCATACCTAGATCCAAAGGAAAGTTTTTGCGTCTGGCATCTAATAGAATCGAGGATGCTAGGAAGGGCTCTAGCCCGGCGAATAACAGGTTATAGTCCGAATATTTATTGTTGCTCATAAGCCGTGTAGCTGCTTTGACGATATGCGAATCGCTGGTTCCGAAGCCCCCCTCGAACTGATTTTCCGTATCCAAAAAGTTGAAAGCCTCCTTGTAATGGTTCTCCGAAAAGTGCGTAAATGCCCGTCTGAAGTGGAAATCCAAATGCTCCCCCCCTATGAGGGCACCCTTATCACGGCGCAGCTGGGACGTTTTTTCTGTCGCTCTCGATATGGTTTCCCGGAGCTTCTCAAATTGCGTTTTGATACGGGTGGGGACTCCGTCGACCCCAGCCACCGGAGGGATGCAGACAATATCTATTGCGCAATAGTAGCATAAAACGAGATCAAGGAAAGTTTCCACGCGTTTCCCTTTCTCGCGCCAGAAATTCTGCTGTGACTTGAGCTCGGTAATCTCGGGGATCTCTAGATGAAGTAATTCCATCAATTTGCTCTCGTCGGCCTAGAAAACTGCACGTCAGTGCTGCTCCAGCACCTTATGGGAAAAGCACAGTACCTGCTCAGTGTAAACGTTGACGATAATTATGGCGTATGGTAGTAGTGGCTGGTTGGTCGAAGCCTCAAAAACCTTGCTCGCCCACTGCACCAAGCTGTTGAGCACCTCCTCGTGTTTCCTGGGGTTGTATCAGCTTGGGTGTAGCGAAAACATTCCTTTTTTCCTTAGGGAAACCTACCGAATATTCCTGGTAACATAACATATGACATCACTGAAGGTGTAAAGAATCATCGGATAAAAATGCTCAACCATCCAGGAGCGTGAGTGGTCCCCAGATCTTGCCCACGACATACAACGGGCTTTGGACCTCGAGCCGGAATCAGTCTTCCTCACATCCTTATCTGCAGCTATTGGAGGGTTGTTGCCTCCACCGAAACCCTCACAATCAGCGTATAGGACTGGGCGCTTGGAAGCAGGATGACAGGTTGAGGGGTCCGCATATAGGTGAACGTCACTGCTTGTTGGTTTTGTGGAATCGGCGGTGCTTCCAGCTATGGGTAAATCGTACGCTCGACTTTGATGGTGATTCGTGAGCTGGAATAGGTAATTGAGGTTAGCTACCTTGGAGTATACATGGAGAGGTAACAAAAACAACCTTCAGAAGGGAGGTTATCAACGAGCTTTTCCCGGCTCCGGTTTCCCCCACGAAGCTGACTAAGGCGGGATACTGATCCTTCTGGATGCCATTGGAAATGTAGATCTCCGAAAATCGGGCGGTAGTGTTGAGTAAGACCTCGTTCTCGGTTGTGACTCCAAACCACTTCGTATTGTGATTCTTTTTGTGAAGTTGCTTCCGTTCATCCTCATCCTGTGGTGGGCTCACAGATTGCAGAAGTTTAACCATATCTCTGAGCTTGAGTTCGGTTTTCGGGTGCTTATTTTTACGGTGCGCTGCTTGTTTATCCCAGCATCCCTCACATACGACGATCCCGCAAATATGGCACCATGAAAGCCCGGTAGTTCCATAACATTCGGTATTCTCACACTCCTCTGGGGAGCTGTTTGCGGCGGCGGTCGGATCATCTGGCTGACTGCTGTCTTCGTCCTCGGAGCCCGAATCGTAGGCATATTCGTCATCGAAGGACGCAACGAGTGTCTGCAGCGCGCGTGTAATTAGCTCGGCTAGGAAACTTCCTCCTCCCCAGCCAGATCTAAACGAATGGTACTTACCGATGCAAGGCTTGAAGTGCTACCTGAGGACAGCCCTTTTCGTTCTTTCGAGGCTGCACCTGTTGCCTTAACCACCTTCTTGAACACCGCGCGGAAAAGCTCTGGAACGGTAGGGGGTGACATTGGTGTTATGGCTAGTTAACCACTGGGGTGACTTGGTGGTAATTGCGCGTTCGAGATCTCTAAGATGTTGGGTAGAAAGCCTCTTATTGTAGGTGTATCCGTCCACAAGGAAGCTTCCCAGATAAATGAGCGTGAGAAGCTCCAACGCAGGCTCGGGAACGGCGCAGATGTCCTGTACTATGTTGGATAAGATCAGGATTGGAGGATGCCTAGAATGCCCCGAAGTAAAAACAACGAAAGCCCCAAGAGGACCGCTTTCTTCAGTGGCACTCATATTGCAGCTGCGGGTCGGTCAGTTCCATCTCGGAGGATGCAGCTAGACCACTATGCAAACACCTGAAGGAAACCAATCGAGTGCAGACACACTTCGCGGATTCACCTCACTCAATGCGCCCCGCTCGAGAGTTACTCGGATCAACCGATCGAGGCCGATACTTTCATGCTCGTCTGCCAATTCGGAACCGCGTGTAGAGTTTCGTGCCCCACCCCGCTCACCCTGATGGTTTTTGCGTGTGGGTTGCGGGGTACGATTTGAGCCGCACTCTCCCTGAAGCCGTTAACTACCCCGTGAGGCACGAAAAGTTGGGCCTATCGGATGGCGACACCTTGCTAGCGGCGTCGCGGGCATCGACCTGAGTAGAGCGTCTAACAAGACTCTTCAATGTGCTTCTAGAGAGTCACCATGATAGAACCCTGATTCGCGATCACCTGCGAGTCGGGACTCCAACTCAAAAGTGCTTGAGCTGAGGTGTGCCACTCTGTGTTGTGGGGTAGATAGCGGGTTTGAAGACCGTTTACCGTATTCTTTGGTTTAATCCGGTGTAGACTGTACTTATAGGTGACGTAGCCCGACAAAAGGGAACAGCGGAAATGAAGGATGATGGAGAAGTTGAGGTTTTATTCAACTTCGAAGAGCTATCTCATAGCTCTCCTCCGCTGCCTACAACGTTCGGTGCCACCAGATCCGGCTAGTTCGGCTATTGTGACCACCATTCGGGTCCACCGATCCGACTAGGTAGTTAGCCCCTCCTCCTATCTTATCTGATCCTCTCTCTATCCTCCATATCGCTCCTCTCATGGTGGTGACAGACAACTTAATGCATGTGGGTCACTGTATCTGTGGTTGAATGAGTACATACCGTATTTTGGTGTAAAAGGGCTCCTGTTCGGTTTGTTTGGGGCTGGTACTGTGTGGGATGGAGTCGATATACCCCACCATAGATATACCTCGAGCGTACTCGTATGTACTATGAGGTGATCCGGCAGGGAATTACTTAAAATAGAGACTTCGCATGATTTTCGTCAAAGCTGCCAATTGGATTGTAGGAGGATTCACACTACGAAGGAGTGTATTGGATGAGAAGGATCTCCGTCGGATCCATTATGGTAATTCCACAAAGGTCACACCAGCCAATGAAAATTGCCGATGTTGAATTGCAAGCTACAGTAACCCCACTACATATGCCATAATTATTGAAACCCTAGTTACCAAAGACCTGTCGCAACGCGCCGATATGAGCAACAATAGCAAGAGATCTACTCCGGAAGATCCCACATACCTGGTGTTCTTCGGCGCAACCTCTTCAAGTCGTAGAGAGTGGCAGGAAACCCGCCCACGGAGGGCGTATGCTGACCTCGCATGAGGCGGATACTTATCGCAGCGTCGATAGAGTCGACGATGAACTCTACTGAAAGCTGGAATTTCTCTTCATCGAGCCTCTCTCCGAATGATCTCAAGATGGTTTTCCCATTGCACTCAATAGAGAACAGTGGTCCGCTGTCTTCCACGACCTCTCTCAGTTGTGCGAGAAGTTTCGGGTCGCTACCAAAACGGCAGAGGATTTCACCTTTTGCTATCAGCGTTACCCAGAGGTGGGGAGTGGTTTATGAACGGACCTGTACAACGGAAACGGGTGCCTCTGGAGGTGCTAATGTTTTGGATCTTGACGGGCTTGAAGTAGAAAACATTCGCAAGCAGGGTGGCGACAAGCCTCTCAGCTAAGCTTTCATCGGAATGTATGGATCCCAGCGCGGCGTAAGGTATGTCAGCAGTAGCCTTTACATGGCAGCGAAGGTATTCAATTTCGTATATGAAAATGGTCTCCAGATCCGGAGTCGGTATTTTGGCCACTGCTGTTCTGTGTTCCATAATCATTGAGCTGGACGGTCGCGAGGAGTTGAACTCCTTCCGAGCGGCCTTCCTGCCTGCTACGATGGCTTTCGTGCCCGCTCCGACGGCCTTCGAGACGACTCCGACGGCTTTCGTCGTCCACCTGCCGTGGCGGCCAGATTTCGTTGGGATAGACTCTCCAGTCCTATCGCCCGCCTTGTTCACTGCCATTGATGGTGATCCTGAAGAACCACTAGACCTGTGCCTTGGCTTGCAGTAACTGACACATAACTAGATAAGTTTGATGCGACTTCGAGGGAAAGGAAGAGAGAGTGTTTACCCCGCCCATACACTCAAGTCTCGATAATTCCCCTCAACAAGGGACCGTTTTTCTAGCACATTCAATCAGTCTAATGACAATCCAGACGCAGGAGTGATTTCCTACCTTCGTCCGGCGCCTTGTAATCAGGAAAGACAAACATGCATGGATGTCTCTTTTCGGCCTGAGTGATTTCGCGGAGAGTCTCCCGGAAACCTTCGGAACTAAAAGTACACCGTATCAGTGATTGGATACAGCATGGCGTCTTCTCGTACTTACCAGATTATCACGTCGACAATTGCATATAGAGGTATTCCTCTAATCGATGTCTTGATGTGTTCCAGAAGATCCTTAGTTTGATCAACATTCCTAAGAACCAATCAAAACTGCTTCGAAGTAAGATTGAGATGCTATTCGGCTACTCACCCAGTGAGCACAAGGACTCGGGGAAACGTTTCCCGCGATTCCCATCCCGGTCCAGACGTGCTCCGGTCTCCGAACTGCGCGTCAGAGTCGGAAAAGTCTTGTTGACAAAGGCGGAAAATTTCTTGTTCACCCTGTAGTAGCTGAGTAATTGGAAGTCCTTTGCAACATTCGCATTGGCAAAAGGATGGCACTTTATCGATATTGATACGTAACTGTGACAAAAGCTTGAGGATCCGCCGACGGTTATTGAAAAGCACACTCCCGGGATTACTGTGGTGGGATTCGGTAGCATCGCTTTTCGTGTCGGCAACGTCTGGTCCTAATAAACCGTTGGTGACATCGGTACCGACCGTAGACTGGTGTGCTGCTCCGGTGGAAGCGGCAACCCCAGCAGTGTCAGACGCACCATTCTCCATGTTGATCATGCTTGGCCGCCTGACTCCATATTGGACAGCTCCCGTCTCCCTAGCAACCCCCTGAAGCTCCTGCAACTGCCGCATGTACTCTTGAAGAAAACGATCAGAGTCGGATTCACCTGTAGCAATAGGCAAACTGAGAGGGATCTGAGATTGGCCGAGGCCAATGCTTGGGGTTTCCGGGGGTGTTGACCCGCTCGGGGACGGTCTGCCGACTGTCGTTGCTTCCTGGCATACTTTTTTATATTTCTGAAACACGAACGGGGCAGCGGTCACTACTCTGAAGTCAGCTCGATGAACACTGGGGAGAAATATGGAGGAACTGACATGTCTGTGGATATTCTTTGTGGCGGACATCCAGTAAGATGCTCGACGCAACCAGAGTTTCTAGATTTTTTTCTCCGTCATCATGCCCCCCCCTGAATGTGAGATTCTTCGCCGTTAGGTTGACTTGGTCTGTAAAAGCCGCCTGTACGGGATTTCGTCGAAATACTGTCTCGAGGAAGTTGAATTTGAACGGCCTGGAAGGATTCTGAGAGAAGTAATAAAATGCATGCTCAAAGTAGACATCCAGGTCCTCGCTATTGAGCAGAATTTCAGCCTCTTTCTTCTCCTGAACGATCTGCTCCACTGCCTTGTGCACTTCCGTCACTAGTGCCCGATATTGAGACAAGACTAGTGAAGGGTCCGAGCTTGAGTGTGGAATGCAAATAATCTTGATGCCAGTGTAGTATCGCAAGATCAAGTCGTGAAGGTTCTTGATACTCTTCCCCCTGTCCGTCCAATCGTCCACCAATGACTTAAGCGGCTCTTTCTGGATACATTCAGCATGGGTGTTCAAGGTATGTTCCGTAAATTCGGTATGGTATAGAGGAGAAACTCCACTGATGGACTCCGACTGGACTGGTTATTAGCATATCCTCTATCCGAATGACAGTGATTACTCACATTCTCTACCGCGTTAACTACCACAAATAAGTATGGCAGTATCTGTCGTCCCGCGGACATCTTAGCCAGTAATATCAATTTGACGAAGGTCTCTTCGATAACCCTTCATGATGTCAGCACAGAATATAGTCTAGGGGTAATGGTTCCAGCGGCCTCACCGGGGATTCCTCGTAACATATACCGTCACATCCGAAAGTGTGAGAAGTATATTTGTGCAAGTAAATCTGCCACCGAGCTCGCCCGAACGTAGCGAAGTTGTGCTGCTTCCACAATCTTGGTTGGACGACAAAGACTCCTCGGCTGCACCTGCCGGGCTCATCTCCGTCACGCCACTATCATCGGTATGTGCGTAAAGCCAGGGAGTGTCCGATTCGTCCTTGAAAGAGTCGGCGTACAAGTGAACTTCTTTGGCAAGGTTTCCAAACCCTATGGTTTGAACCACCGGAGTTTGAACACCTGGTTGTGCTCCCTTACACTATGGCACAATAAGCATGGAACGAGTGGCAGAAGGAGCATGTATACCTTCATCAAAGCCCTGATCAATGTGTTTTTTCCTGCACCAGGGTCTCCAATAAAACTGAGCAGGGTAGGATACCTCGGGTGATCGATACCCGCTTCCATAGACAGTTCTCCATACCGGTGCTCGAGAGAGATATTTCCCTTTGCGTCCACTTCATACCATTTGAACTTGGTTTGGTCAATATTCGAAGGTTCTTCAGAAGAGAAAAGGGATGGCAATATCGTTTGAAACCACAATTTCATCCTAGGGTGCTCCCGGGATCCTCTTTTGTTCTGATGAGCCACCTGACGGGACCAACAATTTCCGCACAAAGTTGTATCGCAAATGCTGCACCAGGAGACCTCATTAGTAGTATCGCATACTACACACTGCGTAGAAGAAGCGGCCTGCTGGGTATCTGCGGTTTCGGTAATTTCAGGTAGACGGTCTTTGATGGTCTGGGAGGCACTGGATGTAGCGGCTATTTCTCTGCCCCTAGAAGCATCCTTCGAGGATACGAATCCGGAGACCGGGGTGACCGCACCATGGACGACATGCCGGGTTTCTTCTGGGTTCCGACTTGCATCCGGCGCAGAGTGCTCGAAAATATCTCCGGTCTGGTTCATCGGGAACATGAGAGTCCCCAGCCCAGATGGTGGTGGAATACTAAACTCCAATTCTCGTTTTGTTCGATGGGCGCCTGGTATGTGGTTGAGTTGTTTGACTTCTGACGTATCCCCAACATGGCTTTTGGAAGCCCCCAACACGATCCCGGGCGGAACGTACTCGGAATTGTCGGCCAAGAGTTTGGAGATGCTCTGCGGAGCCTGGTGAACAACAATGGGTGTTTTTTCGAGCAAGGGCGCAATATTCTCTGTCAAGCCTACTTCCGAAGAACCCGTCAATTTCCTCAGATTCCCATAATTCTCGCCCCCCGTAGCTTCGTGCTGCGATTGATCTTGTCCGTAGACAGAAAGTCCGTTCTTCGTCTGTGCCGTGCTTTGCCTCTTGGCGACGATTCCATTGCCTTCTTCGTCGGCCTGAAGATCGTCCGACCGCTCTCCGCCAGTATTGGGGTTCCCTGCCAGCTGCATTCCGTCCTCCTCACCAACTCCCCCAGCAATAGAGACACCTCCCGTCTGACCGCGGAGTGCGAGCGGCCCCGGGTCGTCAGTGGCGCCTCCCCCGGCACATGAATCTGCTTGCTCCATGTCTGCGGCTGTGGCTGTGGCTGTTCGCTTCAGGGCAGTAGGCGTATGTGCTCGAGTTTTGTCTTCGGATTGCCGGCTTGGTGCACTTTTCGCCCATATCCGAGTCCCAACGAGTGCGGTGAGTCGCTCCAGCAGCACGGTACGATCCTCCGGTGTCATCTCATCCCCCCTTCTCTTGACCCATATCTCGCGAAAGTCCTCGAAAATTTCATCTGTCAATGATTTCCTCGTATTCTGATGGCTACTTGACAATATACTGAATGGGGCATAGCATTTAGTTTTGTCCCTAACGAGAAAAGGGAAGTATCTTTACGTTCGCATTGACATGACGTTGCCCATTGGTCCACTACGCCCCGCGGGCAGATGGTTCATGTCCTGGTATGGAGGCTGCTTGATGGAAGCTCGAGGGTTTGAAGTCGTTTTACCTTCAGAACTGAGGTCGAAACTGTTTGCGCGAGGTTTCAAGCGGTTGAAAACCCGTTCACGGAAAGTACTATCGTCACCCATGGCAGGAGTGGGTAGGTGTGAACGTAGATTCCAACTGCGCGTTGCAGTGCTGGCACGCTGGCTGGGGGAACATAAACTAACATGGAAGAGCGATTCTCCGTGTGGGTGGCACTGTGCCGGTTGTGTCGTTGGATATGAAGCTTTCGTCAGATGGTATTCCCAAATGGCCTGCATGGAGTCCAATCAGACGGGGCCACCTAAAAGCACACCTTATCGCGATGCCCGTATGTGCCACGGCAACGAACTAGAATTATCCACCCCGCTCCGGCTTGTTATCAACCGATCATTCATCTTGCATGTCTAGGAAAGCATAAAAACCAGACGGCCAATGGGTTCGCTATGTATTCTATCTGCTACATTCATAGGAAATTCTGGCCCTCTATTACTATACTACCGGTAATTATGCTGTGTGTCCCAGAAAGCAATGGCGAATGGTATTGATCATAAAATACGACAACAGCTGCTTTTTCCTCAGGCCCTCTATTGCTTCTGGTGGGGCCTGGCCGAGCTTCCCCATGTACGTCACATCTTTCAGCTGGGCTCGGTGTGCATGATGTTGGTATTAGCGGAGGATTGGTTAGCGCGGCCAACCCCGCGACGCCCATACATACCTTGCTCGCCTACCTGAAGGCTGAAGCGCGAGATCGCCCGCCGCGGAACCTTATTCGTGCCAACATCTCAGGGCATCCAAAATCCGACACCTTCTTCACGTAGCTTATAAAGCTTTACACAGGTCATTGTTCAGCTACGGTCATAGAACCATGAATACACGGCTTCCCGTCCGCTCAGCCCGTCCGCTCAGCCCTAGTTAAGCATGGTATCGCCAGGTTAGTACTGCAGTGGGTGACCATGCGGGAATCCCTGGCACCGTAGTTTTTTCCCCTCCTGTTGATTTTTTTCCCCCTCAGCTTTCGTCTGTCAGACTCGCATTGTACCTGCTTTCCGGGTTTGGGGCTCTGTTCCTCAGTGTTTGTGGTGTTAGGGACCTCACATCGCACAAGAAAACGGCCCCGGTGTCTAGCAGCTCGGTACCGGTAGTTCCATTCTGTCTATGTGCCGTTGAGTACCAGACACTTCTTTACCAGCGGGAATACCGGTATTTGCGCCACGTGTTTATATCCCAATTCACAATTATCACTCAACCGATAACTGTTTAGCTCCGACATGAAGATTGAAAAGTGTTCGTTATGGACAGCCACGAAGGGCCTCAGGATCATATATACAAGAACATATTTCACTCTGAACGTTCGACACGCAATGCCTTGGTCACCACCACGAGCCATAATCCCCGCCTGCAAGCTCACTTCCCTCAGCAGTCCTCCTCCTCCGGTGCCTTCCTTCCGATCATTATGTGCCTGCACGCTACTATCAGCATCACAAAGCTTGAAAGTTTCATGTAGCCTGTAGGGGGAGAACTCACATATGGAAGTACCCATGTACGGACCGATCTCGCACCTCCTGCGCACAGTCGACAAATAGCTGCTTCGCCTCATCAACGTCCATGCCCAAAACCCGGGTGAGGAGGCCGAGGCCGTATGCTTCAAAACCGGTGTTAACCCTGATCACACATCAATAAACGCGGCACACGGAATGGGGGGAGGGAGGGACGGAGGGGCACATACATCACCGTCATCCACTGCCCCAGCTCCTTCATCTTCTTATCCGCCGGCCACGTGCCCAGGGGCAAGTTCTTGATGGTGACATTAAAATCATCGAACCCAGCGTCCTTAAACTCCTTCGCAAAGTCGCAATCGAGGCTAAAGCTCCTCTCCACGGTCTTGGACGCCTTATTGGCGAGCTCATAGAACCTCCACAGCGCCGTGTCCTTATTATACGTGCCATCGTCGCTAGTGAGATCGAAGCGGGGGCCCTCGAGGATCTCGAAGTACCCGCCGGGCCGCAGCGCTTGGTACGCTTGGTTGATGAGCCGCGGCCAGTCCTGGATCGACCCTGCCATCCCCCGCACGTGGATGTAGTCGAACTTCGACTCGAACGTCCAGTCCGACTCCGCGTCGTCGACGAAGAACTCGACGTTGGGAGGGACCCACCCCGGCTGGATGGGGGAGAGATCGGTCCCGAATACTTTTGCGCCTCGGTACGCGCTAGAGATTCCACTGCATCAGCCCGAGCCCCTCCCCCATCCACACGTACTCTAATCGAACTCACTCAGCCATATCAATAGCCCAAATCCCGGTGCCGGTGCCAATATCGAGGATCCTCTTTGGCTCCTTCAGCGGGGCGAGATGGAGGTTCCCGGCCAGAAGCAGCGAGTAGATGTGATGCATCATGTCGAGGCGGTCCTGCTCGGCCTCGTCGTTGGGGATCGCATACTGTCCCGCGCGGAACGCGTGGTACCGCCGTCCGTTCTCGTACTCGTAGTTGAGGATCGATGAGCTGATGGATGTGGCTTCGGAACCGAAGTCGCTGCTGCTCGCGTGGTCTTCGTACCCTGAGTCGCCGGCTTGCGAGTCTACCTCGAGCGAGGCGTCGACGGCGATGTTGGCGGCTGGGAGGTTGCAGGCGGGGGCGGGGGCGGGAGATGAGGCCATGGCGAGGATGGCGAAGATGACGATGACGGGGGGAGTCGGAGTTCGCTGATTACTACCGTATAATGCGGGGGCATATATACTATACTCCTCTTTCTCCTCTCTTCCTGCCACATGGTACACTCCCGAAGGAGCGGCAGGTGCGTTTCCACGCAATGCGCCCAGGAACCACTCACCCACCCACCCACACAAACGGATACCGGGAAGCCAGCGATCCCCTCAGGCTCCAGCCCTCGGGATGGCCCACACCAGTACTTAGCCGAGTTCGAAGCGGCCTGCATGCATAAATTGTCCCTCCCCGGAATTCGAAATTTCGAATCTCTGAGTTAGGCCCACTGTGCACGGAGACACACGACACGGGGACTGGGGACTGGCACATATCAAGGTGCACTTGTATGTATATGAGAGAGGCGAATAAGTATAGTAGATAGATCACTATGATAATCTCTAGGAAGGAGCTTTCGGTGATTTTTTCCAGGTGGTGGGCCTGGACTCTACGAGTCGGGGGCCCCCCCACTGTGTGAGACCTTTGGCATAAGCATAGCCAGTTGCGGGGCTCCATCGTGGGACACTGGCGCACCACGTGGTAGATTGATGATATGCATAGCATGCGGGAGATCGTTTCGGCCATCGGTGTGGAGCGGTGTGGAGCACGGAGCTGATATCACGGCAAAGTCACTAACTAGGCCACATTTGGTTTCTGAAGAATCATGGTACGTCACTAATCTCAGTTACTAGGCACGAAGGTCCGCATCGTTGATATGTAGCATCAGTGTCCTCACACATCCCTTCCTCCTCATCTAGTTGTAATATGTAGCGGCTAGTTACCACTTACCGCACCCATACCACCACATCTTCCTCGGCCCTTTCTTGAGGTTAGCAACTTTGATAGCCAGCACCTCACCGGGCACCACATCGACACCATTATCGTCCCAGATCTCTCCTGCAAACTCCTCAAACACCAGTCCCTTGATGCACCTCGCAACACTGATTACCACTCCTCCCTCCCACCACTGCAGCTCTGGCCCCAGCGTAGCAGGCGAATCCACAAACTTCATTGGCTGTGGCCAGTCCACGTCTCGGGCGACCACCTGGCCCTTAGCGTCGTAGCAGACGGCGAACACGACTGTCGGCTTGTCTTCGGGCACGACGGTGGACGCGAGGAGTGAAACCTCGTTGTTGCCGGGGACGGTGACGGAGTCACGGGAGAGGACGGCGGTGGTGGCGGAGTCACTTATGGTGATGTACCGAACCTCTACGCGGAGCCCTTCGGTGGGTACATGGCTAATGCTCGAGAGGGAGATGTCGATAGTGCTCTGCTTCGGCGGGTAGATATGAGGAGTGGAATGCATGGCCGCCTTCCCCGCCTTGGCGGTTTTATTAGCGCACAGGGCCTCGACCTTCGAGTTCGGCTTTGGATCGTTTGTGTGCCGGCGAGAGATGAGTGTGATCGGCCGCATCGCGCGCGATATTGCGTAGAACGCGGGCTTGGGTATATCTGGAAACGAGGTTATCGACCAAGATATTGCGGGCCAGACGTCGTTTAGCTGCCAGACGAGAGCGCCGCCACATTCCCTGGTTCCCCAGCGATGACGCCAACCGCGGAAGGCACAAGACAGAGCGTCGGATTGCACGAGCTGCGAGAGATAGACGATTTCTGCAATTGAGCTGTTGGTGATGCGGTAGTTCTCCAGGATGTAGGGGTAGAGGCGTTTTTCGAACGAGTGTGCTTTGGTGTGGTGTGAGATTGCCTCCGATTGAGGGTGGTTATCGGATGACGAGCCGAGAAGGTATGGGATGCCAGGGAGTGATGGAAACGACGGCATGCCGAATTCGCTGACGAAGCGGCCGCCAAGGTCGGGGTAACGCTGGTACGGTGCCTGGATTCCACCCCATACTAAGTAGAGTCAGCGACAAAGAAAGGGAGATCAGATGAGGAGATCCTACCATTCCACTGGTGGACATCGCCCACCGTTCGGTCTGTGCTGTCCTCGCCGCCAAAGGGCGATCCTGGCCAGTAGACCACACCGCTTCCACCCTCGCCAGCATCACCTATCAGCTCGCCCTCGTCGCCGTTGCATACCCGCTTGACAATCTCGGCGAACTTCTTCTCATACAGCCATCTGCTGGGAAACGGTTCCTCCCTCCACTTGTCCTCCGGCGCGTCCTTGTCATACCCCACCTCTTCATCCGCCACCTGGTAATCCTCATTGCTTCCCGCCACAATCACCAAGCTAGGATGCCATCGTAGCCTCTTCAAATTCTGATCCACTTCCTTTAGGATTGAATCGGCGAAGTATTTGAGATGTGCCGGGTAGTCTGCACATGCCATGAGGATATCCTGCCACACTAGTATTCCAGCCGTATCACAGATCTCGTAGAACTCATCGCTCTCATAAATCCCTCCTCCCCAGACCCGCACCATGCTCTGGTTTCCCCGCACCATCAAGTCAAGGAGAGCCTGTAACCTCTCGCGCGTAATTCTCGGCTGGAAAGAATCGGCCGGGATCCAATTGCTGCCGCCACAAAACACAGGGATGTTATTGATGCGAAAGTAAAAGGTCGTCCCACCGGAGAGGTTATCCCCATCCACCTGGGGGAGGGCGTCTTGAACCAGTTCCACCCGTCGCAGTCCAAACTTCTTGGTAACCGTGTGGAGGTGCGTGTTGCCGGAACAGAGTTTGAACTCAATCTCGTATAGATTCTGGGCGCCATGTGTGCGGGGGTACCAGAGCTCCGGCTCGTCGAGGGTGATGGTGGACATATAGACGTTCCGGCTGTAGGAGGTCAGGCTGACCGTCCGTTGCGTTCCGTTCGGCGAGGTGATCGTAGCGGTGATCTCGAGATCGTCGTGGCTGGTGGCACTATCCGTCTTCGTTCGCAGCCCTATCGTCGCCTGTTTCAGATCCGCCGTGAGCGTTGGGGTCACACTGACCTCCGAAAGCTGCGCCGAGTAAATATCGATATAGATTGGTTTCCACGGGCCACAGGTAACCAACGACGGCCCCCAATCCCACCCGTAATGATACTGTGCCTTCCGTACAAAGGGTCGATTGTAGTGTCCGTTCCAGCACACGCGTTTCCCGTGCTCCTCCATCAGCGCGTCCCCGCGCTTCATCGCCGAATGGAACACGATGGTGAGGACATTCTGCTTCCCCATCAACAGCACCGCGTCGGTAATATCCACCCGGTGCTCAAGGAACATATTCTCGCTCTCGAGGATGACCTTTCCGTTGAGAGACACGGTAGCGAAGGTATCCAGGCCTTCAAACACCAGTTCCGCCTTCCTTCCCGCGAGCGACGGCAGGGTGAGGAAGAACTCCGTCTCGAACTCCCAGGTGCAGTCATGGACCCATTGCACATCTCTCTCGTTGGTGCCGGAGTGGGGATCTGGGATTATTCCCGCACGCTGCAGGTCGAGGTGGATGTTTGTTGGTATTGGCACGGGGGAGAGCTTCGTAGTGTCTGTAGAGTCCGCGGCGAGCGGCACATCGGTCCAGCTGCCGCTTTTGATCTCGATGCGCTGTTTTGCCGAGATTCGCGAGCGCGGGGGAGGCGTCGGCGACACGGCGAAGCTGACCTGGCGGCGTTTCGGTGGCATGGTTGAGGGATGGATGGAGATGGATGGAGTCGACGCGTTGGAGGTGGTTGCGGGGGAGTCGTAGGGAGGTCCATCGTTCGTTAATATGTATGAACTGCCTGCAGCACCTATTTGGTTACTCGATTGACTGGGATCTCCCCATGTAACAGACGGCGCGACGCGAACACCGACCAGGTGAAGGAGAGGAGCGGGGTAAAATGAACTCGGTCCGTGGGGTATGTCACTGGGGTTCGCTACCTCTCCCGATCCCCCGGCGCCAGCCCAATCGGTTACTATGGTGGGGGCTGCATAACTACTAGTTGTGGTTAACCCGGTTTTCGCGACATGGCACGAGGCATTCTTCCAGGCACCAGAATAAGGCACGAGATTGAATCGTCACAAAATATCACGGTTCGGATAGCCAGCCGACTAGCCGCATATACTGCTCTCTTGAGAACAGTCCTAATTCAATTGACTCAATCCATAACGCTGTAGCTAAGCCCAGACGAAAGTCAGGATACCTATACATAACTTTATCACTGCTACTAGATACTCTAGACATGAACGTATTGCAGTCAAGCAACTCCCCCATGCCTCCCTTCCTCAAACACAAACTACCGTACATGGTCCCCTGGACCTATAACTTATCTGCAACGACTCAACCGCTACGTCTTCCTAGACCAAGTGACACACACGGGCCCACCGGCCACCGCCAACGAAGCCACAGGCGCATCAACGACCGTTCCATCGGCATCCCTCTTGAAAACAAACATATCCGCGCTCGACTGACCCTCGGTAATGAACCACTTCCCCTTCGGGTCGACGGCGATATGCCTGGGGGTCGAGACCTTTGCGTCAATGATCTCGAGCAACTCCAACAGACCCTCGTCCGTAGTCGAGTAGGTAGCGACAGAGTCGGTTCCCGTGGTGGCGATGAAGACCTTGTCGTTGCGGTTGGAGACGTAGATGGTTTCACCGTCCGGAGAGATGGCGATTTCGCCGGCGGAGGGCGTGGTCCATGGCGCGGCGCTGGTGGTCGACGGGGGAGTGCCACTGGTGGGTGTGGGGAGCGTCGAGATGGTTTGGACGAGCTTCAGCGCGATGCCCGCAGAGCTGTAGCTGACCTCATATACCAAGACGGAGTTCACTATCTCGCCGACGAGGTAGTAGTACTTGGGGGTCCCGGTCTTGGGCCAGAACATGCCGTGGCGTGGGCCGGTACCAGGTGTCACAGCGACAGGTTGGAGCTCGGTGAGCTGGGCACCGCTCACGCCGTAGATGCGGATGAGATCCGCGCCGAGGTCGGGCACGAGCACGTATTTGCCCGTGGCATCGAAGAGAGCTTGGTGGGGGTGGGGGGCTTCCTGACGCTCTGGGACGGCACCGGGCGCGGAGAGAGTATAGGTGAAGTCCTTCAGGAAGGTGATGCTGCCGGTTGATGGGTTGGCCGTGAATGCCGTGACACCGCCTCCAACGCTACATTCCGTTAGCATCTCGATGGCAGGGAGAAGTTAGGGAATGGAAGTTGAACATACTAGCTAGCTGTGACGATCATCTTTCCGTTCGGCGAGACGGTCATGCTCACGGGGCCGCCCATCTGGGTGGTGGAGAACAGCTTCGTAAGGGCTCCATTTGAACCGATACGGTAGGACGTGACAGCTCCCAACGAGTAGTTGCCTGAGGCCCGCTCCTCAACGGTGTACAGGATGTCTTTAGCCACGGGCGAAGTTTCCTGCCACGAGGGATCTGGGGCTGACGCCGAAGTCGACGAGAGCAGAGTCAACGCTCCCGTGGAGTCATTGAGGTTGACGCTGTGGATCTGGCCACCGTACGAGCCGACAAAGATAATGGCCGCATTGGCGGAGGCGGCGAGGGCCAGTGTAGTAAGGAGGGAAAACCGCATCGTGAATGAGTGAGTGAGGAGATAGTTTGTGATGGTTTGCAGAGGTTCCTTGAGGTGAGTTATCTTATAGGCAACAAAGGGACAGGGGCAACAAGGTCCAGACCAGGTGGCAGGTATGCATACGGTAGTCACCCCCCAATGGCCGCACAGCTCGGGGGTTCAACACGTTTTTTCCCGCGCCGCATCCCCGTCGGAACCCCAGCCCGAAGATGTCTCAGAATAAAGTATTTTAGGGCATCAATGCCCCATTTTTCAGATTTGTGGAGACGTCCCCCGCTCACCGGAAAACTACCTCAATAAACTCCCGGAAGACCAAGCGAGAACCCCGCCGTGATGATAGTGGGGTCTCGAGTACCTGCTCCATTTATTCCACCTATGATTTTTGCAGCGAAGCGAGCCGTCATCTAGCGATGTCGCGATGTTCTGCCATGCAGCAGCTCCCCTTGCAGCATGCGTGGCTGCGTTTCCGCATCGGATATCGGACTTCGCCCCGCCATTATTGCGATAGAGCGGCCTAGCCATGCGGTGAGCCACGAGAGGCGTGGTTTGGACAGACTTAACAAATATCGTGGCGATATACATCTAGCTTGCGCGAGCTCGAGCTACGGCGGTCAGCACAGCTCGAGCTACAGCGGTCAGCACGAAATTCCTCGTACATGTCCTACTGTTTCACTATGCCACGTCGTTGACTAGGACTCCCGGTATAACGGAAGAGCTACCCCGCGAAGTACCCCGGAGCAGGATAGGATTAAACGGGGGCCAACGGTTGATGTATAGTGGTGGTATTATGCGGGTGAGCAATTATCCCGTGAGGATTCAGCCGCGAAGACGAAGGTGGATTAGGGTTCTTGAGGTCCGGATTCTTGCATGGTCCGTCACTCGCGGTGATGAGTATGCGCATCATTGACTCTGGACGTCACGTCGATGTCAATAGTCCACCATAGTTCCGAGCCGACACCACTGGGAGCGTCCCACACTCTGCCATAGCCATAGCCGTGCCCGATGTCCCGCGTCTTCATGACGTCACGCCATCACGTCACCATCTTGACATGGCCTCCCTCCAACGTATAAGAAACAGCTCCTTCCGAGTGCTCAAACCTCACAATCCATTCAATGCTCGCACTCCGAAACATCCTCAGCAAACCTACTACTATCACCGTACCACTCACAACATCACAAATCCGCACATTCACGATGACTTCCCGCAAGCTCGCCGGCAGCGATAACCCTATCCACCGTGCCGCCGAAAATATCGGCGAGAAGAAGGACACCAATCCGAAGAACCCCTCGATCTTGTCGTCCGGAGGAGCCATTGGCCGGCAGTTCAACCGTTTGTCTTCCCTACCTACCTCCTCTTTCTGCCCATTCTGGAGATGATGGCTGCTGACTGGTGTGTACAGCCGATGGAACTCTCGGGTCCATCCCCCAGGCTATGGGCGGCCCCTTGGACAAGGACGGCATCATCGGATCGCAGTTTAATGCCGCCAAGGGAGGTATTGCCGGCACCGTCGAGAAGGCGGTTGATGGGCCTAGCCAGCCAGCGAAAGGGACAAAGTAGTAGGATGGTTCCGGAGAAGTGAGAAGTTTCGGCAAGGAAGTCGGGCTATGTTATCAGGAATCATTGTATGATATAATAATGGATAGGAAATGAAATTAGTCATTAATCTAGTAGGAGTGTACAGCGAGCTGTGACCGATATCCAGTATCATACAGTATCATCCAGGTCGATTTGAGATTTGGTTATGTTTTGCTCGATTTCCCCCAGTGCGGCGGTCAATGGACACTCCAGTATTGCTGTGAATACAGCGAGCTTGCGAGTGGAGATGTGCGCACCTTTTGTACGTTTCACAGATCTTAACCTGTATTTGGCATGCCGCTTCGCTCTAAGCCTAATGTCTCCCGCCATGCTCACAGACCACAGCGGCCTAGCAACTGCATCACCACCGACTCTCTCTTTCCCTACTTCCGTTGTATTTTTTTTCTTGTTCATTGACGCAGATTCATCATATTCATCCTTGCTTCGTTATCATTATCAGAATATCATTTGTCCCTCCGTATAGCGTCCGAGGAGCGAGTCTTCGACACGAAACCCCCGTCAGCGTACGTACACGAGTCCACGACCGAGCCCTTTCACCAGTTTCCTCACCTCCAGCAACCTTCCACCAGCCATCATGTCCACCGAAATGCGACGCGCCTACCTCGCCAAATACGTCGAGCTAGACGCCTACAACGCGCAGATGCTCGAGGGACTACAAGCGCTCGAAGATGCCGTGGGACCTCACTCCGCCGTATCCGGATCGCTCACCGAGCTGCGTAGCAACACGGACGACATCTGTCTCCTCAGCGAGTCCTCGGAGCGGTCTCCTGCGATCCTCGTGGTGCAGATGGAAAACGTCGGGGGCGAGCTGGGCGCAAAGTTCATGGAGGTGCTACATGTCACGTTTGGACAGCTGCCGGGCAGAATGGCCATCGCGGTTAGTGCGGCGTTCACGTTGGCGCAGAAGCTGAGGAAGACACCGGAGTGCAGACAGCATTTGACGGAGATGGCGCTGGTCTATTATGTCCATCATGTCATGGCGACGAGGAAGGCGGCGAAGGAGCTGGCGCATATTGGGCAGCAAATGGTTCAGGAAGTGTATGAAGAGAAGTGGGACAAGGAGACGGCGGCCTTGCTGGGGATGATGCTCAAAGAGGAGTTGAAGACAGGAGGAACACATATGGCAGAGTTTATGACAAAAATACTGGAAAAGGCATACGCTGGCAAGGCGTGCGAAGAGAAAGATGGAGGACTTGAGGAAGGCATGTCAGGGCTCGAGATCGAGCGAGAAGAAAGAGACAAGAAGGTAGAGGAGAAACCGACAACAAAAAGGGAAGAGGAGGAGAAGCGGGTACTTGATAGGCTGGGGTCAACTGTAAGAGGCGTTAAAATGAGGCAGATGCCGTCAAAATTCGTAGAGTGGTTCTCACCTATAGTTAACCTAAATGAAATGAAAGCGGAGGAGGATTTTGTGGAGGAGGATTTTATAGAGGACAAGGAGGTGGATGAGGATTTTATAAGGCGCAGGAAGGCAGTGGAGGAGCTAACAAAAGACCTCGAACAGGAGGAGTTGGATTGATAGAGGACGGGGAGGTGGCGGAGGAACCAACAGACATCGAAGAGGATGTAGAGACCATGGATGAGAACAACTGAGTTTGGCCGAGGAAGCTGTACGAAATTATACGATGTGGACTCTGCCCCGCTAGATACGGGGATATGAGTGTACAGGGAGTGCTGCTCGGCAAAGAGCATTGTCTAGAGTTTATCGGCATGCATACGAGAGCTTGCTAGGCGAGTGCTGCCTGAGTCCGAATTTATTGTCTTTTGTATAATATATGGTACTTCCTAGGTATGGCCAGGAGTTCCTATAATGAGGACGGTCCTACTTGGGTTACTGTTGTCTCATAGTTGAGTGGATGCTCTGCCCCCAGCTGAAGCGCCAGTACTTTGCTCGTACGTTCAAGTCCACCTTCATCTTGTTCTCGCCAGTCCGTTCATCATCGAGAAAGTCCGATGACCGGTGGGGGCAGAGCACCGACTGCACTCTAAGGACAACTAAAGCCGGCTCGAATGGGCAGCCGATCCCACGCCGAAGAAGTCTGAGGCCCGGGATCGCAGGATGCCCTTCCAAGTTTCAAGCCCACTGTCCGCATGCCACTCGCCCACCGCCGCGCGTTCGCGAGAGCCCCACAACCTGGTTCAATAGCTGCCGATCAAGCACCCCCTGTAAGACATCCTCCGATCGATGGACCCCAAGCGTATATTGGGCTGCTCTAGAACGGTTGGCCAACTGCAGGGCTGGCCGCCGTCCCCTGGAGGTTTTTTTGGATCTATGAGACTCACTAATCTGGGTGAATCAACGGCCCCTACTAGTAGGATACCAGTGGATGGGCTGATAATACCCCCACTGTCCGTTCTAATGCGCTGCCGGAGCATAAATCCTAGGTTATGTTTGCATTCGATCTGCTCGGACAATTCTGCCGGCAGCATGACAATCGCTTCGATATCCACGTCTGCACGGGGATGCTCTTTAGAGTATCTACATGATAATCCATCGGCTGGCTTGGTCCACATTTTCATCCAGCCGGGGATCTCAGGAATCTCCCCGATGTCCAGCTTTCGGTGATTCACGTCCATATGCGAACGGTGTTGGAGGTCGGCTTGAGAAGAAATTCAGTCCTGGGAATGCGATCATCTGCTTGAGCTGGAGATTCCGGATCTGCAGATCCGAATACCGAATGCCTGCCCCGAGTACATATCGTAACTGCTTGAGGTCTCGTGCCGCATATGTACAACGAACTCTCCCCCTGCACTGGCATATCCATTTAGAGTTGTGGATATACATGATCCTATCCGATCCAATGAACGTTCCTCGCCATCGCCAGCCGACTGTGGGGGCGATGCAGGGGCCTGCGAGCGTTCGGACTTCGCGAGTTCATCATGTATGTAGGTATGCTTTGGGGGCTGTTGATGCTTCTGGGTAATACTCGGTGCACCACATGTGATTCTTCTTCCCACGCTCTGGAAAAATCTGGGTTGCGCTGATATCCCTTGGCTCGTAGGACGGTATGTAGGATCAAGTTGGATAATTATTCTGCCGCGCCATCATGCTGACGATGTAGAGTATCATAGCACTTCAGCTGCCCTCTTCCTTTTGGCTATGACATATCAGACATTTGATATGATTTACGACTGGCCTGGGTATCCCTGAGCTCACAATACTCCTGGTGCTCTGCAGATACGGGCGGATGCACCCTCCACCCGCCCTTATTGTTGCGTCGTAGCATAGAACTTCGCTCGTCGGCGGGATCCGGGCACTTGAGATTTCCGAATGCCGAATCACTTGGATGGCTTCTCCTCCTAGGTATGGTTTGTAATATTCCACATCCGCCGAGATATTGCCTGGCCTACCTATCTCTGCCCCGACTATATTACCTCTCCCCACAGCTTTAACATCGATAAATACCGCCTTCTCCTCCCTTCATCCTCATCCCACTCATCTCACTCACCGCACTCACCGCACTCATCCCACCATCCTACCCTACACCCACCCACCATCTTATACCTCACTTCCCACAGAATGTCGAGCTACCAAACAACGAACCAATGGTACCTCCAGCACCTTGCCGACAAAGAGTGCAACTACGGCGGCCGCCGTACATACACCGAGTCGATGGCCAGCGGGAAGGACAAGGTCCAGCAGGGGAAACTGGAGTATGGAAAGTCACTGGTGGAGCGACAGATGGATGGCGGTGGGAAGAAGAAGAGGCAGTTGTAATGAGATCTCGATATCGAGCTCGAGCTGCTGGACCGTCCGTCCGAAGCAACCGGGTAACGAAGCAACCAAGCAACCAACTTTGCCGACAATATATACCGAATATCTCACCGAACATCTCATCACTCTCGTATCGTAAATCACCGCATGCACGAGCATCACACGCAAACCCGCACACCCACCCGCACATATACCAGTACCAGTACCAGCATCAATACACTCACGCCCATGTCTTCTCATCGGCCGTCTCTGTTTCGGCCTCAGCCTCGGTCCTCAGTACGAATTTCACATTGTCGAGACGAGTAGGTGGTGGATCGTGACGACCGGATGGATGCAAGGCGGGCTGCAGTTCTCGGGAAGTTGGGAAGTTGGGAAGCTGGGAAGTTTATATATAGGGTTTACGTACGTGCGTGTGTGCGTGTGTGCGTGTGTGCGTGTGTGGGGTATATCATGTGTATCACAGTGTATTTAAGCATGAATGTTAGTTGGTTTGTAGTTGACTGTAACTACTCTATTCGTGAAGCGGGGCGGGGATAGTCCCTGAGTACGTATGTTAGGTGACGTAAGTAAGGTGTGCTCTTGCCGTACCGTATTCCTCGTACTCGTGCTCGTGCTCGATAAAACCTTTGATGGTCAGATGGTACCGGTACATGGTGATGCTGTTGCTGCCCGCAGCCCGCAGCCCGCTGCGACAATGTGACTACATGGTGTATAAGGCGAGCCCAGCGATCAGGGAGTTTACAGGGCTCAGGGTTAAAGGCTTCCCACCTAGGTACTCTACTCTATCTATATGTAGTACACTAGAGTCTATGTAGGCAGAGCATCCTCGCTTCTCCTGAGTCCCGCACGCTGACTCTGGCATCGGCTCACATCTCGGCTCACATCTCGGCTGATCACCCATGCATGGAGTCTGGGCTGCGAGTCTGCGACACTCTTATGTGTGAACTTTATGTATGTACGCCTGTGTGTATCCTGTTAGCTCATATATACACGATCCCTCAAGCAATCAAGCTTTTGGAAGTGATACATAACCGCCGGCTCTATGTACCACTAGTAGTACGCGGATTAGTTGAGCAATCGCTCACGGCCAGTCACAATACGTATGATGATCTGTGGTTTTCTATGGAGTACTCTGGTACACGATCGGAAGAGCTCCACTGACAGTGACCTCTGATCCTCTCCTCCCTGGGTATATAGCAGTTAGTACACCTCTCCAGGGTCTCCATCCTGAAGGCTGATATATTGCTCGCCCAGTGCTCATCCACTTTTATGCTTCAGCTGGGTATATATTCTCACGGGCGCGGAAAGCCATGACGTGGATATCCGAATTTCCCAAAGGTGTTCTGCGGTAATACTATGACACCTAGATGGTATGTAGTACACTCGCGCTCGTTTGTTCTTCTCGCTATTGCATGACCATTGACCAGGCTTCGTAAAAGCTGAAGCTTCCTAGCATCGCGAGTTCATTGGCTGGTACTTTCCATGTACTACCTACCACATACTATATAGTGACAGACGGTCGTTCGTTCGAAGCCCAAGCTAAACGAAGAATTTACGTCAACCCAGATCTTGTAGTTACCTGTGAACCTGTATGTCTACACTGCAGCGTTCCAGGACTGATCCTGCGCTTAGAACGTTGTGGGATTTACTGCTTAAACCTATGTATGTAGGAATCACTTCCAGCGTTACACGGTACAGCAGATAATGGCAGCTCTCAATCCTCTGGAATGCCGTATATATGTCGAGTGGTATGTATTGTACATAGCCGGCCGTGGAACACTGGAGCCCAGGGCGCACCAGTACCAGGACATAATAGCGGTCGGATACCTAGATCGATGTGATTAGATTAGATCATCGTAGATCATCAATCACATGTCATTACCTGAGGCCACCTTCCCATCCCATCCCATCCCTTCCCTTCCCCCGTTCCGTCCGACGATCCATCTGACGATCCGCTATGAACTCCGCGAGTCACCACCTCAAATCCCAACTCCAACTCCAGTCTCCAGTCTCCGGTTCGAGCGACCAGCTTCTCATGTCGCAAGTTCGCAAGTTCCCGCCCAAGCACTCCCGAATTCTCAGACCTCCGAATTCCTTCCCTTTTTTTTCTCTTTCCGCCCGTTCCCTTCCCGTTCTTACGCGTTGAAACCACCCTTTCCCGCTCACGGCTGCGAGCGGCCGCCGGCACTTACATACCTAGACCAGTTGGTCGAGCCTCGGAGGACCGGTGGCTGGAGCCCCTCACCATTCTCCGGGAGGGAGTCCAGGAGGGAGTCCGGGATTGAGTCCGTGTGCTGATCGCGCACGTGTGGCGCCGATCGCGGCATGTACTCTATGTTTCGAACCGGGAAGGGAAGGCGCGCCGTTTCGCTATTAACTAGCAGTGAGGCCGGAGAGAGGGGGCTGGAAGGTCGGCGCGACTTGGAGTAGAGAAGAGGGGAGGGGAGGGGGGTAGAGTGGAGTAGAAAGGTACCGTGCGTTCTCCACGGGGAGGGGCAGGCTCCCGATGTTATGTAAAAATTATTCACGATACTCTACCGTAGCCATCGCTGCCGGTTGCATCCTGCCCCAGCTACAGTAATATGCGGTGGTGGTAGCGGCGGTATTCCTCTCTCAGTGCTCACTGCTCACTGTTGCACAAAGTGGTGACAGACGGAAACCCGTTGCGTTGGATTTTCAGGCGGGCGGGTGCGATTTCAAATCGCAGTTTACTGGAATTCTCAGTGCTCACAGTCCGGAAGCAGGCGGAGGCGTCTAGTTGGACGGGCGGGGCGGGGCGGGGAGTCCGGGCGGCGACCGATTGATTGATTTGAGTGATGCAGGTATCCCGTCGGCATCCGTCGGAGAGACGGGATAATCACAATCAGATGCAGCCTGCGGCGGCCCAACGGGTGGTGACCTACTACATACCGTGGTGGTGGTTATTCATAGTAACACACGGCAAGCGAGCAAGCAAGCAAATCGCTCAAAGAGAAAGCCAGAGAGAAACGGCCGGGAACTGCGGGAGAGAGGGAGGGATTGGATGTTGGCGATGACGATGATGATAATATCAATCAGTCTACTAATCAGCCTCTGCCAGCGCGGAATGATGGGATGGTACGGATGGGATGGAAGGTATGGGATGGAATGGCCGGATGATTCAATTCGATCCGGGACTTCCGTAGGGCAGAAAGTTTCCATTGACGTATCCAACTGAACGTGCAGGATGGGAAGGATGAGAATGTTGGCGGAACGGAAGCCCAGGGTGGTGGTCCGTTTCCTGTCTGCATTTTTTCTCACCCCGATATCCGAGTGCTGTTTACTGAGCTTCTATTATTGGTAGCACAAGCAAGCAAGCAGCGAGTTAGCGACAGACAACCTTCAAAGTTCATCGCCACGGGATCGACCAGCGAACAACCGCAACGACGGACAACTACAGCGACGCGACGACTTTGGAATGTTCTTTCAAGACTGCACTCCGTTGCAGTCGATCTATTTTGGAAGCAGCGCAGGGAAAAACCTTCTTCCGACTTCTTGCTCGCTCTGTCGCTCTCATAAGCGGACGGTGCGGCAACAGCGGCGGCCAAGAGGAAGCTGAGAGGGAGGGAGGGAGGGAGGGAGGGAGGGAGGGAAGATCCTGGGCCCGTTCCCCACATTGATCCAGTCGCCTGTGCCCTGCAGCTGTGCATTGGCTGCATCATGCACGCATCCACAGTCTCTTTCTCGTCCAAGTCCTCGCGCTAACCGTTTTGCAGCTGTTTGTGGGAGGAGTTCATGCACGGCTGGGGGGCTCGATCGAAGATGCTGTGCGCCGCTCCGGGCAGTGGGGAGTGGATGGCAGATGGCGGTTTGTTTACTCAACGGAACTCGGAAGATCTCGCGTTGCCCGTGTGACGCGACCGCCGACCGGGCCATCCGCACAGCGTCGACATGCACGACGGATACAGACACAGTTATCGCGCTTCGTGGGGCGAGGTGTCTGAGAATCCCGCGCCTTTGCGCGACGGTCCCGTCCGGAGCCATTCGACGATGGATGACGCACCTACAAGAATTGCAGTCTAGTCTCCTCGAAAGCCCCCCCTGCTCGGCTCGCTTGCGGATGCGGAGAGTGCCTACATCTGGTCTGGTGTAACTCGATCAAGAAGGCGGCCGCAGTGGTCAAAGGTGGAATGTGATGTGACAAGTCCCGCCCCACGCTGACTGGTTATAATCAGCTGCTCCCCGCCTGCTTGCTTTTGCTTCTTCACAACCAACACCTCCTCATCCAGCAGCAACAACATCTTCTACTCTTATATCTACCTCCTCGCCTTCTCCTCCTCATCCTTCGATATCATCGATCTCTGCCATAACACCATCTACACAAACATCTACCATACGACAAACCCGACCATGAAGTTTTCCATCCTCGCAACTCTGGCCCCTCTCGTGGCCACCGCCACCTGCGCCGTCATCCCACGACAGGCCCAAGACGGCAATGGCCTCGCAACATTCAGCCTCGGCGCACCACCTTCCAAGCCGGCGCTCGGAAGCGTCTCGTGGCTCGGACAAGGCAACCAAGCGATTGGCGGGCCACTCGGGTGGTGGACGAGCACGCACACCGATTTCAAGGCGTTCATCCAATACAACGCCGCGGAGGGCATTGCGTTCGATTCCACAAAGACCTCTAGGACCATCTATTTGAAGCCTGAGGGCACCGATGGTCTGAGCGAAGTAGTGCTCGGAGCGCCAAGAGTGAGTTTTCCCCCTCCAATACCCCGTGCATTCGCTCTTCTGTGTGACGCCGATTGCTAATCCCGCCTCTTCAGCTCGAAGGGAACCCCTCAGCAATGCGCGAAACCAACTTCACCATCGACGCGACGATGATCAACCCTGGCGAGCCCCGCTACTGGTTCGGATACCTGCACGACTCCGCTGCTGCCTGGACCGCGTGCCCGAACGACGACGGCTGGAAACTCTACTTCGGCCAGGCCACCGGGGATCGCAAGGCGGAGTGCACTGAGAGCTTCTCGCTGGAGGTGCTCTACACGATTCCCGCTTAGGAGTGCATTGGGAATTGGAATAGCACTACATCGCAGCGGTGGCGAGCGTGAGTGACTAAATTTTTGGCGAAGAGGAGGAGGAGGAGGTGTAGGGGAGGTTGCATTTGTGTGTTTGCATTGTACGGAGTTTTTTTGATTTATTTACATGTCTGGCGGGTTTGGTGGTGCATCTGGCGGGCTGTCTGTGTGTGTATGGCTGGGGTATGGCTAGGGCAATTATGACTGGGGTAACTATGGCTGGGTATGGCTTGGGGGACTGATGATGACGAAGACAACCACGAGAAACCGGGTGGACTGGACAATTGCATTGACTGACTATATGGGTGATGTGGGGTGATTTGGGGGAATGTGGTTTGCTTTTTTTTTCCAGTCGTGTGCATTTAACAGGGACTTTCAGCACCGCAATGCGGGGAGAGTAGGGATGGATTTTTGTTTTTATTGGTAATAGTAAATGAATAAATGGGCGATATTATGTTCACTGCGGACTTTTGTGTGGCTCGCATGTGGTTCAATTGGCTCGTTCGCTTTCAATCGATCGCGAGACAGGCCGACAGAAGGTCCAGAATTCCTTTTCCTTCGTGAAGATTCGATCCACGCTCTCGGGAATATGCGTGATGCGGCCGTTTCCCCCCCTTCGCTTTCGATGTTGCTGGTGTTTCCGCCTATGAGATGCGAGAAAACACGCAATGAGTGCAAAACGTCATAGCTGAGCGGAATGTCAGCCGACCCCTGGACTCTTTTCTCTGCTGCGTCGTTGCACACGCCGTCAGTTAGAGCTGCTGCTGCTGCTGCTGCTGCTTCCAATTGCTATTACTACACTTGCTCCTCCTCCTCCTTCTTCTTCTTCTTCTTCTCTTCTCTTCTTCCCTCCTTACTTATCCAACTTGACTTCACTCCGCTTCTCACCATCAGCCATCAATCAATCCTATAAACCAAATCCCATTCCATCCCATCCCATCCGTCGCATCGATCACACATCTCCTCCTCCATAATCACTACATACCGGCATCTGCCTCGATTCTTTGTCTCACCTACACCCCACTCTGCCGACGCACTATCCGCGCGGGGCTCTGCACAGCAGCACAAATATACCCGCGCCGCACCGTGTCGTCGTCGTGGTTCGTTGTCGTAGCCTCCAAGCCCGGTCTCGCTATTCCCCATCCAGAACTCCGGATCCGAACCGTGTCTCTCCGTCCGTGCACACTACGGCCCGTCCGTCTGCCTGCTGCGGCCACGCACAACGCACAGCACAGCACAGCTGAAACAAATAAATAACCATAAGATTGTATTTCCTTCGCGCGGACCCTATCGAGACGAGATTGCGACTACCTACCAAGTACTCTACCGACCTACCGTACCCTTACCTTGGGATCAGGACCGTTTAAAGAGCGACGGATCTGCCTTTCTCTTCTTCTTCCTTTTCTTTTCTGTCTTCTCTCTTCTTCTCCCTTCTCTCTTCATTCTTGCGTGTTCCACGACTTTTCCTTCCCTTCGAATTCCGTCGTCGTCGTCGTCGTTGTCGTGACAGAGGAGACCGTGCGCGAGGTTTCGAGATTTCATACTTTGTCGGTGTTACTTTTTTCCGTCCGGCGCATCATCACACAACAACGAAAAGAAAAAAAACGTTCAAGAAAGAAAGAAAGAAGAAGAGGAAGAATGAACACCTCTACCGCCAGCTACGAGCGCTCTCCCCGCGAGGGCCTCCAGATCAACACGTGTGCCAGCACCTCCGAATCATCACGAAGCGTACGTCCCCCCCCCCTTTCGTTAAATTGCAGCTTGAAGTAAGAACAGTAGAGCTAACGTAATGACGAAGCAGCTATCGCACGAAACGCACACGACGGCCTCGCCGACCTCGACGTCTCCCACACGCCACCACAGCAGGAGCACGACGCTCACGCCGCGCGAGCAGCTCCCGCCCACGCTGAAGATGAGCATGTACACGGCGGACTTCCTGGCGGCCTTCGGCGGCGACGGCTTCGAGAAGGGCATTGGCGTCATCTGGGAGATGAAGGTTGCCCCTGGCCGCCGCCAGAGGGGCGCGCTCGGTGATGTGTTCGTTGCTGCTGGTGGCGCGCCCAGGCTCCACCTCCACCACCACCACCACCAGGAACTAAGGAACTAGCGGACAACAACTGGACTGAACTAAGGGGCGAACATGTGCGATGGGCTTATCTTTCTTATCAAAATTGGTGTCTGGCTTGTTCTTGTTGTTCTTGTTTTGGCTTGTCTTTTTTGCTTGGGTTGCGTGCGCACCCTGCGGGTTCGTCTTTCTTGCTTTCTTTCTTTCTTCGGCTCTTCCTTCTTTCTCACTTTCGGTGCAAAGTCGGCTTATATGAGTGAGTGTACAGTACAGTATTTTTATATCCCCGGGTGCTTCCTTTTTTTTCTTCTTCTTTCGACTTCTCTTTTTTCCCCGTTAATTTGTACCTACTACTCTTGGCTTTTTATGCAACGCTCGCCGGCTCGGGTTCTTCTTCATGCGTGGGAAAGTATGTACTCTACTTATTATTCTGGTTGTTATTCTGGTTGTCAGTATTCTGGTTGTTCTTCTTCTGGTTGTTACTCTGGTTGTTATTCTGGTTACCGGCGGTGTACGACTATTACTTTGTATTGACACCGCAGATTCGCGTTGCGCGCTTCGTTGGAACTCGGACTTTGACTCGCGGATGAGTGTGTCTGTTGTTTCTTCTTTTTTTTCTTTTTCGGCTTCTTTTTCTGCTTGGGAGCGGGTTGGTTGGGTTACTTGAATGGGCACGGGCAGTAGTAGTTCCTATTAATACAGGGTGTGTTTTGAATCTTTTGATTGTATCTGGCGATGGTGCATGAGGATGGTACCGGTGGTTGGGCGGTGTTTGGGGACGGCCTGGACGGGATCGGGGAAATCGATTGAAGATGAGGCTGAAGATGAAGTTACAATGTACCTATGCAGCTCGACTACTGAATTGCATTTGAAATTCTTCTGTTACCTATTTACGCTATGTACCGGTGAATGTGGATCCATCGCCTGCTCGCCGCAAGATAGCTACTGTAGATTCGTAGCGCAGCTGTCCCGTGAGTCGCGATCACCAGTGACGGCCCGGAAATCTGAAACGCTGAACGGATGTCTGAGCCGGTACCTACGACCTAATCTATGTAAGGCTGATCTACCGATCAAGGCTGGGCCACTGACCAAGGCTGATCCACCGACTAACACCAAGGCTAAACCATCGACCAGCTACCAAAACCAACTTCCAAAAATCAACTTCCAAAAATCAACTTCCAAGACCAACTTCCAAGACCAACCTCCACGACCAACTTCCAAGCCCAAGCCTATGACCAAGGCCCAGATCTCGGCCGAGGCTGACCAAGGCCGCTGCAGCCTTACGCGGTAGGGGCAGCCTTCCTGTCTCAATCCGGAATAGACATCCGAATCCGATTCTCGATCTTTAATCTTTAATCTTTAATCTTGAAACTTGAGATTTGCTGACCGGGGATCTGATCTGACGTCATATGTATGGATGGGAGGGGGGGAGGGGGGGGGGGGGGGGGGGGGGGCATTGTGCATGCTGCGATTCTGCGACGGGAGTGGCTGGCTGGCTGGATGGGGGGATGGATGGATGGGATGGGCAATCTGGGGGTCTGGGCTCGGGGCTCGGGAGAATTCCGGCAAGTGGGATATGGGTATGGGGTATGATGCGCATGGACAGCTGCGAGCGGGCTTCTGCGGGCCTCGTCTGGTTGGCCCGGTGGCCCGGTCGGCGGTCGGTGGGTGTTCACTGTTTGGTGCGATGGGGGATGCTGCTGCACGGCAGATGGGTACCGTAATGGGTAATGAGCATTCGCTAGAGTCGAACAAGACCACGGCTCCAGCGGTGGATATGGGGATTTAGGGCTTTGGCTCCCCGTAGAAAGTTGTTCTCGCAGTACCGTACAGAGACCCTCCGCAATGCTACTGTATCGGAGCGACTAGGAAATCTCTCCGCAATGAGATCGACAGGTATAGACAGACGTAGCAGAGTTTTTCTAGCCTCTGCCCATAGCGAAAGGAAGCCCGCCATTCCTCCGTCGTACCTACCGATATAAGAATTCACTCCGGCCAGTACCTACATCAAGACATTTCGCTCGCTCACTCCCTCAGGGACGTTGCTTCTGCCATGCATACGGTAGCCTGGAACAATGGAAGTCATCACAACGAACAACGAGGACACGATGTCGAAACCTACTTTCGCGGAATGGCTGGTGGCAATCGAAGGGATGTTCATCGGGATCCAGCTGCGACTTATACGAGATCTAACTACTCTCCACTCCACGCAGCCAACGCGGTCATCACTCTCCAGCTTCGTTCGCGCCACAGCTGACTGAGACTCTGGGAGCGCCGCACAACCACAACCACAACCACATCCCTATCAACCAAACAGACCTCCGCAAAACCGCCACACTTGTGCGACCTCGTATTCAGCACATCTCTATGCACGGCACGACCCGTAGGCCGTCACCGACCCACCGTACCCCGCTCTTTGGGCTGCAAATAGTCCAGCACTCCAGGTCCATTCGTTTAGGGCAGAACTTAAATTTAACCTTCAGCTCGTGCACGCTCGAGACTCGAGAGGACCTGCCCGGCCTGGTTTCTCACTCGTCTGAGTAGCGAGCTATACAGCTATACGAGAACGGCAAACGGGAATCGAGAGGGGATGGGTGGAGGGGGCCAATCGCTGGCCGTAACAGGTCACGATGAATTGCAGATTGAGCACTGAGCCAGGAATGCTATGTATATCTCCGCCAGCGAAGGTGATGGCCCATGGGTGCCACGATCGTGGAGTTGTCGAGGGGGACGGTGGGACGTGGCCAGCTCTATGCAGTTCCTCGCTTTGGGTACGAATTGTTTGGCGAGCGGGAAGGGCCACTTCCTCCTGCCCCTCCTCCTCGTGGTCAGTCCATGGCCAGCCCATGGCCACTGCAGTATAAAACCCCCTTCCATCTCCCTCCTAGTCTGCCTTCACTCCCCATCGACCATCGATCCTACTCTAATACCTATCACGACACAGCCAAACAACACCTACCACTACTCCCACTAACACTACTCCCACCACTTAGTACCACCACAGCAACAATGCTCCTCCTCATCCCCCTCCTCGCCCCGCTCCTCCTCCTCTTCACCCTCCTCAACCCGATCATGGCCAACCCGGCCGCCGATCCTGCCGCTGAGGCCGTCGCCAACCCCCTCGCCGAGCCGGAGGCCATCGCCGAGCCCGCCGCCGAGTTCGACAGCGAGCTCGCCGCGCGCGCCCTCCCGGGCCCCGGCCAACGCTGCTACCCCTACTCCTCGAACGACTGGGACTACTACGCGGTGTGCGGAACGCCGAGTGCCTGCGGGAGCGGCGGATTCGTCGTGCGTTGCCCTTCGCCCTTCCCTTCCCTTTTCCCCTTCTCCTTCCCGCTTCCCCCGCCGTGGTGCCCCGCGCTGTGATGCTAAGTTGCTAACGAAAACTGGTACGTAGAAAACCGGCCACTGCAGCGGCGGCACCAATAATGTCTGCTGCGTTTATAGCGAGTGCGCTTCGCCTGTACGTCCCCCTCAAACGCATAGCTTTCACGTTTGCACGGCAGCTGACACGGGGATACCGGTAGTATAACAATGACTACTGCTGGAACAGCAATAAGTACACCTGTGGAGGCGGCCGCAAGTGGAAGACCGGGAAGTGCCCGGGGCCGAATCGTAAGTTTTCGCCTTCTCCGCATGTGAGGGATGTGGGAGACAGTGAGAGACGTGCTGACGGCTGACGGGGTGGGGTAGATTATAAGTGCTGTGCGTAAATCTCGGTGGTGTACGGGATTCGGGGGGTCGGACGGCGGTGAGACATTGGGTCTGGGGAGGTGGAGATGAAGGTGGAGACGGACCTAGGGAGGTGGAGGATAATGATGACGATTGTTACTTAATGCTTTGTTTACGATCAGCCGTGTGGATTTTATTTTGTGGAAGTGGCATGTACACTCGGCAGCAGTGGCCATGGTACTAGTAGCCATAGTAGTGGAATTGATGCAGCATCTTTCGTTACGGCTCAAGAGTCAAACGTGATCGTGATCGTGGAATGTGACACCCCGTCGAGGCCTATGAACCGATCCGCATAACTACATGATCGCAGACGTGAAGTCTGAAGAACCACAGCGGTCCCGTTTAACGGTTAACGGATTCCCTCAATGCCCCTCCCCAGCCCTCAAGCACACCCTGCAATCACGATTCACACCAAGTCACCTGACCTAACTGAGATCGCTGTTCTTTTTCGGTGGGGGCCGGTAGCTTGCAGCCGTTCATAGTATATCACTCGCTTGAAACGAATAGTTAGCGTGTTTCCGCCAGCGCTTTTGCTGGCCATTCAGAAGGCGGGTCGCTGTGGTCGATTGGATATAGTATAGTAAGGTTTTATGAGACAATGAAGTGCTATTCTCTCCCCCTCGATCCTCCCCTCTCTCTCTGTGGCTATTCACTAGCAAGGCCCAAGGGAGCAACGATGCCACGAGGTCGCGACTCGCGCCAATCTTGGATGTGAGCAGGACAGATGTATCTGAGTATAAAACTCAGTATGTACCGTATACGTGCTCTAGTGGGAAGGCGAGAGGGCGGCAGTATATGGTCTGTGATTTCTGTTTCTTTGGTACGACAAAGGATCAGGGGTAGGTCCGGGCCGAAGACGGGACGGCCGGAGGAGGGGAGTGTGTGTGTATTTCCACGATCTTAGATTTTGACTCTCGATAAGTCGTACCTATGCGATTGATGATTAAACAAAAACAAAAAGCAAAGCAAACATCCAGCTCAGTGGGAAGACGGGTACTAGGGCGGCTCTCGGCAATGTCGGGGCTGTGACTCTGTGAGGAGTGGGGCGGCTACTGAACGGAAGGACATACGGTACAGCCAACCGTCCTGTTGCTCCGGCATCGCAGGATTCTCTTTTAAGTCAGTTCTCGTTGTTCTTTTCTAGGTGTCGTTAATTCTAGTCTTTGCGTTTACCTCAATCACCAGTGTTTAGAGAGAGAGAGAGCAAGAGAGGGTTTCACGTTCATCACGTCATCCGGTGCATGTCTGCTCCACTCTTAAGAGAGCCGTTCGGCGAGAGCACTATTTCCTTTACTGCAGCTGCTGCTGCTTGGTAACGCAGAGCGTTACAACTAAGTACCCTCTACTCAGCACACTTCCACGCTCCAGCACGGAAAAACTCCCTTGCGACCTGGCACATACCTCCTGCTTAATCAAGGTCATGCATCCGGTCAGGGGAGTTGATTGCTCCCGCGCCATTCAATTCCCGGGCACTCCAAGTTTCAAGTTTCAACAACCCGCGGAGGTTAGTGGAGGGTTCTGGTTTTGTCGGGTTGCATTTCCACCTTACCTGTTCTATGTAGAGTCCTGCACATGAGATCACTCACTCGTCCACTCAACCCACACCGAAGTTCGAACTGCGAATTTACCACGTGATCATAATCTTCGTCTCGCCCACCATCCTGAGTCCTCATCAAATATCACAGAGAATAAGGAATGTGTAAATGCTTTCATCTCCCGACTCTGCGAGCGCTTAGCTCGATATCGGAATATATCTTCTCCCTCGGCAAGCATTGACCTAATATAGGCGAAAAGCGAGGGGGGGCGGCGGCGGCATATGCACGTCAAACCTCCAGGATTCACCAGGATCCTCGGCCGTCACCTTCACCGTCACCTCCACCGTGGCCATCACTGTGGCCGTCACTGTGGCCATCAACCCGGGCGCCCTACCCACCTATATACGCCTACATATGCCGTACATATACATGCCTACCTCTTACATATACCGTACCCACACATACCTACCATCCGCAAACCGGCTCCCACCAACCCCCACCAACCCCCGTCTCGCGTGAGTCGCCAGAGTCGTGTCCACTCCACCCCGCGCACAACACCGATTCACGTGCGAACTGATCCCGGTCCCGGGTCCTGGGGTGTTGATTTTTCTGCTGCCTTTGTGAAATTGTGACAGATTGGATTCGGGGTTTCCAGGCAGGTAGAGTTTTCGTCCTTGTTACTTGTAATGTCTACTACTATAGGTGAAGGACCACCTGCGGGTAGGTAATGCACGGCCGCCATGCAGGAGAACGGAAGGCCATGTATGTACTTGGGTATGGTAATCGGCATTTGGAAGTGGTATGAAGCCTGAAGGAGGTATCATTTATATGTATATTCATTCATTGATTAAATAGTGTTCCTGGCCTGCGCCTTCGTTAGCCTAGGCAGGTTACTTTGTATGTACATTGCAAACTCGAATTGAAAAGACTGCCGGGAAAAAATCTCCACCAGAATCCCATAGGTGTCCCAGAACAAAAATAAAAACCCCCAAAAAATTCCCCAATAGATGAAACCCCCAAGCCCCCAAACCGGTAACCCCCCGTAACCCCCGTAACCCGTAACCCCCCTCATACGCCGAAAAAGACAAAACAAAACACGAAATACAAGAAACGAAATGAAACGAAACCCCTCTTCACAATCACGTCGGTCACATAGCATGCGGCGGTCCCTTCGCATCGTCAAAGTCGAAGCTGCCATCATAGACCGTGGGCGTAAACGGCACGGCGACGTATGCGGGTCTTAGGCTTCTATCGCTTCCCTCGTCGGGGTGTCCATAACCGTTCGGGCTCCTACTGCGGCTGCGGCTACGGCCAAAGTCGAGTTTGCGGTTGACGTATGGTGGGAGCTCGCCGACGGGTTCTTTGGAGGTGTAGAAATCACTGTCTCCCCGTCAGTCGTGCACTAGCAGGAGGGGGGTGTGCAACGAACCCGTGGTGGTGTATACTCCCGCCCAGCTCGATCGTGCCGTCGTCGCGCGGCAGGTTCTTGTCGCTCTTGGATTGGCACAGCCAGCGGATGGCGATGCGTGTGCTGGGCAGGCAGACGACGAACACGGCGCCCCACACTTCGGCCACCGCGCTGAGGTAGATCCCCTCGAGCTTCTCTTCGAGCGCGGCGCGCGGCGAGTTCGGATTGTGGTCCAGCTGGATGAACTGCATGTGCAGGACGAAGGAGAACGTGGAGGAGACGGCGGTCATGAACCCAAGGAGGAACATGAATGCCACCGCATACTTCTCGCCGCGGCCGAGCTTGAGCGTGTGGATTATGAAGAAGGGGATCGCCATGACTGTGATGTGATGGTTAGCATCGGAGTCGAAGAGCGCGGTGAGCGAGTTTTGGCCATGTACATGCCTGGAATATCGGTTCCAATGTGGAGGCTGTAGACCAAGATGGCCTGCTCAGGCTTTGCTTGCGGCGAACAGAAGAAGCTATCGTTCATACTCCTGTCGGACGTCAGTCAACACGTCGTACTCCAGTCCGGAGAGCACTGCACTTACCAGTTGCGCTGAATGGGTCGACACCAGAAGGTGAAGCCAAAGAGAAGACCCAGCCATGTCAAGAGCAGTGCCACCCACGTCAGATTCAGGGCCCTCCTCAGCCGTAAGGAGAGATGCTGAGACATGGTGTAATAGCTGCAAAGGAATGATGCCTTGACCGCCCCTTGAGAACCGTTAGCGCGTGCGCGCGAGGTTTCGGATCAACTTCACGACGATGGCCTCAACTTACACAAGGCTGTGATGTAGGCATATTGGTTGAAAAGAGACCTGCAGGCATCCAGCGTCAGCACGACGATCAAAAGTAAAGCCGGGCAAGTAGGTGGCGACGTACACTTTAAGAAACTCCACCGTAATCGTTATGGACTCCATCAGAAAACCGGCAGGATCCTCCGCTTGCGGGAAGTTCCTCAGCCGTATCCTCCTCCGCATGTACCATATATCGAGAGAGATGACCGAAGCGCCGATCACCAGTGCTAAAGAAACAAACACATCGCTCAGCAGCCACGTCAACTCAGGATTCGGCAGTCGATTTCGATTCCGCACCCAGAGTCGCAAGGCTATCAGGAGGAAGCCGGGAACAAACACCACCAAGTCGAAAATTATCCGATCCTCGTAATCTAGCATGACTGCGTCGGTCGCACTCGCATCTAGCTACCGCTCTCCGGTGATGTCGTGGGGGAGAAGGGCCGGGACAAGTTTTGTTCTTCTGCAGATTCGCTTCGGACCGGTGGATGTGTCGTGCACGGTGGGGCGGGCGGGCTGGAGGAACACAGCGGGTTGTATTTGTACACAGGACTTATTGTGCGTCTAAGGGGTTCAATCGGAGTTCTGGGCCCAAGCACTACCAGCTGGGAGTGGAGGCGAAAGCCTCGCACAAGGACGGGCGAAAGCATCTTCTTTAATAAATGAAACTGGCCGCTCATCTGATGGATCATGGAGGGATGGTAAGCGGCCACAGCCGTTGGTTGGCGTTGGACTGGCGTTCCCGGTTATTGGCGACGTGGTGCAACTAACGTCGACGAATGCCGGTCGAGCAGTAGGCGTTGGGTTGGGCACCACTGGTTCGTCGGCCTCCAGCATGAGGCAGTGAGCCCGTCAAACCAATCATGCTGCGGAGACCCCCTAGAGCCAAGAATGGAATCGTCAAGACGTGGGGTCAGGAGAGTCGCTCAACTGGCGATGAACCCGGCCTCTCCGCTACCACTGGCTGGCAAGAACCGCTCTTCTGGGATTCAACTATCACCCCGTCAGCCCCTCACCATGAAAGTCGTCAGGAACCCCCCCGCCCCGGAAAACAATCTAAGCCCGTCGCCCAGTAGGTGAACTCGCCTCCGATGAATGTCGTAATGGTGGGGCCACACCAGTTCGAAACGAACCTGGATACCGCGACGGCATCGGCTCGATATCGCTGGCGATTACTCGATATCATTTCGCTTGGGGAGATGTGTACTGTACTCCAGCCACGGCTCGTTATACCTGCTGGACTCTGCGCTTGGGCATTATGAACCCAGAGAGACGCGGGCATTGCGTTCATCGAGGGGGATGTGTTCGTGGGACGGGCACGTTTGTTGAGAGCCCATACGGCGAATCAGCCTCACGTTTCTCTGCCCAGCGGTTAGATAGAATTGCGGATTGTGCCTGGCCGGCCTGCACTAGTCAGTTGCTCCAGAGTCCTCCCCTCACACCGCACCCGCATCCCTGTGCCTATCTGGCGCGGTCCGCGGTGGCTACCTGGGTCTGCGGGGTTCCGCACGCCTCACCATCCTACGGGACTCTACATACCCCGCAAAATGGGCGCGCTGGCGGACATTCCCTTTCGTTCAAGCAACAAGATGCGGTCTCGACTCTCTAACCCTGGGGCTGCTTGCACGAAGCTTGAAGCGTGAAGAGTTCGGCGATCGCGCCAGCTGGCTGAGTCCATGGAGATGGTTGAGGACGCGAGTCCTGTGCTCTCGTTCGAGAGAGAAAGAGGGAGAGAGAGCACTCCGCTAACTAGTATGATACGGAAGGCCATAATCCCTACTTGACATCGCCCTTAGGTCGAGATAATATAACTGACACCCCTTCGTTTCATCGGTTAGCTGTCCGCCATTCGCCGCTTCACTCCCGCTTCAGCATGAAGAGATATGCACAACACGACGGGTGTTGTCTCTCGGTTTATGCAGCAACCGGTGGTGTCGCACCTCAGGGGTAACTAAATGTTGGGAACCTCCGCAGGTGACGTCCTCGCGAAGAAGAATCTCGGGCTCGATCGTGAAGCCGTCTGTACTGGTCGGTAACCAACGCATGGCCAATTGCAATGGCCTCTTCGGTTGCAACACTTGTCAGGGGGCTGATGTTCAGCCGACACGAAGAACGCCTCTGGATTCCCATCAGGAGCTGCGGGATTTTGCCGCTAGAGACACCACTCTACCACTACCAATGACCATAGCAGGTCTTGGCTTAAGGCTAGGATAGCCTTAACTCTAAAGCCCCACCGCGGAGTGGTCACTTTGGAGTCTGGACGAGCCCCGCCAAGGACATAGTTAGTTAGGTACCCGCAAGCGTATCTATATGGTTAGTAGTGAAGTTAGAATACCCATATATCCCATGGCCCGACGGAGACAAAACAAGCGGAAGAACTTCACGCTGGACAGATCGCAGAACGTTCCGAGAACACAGGGCTCATCGGCGGTACGGCCGTCCGTGACGACTGGCGGCCTTTGTTTCCAAGCGAGAGGAAAGGTTCAGTTCATGATTTTGGAGCAGAGGAGTTGGCGATACTCCATCGATACGTAGCTTTAGGTACTTGTGTCTCAGCACAATATATGTACTCGCCCTTTATGCAGCCACCGAAGTATTTGATGCACGGAAGTTGCCATGCTCCAGGATAGTGAGTCAAGATTGCAACAGAGACACCGCTAGCTATCGGTTTCGATCATGTTCGCTCGCAAGGTCTCACAGTTCGAACGGTCTTCATCGGCTTTGCAGTCTTAAAAAGAATCTGGCCATCATCTTCGGGATCGATGTGGATTTACCATAGATATCTACTGAGAATTGCCACCACCAGCAAAGGCAAACTCCGTCAGTGGCGGGCGGCCAGTGTGTTCTCTTTTCGGTAAAACATTTGTCCGCAGTGGTGGTGGTGCACTCGACCGCAAGCACCCACAAGGCCCAAGCTCTTGTGCCGTTCCACCGACAACTGTCCAATCGTCCGCCGTAACTCGGCACCAGCCAATCAACCGCACACCTATTGCCGAGTCGCGTCCAGAAACATTGCCATCTTGGCATCCAGAAACATTACCATCTGGGCGACCATGATCCCCCCAAGAACTTGTCCGCGACCAGTCCCGCCCCTCGCTTTCTCGCTTTCTCGCCGCGCAGAGTGCAATATGCATAGCCTATAGTTGTGTGTGTTCACTAGACAAAGGGAGAGCTCTGTGAACCATCGTAGTCAGGTTTCGCGGTTATATCCTACATACTCTACTTGCCTACATATGTCGCCAACAGCCCCAAGCATCAAGCCACTAACTATTCCCCATTCTGTGTTCCGCCAAAAAGTGATGTGGTATCTAACTCCTAGCCGCAAAATAGATACATACCGACCTCGTATCCCGTGACCCGAGTCTCCTTTTTTTGATCGCCGTGGGGCTTTACCATTTGGGTCGATCGACAAATGCCAGGGGACGCTTGGGGACGGGTAGGTCGTCCTCCTGAATCACGAAGGCTGTTGTTCGGCCCCTTCTGAGTTATGAAGATTCCTCCTCCTCCTCGAGACGGCTCTGCCTTCTTGGACGGCCGTCGGCGTGGTCTCCGAGATGGTTGGTGCTACTGTAAACACGGCGGCACTACTACTACTACCTACTACTACTAGTAGTATGTATAGCCATGGCTTTTACCAAACGCCCCCAAAAGAAACCATCCCCAACCGCGTACCCAAACAACCGACGTGACCCACTATGAGCGAATCGCATAGCAAACCCCACAAGTTCAACATGGAACAAAACTCCATCCAAACGAGATGAAACCGCTTACACAGCTTGCTGAGTAACAACGCAATCGTCGAACAAGAAGTAGGCGTTGCATACAAGTACAGAAAAGAAAAATAAAAAGAAAAACGAAGGGAAAAAAGGGAAAAGGGACCGTAGTCCAACCAACCTCAACTGACCCCAACCGACCCCACGACCGGTCGCTGTCGTCACTCTCATCGTCCTCCCCACCCAGTCATTGTTCTCGGTCTAGTTCTCGTCATTTTTCTCGTCCTGGATCTCGTCTAGTCCCACGCCACCACGGCGGTCGTGGGATCCAAGGTAGGGACAGGGGCTGCGCGACCATCGGTACCCGCTGCGTCTCCTCCGAGCTCCTGGTGTATCGGCCGGCGTACACCCCCTCGCCCGCTGCCAACTTGGAGAAGCTCTTCGGCGGCTCTTTGCCGAACCCGGCGGAAATCGGCTGCATCGGGCTCGGAGGATCCCGAGCAGAGCAGGGGGTCGCGCAACGGCGACGGCGAGGATGGGAGCTCGAGCGGCGAAGATGGCCGGCCGCTTGTGCGGCGATGAAGAAGATCTGTAGGCGTGTGAGGAGGATTGGTCTCCTCTTCCGCCTCCCTCTCATCGTCGTTGAGGACGATGGGGTTGCTGGTGCTCGTGTCCAGTGCAGCGAGGCCTTGAGGCAGATCCGGGGTCGGGCCTTGAGGCAAATCCGGGGGATGGCTTTGAGGCAGATCCGGGGTCGGGCCTTGACGTGAACCCGGGAGAGAGCCTGGAGGGGAATCGTTAGGTTCTCGGCTGCGGGGTGAGGTAGCTTCCATCGCTGGCTTGGTTGATGCAGGAAGAAGCTGTCGGGAGTTATTACATCGTATCCAGAGGGAAACCATGTGTGTGGAGAGATAACTAACCTATTGCAAAGTCTGCAACTAGAAAGAATATTGAAGGAAAGTAGGACGACGGAGTAGGGACAGAGGAAATTTTTGAGGAGATGTATAGGAGCGAAGGGGAAGAGAATATTTGTTGAGTGGGAGAGATGACGGAAGGAAGTTGGGGTGGTGAAGCTGGAGGAAAATCAGCTGACGGAAAACCAGCTGGCGGAATGAGCCGCATGCTCAGCTGAGAGTGAATGGGAATTGCAACGCTGAGAAAACGCTTCAATTTGGAATCATGTGATTTATCGTAACTCTTCAGTTCCATCAAGAGGCTCCAGAAACCATCCACCCCTCCGCTCTCCCCCCACAATCATATCTCATCACTCGTGGAGCAAGTTCTTCATCCAATTCTCCTAGCTCCATTTCGTCTCGGAAAGGTCATAGGGTCCATACAGGTCTCCATCAGGAGGATGACCAACGACACGAGTTGCCCAGGCCAGAATATTAGTACGCCACCCAAGCACGGAAGCACATGGGCGCCCCTCCACTGGAGGGAACCCGAGATCACCATGGAGATCAGATGGTGCCCGGCGCACAAAGGCATCTCCTGAAAAGAAACGGCCGACGGATGGGCCAAGCTGGCAGCCGACAGCCCTACCGCTCGCGGAGCGATTGTATGCTTATAAGTTGGCTGGATCCATAGTCGGGAGCGAGACTCGCCTCGTCGATTTCCTATCATACGTGATCAATACAAATGTCCAAACTGTGCTTAAAGAATTTTAACGGAAGTTTTCCGCATCGAGCGCGGGATTGATATCGGCAGCCTGACTGATGGTACATAACGGGAATAAATTCGGACGCCCTTGTAATTTGTTTCTATGGCCACCATGGCGAAGAATCGAACAGGTACATATATCCCGGCGGCCAGCGGCTACCGTACTATATTTCTTAAAGCCGCTCATAATATATCACGCCTTTTGCAGGGTGGGTGGGTGGGTGGGGTTATTACTCTGTGCGCGGAATCCCGTCGGGCCGGTGGCGGTGGGGTCGAGAAAGACTGAGGAAATGGAGTATGTACTTTTTTTTCAAGACTGCCATGGCCGAACATGGCTGAATGTACCTAGGTTTGTGAAATCAAGAATACTGTCCCGTACCTGGGTGCACGTGTTCTGAAAAGCTATAGGTAAGTGCCTAGACCGTACAGAAGCTACAAACACTCTCGACGCGAGCCAATGCATAATGATGGTTCCCATTTGGTGATATAGAGTACATGGTATTACCGACAAGCGTAGCGTGCGACACCCAGTATTCTCCATCGTCCGATCCGTCCGTTCCGTCCGTCCCAGCCTAGCCTGTGACGGCCAAGGTTTTTCCAGCGGACGGAGGACGGTAAAAACCTGAATTCGGGCGTGGACCTTGGGTGGTCAAGTGAGATATGATGCCTGTCGGCTGTGATTGGGACCGGGCGCTGCACTTTGGGCGTCCGAGTCAGCATACATACTACTACTGTTCAAAGGTTTGTGGAACGGTGAGGGATGAACTGACGCGGTGGTGAGTGGGATAGATATCGGTGCTAGGAAATCATCAATCAGCAGAATCATATTCACGTGACTTGGACGGGACCGACCCATCCGTCCTAGGCTCGGACCGTCCGGCGTTTTGGCCGTCCGGACCGGGCGACGGAGAACACTGCCTCAGTGCTCACACGCCTGCAGGATCCCGGCCGAACTCAGCTCTGTAGGTACCATCACTTTCGTTGAATGCATGCACTAAATGCCGAGGCTGGCGAGTGGGCTATGCCGAATGATCCAAGTGTGGGGTAGGTATGGAAGCAGGTAGGGTGGGGTTGGTCTGATTTGTGTGACTGGTTGCAATTATACTCTGCCTCAAATGTAGGTACCTAATGTACTGGAGTGAACGCACACAGGTTGTAAGTTGCAACAGGACTTGATCTCACCGACAACTAAGTACCATGTATCCACTATAGATACCGCAGACCAAAAGACCCTCCAGCGTGATCAAGAACCAACAAATCATGAAGAAAAAAAACCACCATCATCCAGCACTCTTCCCACTGCACACTCGCACACACACACATCACTTCCTTGCCTCCTCGACCAAAACCCTCGCCTTGTAAACCCGCGAGTCGACTCTCTCCGCCCCAGCGAACGGCCTGCGCACCCAGCCCTTCGACAAGATACAGGAGACGACGGGAGTCTCACACGTGTCCTCGGTGAATCCGACATCGTCCATACGAGTCTCGTCGTACGGATCGCCAATCATGATGTTGTCGTCGAGCTCGTAGGCACCGCGCTGGCACTTCAGCTCTGCGGCCAACACCATTGCCTTCCGCAGACGCTGCTGGAGCGCGCCGGCCTTTGATTCGGACAGGCCTATCTTGTCCCGCTGGACGGATCCGTAGAGACTCGACAAAGCTTCCATGAAGTGATCGACATCTTGGAGACTCGCCGCAACGGTGTTGTTTTGGAAGAGCAATGAACATGTGTAGGCCCGCCAAAATTCCTTTCGCTCTTTGTGGAGCGATTTGTCTGTTGGGAATCTCGTTAATAAGGGGGGTAATATAGGAACTTAACAACTTTACGTACCACCGGCTGTAATCCACTCCTGAAGGGTGCCTATAGTCTCGAGATAATCAGGAACCATCCTAGGAAACCATACGGAGAAAATCGCCGATTCGATATATCCCCAAGTAATCGTCTCAATAAGGCGGGAGTAGCTTATTGTGTCTGTGTCGAGGAGCCTGGATCCTAGTAGTCTATACATCTTTTCACGCACGAAAGGATCGAGTTCAGCCAGTTTCATAATATCTGGCTTTCCCCTGAAAGTTTGTCGACACCATAAATAGATCTACATTGGATTAGTCGGTGAAGTTTGTTATTCATAAGGGAGCAGACGCCCACCTCGTCGGACAGATCTGTGAACCTCTTGCCAATTGCATCATCCGAGATGGGATCCAGGCCCGTGCCAACGGTGTTTACTGATCTGATGTGAGATGTGTACAACTCGTCGATCTGGGTCTTCAAGTGATCCCTTTCTTTGAGGAATTCATCAGTCTTCGTGAAAAGATCTTTCTGGAGATTGTGTGCGCGTCTTTCTGCGTCTTCGTAGGCTCGCTGGTTATGGTGACACCTGTTTTTGAACTCGTCTCTAACACCGCTGATGACATCGCACTCTTCCCGCAACAGGTGCGAATGATCTTTCTCTGACCTGAGTTTCGCTTTAAGGTCGTCGGCTTTATCCTTCTGTTGGTTGTAATAATCTTCCATCTGGCCGTAATTTCGGTCCAGTTCCTCATATTTCCTCCTCCAATCGTCGCGCTCTTGCTCGGGGCTCATAGTCATTCTATGTATTTTGGCAAGTGCAGTATTTATGATTCCCCCGGATGGTCTTTCAATAGGCCTCTCGAGCGATTTGCCCGGATGCGCCCCCCCTCCGGACTTCTCCCTGGATTTCGATTGTGACGTTCTCTTCCTATCCCTATAACCCTTTGCAACTTGCCACTCTCTGTCATCGTCCCTATCTTGCCGCGGGGCGTACTCGCCAGGGTCGTGGAACTCGTTGTGGACCGGCACACCCTCGGCTCTCTTGTCGTGAACGGACTGACTTCGGATGCCATCCTCTGGCTGCAGCTTATCGGACCGCGTCTCGTCGAATTTCTTGTCGACTGGATGCATACCGATGGCCCCAAAACCGGGGTCTGGCGTAGTGTCCATCTTAATGGCGTCGGACGATAATTGCACGAGGTCTGGAGGTGGTTCGTTGTGCGATATGATGCTCGATCTCTGAAGGGCCCGCTCCCGCTCTTCTAGCTCCCGCTGTTCACGTGCAGATTCTGCAAATGCTGCCTCTATCTGTTCTGTTTCTACACGTGCTGCCTCTACACGTGCTGCCTCTGCACGTGCTCGTTGATCAAGACGAGCCTGGCGTTCCTCAAGTAGGCGTTCCTCAAGTAGGCGTTCATCATGTCGAGAATTTTGAATCTGTTGTTGGCGTTCCATACGACTCCGTAGTACTTCCTTTGCAGCACTGGGGCCACGGTAGGTACTACTTCGGCTGTTCTGCGATCCGCTTAGCACCTCCGCCGCCGCTGCCTCCTCCTCCTCCGTCCCTAGCCGCAAGACATGTATCTACTCACATAATCTGGCGCACCCCAAACGCCAGGAAGTGGCCGATCGCTCGTCCCCATCCTCAACGATTATCTGTGGATTGCGAGATTGTATAGTTGGTGGATTTGAGCGTCTCCGTCTCCGTTTCCGCTGTCGTTACACTGTTGTTTCAGGAGAAGTGGGTATGTGCGAGGATTAAGGAGCTATGCGGGGGGGCCTTTATGAACGAGAGCCGGCACGGGGAGTAAGGTGTTGATGTTGGTGGTTCTGACCTCGACCTCGATGGGGGACAGGAGGGAGGGTTGGGCGAAGAGGGAAGGCGAAGGTACTATGAGGGGAAGCGATCGAGATGCATGTAGAGTACATAAGGAATGCTGTAGGATGCGGGGTCTGAACTTACTCTACACCCTCGCACCCGGCCACCCACCCACTTGTTCGATGAGTATATATGCAGTGCTATTTGGTTGGAGGAAAGAGGGTTTCTCCTGCGTGCCATCGGGGGAGATCGAATGGGGACTGAGCGACAAGGCGAATACGACAAAGCTCTGCAGCTACATAGAAATCGACAGCCTTCTGGTGGAGCCAGGCAGTCAGTCCATGGAGTCGTCTCGGGTGGTGTGCGGATTCCCATCCCCGCAGTTGTGAGGGATGTCCATCGCAACCATTGGCTGGCTGCAGGTAGCGAGTGCGCATCCTGCGCCTCCACTCGCTCCCGCCACGCACACAACGGATAATATCAGATAGGTACATATCACTACTATACTCTCGCCCTTGAGTAACGTTCCCCTCCCCGCTTTTCGCCATAGCCTTGGTGGACCGCCTGCCTGCCAATAGCTACTTGTCGCTCTTCCTGCAGCTACTTCGTCCTGTCACATTCCTGCTGCCTGTTGTTCTTGTTGTTGTTGTTGTTGTTGTTGTTGTTGTTGTTGTTGTTGTTGTTGTTGTTGTTGTGTGTTGGCTGTCCTCGAAACCCGGCCTGGTTGCAGGGCTAACAGCTCCCGTTGCACAGCCATTCCCTTGCTTGCTTCGTTAGCAGATACCCTTAAACTCCCCCACTTATCATCCCCCATCTACCTACGAAGCTTGTTTGCTCCCCATTTCTTACCATATTGCCATATTCCGCTACGATATCCATTACTGCGCGCCGCGACAAGCTCACAAAGACAAGACTATCGACAGTTGGTGACAGCGAGACAATGGTGGCATCCGGGGATACGCAGAGTCGCTTCGTCGTAGGCAAGCACCCCTCTTCCCTCCCTCCTCATGCAGCCGAAGCGGGGAAATCGAAACACGTTACTGACTTTTCCTTCCAGGCCTCGACTTCGGCACGACCTTTACGTCGGTAGCGTTCGCCCATTCCGCGAGTCCGGAGGAGGTGAAGCTGGTGCAGACATGGCCGAACGGCAGTCCGGGGCACTCCTCGGCGGACCAAGTGCCGTCCGAAGTGGCGTACGATCCCACCACACGCGCGATGCGCTGGGGCTACGAGGTTGCCAACAGCCGCCGGGGCGGCGAGCCCCTCAAATGGTTCAAGCTCCTGCTGCAGAACCAGAGTGGGGCGTCGAGGTCGGTGCGTAATGAGCGGCCGCCTGCGATTCAGCCGCGCTCCTCGTATCGCAATGCGGGACTGGAGGCCTTGGTCGGTGGGCTCTCGTTGATGGCTGTGGTAGCCGATGCGACGGCGCCCATGGAGACGCCCGAGAGGAAGACGGCGTTGCAGCTCGAGGATCTTCACATGCAGCCGGTCACGGTGGTCGCAGACTTCTTGAGATCCGTCCGCGAAATTACAATAGCCAGCATGGAGCGCACGTACGAGGTGCAGTGGGTGCGCAGGTCGAAGGTCGAGTATATCTTGACGGTGCCGGCAATCTGGACAGATACGGCAAAGAGCCATATGATAAAGGCGGCGGAGGATGCGGGCTTTGGGGCGCATCGCGTCGATTTCCATCTGGTATCTGAGCCGGAGAGCGCGGCGTCTTATACCCTCAAGGCTATCCAGCCAAATAACCTCAATGTATGTCCGATGTCACCCCCTCTCCTCCGGTCTGTAGATTAGCTGACTCCTGCTAGCGTGGAGATGTCTTCATTATCTGTGATGCTGGTGGTGGAACAGTGTGAGTCCTAGTGTACGACTCGAGTGCTACCTAGGACCTGAGCTGACCTGTTTGTGTCATGTCAGAGACTTGATATCTTACCGAATCAAAGATCTGAACCCATTACGACTGGACGAGTGCGTGAGCGGCACGGGTGGTATGTGCGGGTGAGTGATCCCTGATGCCTCCCCTCCGCGTCAATACAATCCTGATGTCCACTCAACAGCTCCGTCTTCTTGGATGAAGGGTTCGAACGGTACATTAGAGGTGTTGTCGGTAACAGAGTTATCGATGCGATGAAGCCGCGATCGAAAAGCGCGATGATGCGAACATGGGAGGAGAGGGTGAGACAAAACAGACAGCATGGGCGGCTTTTACGGCGTGCTGATTCCTTGAAAGGTCAAGTTCAGATTCGGAAACAGTTCGACAGAACTGGAGGTCAATCTTCCAGGTGTTCCGGACAACAGGGCGAAGAGAATCGAAGAGAGTTTCCACACTATGGAAGAGTTAGTAAACACCCAATTTCGTTCCCTTCCTTGGAGAAGTCGCCTAACGTCGGTCAAATATCGATAGAGAAGATGTGAGGACAATCTTCGATCCGGTTGTCGACCGCATCGTTACGCTGGTGAAGGACCAGGTCAGGGATGTAGAGAGGAAGGGGGAGGCCGTCAAGGTGCGGATACCGTTCAGAACACCGCGTACAAGCACTCACATTCGCAGGCAATTCTTCTCGTCGGTGGATTCGGGTCCTCGGAATACCTCCTAAAGCGACTTCAAGGCGCGCGGTATGGACAGGGAGATAAGATCCTTCAGGTCCTCCAGCCAATGAACGCGTAAGTCTAGATTCTCTCGTCGCACCTGGTCCTGAAACTAACGTGCCGACTATTCAGACGGAGTGCCATCGTAAGAACCGAGTATCTCCCCCATATATATGGCATCTGTTTGACAAGTTTCACAGGCTCGCGGTGCACTTCTGCGAGGTCTCGACGGCTCAATCGTCAAGGAACGGCGAGCACGACGGTATTATGGATGTGTGTCCTGCAGCCCTTACTACGCCGGCAACGGTCTGGAGGACCACAAGTACTGGGACAGCTCGGATGAGATGTACATGGTAGATGGACATCTCAACTGGTACATTGAGAAGGTGTGTAGCAACTTAAGATTTTCAACAGGCTCTTTCAATTGTGCTGATAGCGCCGTCCAGAATATGGTTCTCGGAAACACAGTGTTCGTGTCGCTGCCATTCTACCGCACCGTTCCCGTTCCCGCAATCCGGGGAATGGCGCCGTACATGACGTTCCACGACGAGCTGGTGCTTTGCGACCTCGACAACGCGCCGGACTACCAGTGGAAGAACGTGGAAGGTATGCTACATAGGATTACTTTCGCACGCATCGTATATATCCCGGGGGATGAAGTCGCTGACACAGTGCACGCACAGCCATCCGAAGACTCGTCTCGCTGCGCTCGGATCTGTCAAGTATCCCGACCGAAAAGTTCCCGGTGCGGACGAATAGCATGGGCGAGCGGTACTACCGTGTCGAGTACGAACTAAGGCTTTCGCTCGTCGACGAGGTGATGCATTTCGAGCTGGTGCTCGATAATACCGTCTGCGGCGTGGTCACGGCTAGGTTCGAATGAGCGGAATGGTTGCTGGTGGTTACATGGGTTGGGGTTTCCTGGGTTTTGTGGGATATTTGCTTTGCCAGCGGTTTGTAGTTTGGGGTTTCGATGTTGAATTTGTTTCTATTTGTTCTACTGGTTGGAGGAAGGATGTCGATATCTGCGAATGGGCCCCGAAGAATAAATTGAATTGAGGCCGTTCCAATGCTCAATCGGATCCTCCGGTGGCGATGAATGTTGTCTTGTCTCATGATCACGATGTGTGCGCTAACTGGCCTACTAGTTGCTCCTGAAAACAACCTAAGTACCTGACTAGATCAGAACGTTGACCCTATATACACGCGAATCGGGTTGGCATAACTAGAGTGGAAACTAGTTATGTGGGGAAGTCATGTTCGTCTGTCTGTCCAGAGCAGGCGTGGTTGAATGGGCACAGCAGGCTCCACGGGACTTGGGATGTTCCACTGATCCCCCAACAGAAACCAATTTACTTTATCTACCAATTAACTAAACTCCGAGGCGCGATTGTCTTTGACTTCACGGAGTGCTAGCTTGGGGGATCATTCTCAATTCAGAGAAGTCAACACTCGACGAGTTATCGGCACATCAACTCAATGACGGGGAGGTTAGTTCCATCTTCGACCATTTCCAAGCACAACAAGCCATTTCCCATTTCCCATTTCCCATTTCCACCTGTTCCCGTCTCACTCACTCGAGTCCTACTCAATTTTCCCCTATGCACCTTGTAGAGTACTCCACACAGTGGTGCGCGGCCTGCATCCCACGGAACCTGCCACGGGAGTGATAGCCCATGCTTCCTCGTTCCACACCCTCTGTATACATACCCTCTGCATACCCTACCCTCTGCATGGCTGACGTCGTTCCGGCTGTCCGAGTCGATAGCCGTGATTTTTGCTCGGCTTCCGTCAATGTATGTATGTAGAGTATCCTCTCGGGAGTCGGGGACGGGGGGACGCATTGATAATCAATCACGGTCGCTTGCTGCAGCTTGCAGCTTACGGCCTACGGGAACGTGGGGATTCGGCTCCTTGGGTCTACGAATTTGACGATAGCTAGAGCTGCGTGTGTAGATTAGGTACTCTGCTGTTCAATACAATAAAGTATTCAGAAGAGGTTCAAATCGAACTCCCAGCAGCAGGAGGACGGTGGTGCTCGGCTGTTGAGTTCACCATGATTGGGGTTTAGTTACTAGAGTAGAGTCTGTTCCAGCATGGCCGAGTTACCGAGTCACCGAGTCTATGTAGAGTATGCACGAAGAGGGGTGAGTGGTGGGTGACGCTGGGCGATCCACCATCCCTGTCCCGTCGTTGGTTCGTGGGCCAGCTCTTCCCCCAGACGGACACTCTCGCCTACCCCACACTCCACACTGCTTGTTCATTCCACTTGTCCGATGCACCACCAGCCGAGACAGCTATCTATGGGGTATGGATGTATGCACCGCGCATGTGAGTGAGTGAGCACTTGGAAGTTGGAAGCTGGGGGGATAAAGCTGCGCTGCCGCCCGCCATCTTTATCTCAACAGGTCGCCAGCCAGCCAGCCAGCCAGCCACATTCCTCTCCTCTCCCCCGTCCTCCCTCTCCCTCCCCTCCTCCACCTCATCCACAACGTAAAGTAAACATGGACGCCCACGCCGAGTCCCTCTCCTCACCGACCACGTTCTGGGCGCGCGAAGCCAGCCAGCTCACATGGACAGCACCGCCCCTGACCGTGCTGCAACCGCACGTCTCACCCGCCGACCAGCCCCCGAAATGGAGCTGGTTCCCAAACGGGAGCTTATCGGCGAGCTACAACCTAGTTACGCGGCACGTACTGGACGGACGCGGCAACGACCTCGCCGTGATGTGGGATTCGCCCGTTGCGGGCGAGAGCAGGAGGATCTCCTATGCCCAGCTACAGACGGAGATGGAGCTCGCCGCGGAGGTCCTCAGGAATCTCGGCGTTAAGAAGGGGGAGCGCGTGTTGATCTATAGTGAGTGGTTATATATGCTGCATCTGGCGTAGGAATTGACGCGACGGGATGGCTGACCGGTGATGCGTGACGCAGTGCCTATGATTCCTGAGGCGTTGATCGCAATGCTCGCCTGTACGCACATCGGCGCTGTCCACGTCGTCGTGTTCGGAGGGTTTGCGCCGGCGGAGTGTGCGAAACGGATTGAGAGTGCGCGGCCGCTCGTCGTCATGACCGCCAGCTGCGGAATCGAGGGTAAGCGGGTTATCCCGTACCTGCCATTTGTAAGACCGGCTCTGTTTGTCCTCCCCTCCCGTCCCGGTCTGTAGCTGATGTTTGATGTGAGGGTAGGTCCGAGAGGCTATCAATAAATCAAAGTTCAAGCCCCGCTACACCCTCCTCCACCAACGGCCGCAGCTACACGCTGTCACGAAGCAGGCTAGCCACGAGCTCAATTGGGGATCTCTCATTCGGTCGGCACGGCTCCGTAATGGTCCCGGTGTTCGTCCTCCGTTTGTTACTGTGCAGAAAATCCCAGGCACCGACAAAGAGGTCGAGATAGGCCAGTCCCTACCGGCCACAGCACCGCACTACATCCTTCATACATCGGGTACAACTGGAACGCCAAAGGGTGTGGTGCGGCCGCTCTCCCATCTCGTCGGATTGTCCTTCACAATGCGCGAGCTCATGGCGGTCGGAAGAGGAGACGTCATGTGTTGCCTCAGCGACATCGGCTGGGTCGTTGGCCACGCCTACATAGTCTACGCACCGCTCCTCGCCGGTGCAGCAACAGTCATGTACGAGGGAAAGCCCATCGGCACTCCCGATGCCGGCGCATTCTGGCGTCTCGTGGAGGAACACAAAGTCAATGTCCTCTTCTGCGCGCCGTCCGCTCTCCGCGCCATCAGCCGCGACGATCCGAATCTGGACGGGATGCAGAAAAGGAACATAACATCTCTACGGGCACTGTTCCTTGCCGGCGAACGCAGCGAGCCCGCACTCGTCTCCCGCTTCGAGGCGCTCCTGACGAAGCACTGTGCCCCCGGCGCCCGCGTCGTCGACAACTGGTGGTCTACCGAGTCCGGCTCGCCCATGACCGGCCTGCTTCAGGGCCAACACTCCAAGCCGGGCTCCGCGGGAAAACCGCTTCCGGGCTGGAACATCCAGGTGGTCTCCGAGACTGGGGAGGTGCTCCCGCCGAATACGCAAGGCAACGTGGTCCTCGGCCTCCCGCTCTCCCCCACCGCCCTCAGCGGCCTCTGGGATGAGCCGGAGCGTCTGTGGACGTCGTATTACCGCCGCTTCAACGGCAAGTGGATGGACACGGGCGATGTCGGCCTCGTCGACGAGGAGGGGTACCTCACCATCGTCGCCCGCGGCGACGACGTCATCAATGTTGCCGCGCACCGCCTCGGCACCGCGGTCATCGAGGGTGTCGTCTCCGCTGTCGACGGCGTCGCCGAGGCGTTCGTTGTGCCCATCAAGGACGAGCTCAAGGGTCAGATGCCGGTCGCGTTCGTGGTGCTGAAGCAGTGCGTCAAGGATGCCGACGAGGCGGAGGTCAAAGCGAGGATTAGAGAGGCCGTCAGGAATGAAGTCGGCCCCATCGCCGCCGTCAAGGAGATCGTCTCTATTCCCGCTGCGTCTGTGCCCAGGACCAGGTCCGGGAAGACCCAGAGGAGGTTCTTTAGAGGTGTTCTGGAGGGCGTTACGGATGTGCCCGAAGGCGTCGAGAGGGAGGTCTGGCAGGTCGTGCTGAGGAGGGCAGTGGAGGCGGGGTTGTTGGCGGGTGGTAGGGCGAAGTTGTAGTGTAGAGTGGGAGGCCGCATGTGCTTGAATGATACCTTTCGTTTGGGTTTGGGATGTTAGATGTTAGATGTGGACTGTATATAGCATAGATATGGATCCTTCTGTTGGCACGGCTTGGTCTGGGATGTGATTCGTAATTTTGTCTACTCTATCTGAGTGTGAATAGACCTTGCCATACACCAAGCTCCATTCTGCGTGAGCATCGTCCAGCTCCAGGTCCAGCTCCAGCTCGAACTCAATCCCAAGTTTGTGCGACTGAGTAAGACTGCACTACCATCACATCAATCCACAATGCAATGCAGTGACTCATCGAGGCAGACAGCGCACCCCAAGCGCACCCCGGTGATCTCCGGTGCTCCGCATGAATTAGGCATCCATATGCATGCTCCACACGCTCGTCACGAAGCACGAGAAACCGCGATTGAGGCTCGGTGTCTCACACGTCACAGGCTGTAGGGGTGCAAGCGCGATGCGGAGTGCGGGGAGGGGGGTTTATAGAGTGTGGAAAGCTGGGTATAAGGAGGTATAAGTATAAGTATCCGCACAGCTCGTTCACATTTATGTTCACGTTCAGGTTCCCATTCACATTCAGATTAGGGGCCCCACCACCAGCAGCAGCACCACAGCATGACCACCCCCGCCGCCGCCTCCGCCTCCGCCGCCGCCTCACTCCCCCTCCTCCCCCCCACGCCCCCCGCGAACTGCACAGCGCGCCTGATCCCTTTGACCCAAACCGTCCACCGCTCGCTCCGGGCCCCCGCCTGTTTCGCACTGCTGATCGAGAACGCGCTTACGCCCTCCGAATGCCGCTCATTGCTCACCTACGCGACCTCTCGGAGCCCGTGGGAAGCAGCCCTAATCAACACCGGCCTTGGCACGCAGGCCCTGGCAACCGACGTACGCAACAGCTCGCGGCTGATCCTGGACTCGCCCGAGGTAGCGGGTATGCTGCTGGCGCGGGTGAGGCCGTTTTTGGAGGCGGAGGAGGCCGGGGTCGCGGTGGTAAGGACGGTGGGAACCTCGAAGCCCGGGAAAAGGGTCTGGGATGGCATGAGGAGTCATTGGCTTGGTCCTAGGCCGTGGAGGTTGACCAGACTTAATGAGAGGCTCAGGTTCTTGAAGTATGGGCCGGGTCAGTACTTTAAACGTAAGCTCCCCCCCCTCCCTTCACCCCCGCCCCCTCCCTTGGCTCAGCTAACCCCCCCCCCCCCCCCCCCCCCCCCCCCCCCCCCCAGCGCACTGCGACGGCTCCTACATCACGCCCGACGGGCGGGAGCGCTCGCTCCTCACGTTCCACTCGTACCTTGGCGAGAACGATGCGGAGAACGTGGGCGGCTCTACGCGGTTCTTTGGCGACTACGACAAGACTGTGGCGGACGTGGAGCCGGTGCAGGGAAGAGTCCTGGTCTTTCAGCATCAGTGGTTGATCCACTCGGGCGAGGAGATGGAGAGGGGCGTGAAATATACCCTGAGGACCGATGTCATGTATGAGGAGGCGCCGGAACTAGATTTTGAGGAGGAGGGGGAGGAGTTTCAGCATTATAAGGCTTGAGTCTTGAGAGTTGTGTGGGGTCATGTTCTGTCCATAGCACTGTTGAACAGCTTGGTTTTGGTTTTTGGTTTGAGCGTGTTTGCATTCGACTTTATAGGATCATGGCAGTTACATATCCTATTGCTCCCGAGTTCCCACTGTCTTCAACCGTTGGTTGCAACCTCAATGTGGCTTCCCCAGGCCCTATGCTGTCCGCCCAGCCCGTCCTGTGTTGATGCGCACCAAGAAAAGAACACAACCGTCCAAGCCATCCGTCCAAGCCAGCCTACTTTCCAAGCTTATCGAGTGAGAGCCTGTGACCAAGCGCCCCACGCCCCACGGCGAACGCAGTGCGCACAACAGCCAGACCTCAAGACTCTAGGCATCGCTCCTGCAAGCCTCGTGCTCGCTGCAAACCGCCATAGCATCTCGAGCAGATGAGATACTCCACATCCCGCCCCACTTAAATCCATGAGCTATGTAATCTACAACCTGCAATCTGCCATCCACCACTCGCCACCACCCACCCGCCACCCGCCACCGCCCGCCCGACCGCCACCACGCGCCATGATGCCCCATCCTCCCCTCTGTAGAGTACGCGCAATAGCCGCCGTCTCCCCCCACTCCCCCTACTCCCCGAGGCCCCTTCAGGCCCCTATTCAGTCCACCGCTGCTCATTGACGGGACACATGTGCACGGAACCTCACTCGCACTCATCGCCAACTCATCGCCAACTCTCGCAACTCTCGTACTCATCACCAACTCTCGCACAACGAACTCTCGCACAGCACAACGTCTGGATCGCTCCAACCCCCTCTCTTGCATTTACCAAACCACCAACCAACCAACCACCAAAAAATCTCAATATGAACATGTCCTCCCTCCCATTCCCCATCCCCTTCCCCCCCCTCCTCCTCCTCCTCTTCTGTCCCTCTTCCCCTTTCCACCACCCCTTTCCATACCCATCTCCATCTCCCAAGTGCGAAAAAAGAAGAAGAAAAGAAGAAAGAAGGCAATATAAAACTTTCCAAAACACGAAACAAGAAGCAAGAAGCAAGAAGCAAGAAACAAGAAAAACATCCATCTTTCGGACTCCAATCCACCATGCAAAGCGCACCAAAAAGAAGTAGAAAAGAAGGAGAAAAGAAGGAGTAAAGACAAGAAGAATAGAAAAGAAGAAGAAAAGAAGAAGAAAAAGATCACGGTAAATGAAGTGAAGTGAAGGCGGACGTCGTATATAAAACGGAAACGGAAACGGAAGGGACACACACAACACACACAACACACACACAACACACACACAACACGAACTAAAACACAGACTTCTCGCTGAAAACACACCTAGGTAATAAACAACAACCACAACAACACAACAGGCCTCCAACCCAGATCCAATCCAATCCAATCCAATCCAATCCATCCAATCCAATCCAATCCAATCCACAAACATCTCAACTCCCCCTCCCGCAAACACCCGATATGCAGAAAGTAGATACCCAACGATAGATGCGCATTCCACATCTCACACCCATCCCCCCACCCGTCTTTCCCCCACTCTTCCGTGGACATGTTTCCGCACCTCTCATCCTTCCACCAAGTCCGCTACGCACCCCCTTCCGTCAACCGCGCGCGTCAACCGCATGACGCTCATAGTATGACACATCCCCTCTTCTGTTTCCCGTTTGGCCCCTTCTTTGTTTTGCCACCTCTCCCGCCAGCCGCGGCGCCCATACCCTGCTCGCCCGGATCGCCGGTCCCCGTGTTTCTCCTTGGTCCCAGGTTCCGTTGTCTTCTCAGCAGTCTGACCACCTCGAAGAAGGCGCGTTCCACGTTGACGCAGTTTTTGGCCGATGCTTCCACGAATTCGCAGCCGAGCTCTCTCGCCAACGAGTGGCCCTCTTGTGTGCTCACCTCCCTCTCCGTGACGCGATCGCTCTTGTTGCCGACCAGCATGATGGGTACGTTCGCGGCCGGTGAGCCCCCGTATACCTGTGCCTGGCTGTTGTAGTTCGCCATCTGCGACCCGCCCGTGCCCGCGCTCTCCTTGACTCGCAGTATCTGGTTATGGAAGCGCGGTATACGCGTGAACGAGGACCGCGAGGATATCGAGTAGACGAGAACAAAGCCTTCACCGTCTCGGATCCATTGGTCGCGCAGCGCGGTGTACTCCTCCTGTCCGGCCGTGTCGAGCACCTCGAGCATGCACGAGAAACCGTCGATTACTACTTGCTTACGATACGAGTCCTCGATTGTCGGATCGTACGTTTCGACGAAGTGGTTTAAACATAACTAGATTCGAATAAAAATTTCAAGTCAGCGAGAGAATGTGACGGACGGAGGGAAAGGGATGTGAAAGGCAATTTGGGACGCGAATCGAAAAGATGGACATACCTGAATCGTTAATGCAGTCTTTCCGACTCCTCCATCTCCTAGCACCACGAGCTTGTACAGTGTCATTCGCGTCCCCATGATGGAAGATGTGATGAGATGGACGCCCGAAAATTTCTGATCCCCCTATCCCGTTCCGTAGTCGAGTCTTCGAGCGTTGATGTAGCTTCCGAATAAGCGAGCAAGGGGAGGATCTAGTGTCGATGGGCAATGGGAGTGAGGAGCGGCAACGACAACGATGCCGGAGGAGGTGGTGGAGGTTGGTGTTGATGGGTTGGGGGAGGGTGAAGGTAGGTGAGGTATATGGAGGTGAGGTGTATGAAGGTGATGGAGGTGGAGGTGGTGGATGGGTAGGTGTGGTAGAGGTAGGTGGAGGTGTCGTCGAGGTAGCGGTAAGTTGACACGGGGTACGGATCGACTGTGCTGCTGCTCGCGAACGGTAAACCTGGACGGGGATTCTTCAGGAAAGAAGGATGAGAGACGAGTGGTGGTGGTGGACGGTGGAGGGTGGTTGGTGGGCGGTGGTGGTAGTGGTAGCGGTGGTGGTGGTAAGTTGAGACTAGACCGGGGGGGAGTCCAGGAGCGCTTCGTCTAGATCTGGCAAAAGCTGCGGCGGGTTGGGTGGGCTAGTCAATGGTAGCTCCCAAGTTGGGGCAGGCAGGAGTCGTGGCCGTAGTAAGGTAGTTTCCACCTGAGTTCGGCTACCCTCGTGCCGTTTCGTTTCGTTGGTTCGCTTTGGCACTTCCCTGCGGGTTGAGGGTTTTGGAGCGAGCAATCGTAAACGAGATTGAGGGATGGAGAAACGGTTGTAGCGTGAGCGCGCGCGCGGCGGACGAGGGGGGGTACGGCGGTCGGGCGGTGACGTGCGAGATGAGATGGATTGGCGGTAGCGAGGCGAAGGCGTGGTCGCGGTGGGATTGGGGAGAGGGGTGAGCTGGGCGAGGCGGCGGAGGAGGACGAGAATGGGAGGAGGAGGAGGAAGAGGAATGGGAGGAGGAGACGGAGGAGGAGGAGGAGGAGGATGAATAGGATCCAGGAGGGATTGTAGACTTTGGGGGAGGTGTGGGTAGGTAGTACGGGTATGGGTTAGTTACTGGAGTGTGGGTGTCAGGTTGCGGCGAGTTAGGTGTGAGTGAATGTGAGCGTGATATCTGGGGGACAGAGGGCTGTTCTGGGCCAAGCGGTATGGTAGATGGGGGTTTGAATGGAATGTATATGATCTTTCTTCTCCTTCTCTCCGTTTCCGTGAGTCCGTCCGTCCGTCTCTGTCTTTTTCTTTTCTTTTCTTCTTCTTCTTCTTCTTCTTCTTCTTCTTCTTCTTCTTCTTCTTCTTCTTCTTCTTCTTTCGTTTTCTTTTCTCTTCTTCCTTCACTTTCTTTTGCTTCCGCGCCTGTCTGTCTGTCCGCTCCGGTACGTGCTCTCTCCTTCGTCCAGAGATAACTACTAGGCCAACTAAGCAGGTCGAGAAGCGGAGTAGACAGAGGAGCCTGGTGCGTTGGTGGATGTCGTTGGTCAAAAGGCCTAGTGCGCAGACAGACTGAGGCGAGTGGGGATTAAGATGGAGGCAAGGGCTACAGAGGAAGGCAGTTGGGCATAGCTAGCAGTTGAGGCGAGTTGTTTGAGAGCTGCGGCTGTTCTTCACTGTCGGAATCCGATTGTTGCTGACTTGTTCGTGTGGGGAGAGATCTCGGGATGGGTGGGGGGACGGTGCTGGGTGGGGACCGTGTGGGATTGGGATCGTCTACGGCCAATGATAGGGCCCGAACGGATTGTTTTATGGGCCCGAACTGGTTTTCTTTGGTTTTTATTAGGTTTTATTAGGTTTATTTGTTTTTTCTTCCTTTTTCTTCCTTTCTTTCCTTTGGTGGATTGGAGAAGGGTGTGGTAGTGGTGGTGATTTTGGGATGGTGATGACGGCTAGCTGGCTGGCTGGCTGGGTGGGTGGGTGTGTGGCTGCGGTGAGTGTCCTGTGGACTCGGCAACTGGGAGCGTGGCAAGGGCGCAGTAGGACAAGTACCGCCACGAGAAGATCCAGTATCTAACTAGCCGGAGACGGAGTCGATACAGTTCGCTGTCCGAAGTAGAGTACATACACGGAGGGGATGGGGGAGTCCGAGCAGAATCTCAATAGTGAGCTCGGCCACGATTGGTGGAATGGATGGATGGATGGGAGATGTGGCTCCGCCGGCGAGCGGTTGAGGCCATTGGTGGCCGAGCGAGTGACCGAGATGACGGTCCGTACGGTAGGCGGGTGGGCGGGCGGGCGGCGGTCTACGGTGGTGGTAAATATGAGGCAATGCAGGCAGACAGGCGAGCGGGCAGTCCTCGAGACTGTCGGAATAGAGTACAGGAAAGCCGATACGAAACCTCAACCAAGGACAGAAGGAGAAGCACTCGAGCGATAAGAAGGAGTATATATCGATATGGTCACTACGGTATCGTCGACCATGAAGTAAACACGAAACTCCGGATAGTAATCTACCGAATACAACTCCATCTAGAGTACATACAGGAGCACCGGAAGTCTGGGCCCGTGGGTACTCTCGTGGCGAGGCTTCGAGGCAAAAGTGCCAGCTTGAGGCGAAGAAGAAGAAGAGAAACAAGAGAAGAACAAGAGAAGAACAAGAACGAGAAGAAGCAAATACTCCGTCTACTCTACTATGTACCAGACAAGCATGTTTTGGTGCGCAGAATCACGACCAACATTCACAAGTGCAACTCCGCTAATGCAGTCCCCGTCCCTATATCTAGATACGCAGCGGAGGCGTCTCTTCGATTTCAGGCAGCGCAGTACCTACTTGGGTAGAATAGAGGCAGGCAGGCAGGCAGACAGGCAGCACGGACAGATGCATACCAAGTAAAAGTATGCTCGTTTCCAGCTGCAGCCATACTCCACAGAGGGCCCGCAATACGTGCCTAGAAGCCCAGGGCCAATCGCGTTGGTGCTGGCTGGAAGCTTTGATTCGTCAAAACAACAGCATGCGGAATTTCCACATCGCAGGACTCATCTTCTTCTTCCTCGTCTCTCTTTTTCTTCGCACATGCCTCCTTTTCTGCCTGCCTGCTTGCTGCACGATTCAAATCTGATATGGTAGAGTAGATATTCTTCAACCTCCCCGAAGAAGAAGATGCAGTCAAGCGCTGTACTCGAGACACAACCACCTCCGCACGAATGAGCTAGCCTCCCAGAACTCGGAATTTCTTCTCCACACGTGTAAGAGACAACTATCCCCGTTCTTATGGAGTTTTATACACTTCCACATTGCATCGTACCGTTCGGGTTGGTTGCCACCACCACTGCCACCACCGCCTAGGCATCAGCATCAGCATTAGAATCGGCATCAGAATCAGCAGCCACTGCAGAAGAAGCAGTGATCGGTTTCACAGAATTCGCTAAAGTGTCTTTCACAGCAGTAGTATGTACAAAAGGTAGTTGTTTAACCCGACGGTATGGAAGGGCGCGGGAGGAACGGATGGTGATGGATGGGTAAGGTCTGACAGTTGAGAAGTGGTCCTGATGGGAGGGGCATAACTATCCGGGAAGCAGACGGGAGCACCACCACCACCACCACCACCACCACACCACAGAAAATTATCATCATCTTCCACCCTCCGTACCTACTCTACATCATAGCTCAAATCCTCCCTCCCCCCCGGCCCTTGTCCATCATCTACGACCTGTACATAGCCTGGGCCCGAGCTGCACTGGTGACTGCAGTTGATTCGTCTTCTAAGTTCCGGCCTTCGGGAGTGGAGACACTTGAAGTAAGGCAAGGTAAGGTTGGTATGTAAGGTAAGCAAGGAGATCTCCCGTACACACCCGTCTTGGTACCGAGGACCGTCCGGCGTCCACGATGGTCTGGTCTGGTGTGGTGTGGTCTGGGGTTTGGGGGGTGAAGCCTGTGATGAGCGTCGTGGAGGAGTCATCTGCATGTGCTTTCCGGTGGGGAGTACATACATAATGTATAGTGGTTTACTGCGGATTCTGCTATAGTTACCGGCTGAAGGGAAGGGAACTTGGATGTGAACCGATGCACGGTGAATATGAGCTTGTGAACCCGCATCGTACATGTCGTATTGTCGTCGTCGTCGTCACGCTCCCATCGTACAGAAGAAAAAACCGACATACGATATGCAAAGGCAAGCACAGCAAAATTAGAAGAAAAAAAGTCCGAAGCAATCCACCACATTTTACGAGAGAAAATATCCACAGCAATCTACCATATTTTACCAGGAAAAAAGTCCGCAGCAATCAACCCTCCAATCCCACTTCATCCACCACATTTACTCTACTCTACACATGATCATACTAGCTACCAGCCATAGTTATCCTCCGCCCATCGGTAGGTATGCATGTAGTTATGCAACTACCCAAGTAACATGTATGTATGTCCGACAGGCCGAAATTACAACTGTCCTTCCACTTGCATTCACGACTTCCATCCACAACCACCAGGACAAGCCCGAGCGTCCTCATGCATCTGTTCTGTCGGAAAGAACCATACCTTCTCGCGCAAGCCTCTCGTGTCAAAATCAAAATCAACCCACCGCCCACCACCCACCACCAGCGCATGAAATAGAGTGAAATATCTGGCCCCCAAGCTATGTAGAGCACCTCCCGGCACCGAAAAACACTAGCATGGACTGGACTAACGTAAGAACCCAAACTTTGTATGATACCTCACCAGATTCCTCTTCCCCCCTCCAGTTGGAACTTGGGTCCGCTTAACTGCATACATAACTTATACCATACATATCCACTCCGGAGGGAGCTCGATAAGCATCCTACATACACAGTTGCATATGTACCACTTAGCAGATATGTACCGAAGGTATCCACAAAGTTTACATCGTACACCCTAACTAAACCTCGGATATCAGTTTGTTTCTCGCAGTCCCGGCAAGCACGGTGCAGTTTTTTTTGTTAGTTTTGTTTTTAGTTAGAACCTCCCTACTGCCCATACGTAAGTATGAAATACTCAATCCACACCCTCGGGACGGAGCCAAGGACCGGCAACCCGAGGGAACCCATCACATCCCATCACATCCCCATATGTACCTATGCCGTAGTAGTGTACAATTTCGGCCGCGAGATGTTCTTTTTTTTGGTCACGGAGGAGGAGCAGGAGGAGAAACTCGGATATGGATATGGATATGGATATGGATATGGATATGGGATATCGTTTTCCGGCCCCTTGGTACCGGTGCAGCGCGATCCCTGCTTAGCGCATAGAGTACTGTACCTACTCTACATAAGGAAACCCATACGCCCCGTCCGGGTTCGTCGTCGTGGCTGGGCTGGGCGAAGGAAAAAAAGGAAGGATGGGTGGATGGAGGAAATCTCCCTGAAGAATCTCCCTGAAGAATCCCCAAATTTCGCCGTGGGTCGCTGCAGCGCCAATTTCCTGCGGATATTGAGCGCTGCGGATATTGAGCCAGTCGGTCGGTCGTTCGCTCGGTCGGCCGGGTCTTGGATGGCCATTGCCGATCTTCGCGATTGTGGGTAGGTAGTCTGTGGCCCGGATGCTTCTCGGTGCGGACGACATCGAGATTCGTGCTGCATACCTGGGTAGGTGAGTGCACATGCCTTAGGTATGATACCTGTAGAGTATACATAGGCACCTCTCGAGTCCAGAGCAGGTACTATGTAGAGTAGAGTAATCCCGGGCCCGCCGCATCGAACTGCTCGCTTTTTCGCATTTCTTTTTCGCATTTGCGCATTTCACTTTTCGCATTCCATCCGCGCGTAATCACTCCCATCGCGCATCGTCCATTGTCCATCGCCCATCGGGTGACGAGGTGTTTGCGATGGACTGAAGCACTCGCGCCGGTGTACACTCGGCAGATGGGTACGGTGGAAGCGGATTCGTGGAAGAATGATCCAGGAAAAGCCCCCTCCCCACCTGTTCCTGTTCGTGTTGCTGGCTGTTCCTGAGTCTTGGCCGCAACTTCTCGCGCGCAAACTTATTAGCAGGTTAGGTACCGTACTGTACTAACCAGTACTCTACATATGATATTTCGGACTTCCACTCCAGCTCCTGATGATCTCGGACGGACATAACCACAGTTCGTCCGGCGTCCGCCCGTCTGCCTGCCTGGGCTGCCTGCGGCTCCCAACTATCATCAGTAGAAGTGGAAAAAAAGCAAAACCACTCACATAACCACCCATTGCCGCTGCTATGTGTGTGTGCTGGTACTCCACCACCGCCGACGAAGCGCTCGGGGACGCAGATGATCCGTGCACTGCACCGCGTACCACACCGCACCACACCGCACCATGGCATCCCAAGGCATGGCATGGCATCCCATCATGGCATCTTCGCGATGCACGGTAAAGGTTTTCCTGCACGCTCATCGACTTTGTCGTCGTTGCGTCCCTCTTCTTCACCGACGCGAAGAAAAAAAGTTGGTATGTATGCAGGATATGTGCCGACATATGTATTCGCTGTACGTACCTTTACATACATACAGAGCACATAGAAAGTTTTTTTTTGGCGAGTACGATGGAGCGATGGAGGAGAGCGGGGTAGACTACGTTCGCATAGACATCGCAGGAAACGGAACGAAATCCGGTGAACAACGACAACTGTCAACACCATCGCCATCGTATGTATCACGATGAAAATAAAGTACACACATATGTATATACGTGGTCCAAAGCCTCGGCGCATCGCCTGCAAGCTCCAATTCCGACTGACGATGTGTTGTGTGTTTTGCTTGCTTTTGAAGTCTCCCCGCCGCCCAACTGCCGCGAAGGCAGGAGCATCTTTCCCCATTAACACGGCACTTTGCTCCTCCTCTTCCCAATCCAAACAGTATTGCTTCATTTGGAGTAGAGTCGAGTCGAGCGGATTAGAGTACAGTAGAGTACAGTAGAGTACAGTACTGCAGGTGCGCGCATGCGTCGTCAATCACGTGTGGAGCCGCCTTTTCTGCCGCCAAGCTGGAGCTACGCAGGGATGGCATATGGGGAAATGTGTATAGACGGACGGTTTGCTCAATGGAGTCGTACATGTGTATGGTTAGTATGTAGATGGGATGAGGGGATGAGGAGAGGGGATGAGAAGAGGGGGATGGGGGGATGGTGAATGGGCCGCGAGCGGCACCGGCGGGAAGAGCGCAGCTCATCATCGCCGTTTCGAAGGCACCAACCAGAGTATCTATCTCATGCTCCGAGTGCGCAATCTAGAGCACAACTAGACTCAGTGGGGGAGAAAAGAAAGTAATACACAAGGAAAAGAAATAAAAAAGAAGAAGAAAAGGAGCGCGGGAAAAAGGGCATTAATAAAACCCCCGCGGGGGTGCGGGGGCGGTGGAGGTGGAGTTTGGAATGTATGTAGAGTACATACGATATACCCAGGTAGAGTACATACCATAGGTACCATCCATATCATGTATCAACCCCCCACCGTGCAGGTGACAGGTCCCATCGTTCTCGTTCTCCTATTCTCGGTCCACATTCCCACTCCGTCATGGTCGGAGATGGTCTGGTTTCACCACTCCCCTTTCCCCCTCCCCCTCATCCCAAGAACCTTTATCCCCTCATCCCAAGAATCGGGCTCTGCCGAAGGGGGCGTTTCCGGTGCCATGAACCCGGGTGAGATAAACTTTGACGGGGTGGAGGGGTGCGAACTCGGTAAACAGCTAGACGTGTTGTGAGATGGATGATGGACAGGTCCACTGCTGCTGCTGCTTCTGCTGGAGAGTCGATGACACATACTTGGATATCCATGGACCGTGGACCGTGGACCATCGAGGGGCTGTCCACTGCGCGGTCCCAGCGAATCGAATGATTTTGTGATCGAGGAGGTGTGCGGGGCGCCTGGCATGTAGGGTGTAGGTAGTATTCTCCGTGAAGGTTGTCGAGTCCGATTGAAGAAGGAAAAAAGCAACGGGATGTAGGTACTATAGAGTACACAGAGGAGCTGAAGATTGGATATCGTACGGATACGACGGAGACATGCATCACGCAAATGCAAAGCTTGATAACCGTGCCGCCCTTCTGCTTCCCGCTCACCGTTCCCGCTTCCACCCCCTCCTCCTACCCCCATAGGTCAGCAACCACTTCATCCATAAAACGCGTGCAAGATACAAATCAATCGGCAAGGGGAGTGTAACGAGACAGATCAGATTAGCTCTCAGAGTCCGCAGCTTGTGTGTTCGGGCACCGGGATACCCGTCCAGACCGGACCAGACCAGGCCCAGCGGGAGGGCTATCTCCCCCCAGTAGAGGAAAAAACAAAAACCACAACCCGCGGAGGGCGGGTTTCCTTCCTTCCCATACACAGGGGGGAAACCACAGCTGGGGGCAGGAGTGGGGGCAGAAGGGGAAGGGTGCGAGTTTAGGTTTTCTTCATGTCCTGCTTATGGGATGGTGGTGGGTGGTGGTAGGAAGAACTGACTGACTGACTGACTGACCTGGTTGTTGTCGTGCCGTACACCCATAAAGCCCAACCGGGAGTCCTTACTGGGGAGATTTGGGATTCTAGGTTTGGTATGTATTCCCCAGGGCGGAATGGATACTGCCCCGCATTTCCGAGATATCTAGAGTAGATGTACCGAGCACAGCACGAAAGCGAGCGAGAGGGCGAGAGAGCGATAGGTAGGTGGGTAGATGGGGCGGATATCGCTGCATATCAGCTGTCTTTGTATCTGTATCTGCCGCGTGTGTGCGCGTCCACAGCAGGGCCGGGTCGCTTAGAGTAGGTACTCCAAAAATGCTGACAAAGAACCCATCATTCCCGGGCCGAGCCGTCGTATCGATCGCGCGAAGGCAAGGCAAGGCAAGGCAAGGCAGGCGGTCTGTCTGTCTGTCTGTCGGGTGAGTGCACTACGGTCGGAATGCCTGACGAATGTATGTACGGTGGGCCTGAATGGATGGATGCATGGATGGGAAGGGCGCGTGGGTTAAAGGTGACGATGCGGCGTGAAGGGCACCGGGGGCGGGGGGCGGGGAGGGCGGTGAGGCCATGGAAAGCGAATGAACGCGGCGAATGAACGCGGTGAGTGAACGGTTAACTGGTTAACGTCGATCGGGGGAGGCGGCCGGCAGTTGGGTGTGGATGCGTATGTATTGCGTGGTGGCTGGTCGGGAGGGGGGATGAATCGATGAAGTGACGATGACATGCTGCAACCCACACCCATCGAGCCGCGCCAGGATGCGAGACCGAAAGAGCTCATCCATTCAGCCTAGATACGTAGTAGGTACCTACAATGGATCTACCGAAGAGCTTACATACCGAACCCACGGTTAGGTATATGCCAGAGTATCTAGTTCGGGTCATATCCAATCGAAAGGAAAACACCTTCTCGTGTGGGTATTCGGTACCGGTTTGCTGCCAGATTGATGTCCTTTTCGGGTCCACTTTCCTATTGAGGACATAATTGTTCGTCACTATATTTCACTCGGTTTTCCACTGCTCCCAGACCGGTCTGAATGCCGGAGATTCATTACTAAAAACTTGCTGTAGTGAGGGATTGGACTTCTACAAAAAGTTTCTAACTTCGTTGTTCGAATCCTGATGATTACCGATATCTGTGTCTTCACCACCCCGCAGACCCTCCAGTTTCGGTCGGCGTCGAAGATTAGATCTCTGAGGTCCAAGGTGGGCATTGGAGATAGATTTAACCGCAAATCGATGAGAGAAAGATAACACACATCGTCTTGTAAGTACAATTTATCCACCGGAGGGGCTTTCTAATGAGCTGTTTTTCGGCTCGCAAGCATTAGGTATAGCAACTTTAGAAAAAGGGAGGTATTCGGGATGTGGGCTGGGCAGTTCGGGCCGCCTAAGAAGTCCGGCTTTTTCGGGCCGGATGTGAGGAACAAAGTTGGCGTGGGCGCCAACGGTAAGTGGAAAGTGAGTCTCCAGATCCCGAGATTGGTGCGTTCGATGGTAGGTTTGTCCTGGCTCATCATACTGCACTCGCCAACGACAGATATCCAGGAGGATTCACCACCGCAGTAATCACAGCCTCCCGAGCAACTCCAGAGTCCTTCATAGCTCTATAACTCCTGTCGGCTGCAAGATAATCCCCTTACCTCTCTCAATTAGTAAGCATGTTTGCCAGCCCTAATTCCCTTGGTCTACCCCTTGTATGTACATACTCCACCGTCTATGCTGGCCCAATTGAACCACACACACTCCTCCATCCCACGGCCAAGCAGTGCTCTCCATCGGAAGGGACTGGACTGCTTTTCGTAGTCCCTCCGGAGGCTTGGACTGGACTGGGTCAGTCTGGAAGGTGTTGAGACTGGACGGACTATTTTCATGCAGTCCGCCAAAACCTCTGGACTGCAGTCCAGACCGGACTATGTAGAACACTGTGACCGAGCAATCTTCAAGTCCCTACCCCTCCCCCACCGCTGTCGATTCAGACTCATGCATCACGCTAATACCACTATACTCCCATCACGCCCCATCACTCGGTGTATACTCCCTCAACCCATAGAAGGAGTCTTCCTCCGCCTCATACCATCAGCATTATGTGGAATAACAGCTTGTAGTTTGCATTTAGCCCACGAGGAGGAGGAGGAGGAGAAGGAGGCAAAAGGTGCTGCAAATCCACCGTCCGACTCTAGACGTTGGAGGGTAAACTGTTCGCGGGAGAGAATTCATCCCGAGGTCTGGGTCGGTCTCATCTTGCCTCGTAATCAAAGTGTCTTTATTTCCTGTTTGTTTGTTGATCGCATGTCTCATAATCTAGATTAGGTATTGCGAGGTACACACTCTCTTTCTCGCCCGTCTGCAGCCCGGATAACCAGCTCAATACAAAGAGCCACTTGACTTGCGATCCGCCTAGGTACGCAGCAATGATGGATCACACCAATGATTTTAGAAAGTACACGATAATTGCAGACTCAAAGAAACACACCGCTAACTATCCCCCTGCTCTGCCTGTCTGCCCGCCACCAGTGCCGCCTCCTCGGCCGCCTCCCATTGCAGCCGGTCCAGGAAAACCATCGCCTCTTCCATCCGCACCACCCTCTCCGATTTGGCGTGCTCCCGTCTCTCACTCAAAGTGTTATACATACGATACCGCCGCATGCTGGCCCAAGACGCGCGTGATATCATATGCACCAGCCATCCTGCCAGGTATCGTGAAGAATCAAGCTGCAAGGCCCTATAGACGAAACCGGAAGGGCGGATAAGGTTATTACTCAGACCGCCTTGCCTTGTCTTGCCAGGTGTTGTCGTCTCCCTGGAGTCGTCCCGGCCCGGCGAAGATTCCATGGGGGCCGACCCGGTACCGGGGGTTAGGAATAGGATGCACTCTCGCTGACATGACAGTAAGCGATCGGGCCGAAATTAAAAGAGGCTCGATGCGGTTCGAATTTCGTACGACACTGGAACAATACCTAGTAGAGTAGTGCTGCACCGCGCCACATGGACGCGGCGGGCTAACAGCCACAGGAAATAAGTCTCCTCAACCGTCGTAGGGAGGCCAGCGGCCAGCCAGATACCGCGAGCTACATATCTCCACCATCTTTGCACCACACGTGTTGTGTACCTGTATGTATATTCTGTCCTCTCCCGTAGGAACCTCGTGGTATTGTTTCGGCGCTTACTCTTCGTCGTTATCGTGAAGATATGTATGATGTGTAGTGGAGCAACAGAATCTGCCGCGCAGAAAACCGAGCGCCCGAAGCGGGACATGCGAGGCGGGATCTTCTTCAGCGGCTGAAGCAGCTTCCCGAATAGGGCATGCGACTTGCCGCTCTCATCGAGGTTGAGGCACGCGTCTGCAGACTTCTACCGGCCGCATTGAGTAACGACCCTACCCACCCTGCAAACGACGTGATACGCTATGAGTGATTTCATGAAGTATATCAAACTCGTGGCAAAGCAACAACTCCTTCCATCTGAAAACGAACCCGCTTAATCCATCGGAGGAACGTAAAATATCTTGAATATATGTAGATGTATGTATAGATGAAGAAAATGCCTGTACTACCCGGCCAAACCCAATCGGACCCCCGGCAAGGGGGGACTTTGGGGGTTGACGGGGCTGCCAAAATCGTTCTTGTCGTCGGTATCGTAAAATGCCGAGCCCGGATCATTTACAACCACGGAGATGGTTCCCCTTTCCGTCAGCCTGCACTGTGGCTGATTCTGTACCATTGGTATATTGAATCTTCACGAGGGGGTGCCATTGTTGTAGTCGGGAGAGAGGGGAATG